CCAACATATCCAGGCCCCCGCCTGCTAATCTCCTCTTGTGTCCACTCCCGGTTGCCCCTTGCACCAGCGCCGTGGCAATGCTGCTCAACTGCCGCTGTCTTGTCGTCTCTTCCAACTCTCGACTTTTCTCCCTTGCCACTTCAATCACATTCTCACCTAAATTTGCCAACCTCGCCACATTCAAGCCGTAGCTGCGATGCGCCACACCTTCACCCACTTCATAGAGAAACGTGACGTTCTCATCATCCGTCTCAGTGAAACGCATGTGAACGTTCTTGAGTTCTCCATTGGGAAACCCATCTGCCATGCGTGCCAGCATTTGATAATGGGTAATAAACAGCGTCAAGCACTTTCGTTCTCTCACGAGATAGTCCAGCACAGATGCGGCAATGGAGACACCGTCATGCGTGCTCGTTCCCCTGCCCAATTCATCCAGCACTACCAGACTGCGGTCCGTGGCGAGTTTCAGAATGTCGCTCGTCTCGCTGAGTTCGACCATGAAGGTTGACTCGCCAGACATCATGTTGTCGAACGCGCCCATGCGGGTGAAGACCGCGTCGAGGATACCCAAGGTTGCGGATGCCGCTGGGACAAAAGACCCGATTTGTGCCATGATAGAGATGAGGGCCACAGAACGGACGTAGGAGGATTTCCCGCCCATGTTAGGCCCTGTTACGAGGAGAGCTCGCGTGGAGGCTTGGGATATGGAGATGTTATTGGGCACGTAAGAATCGATCAGAAGTTGCTCGACCATAGGGTGGCGTGCACCCTGAACTTCGATTCGAGTGTCGGATGCGAAGCTCGGACGGACGTATCCTGGCTGAGATGCCACATTTGCCAATGACAACAGGCAGTCTAGAGTTGCGAGGCTTTGGATTGTGTCGCGAAAAAGTTGATACTTCGTGCTAATGTCAGCGAGCAGGTCCCTAAAAGCCTTATCACAAGCAGCCGCAAGAGACTCCTTATGCTGGTCCCTTTCTCGCAAAAGCTTGACAACTTCTGGGGGATGAAATCTAGACATTTTTTTGGTTCCCGAGACCTTTGTCCAAGACGCCGGGACTTTCTTGATCGTGGGAGAGTTGTTCTCAACTTCGATCAAGTATTCAATGCCTGCCACAGTCATATAGTCAACTGGCTTCTTCTTGCCTAGTTTCTCGGCGGCAGTCGATCGAAACTGGTCGAGATCATGCTCAACGCCGGCAATGCCGAATTTGTGCTCGGAAATAGCCTCCGTCTCTGAGGCGTCTTGAAAGAAGGTGTACTTGTCGTCGGATTTGGCAGCTTGAAGATTGATCTTGTCCAGATATCCCACCACCTCTGTCAGAATTAACGGGAGGGAGACCATTGCAGACGAGATCAGGTCCGAGGCGAAACCGGTAGACGTCGCATCCGTCGCATAGGCAAATTCGGTTGCCAATATCTGGAGTGACTGAAGAACATTCAACAGCTCTGGTCTTGTACACTTGCCGTAATAGATCCGAATGAGGCTTTTCTCTAGATCGGTTCTAATCTTCGACAACACCCGTCTCAATTTTTCGGCCTGGGCGGCATTGTCCGGATTGAGAAGCTCCTCCACAGCATTTAGTCGGGTTTCGATGCTTTGTACATCCAACAGCGGCCGTCCAACCCACTTGCGCAGCATCCTGCCTCCAAATTTTGTCTGCGTTCGATCCATCATCCAGTACAGGCTTCCTTTTGTGGAATGGTCTGTTTGATTCAAGTAGATCTCGAGACTTGTCAATGTGTTTCCATTGAGTAACATATGGGATCGAGCGGAAAAGGGCTGAAAATATTTGGTGAGTTGGAAGACATGTTCGAGGCCATATTCGGACAAGTGGTTGATCATTGCTGAGAGGCAGATGGATACGTTTTCGGGCAAACCCAGGATCTTGTCAAAAATTTTGGTGGCCATCTCTCCCTCTGACCGGGAGTCTTTGAGCCTTTTAGCATAAAAACTCGATATGTGAGTGTGTGCTTCAGCGGCCATTGTTTTCTTTTTTGCGACTCGCTCAACTCGAATCTTATCGCCGAACACGTTTGTCTTGCTCCCGGACAGATGAGCAACAAGCTTCTCTGTCGCCTTGGAGAGCTCGCCAACAACAAGGAATTCGCAGGGCGCAATGTGGAGCAGTCTGGTCTCAATCTCGCTCCGCATAAACCCATCCTCAAAGTCATCGTACACAATATCTCCGGTAGCAGGCTGAACTGCTACTAGACCGACGTTGACTTTTTCGTCATTGCCAAAGCCTTTGACGTTGACCTCTGCCATGCATAGCAAAAATCCGGTAGATGCAGCCTTTGGGGCAGGGCTTCCTCGACCGTCCCCTTCGATGCCTTCAATATCATCGATATAAGTGCCCTTTGTGTAGAGATTCGTGAGCTTCCTCACAAAAGGGGCATTCCTGTTATCGCCAACGGCCTTCAACGCTGCGGTCTCAAGTTGTCGAACAACGCCCACTTTATGTCCAGCGGCAACCAATCTCTTGACATGCACATGCAATCGATGAACTGGAATGCTTGCGGATGCAAAACGGTCCAGGTGCGCCTCAGATGGATGCTCATCATATCGATATTTCCCCGGGATGCAAACGATACTCAGTTCTTTGGCCGCAATTCTTGCATCTTCGCCAAAGAATCGGAATTTATAACCCACTTCAACCACAAGCAAGGTGTCCATGTGCGATCTCTTGATCTCTAACACTTGCTTTTCCATAGGCGTCAACTTACTACCACCTTTCTTGACTCGAGTAGTCGATTTCGGTGCCTCGTCGACAGGCTCTTCCTCTCCATCCTCATGCTCCTCATCTGCGGCATCGTCTTCGAGTAGTCGGTTTCGCCGCTTTATTTCAGTGATACTGTCTGGTTTGCCCAGCTTCTTAACAAACTTTCGGTGTAGCTCATCTCTTCGCCTTTTCTCTACATCGCTAATTGCCTCGGTATCCTGGTTTTCCTGTTGAGGGGAGGAAGAATAGAAATATTTCGCTGTCCTCGTTGATACTCCAGGTTCGGTTGTGGTTGTGGCAAGTGTCTGTCCGTTGGCAACGACAGGCCTCAGCGGTATAGCAGGCTCCTCGCTTTCCTCGGCCTCTACAGCTCTGGTCTCACCCGCGTCTTCTGCGGCGGGGGTGATGCGGCGTCTCTTCGGGGTAGGTAATACTAATTCATCATCATCATCTTTTTCTTCTCCTTCTTCTTCCTCCTCCTCTTGCGGAGAGATCTGCAGCCGAGATTTGTGGGTAGGAGTCGAAGAGGGTCTCTTGAAGAAGGAGGATATCGTCTGTTGCTTCTTCTGGGCAGAGGCCATAATGAGATGGCCCACTGCTCTATCCGCGGCGAAGACTAGAAGTTTGTCGGAAGATTCAGTGGTCACTGGGTTGAGAACTCCAACCGCAAACGAGGCGTCACTTGAAGGAAGCCAGGAATCCGCCAATGAAGGTGCGCCATTTGAACGCGAAACGCGACGCGTCTCCGGCACGGACTAATTTCAAAATGCCCGTCAGCAATATCTCAGCCTTGCCCAGCCTTGCCAGATCAGCTCAGATGTCGCCATGACCAACCCCTTCCAAGTGGTCTTCCACTTTTCTTCGGATCGACCAAAAATGCTGTCGATGCTCCATATCTCCGCCTTGGGATCGTGGAAGCTTCCATTCACCTCGAAACCTTCATACAGGAGAGTTTCACACTTCAACTGAGACCTTTGCAATGCTGCAGCTGCAGTTTTCCATTATCAAACAAGAAAATAGCTATAATGGTAAGAACTAATATCACTTTGTCTCAGCCTAGTCTCTTCTTATTACCTCTAAACCTTCCTCCGGCCTTCGCCGTGCGGTCATTGTAGCCATCGGTGGGGCAACCTTCAGATGCGTACACTGCCCCTTTGTGAGCCGGAGCCGTCTTTTTATCATGCCTGCAGGATAATGTGTGAAATCAACACAGAAGAAGAGTTGGCCGAGGAATGAACAGTGTATGGACTCAAGCAGACGGATGGCCAACATTCTGTCATCTTCCAAGATGCCTCCACCACGATCCCAGCATTGAGGGTCAAAAAGTCTGGTTGCGACATATTTTTGTTCAGCTAGACAACAACCTTTTAATAAAGCGAGCGACGTCAAGTGATGTGGTAAACCTCTTCATTGAAACGCTGGATCTGCTGTCTGCTATAGTAGGTCAAGCTAGAAATCCGACTTGCGGCCTACACCCCTCCTTTTGACGCATGGTTGCGAACTTCGAACTCCTCTCCTTTCGAGTTCTGGTGCTCCTACCAAACGTCAGCTTATCCTTGGCCAAGTCTTCGAGACAGCCGTCGTTGATGTCTATCACAAGTTTCGTTTCCTGTCAAATTTTTGATGCTTCGTGGAGAGGCCCAGCGAGACTGCGAGTGTGGGCGACCCTATATTGACACACCGCTGATCCGCAAGAGTTGAGAGGGACTCCAAGCCCAGTCAACAAACAGTTCGAGGGTCCGAGCGAACAGGTCCCCAATCATATGAGCAGCTCGAGCTCTTCATTTTCTAAGCTTCCCCTGATCGGACACTGTTTCTGTCTTTCAGCAGAGAGGCTTTCTTCATCGACAAAGCGCCGTATTCTTTGGCGTCTGACCAAAGCATCTCAAAACTCAACTTTTCACATTTACTCATCAGGTCTGTCGTTTAGTCAGATCAGCGCGCGCCAACTCTCGGCTAGAGTTCGACTTCATCTAGCGGGTCGCCGCACTAACCAGGCAAAGGTATTTTGCGAGGCCGTCTCCCAATCAGCTTCCGCAATATACGAGACGGCCAATGGCAATACCACTTGATGAGAATCGGTGACGCAGGTTGTTGGCGAGCGATGCAGACGACAAATTCAGCGATAGCTCTAATATTTAACGGATTGAACGTCACCTTCACACCAGTTTCATCTCTAAAGTCTACCAATCGTCTCGCTCGAATTACGGTTAAGATTGGTCGCTGTGGGTTCTCAACCCAAGGAAATTTCAGGATCTTCGCAGGATTGAATTGAACATGGCCAATTTGGTGTGGAAGCGCAGACGCCAATATGCACCAAAGGTCAAATCGGGCTGCCGAACCTGCAAACTTAGACATCTGAAATGTGACGAGTCGCGACCGGGCTGTCACAATTGCTCGACTGCAGGAATTGTCTGTGAAGGCTATGGAATCTGGGGTGGTGGAACGAAAGCGACCGAGGACGAGCGCCGGAGGCAGCCAATGCCACCTCCAAAGAGGTGCAAACTGCCAACCTTGCCCGCCGCAACTCAGAGTCTCTCTAGGCACAATACATCAACACCCTTCCATAACCTCAGTCACGCAGAACGGAGCTGCTTTGACTACTTTGTCAACGAGACTGTTGTCAAAATCCCGGGGGTATTTTTTTCCCATTTCTGGGCCGACCTGGTACTTCAAGCGAGCTGCTCAGAACTCCCGATCCTGCATGCTGCTGTGGCCCTCGCCTCCGCTCACAGAAGCGCGCAACTCAATCTCTATGGGAGCGCCGTGCTGTCTTCTCTCTCGTGCTGTGATGCAAATGGCAATCTGGACACGCACGAAGCCTTTGCTTTGCAGCAGTATAACAAGTCTATTGCGTATTTGCGTGCCTGCCAATTCGAGGAAGACAACGAAGCCGAGCTTCGTACTGCATTGGTTGCGTGCGTACTGTATATCTCTCTGGAATTGCTCCGAGGGGACTACACAACTGCCATGATCCATGCCCGGCACGGATTGAATCTGCTGAGCAAGTTAAAACAGGACGTGGAGAAGCAGGCACTTTGTCCCAAGAGACTGCCTGAGACGATAGACGACTATTTGGTCGAAGCATTCACACGACTCAGCCTCCAATCAGCCCATGTGGGAGCTGTCGATGCTCTTTTCAGTGTCTTCCAACAGCAGAAGTTCTTCACTGATTGGAGACTTCCCCAAGTCTTCCCAGCTCTGGCACAGGCCCGGCGGACTTTCGATTCTCTCATGCAGGCCATTTTAACTCTGGCGGAGCAATGTCGCCGGCTGGAAGTCATGGGAACAGCCTTCCCGGAGGAGCTCATTCAACAGCACCGCTCGCTTCGGGAAACAACTTCATCGTGGATCCGGACTTTCAGGGCGAGCCTTCCGACATTGAATCGAACCACCAAGCCAGCAAACATGCAGGGATTATCGCTTTTGTGTATCTACCATACGATGGCGGACATCATGGTCGACACTATGTTATCCACTTCCGAAAGGTGTTTCGATGAGTTCACTTCTGCATTCACGTCGATAATCACGAAGACAATCGCGCTGTACCACAACACCAGCGACACTCCATGTCGTCAGTTATGCAACGACGCACGTGTCTCCGGGTTCAGTTTTACGGTGGATTTGGGTACCATCCCTCCGCTGTTATATGTTGCGTTGAAATGCCGAGTACCCTGGTTGAGGAGGCAGGCGATTGCATTGCTCCTCGCGGCGCCGCACCGTGAAGGCTTTTGGGATGGTGTGATCGTGGCACACAATGCGCACACAGTTATGGCGATGGAAGAGAAGGGATTTTTCGAAGATTTTGTCCTGGATCTCGACTCTCAACCTTTCGATTCCCCAGTCCAGAAGAATGAGCGATATCTTCATCGTATTCCTAAACTCCCAGTCACGGCTCGATTCTGTCATGTCAAGGTCGTGATGAGTCGACTCAAAGTGGGCATGGGGAAGTTGGTTTGTTGGCGACGGAGCGATAACAGCAACGGAGGCTGGGATGAAGTGGTTGAGGATTTCGATCTCAGCGCTGCGGACAGAGGGGATCCACAGGGTATTTATTTCCTTGGTTGACCTAACGATAGCCGATATCCTCACCTATGGTTGGTGCTCACCCCTGTTGGGACACCCACGCGTCAATTATGTTGTCGGTGTCCGGCTGATACAGCCACCGCATGTCGTCAAAATTCTCAGCATTGCTGGCATCGATGACTTTCCCCTCGCGCACGAGCCTCTCTCTCTCCGCCAGAGGCAGACGCTGGACGTTTGTCTTGTTCGTTGCCCAGTCGAAGACCGCATCCACACGAGCCTGCCGGAGGGATTGCCAGAACGCCAGCGAATTCTTCAGCCCTAGTGTTGGCTTCGATTTGAGCAGAAGAAGCAGCCTAGTCAGAGCATGCACGTCCTCCAGGGCCTGATTCACGCCCTGTCCACTGCTAGGAGGCAATGCGTGAGCTGCATCGCCCATGATGATGACCCTGCCCGCCTTCTCTGAGAACCATTTCTTGAGCGGCGCCATTCGCATGAAGGGCCATAAAAATGTCGTATCGACATGCCGACAAACGGCATCGATGATTCCTTTTGCCGTTCGACTCTCCCATTTGTCTCGCGTGTTTGCATAGAAATCACGCGAGAACTCCTTATCCCGCCCCAACGCTTCCCACTGTTCCCGACTGCGATCTTCCATCCTGACTTGCATCGCGACCATGATGATACTTCCCTCCCGGTCTTCAGGCATTAGAACCAATGCCCCGGGCTTTCCCTGAATCGTGCACGCACGCTCATAGTCTTCGTACGGCCACTCGACCGAGTTCCAGGGGATGTGGCTCAAGACACCCGCGATGCCCGTGTACTCGGGCCCGGCGTCGTCTGGATTGACATATTTCCTCACCGAAGAATGAATCCCGTCCGCGCCGATCAGCATCCCGGCTGATTCATCCCGCCCGTTGACTCTGAACAGGACCCCATCCCCTTTCTCGCTCTCGTCCACCACGCCCTCGAACCTCGTCCCCCAACCGATCCTGACACCTCGCTCGCTCACCATCTCCAGCATCGTCTCAAGCAGGATCCGCCGCCACAGCCGGTGGTTCTTATACCCGTAGAGGGCCTCGTTGGTGATCAGCGTCTTCCGGGTCGTCTCGTCGTCTTCATTCTTGTACGTGCGGTACTCGGAGAGCCAGCACCTGGACGATATCCGGTCGAGGACGCCGAGCGCGTCGAGAACGCGCAGGCCATTAGGCGTGAGCACCACGCCGGACGAGTTGGCTGGGTCGGGAGTGTCCGCAGGGCGACGGAGGTCGTAGATGGTGATGTCTCTGGGGTTGTAGAGGTCGTGGTGTAAGAGGGACAGGATGATGGAGAGGCCCGTTAAGCCAGCGCCGACGACGGCAATTGAAAACGGGCTAGACGAGGCGTGGCACGATGAGGGTGACGGCGTTGATGCTTCCATTTTCCAATTCATTTAAACTTGTCTAGACAACTAAGGGGGTCGGGTTTAAGAAATGATTTTTCTTTGTCGTCGGTCAAGAAATTGTTGAAATCTATGCTGAATGCGGGGCTGAGTCTAGCTATGTGTCGCCTCCGATAGACATTCTATATGTACCTCGATGACCTCTAAAACCCGATTACTTTATGCTATAACCTCTTTTCAACGTTTCATCCTGTAAAGGTGACGATGACCCTCGCCTTACCGTCCACCACACCAGCCGCAGAAAAAGTTACCCTCCTCGTTCTTGGAGCTGGCTGGGTGTGGCAATTCGTAAAACCGCTTCTCAACGAGAGGCAGGACATTACATACGCAGCCACCAGCACAAGCGGACGCGAAGGGACCATTCCTTTTAGATTCGATCCAAAATCCGGCGACCTCGAGGAGGCATTCAAGGCGCTTCCCTTGGCAGAGTATGTGCTTGTCACGTTCCCGTTGAAAGGGAAGGGCCCATCGAGGAGATTGGTGGGAACGTACGCCGAGACGCATCCGGAATACGGTCTCGCGAACTTGGACTCCTCAGCTGCGGCGAGTGAGGGAGACGGGCGAGGAGGAGACGGAGAGACCACTACAGCAACGACAAAGAGGACGAAGTGGATACAACTCGGCAGTACTGGGATTTGGACGTCCGCGGACTTCGTCGACAGCCACTCTCCAATCGACCCGTCAAACGAGAGAGGGATTGCAGAGGACGAACTCATCTCCTTGCATGGTTGCGTGTTGAACCTCGCAGGTCTGTACGGGGCACAGAGGCAACCTGGCAACTGGATTGAACGAGTCGCGAAGACCAAGGAACAGCTCGGTGAGAAAGGGGCGCTGCACTTGATCCACGGGGTAGACGTTGCGCGAGCTGTAGTCGGGGTCATCGACGCAGATCGCAAGGAGACTGAGGAGAATGGTATCGTTGGCAGCGGCCAGTCTCGGACAGGGCGATTGTTTGGCAGGAGATGGATAGTGGCGGACTGCATGAGCTACGATTGGTGGAGCGTCGTGTGGGATTGCAATGGGGACTCGAGTGAAGAAAGCCGTGGGAGTGAGGATGATGTGGAAGGGCAGACGAGGCTGGAAGAAAGGACGAAGTATCGATGGTGGGTGATGGAGTTGATGCGGGACAAGAGTGTGAAGGCGCTGCCGAGACCGATAGAGGCATTGGGCAGAAAGCTAGATGCTCGGGAATTTTGGAGGTTGGTTGGAATGCTCCCGGCGAGGACGTTGAGGAGATGACCAGGTTGTGGATTGAGATGGGAAAAGGGAGGAGCGGAATCGGAGAAGAGCACAAAGATGGACGACGAAGGAATGGTTCCAAAGAAAAGAAAATATTCGGGAAATACGATCCAGGTTGTATGGAGGAGAGCTCGATTTTCGAATACGCAGCTAGCAACAGTTCATTTCCTAGCTGGAGCTCGTTCGCTGTGCGGGCTCATCGAATATCATTTCCTTGTGAAGCTCGATAGCAAGTGCCCTTGATTCTTGTGCCATACAGAGCTCTGTATCCCTCGCCGCCAGCGCGCTTCCACCTGACATTTCTTGTCTCTTTTCATCTTCCTGGCTGCGCGATGCCTTTCAGCGCTGTTGATCATCTTCTCGTGCTGCTATGCCCCGTCCATGCCAAGCGAGAAGGTGTAGTTTTCCAACATGCCTTCAATTCTCAGTTGTAAATCCACAGGCTCGAACATACCGTTCAGACGCCGGTGCGGGCAGTCCCTCAGCAGCACATGATATTTCTCTCCCACCTTTCTGACTTCGTCGCTCTGGTACTAGGCGGCTTCCTCAGTCTCGACTTTTCCAGTCTCGGCTTCCTCAGAGTCCCTCTTTCGTTTATTCGAGTTCTCCTGCTGGCGGAATACCCTGATCTTGTCTCCGTGTCGAAACCCATTCTCTTCCATTGTTCCGGCGACGCACTCAGCCGAGAAAATGTCGGATTGATCCGGGAGCGACTTCTTTGCTTCTTCAGTAACGTTACCAGAGCATTTGATAATCGTGAAGCGAAGGCACTCTAGGCTTTCATCCATCCGCTTCGCAACCATTTTGAGAAGTTTTTTCATGGTATCATCGGACCAGACCCAGATCGAATAATCCTCCTTCTTGAACTGGTATTTGATCGAAATGCTCAGTCTCACAGTGACAATACAGCTGCTCAGGATCTTCTGCTCATAGAGACTCATGGTATCGAAGACACCAGCGCCACGAAACTCGAGCACAAAAGAGTCTATCGGAATTCCGTATTTCGCATGAATCTTTTCTTGTAGCCGTCTTCCAGTGTCGCCCCACCACACTGTCACAGAACCGTATGTTGGCCATGGCTGCGTGAACTTCTGAAGTGGGAGACGGACTCGTACGGGATACTCTAGTTGTATTGGCCGTGCCGTAATGCGGAAGACTGAATCGGTGGTGGCTGGTAGGGGACGCTCGGGGTCATACAGTGGACCGTTCAGTGGCACCTGGATACCGTCAGAGCCATGTATAATGTACAGCAAAGTCTCCATATCGTTGAAGATGTCCGAGTTGAAGTCTTTAATAGCGGTGAAGAAGTCGCCAGCGTTTTTGCAAGTCGTCAAGTCAGGGGCGAGGATAGTGGGCTTGTCCACAAGGACGACGGCCTCCATTTCTGCCGGAAAACCTAGTAATCGGAAGCGACACGGTTAGATGATTGGGAGAAGGACTTTTGTGAGCTGGGCGGCAGACTAGATCTTATGAGAGAGTGGATGTGAGTAGAAGTCGACTTGATTGAGAGCCTGGTGTGGTGAAACGTGGAAGCGGTGTGTTCGTAGTGGTAAAGTGTGAGAGATGCACAAGTAAGTTGTGAGTGAGAATTGGTAGGTTTTGCCGGAGTAAATATGGCCCTCTCGATGAGGTATCCTCGAACTGCCTTCTTGTTGCGAGCGGGACTGACGCCCTTGACCGTAGAGCAATGTATGCTGTTTGAGTGAGATAGAAGATGGTTGCGCGACTTGTCTCGGTTTGCGACCTTCACAAAATTCCTCGCCAGTATCTCACGCGATCTCAGACCAATCGGCCGAGATGCAGGTGGTAGCAGCTGAACATATCTAGCATGGTCCAGCTTTCCATCTATCATTTTGACTGGGTGGCTCCGAAATCAAGCTTCTTCGCGACGCCCTTGAACTTGTTCTCGTCAACGACAAATCCCGGGGCCGCCACTTCCGCAGCAGCCATCTTGGAATCACCGCCGCCTTGCTTCGGGAGATTCTCCTTGCTGGTAGGTCTGGGATCGATCCTCCACCATTCATGCTCCAGGGCTCCTCTTGCCGTCACTCTCTTTCGTGGATCAAGTTTCAGCATCGCCATGAGCAGATCGACGCCAATAGACCCTGCTGTTGGAAACATTTGCATGTAGAACGGCTTTTCGCGGACTGGAATCTTCTTGTCAAGCTCGAAATAGTCCCTCAGCTTGGAGACTCCTGGCCAATTCTCTTCGTTCGGTGTCCCGACCGCTTCGCATATTTTGTCGAGTTGTGCGACCGTTCCCCCACCTGTTGCTAGCACTTCTTGGTTTGCCACATCTGCTGCTGCATACGGCCTCCGAATGAGTAGTTCGGCAAAGACCATCCCAATACTCCAGATATCGACTGCACCACTGTATTGTCTCGCGCCAAACAGCAATTCTGGAGGACGATACCAGAGCGTGATCACTGCGGACGTCATCTGATACCTCGGGTCACCAAACGATCGTGCCAGGCCAAAATCTGCCAGTTTCACCTCTCCGTCCGCGGCAATAAGCAAGTTATTTGGTTTGATATCTCGATGCAAGATGAAGTTGGAGTGGCAATAGTATATCGCGCGACACAGCATGCCCATCCACGCCTTGACATCGGCTGCGCCGTAACTCACTGTCTTGTCACGGATGAGTTCTTCTAGATTGCCATTAGGGAAGTACTCGATGACCATGTTGATGTTTTGGTCTTTGGAGGAAAATACGTCTAACAAGGCAACGATGCTTGGATGTGAGATTTCCTGGAGGTATTTGATCTCGCGTATCGTATCCACATTGAGCCCTTCCCTCTGCTGCGAAGGGTCAACTTTGAACTTTTTGATGGCCACAAGTCTGGTCGGATCTGATCTCAAATGTCCTTTATAGACAATAGCGTAAGTTCCCTCGCCCAGCTTTTTCCCTACGGAGCTGGTCAGCAGACTCGGGGAAGGCCTGGAAAGCCAATGAGGTAAACGGACCTTTGACATACTTGTTGCTGATATCTTCATTCATTTGTTCAGCCATGTCGAAATCCGGAGGCGGTCTCTGGGCCAGTGGGCCCGGTGCTGAAGATTGAGGTTTGGATATTGATTTCCTCATGGCAAGCGACTTAGCTCTTGATGGTGACAAGTTTGCATTTATGTTTGAAGGTGACCTCGGCATCAGAGGCGACGGCGCGTTTGTTGAGGGCGCCATGTTGTGATTCAGCGACCGTTGAAAGTGAAGGAAAGATGCTTTGAGTGTTCAAGGCGGGGGAAGGTGCTTAACCAAGATGAAACACTTCTTGATATCGGGTTATCTCACGATTCTAGCCGCGGCAACAGTGGGACAGAGGCCGCGACACAATGGCAAATTGCAAAGAGAGCAACGCCTTATATGCGCAATCTATCCATTTGGCCTGAACCGTGTCGAAAGCAAGAAGGATGTCGTTGAAAGCCGCCACGAAGAACTTCAACAATGAGGCTCTAAATGCTTGGCACGTGGCCCTCACGTGGATCTCCCGCCGCTTCAAAAAGAACCATGTATGCCGTCTGTCGTCGACAACCTGGACTCATCTTTCTTGTAGCCAGCTCATGGCCTTCATGGCCTTCATCGGCGTCAATCTGTCCTTGTTCTCTAACAGTGAGAGATGGAACCGCTAAGAACTCGGCCTCACGAACAAAGACGGTCTTGTGACGACGTACGAACACATCAAGTCATGCGTTGCGAGCAATTGTATGAACATTCTCTACTCCAGACCTGCGGCATCATGATACAGATTCACATGCTTCTCTTGCAGGCTGTCATTGAGTGTGAAGCGCAGAGCACTGCGAAGTCCACGAGCACTGACCATCGAAGACGGAACACGTCTAACAGACCTCAACGCGTCGTTCAAGTTGTCCGCGGTCGAAAGGTCCACCGATGTCATCAAATCCTCAGAGCTGTGACTGCCAGCCTGCATGGTCCCGAATCGTATCACTGTTTGTCATGCCGAGCTAGAGAACTCTTTTGGACCCGCGTTCCCATCACGAGGGTCTGAGATCGGATAGATCTTTGAGGGCATCATCTTTCGCCGCGATGACCCTCAGATCTCTCCTTAATTCGTTCGGTCCTCACCGTCCTAGTCGTGTTTTCCCTCCTTCCTTGCCGGCAAATGTGCTTCTGCTGAAGCTCTATCTGAAACTATATCAAAGTATTCTTTCACGAGACGAGGGTGACATATAAACAGGGCTAACGAGATTGTAGCAGACTGGAACCAGTCCGAAAACGGCTGAAGCTATCCCGAATACCCCTGTCACGGTCAAAGTTTAAGGACAGGTCTTGGGTGAGATGAGGAGGAGTAAGTTAGATCTCCGAACTGAAAACATCTTGTCAAACTGCTACAATCCGTGTGTCACTGCTTGCATTTTCAGCCGCATTGCGTGGCCCTCCGTGGGTCCCGCCTGCCGGTGGTTAAGCAGACGTCCGAGGTTATCTAAGGCTCAAGCAGCCAGTCGTCCTGCATGTGATGGTAGCACATTTGATGCAGCTCGACGTTCTAGATGGGAGAAAGCTCACGCCCCATTGATGGCCACAGGATGGCTTTCAGCACGAACACTTTCTTTACCAAAACAATACCGGTGTCTGTTGGGTTCCAGCTCACCTTCCTCCTTGGTTCCTTCAGCTCGCTTTCCATTCATGCGACGATGCAAAAGAGCCCAAAGAGCGTTTTGTTGTCGAAGGGAAGAACCATTCCGACCTCTACGACAGCTTTGAAATGTCTGGACCAAAGCTGATCGAGTTTTCTGAAGAATACCTCTTAACAGGCGGCACTATTAGGCACCTAGGTAGTTCCTGGTCGAAATGTACTTCCCAAAACGGCTTTTTTGTTTCTTTTGATCGCATTATTTTGTACATGCTGATTGAATGTATGTCCGCTCCTTGTTTATCAGGCTGGTGTTCGCGTCCCGTGTCTCTTGAAATTGCAATGCCTCATCTTCGACTCCAATGTTTTGTACGGGGCACGGAATATGGCGATCACAGGGCGGCGCGACCATCCTTCCTAATCAGGCAAGGTCCACCCTCCAGCAACTTTTCCTCGCGCTTGGCACCGAACTCAATTATGCGGCTCGCAGACATCGCGTCCCAATCAGCCCCAACCGTCTAATAATTCTTGTCCTTCATCACCAGCAACCACGAAGCTCTGAGCCCCATTGAGCGTTGTCCGAATTTTCAACCTTCATGTACAGGGGCCAGAACAGGCAGAACTTTGTGCAGTAACGGCGGCAGCAATGATCACGCGACCGCCGCAAGCAGCGGTCTCGCTGCTTGCTTCTCTCCTCCGACCCTCGGCAGCAGCATCGAAATCCATAATCCCGCAATCCTACGTCTGCCCTCCATGCCGACGACAGCTGCACCGCGGTCTTCCCGGCGACGGCTACATCCCTGCCCCGACGCCCTTTGTCCCCGACGTGCCCACCTTCCTCAAGCTCATCGGGCGTGAACTCTCGAAACATGCCGGCAAGATCGAGTCCTGGGAGGAACTCTTCACCTTGACGTCGAATCAGTTGAAAACACGAGGCATCGAACCGCCCCGGACACGGAGATACCTGTTACGTTGGCGAGAGAAGTTCCGGAAAGGGGAGTTCGGGATCGGAGGCGACTTTCGGTATGTCAAGGATGGCGTTGCTGAGCTACGAGTCGTCGAAGTGCCCAGTCTGAAAAAGGATCCCGCAACAGGAGATCCTCTCTCAGGTCCAGTCACCATCGGAAGGAGTCCCGGGATGCAGAAGTTGATCGTCAACGTGCCCAATGGGTCTGCCACGTATCAGTTGCTCCCTGGGCAGACGACCGCAGACTTGAAGAAACCGTATGGATTTACGTTGAAAAATGGTTATATTATCAAGGGCAAGCAGGCACATCCCATTGCAGGGACGCATGGAAGTGGCGTCACAGTCAAGGCCGTTGAAGGGTTGTGGGAGCATAAGCGAGGGAGGAAGGTGTATGGTGGTGAGAGGAGACGGGCGGAGACGTTACATAAGATGAGAGTGGAGGAGAACAAAAAGAATGCGAGATAGACAAGAAATGTTGTGGATTCATGGTATGTCTGAAAGGAGCATTTTCGAGGCCTGCCACACCCCGGCGCCGTGTGTACGATAACCATCGGTTGTATCATATGTTGCTGGTTTGGATAGTTGAGAGTGCTCTGGCCTTTGTCTGTCGACTCTGAGTGGGCTTGATGTGCCTTGTCCAGAAACGAAGCTTGATGTCATCGCGCAAAATTGGAGGCTCTGAGACTGGTGTGATGCAGAAGGCCGCCATGTTCTGAAAATCCAAGTTGTACAGTTGAGTCGCAACGGGTGTAGCAAAAGCACGCTTGGAGCGAGAGGCGAACCTATTTCTTAAAGTGAACGTAACAATGACCACTTGTGCGACAACTGATCACCCTCCTTAGATCTGGAGATGCGAATACCGTTGATAGGTGCGATCGCGATGTCATGCGAACCCAATACCTTTATCTCTTTTTATTGGATGTCTGAAAGTCCTTGCAGCCATGCGTTTTCCTCCGCACAGCAGGCGAGAACTCCCGAAGACATCATACCCAGAGCATGGATGTCAAGCTTATGAGCCGAGAGATCCAGAAAGGGTAAAATCTCGGGAGTTTCGGCTTTGTCTCAGTCAAGTCAGAGATCTCCATATCAATGTGTTCTAAGGACCATGTCTGGCCAACGTACCCCGTAAGTACTAGCAGGTATGTACTTGTAGGCATCCTCTCTCTGCTGTGGTGAGGGTGATCAACCAACTGGGCGCACATGGTGGCCATTGCGCTCGGATGGCCAAAGCTTTGGACAGAAAATTCAGCCACTATCACGCTAGCTGGCCCCAAGGAAGTAAAATCTCCGACGGCTTCCACGGCTGCACGTCCTGAGTCGCCTTCAAAACACTCGTTCATCTCCTTGACTGTGTCGGAAGACTGTCGCCGATAAACAGGAAAGAATAGGGGAAGCAGACGACCTGAGTATTTCCATTGCTCGCATTTGAGGGGATTGAGCAAGGGAGTGAAGGCTAAGAAGAGATCAGCATGTTTGATACACAGCTAAAAAATCCGGTTCCATTTGGGCGGGTTCATGGGACAGGATCAGGGAGATCATTTTGCTGATCGTTGCCACATTTCTACTCTTCGTCGGTGGACCTGGAGAGAGCATTCTGCAGGTACATAGGTAGACCCGGCATGTCTCCAGATCACCCTGAGCCTGCACGGAGTATGTGAACCTGAACGTCAACTGCCGGCGTTGCGTGGAGTTGGGTCGTTGATAGAAGTGACTGGCTTGTTTACAGTGCGTAATTAGGTAAGTTGGAGATAGCGTGGACATAATTCTAGTTGCAATTGAAAGGAGGTTTGGGCCTCCCTGTTTTCCTATCACATGGAATGCCAGGAGCTGACGTTTACTCCAAAGAGAAGGACACCATCCTAAGAAGTGAACCTTTGGGCAAAACGGGTTGGCTGCACGTTGCAGAGGGATCGGCTCGCCCAGAATAATGCGCATGCCCCTCAATGCTGTCTCAAGGACCGAGATGAGGATGTTCTCGGTTGAAGGGTGCACGAGAGACGACTCGACGACGATAACCTTCGTTGCTGGAGTTGACCACGCCCAACTTTGCCAAGCGAATTGATCCAGGGGTAAACGGCCGGGGAAGCATTTAAAAGAAGCCACCGTCGAGATTGGCGTTGACAAGGGTGGGGATTTCCCCTTAGTGCCGTGATGCTTGTCAAATTTCTCTGCTATCTCTGCCTTGGGAAACCCATCATGTCATATCACCTAACTCTTATCAGACCGTGAAGTTTTGCTTTGTACCTCGTAGAGGAGTTGTCACCTTTGGAAAGTTTCAGACTTGAGGGAAGTGACGATTGTCTGGGTGGCAGCCAGAAGAGAATTTGGGGAATGGCGAATCCTTCGTGTTCCCCCCCCCCAGGACGTATTATGCGTGGCGTCTATTCGGCTAACCTAGAGGTTGCTAAGGCAGCAAGTTCAGGAGGGTACGAGGTACGCGAGCCCGTGGAAGACGAGGAGAAATTCGAGTGCAGAGGCGCGCAGGACGCACTATTGACGATTGTGTCAGCGTGGCCATTGCAGGTGTTGCAACTTGACAGTTGGACCAAGTCCGTATTAACAGCCAGAACATCCTGTGGCCTGAGCAATGCTTGTGATGATCACAAAAGTCGCAGATGAATTCGAGTGATAAAACAAGCCAGAGGCCAATAGAACAACAGAAATGAGAATAATGCTGACCCTTGAAAGAAAGTGCTTGCAGAGGAGGGCCAGTGGTGGCCAGCTTCTGCGACGAGACCACCTTGGAGCACTCTCCCCAGTGGGTGGCACGGAAGGTGAAGAGAATGGCTCGTGCCCAATGGAACAGGTAGGGGAAGGTGCAATTTGACAGGCTCGTTGGGCCGGGCTGGGAGGCTTGTTACCGCAGCCCCAGTGCCAGCGCCCCATGCCCGGTGAGTGAAGAGCCCCCCCTCCACTAGGCACCTAGTGGAAAGGACTGTGCGGGCTTATTGGAGAGGGGCATCCGAAGTATGGGTCCTTTTTTTAGCGGCAGTTTAGCCTAGTAGCCGCAAAAGGTGCCCTGCAAGGTCCTGTTCCTGTGCCCAACAGTGCCCAGCCGGCATCAACCAGCAGCTAGACCTGCACCTTTCCAACACGCTTGAACCTTTCCATCCTAGCCAGATCATCCTGTTTGAGTACACCGATGCAGGTTTGAGCAGCTTTTGCCAGGACGAAAAACCTTAGCATCGACGCCGGCACGGCCCTCGCTGAAGGGACACCCTCCTCCTTGCTCTCTTAGTGGTTTGAAGGAGCAACCAACAGCCCCCCCAAAGGACATTCCTCTTGCGCCTTGTCCGTCGTCGCCCGTCTCTCTGTCAATTTGGTCAACATCACACACCTTGTTGACCACCATCTGCGGCCACTGTACCCAATTGCATCCCAGAGGTCCTCCAAGACGTGCCGTGTTCATGCCACATGCACATCAACGAGGTCGCATGCTCGGCAGAAATCACTGATCGACCCTCCACATTGTTGTGTTGTCCCATGCGGACAGCTCTTCCACCTCAATTTTTCCTTGCTCAAAAGCTGCGACACCCTCCGTTTCACCGCCCCAGAAACCAGAGAACAGTACAGTATACGGGCACCTGTTTTCTTGGATATCCAGAAGAACGCGCAGAATCGAGGGAATATCAGCATTGATTGGGTTTGTGCTCGACGGGTCGCGGACAAGTACCATCACACAGAGTACACGTCCACCAACTGTTTCGTTTGGCGACCGAGAAGAGACATCGCAGCAGACCAGAAAAACCCCGCATGAGTTGGCTATAGCTGTCTAAAGTATACCAATCGTCCCACTCTTCCGTACTGGTAGACATGTCTCTACCCGTTCTCTCACGGCCTCTAGCCGACCCGCCGACGGGTGCGCTCCCTCCAATTCCTACAAGCAAACCTCCCAGAAAGAGCCTACCCCAGACTCCGTCAAGATTGAAAGCTCCGTCAAGGCCTTCAGCACTCCCAACACCACAGCCTGTTCAATCGGCTCCTGATCTCTCACTCGAAAAACCCTCTGGTATACCTTCCAGCAAAGGTGTGCGGAAAACTGTCAGCATAGGCTCATTTCCACAGCCACCCAATGCCAGTTCGCGCCCGCCAACCTCGGCCTCAATGACCTCCACCTCATCCACGAAGAAGCGGACTTCAGATGGAGGACACAGCGCGCAGAACGCCTCCATCAGATCCAAGAAGTCTCCCAGAACCAGCGTCGCCGCAAGTTTTCGCTCGTCTCAAACCCCGAGTTTACTCAATTCCGCCGGTGACGGGATGACCATCTCTGCCAAGTTTGGAAAGAGAATATCGGATGCACAATCGAGCATCCATTCCCCTCCACAAAGTCGGAGCTCTTCGGCTAATGGATCTTACTCGACTAGCGCGACCACGTTCGAAGAAGGCGAGGAGGACAATCGAGGTCGAACGAAAGAATTGGACGAAGGTATGGCTGACTCGAAACGGAATTCTAAGGGGAAAGAAGTCAAAGGCAACGTGATTGTCAGTGTTCGTGTCCGCCCCGACGCTGGTGCCCCAAGCAATGCCCAATCTGAAGGAGAATGGATGGTGGATGGCCGAAGAGCCCTGGTGGCATACCGGGGAAAAGAGGGCGGGGATTATCACCTTGACAATGTGTTCACTACGCACGATGACAATGCCAAAGTTTATGATGCTGCTGCCAAACGACTGGTACGTCGTGTCATGGAAGGCTACCATGGAACTGTGTTTGCATACGGCATGACAGGAACCGGAAAGACCTTTTCGATGCAAGGAACTATGAGCAGCCCTGGAGTGATCCCCCTGGCAATCACAGATATCTTCTCCTACATCAGAGAGACTCCACACCGCGAATTTCTCTTGCGAGTTAGTTACCTCGAGATCTACAACGAGAAGATCCACGACTTGTTGGCTGTGCCCGTTGGTGCGGGCGTCGGACAGCAACAAGAGGAAATCAAGCTACGTGAGGATAGCAAAAGAGGTGTCTATGCCACGCCTTTGAAAGAAGAGATTGTGCAGAGTCCAACGCAGCTGTTGCGAGTGATTCACCGAGGAGACACAGCTCGTCGGACTGGGAGCACCCAATTCAATGCACGAAGTTCTCGAAGCCACGCCGTGGTTCAGATTGTGGTCGAGAGCCGAGAACGAATACCGGGATCTGGCTCCTTGCAGGAAAATGGAAAACGGGTGGCAATGCTGCCGGGCGGCGTGCGGGTATCTACGCTGAGCTTGATTGATTTAGCAGGGTCAGAACGTGCGGCAGAGGACAAGGAACGTCGTGCGGAGGGCGCCCACATCAACAAGTCTCTCTTGACCTTGGGAACAGTCATCGCCAAGTTATCGGGCAACCGTGATAAGAACGGTAATCCAATGGACAAAGACGGAAAGCACCTGCCATATCGAGACAGCAAACTCACACGGTTGCTCCAACCCGCACTCTCTGGAAACTCGTTGGTCTCGATCCTCTGTACCATCCAGATTGGAGCCGGGTTAACAACCGCGGGCAACAACCACACAGGTGAAACCCTCAACACCCTGAAGTTTGCTGCTCGTGCAAAGAATAATATCGTCAGCCATGCCAAAAGAGCCGCGGAAGAAATGGGCAGCGTTAATGCAGGCCTGCTGGAACGATATAGGGCTGAGATTGCGAGTCTCCGGTCTCAACTGGAAGGGCAACAAAAGTCTGCCGTGGAAAAGGAAGAGCGACAGCTGGAGAAAGAAGCCGAGCAACGCCATGAGGAACAAATGCTAGAGATGCAGCTGGCCCGAACAGCCCTCAAGGAGCGCATCGAGCATCTGAACCGTTTGATCCTGTGTTCCAAGTCGACCGGCGTTAACAGCGGAACCGTGTCGGCCTTGGGTATGCATTCGCGACTCTCTGGTGGAACTGAATATGCGGGCTCAAGGTCTGTTCGATCATCTGCCAGTCAGTCGACTCTCGGCGTGGCGCCGAGCTTGGGGCGACATCCATCGGTCGCCTCCCTTGGAGGGGTGGCGTCGGCTTCCGGGCATCTTTCATTTTCGGGGATCCCAGATGAGGATGAAGAGGGTAGCGGCGATCTCGGCGACGGGAGGGCGCCTTTGCAGGCCCAGGTGCGCGCTCTGCAGGCCGATTTGCAAGACAAGACACGGTACATCTCGACGCTGGAGAAAAGACTGCTGCAAGCTCGGCGCTCCAGTCACTCTCGAGTGTCGATGGCGTTCAACAAACCCGCGGGCGACGACAGTGAAATGCAAAGACGACTGGACGAGAAAGATGCGATGATTGCGGACCTGCAGAAGACGGTTGCGGCGCTTCGATCCGCAGTGCGCAAGCGAGAGATTGCCGAGTTGACGCCCGACACGTCATCCTCGGAATTCAAGCAGAACCGCGCACAAACCGGACACCAGAGCAACAGTAGCAACAGCAGCTCTCAATTGAGCGTTTCGACGCAACAAGTGCTATCTGGTGGACCCCGGTCGCCCCTGACGACGAGCCCGATGGCGATTCTTTCCCCGCAAAAGGCGATGGAGAAGAAGCGCAAGACGGTAGACGAAATGTCGAGGATGCTCGACGAGATGATTCAGGACAAGGTCGAGAGCGGACAGCTGAACCGGCTGTCTTCATCGGTGCGGGTGCCTTCGCGAGGATCGTCAGCAACGCGGCGACACTCACGGCGACTCTCGATGACAGGAAGCAATGGTGCAGCGCCGACAGGACCTGCCATGGGAAGCATGATAGCTTCCCTGAGAGAGCGGGACTCGATGATTGAAGCGAAGGATTCAAGTTGAAACCAAGTTTGTTTTTATTATCACGATTGACGACACGACCGCTATATTTTCTTTTCCCCGGAATTTTGTTTGAAAGATATCGGCGGCAAGCATGAATGGCGTTGAGACCGCCCAACGGGACGAGATCCACGGAGTATGATCGATTTTAATATGGGCGACGCGGCTGTTTGACTACCTATTCCTGGGCTGGGCTGGGACTGGGCTTGTTTTGAGCACTTGACATTTCTTTGGAGCTTCGACAGCAATTCTGTTCCTTGACCAGGACGTTGTGGAATTTACTATGTTTATCAAAGATTAAGGGGAAGAAGGATTTCCTCGAGGGAAGCGATTCCAGGCCAAAAAGATGCATGCATCCTGCAGAACAGACAGATACAGATACCCCCTTCATAGAGGTTGTTATAAGTAGCAATTTCTTTTCCATACTGATAGGCAAGAGGCGACGAGGCTGGCGACGCCGGGGACCCCTTTTTTCAATATTTCTCTATGTACCTCGTCCTGTACCGAGTATGGAGTCCTCGTATGTATACTCGGTATGCAAGAATGAATCCCACATCCACGACACGTTCATTTCCTGTGATCTGCTCGGTACTCGGCACTCTCTGTCGATCTCGTTATGCGCTTTGTGTCACCGTCACTGAGCGGCAGGGGCCGAGAAAAATGAGCAAAAGCTGTCGGGTGTTTCAGATTGCGCACCAACGACCAGCCAGCGTCAAGCCTTGGGATCCTGGTATAATGGTACGTACCGGGGACTGCTGTCTTGCTCTTTCGTTTTTCCTTCTGTCCTCCTTTCCTCGTTGATGCTTTGTGGTTTTGTTTTCATATCCGCACAACCCGCAGGGAGGGACAGCGGCTGATTTTGATTGAATTGGGGCCAGCTACAAGGAAACCACTCTTTGTATCTCATCTTTTCCCCCTTGGAGTGCTGCTTGTTGGTCGTTGGTTGCATCGACTCATTCCTGCCTGGCCCAGGGCCCTCTGTTTTTTTTTTCCCCCTTCCCTTTTACTCTCTTCTCACGAGTTACGAGTCGCACACAAAAACACAAACAAGCTGCTGTGCATCTTGGAAGGGATCAACGCTGTCGTCTTTTTATCATCATCATCTTTATATTCTTTTTATTTTTATTTTTATGCTTTATCCACTTGTCTCTTTGTTTCGCTCTTTCTCAAGTCACGACGCTCCCCTTCGTTTTTGACCTTGTCAGCGGCAATACCTGGTACCTGGGTCCCTTTCATTCGACACCCCCGAGCACTTGCATTGCATTGCATATCTTGTCGCTTCTATAGACGGCATTGCATAGGACCTGCACCAGCATAGCGTTGGATCTTTGGTCACCGCATGGCATTGGAGTTCCCTTCTGCCTCCTCCGTCTCTCAGCACTCGCTTTTGGCCTGCATCAATGCTTGAATGAGGGACCCATCACCGTCAGCCAAACTAAGCCATGCCGAACAGCAACACAAAAAGAAGATGCTTCTGTCCAGTCGCGCCAGTCCGCCGAAACCACTGAGGTTCGGGGCTTCAGCTTCAACTTCAGCTTCAGACCGCTATCTCTCCATCCGACAGTTCCTCCCATCCACCCCGATTCCGTCGCCGTCTCTCCCGTCCATCCTCCCTCGCCATGGCAAGAAACCGCCAAAGCTCAACTCACGGAAGATCGTCCGTGGTCTGTTCTGGCTCTCGTGCATCATAGCCATCTACTATCTCGTCTCCTTCGGCCGGACGAAATCCCACAAGCTCGCCGAGCTGACCTTTCTGACTTCGCTGGGCAAGGTCTACGAAATTGTCGAGGCCGCTGAGCTCCCCGACCATCCAACCCCGCTGGCTTTGACGGATGCAAAGGGGAAACATCACTGGACGATATCCATCCCCCATGAGCTGCCTTTCCCGCTTCCCTACACCGATTATGCCGACATCTGCTCCCAAGTCGACGAGGTAGCCCGCCACGTTGCTGGCCCTCGCGATAAATCCCACCAAAGCGTCTACTACCACGATGATCCCAACTTCATCGACGTCCAAGAGGCACAGTCTCAGCACTTCCTCCCCCCTGAACCCTATTCACCATCTCACGAGAAGGAACACAATCTGCCCGTCTGCGAGAAATCCCTGACGTACGTCCTCGATGCCGCCGATGCAGGCCTCGGCTCTACCCTCCTCGGCCTGTGGCTGTCCTACAGCCTGGCCCGTCGTGAAGATCGCGCCCTTTTCATCGACGACACCCATTTCCCCTACGGCCAATACAGCACCTTCTTCGCCTCAAAGCCCTCTCCATCTTGCCGCTTACCTGGCCCTTCACACCGCGTACCATGCCCGCATCAAGCTAGACACCTCGTCGTGTCTGCCGCCACAACCAGTTGGATTTTTGGAGAGTCTTTCCACAATCATTTCTCTCAGAGGGAGATCTTCGACATGGCCAGGGAAGGGTACGAGGCGCTCTTTAAACTCCGACCCCAGGACGAGCAGTATGTGCTTAGTCGCGTGGAAAAACTCCGCAAGGACGTCGATACCAGCATCGCTACCTCTTCCATCCCACAAGACAAAGACTTCGACGACGACGACGACTATTGGAATGACGTGCCGCCAGAGAATGGTTTGGTAGGGATCCACATCCGGCGCGGCGACCGGCACCCTTTCAGCCTGACATACTCGCAAAACTACATCCCCCCGGAGATATACATGGCCACCGCCTTGAAACTGGTGGGCCAATCTTCCCAGTGGAAATTCCTCGTCGCGTCAGACGACGCGGACATGTACGACCACATCGACCTGCCTAACACGTTGCGCGCACAGGAACGCATCTCGCTCGCGTCGAAGAAGAAGCTGGCGAGCATGGGCCAAGGCGGCGGACTGGGTTGGGAAGGCGGCTTCTTCAAGGATGTCTTCTGGGGCTTGGGTTTGCCGCAGGACGTGAAGGAACGGAAGAAATGGGGCAGCCCGATGCCCATGAAAGCCAAGCACAGGTTTGGGGAGAAAGACGACGACGGCAGGGAGAAGCGAGTCCATCATCATGACGCAAAGCATTCGAGCGGGACACGAGCAGACGGGGATGATGATGATGTTGTTGTTCTTGACGACGTGGCCGACCTGGAGCGCGATTATCGAACCCACCCGACCAAGGAGGCCCTCCAGCTGAGAGAACTCCTCGGCCGAGCGTACCTGTTGGACTTGGCCATGTTGGCGCAGAGTGATAAGGTGATTTGTGGCGTCTCGGCCAATGCATGTCGGATCCTGGCGGTGATGCTAGGGTGGGAGAGAAGCTTCGAGAAGAAAGATTGGAATAATGTGGATGGAGGTTATCGCTGGAGGGCTCTGGATTATTGAATCTGGGTGTCCCGGAAGAATGTAATTGTTATTCATCATGCAATCCATGACCTGGGGCTGGTCGCAGCGATTGATCTGATCTATCCGATGTTGGCATGGCGAAAACCAATAGAATGGACGACGAGGGCAACGCAAAGCTCTCCAAAAAAAAAAATGCAAGGGTATTCCCTCCACCTTTCCGGTGACCAGTCATGTCTGAGACTCGCCAATTCCCGGGCCTTCAATCCGTGAAACTATTGCTCACTCCAGCACGGAGCACAGATCTGCAAGCTTCCAGATTCCTGTGTCCCTGTACATTTTGCCGCCCTCAAGTCTATGGCATACCATCCCAAACTGTCGAGTCTGAGGAAACAGCAAGACACTGCACACAGCACCCGAAGCCCTCATGCCATCTCCTTCCGCTGTATTCCCATCTTGCCCCCCAAACATAGGGACACCAGGGCGATCGTCGCCTGGCTGCGCGGCTGCGGACGCTGCAAGGTATAGTGTAGAAGACATTGGCGTATATTGGTGTGGAACAGGAGGGACAGCAGTCCACTACGTAGTAGTAGTGACACATGATGGCATGCTGTAGGGTGGTTAATGTATGGATTGAGGACGAGAGCGAATCTGGCTTCCGTTCGGGGGCTGATGCGTGTCAGCAGCTGTATCCAGGGAGCGAAGACGTGGATCGGATCAGCCTGTTGACGGAGGCAGAAGCAGACTTGCACATGGTCAGAACCTGGAGCACGATCCGGAGAATGGGGAAAAGAAGTACCTACCGACCCCTTTCGGAGCGCCCAAGGGCTATCTTTGCCGATCTCGGCACAAGCGGAGTAAATAAGAAGACTTTCATGAAGCCATGTTATGCCGTGCTCCGGTAATAGGGTCATGTGGGACGGAAATGGACGAGTTCCATCTCAAGAAGGATGACGAGGAGACCGGCGCAGCGGGCGGCCTAGCGCGGGCCAGTTCGTTGGGCGGCGCCTTCTGTGCGCACTACACGTCCCACATCGACGGTCGTCATGAGCAGGTCTGGCTCCAGGCCGAGTAGCGACTTTCCAGTGGAAGGAGAGAAGGCAGTTGCCAGTTCGCTCGTAGCGCAAGCAGCGACGACTCTGGACGATGGTGTCGTGATAGCAGGAGCAGAGATTGCATTTCTCGTAGATGTATTGGTAGTAGCACATGATGATGAATGCAAAGGAGGGGGGAGGGGGGAGGGGGGGTAAGTGAGCGGCGACGTTGACGGCTTGATGAAGGAGTGTGAACGGAGTTAGTCGAGGAAGACCGTGATTCAAGAGCCAAAACAACGCCTTCCTCGGGGCGACGTTACTGACTGGGCGCTCTAAGCCGGTGGTTGATCGATGGGGACGGAGATGGAAGGTACAATACGAGCGAGCAGGTATTGAGGAAAGCAATATCAAGCAAGGTGCAAGATCCGAGATGCAGAGCTCCCCGCCGCGCCGCCCAGCCGCCAAGCCGCCCAGCCGCCAAGAAGTACCCAGTAGGCTATTTGATTGGCTCGCTGCGCCGTCGACGAATGCCTCGGTTCTTCTGCTCGCCTCGTCACCAAACCATCTACTTGTTACTGTACTGGGTACTTGGTACCATTCACCCAAACTCCAAATCTTCCGCCGCTTCGCTTACAATCTCCGCATCGACTCGGACCAAGTGCCAGTTCTGGTCATATACGAGGTATTGGACACCCGCCCTGGAATCTATGGAATCAATGGCGCAAAGACCTTGTTGTCCTTCTTCCACCTCCCATTAACCCCTCTACCCGTCCTCTGTCTTGCGGCCATGGCTCTTGCTTGTAAGTGTACCCCTACCTGCTGTCGACATGAAACCAGGAAAGTCCATTGAACTCTGACCCATCTAATTCAATCTCACAGTGCCGTCCTCCACCGCAGCTCTCGCCGTGCCGACTGCTTTGGCCGGGTTGGCTTACCTCAATGCCCGCTGGCGAGTCTCGGTCGACTTGGAACTCATCCTCAGTTTGAGTGCATCCCAAAGAGCCTTTGCGAAACGAGAGAAAGCAGATCGCGCGAGCTCCTTCTACCTCATTGAAGAGCATGCCCACAATCCACAGGTCGCAGACAAGATCTTCATCATCTACCAGGGCAGAAAATGGACATTCAAACAGACTTACGATATGGTCCTCCGCTATGCGGGATATCTACATACCACTCATTCCGTCCTGCCAGGCGAGATTGTCGCCATCGACTTCATGAATTCCCCTCAATTTCTCTTTCTAGCCATGGCTTTATGGTCCTTGGGCGCCCTGCCGGCATTTATCAACTACAATCTCACTTCCGCCTCGTTTATCCATAGCGTCAAAACATGCTCTGCGAGACTCTTGCTCGTTGATCCCGAAATCGAGGCCAAAGTTCTGACCGAGGAGACCAAGAACATCTTCTCAGCCCCCAATTTCCGCAACAATGCCTTACCTCTGGAGGTGGCAGTTTTGACTCCCGGTCTACAATCGTCCCTGGAATACTTTCCTCCCTATCGTGCACCCGATTCCGCCCGATCTGGTGTGGTCGGCCGCGGTCCGTGTGTCCTGATATCAACCTCAGGGACCACAGGCCTTCCGAAGGCCGCAATCGTGCCTTGGGACCGCACTGTTGTAGGCTCCGGGCTTATTGCTCGATGGATAGGTCTTCGTCCTGTCACATCATCCAACCCAGACAGGTATTACACTTCGATGCCGCTCTATCACGCTTCCGCTTTCCAATTGGGCTTCCACTGCTGTCTTGTTCGAGCTTGTACCTTGGTCCTCGGCCACAAATTCTCCGTCTCAAGTTTCTGGGACGAAGTCATTTCGGCTGACGCCACGGCCATCCAATATGTCGGCGAGACTCTACGCTACCTACTCGCCGTACCGCCTCAGCCGAACGATCGCACAAAACACAAGGTGCGGCTCGCATTCGGTAACGGCCTTCGGCCAGATGTTTGGGACAAATTCCGCGCGCGGTTTGGGATCGAGACGGTGGCCGAGTTCTATGGTGCGACGGAATCCGCTGGCGCGAGCTTCAATCTTTCACGTAACGCTTTCTCCTCTGGCGCGATCGGCCAAGCCGGTCTCCTGGGTAATTTACTTATGAAGTTGGGGCAAACTATCGTGAAAGTGGACTGGGAAACAGAATCACCTTACCGAGACCCCAAAACAGACTTTTGCGTCCCCGTACCTCGAGGCGAACCAGGCGAACTACTCTACAAGGTCGACGCTGCTGACATTGGCGCAAAGTACCAAGGATACTTTGGTAACAAGAAGGCGAGTGACTCTAAGATTTTGAGAGATGTCCTGAAGAAGGGCGACGCTTGGTTCCGCTCTGGAGACGTCATCAAGCTCGACAAAGAGGGACGCACCTGGTTCATGGACCGAATAGGTGACACCTTCCGCTGGCGAAGCGAGAACGTCTCAACCGCCGAAGTCGCTCAGGTCCTAGGTCAACATCCAGCCGTTCTTGAATCGAATGTCTATGGGGTCGCAATACCCCACCATGAAGGTCGCGCAGGTTGTGCAGCTGTCTTACTGAAGGATGTCAGCACCAACACGACGCCTATCCCAGAGTCTCTACTGGAAAGTCTAGCCACCTATGCGAGGAACAGTTTGCCCAGATATGCGGTGCCCGTGTTTCTCCGCGTAGTGACGCAAGTCATGGCCACGGGCAACAACAAACAGCAAAAACATGTCCTCAGACAGGAAGGAGTAGATCCAGAAAAAGTTGCGGAAGACAGGTTGTTCTACTTGAGGCCAAATAGCCAGACATATGAGCCTTTTGGAAAGAAAGAGTGGGAGATTGTGAAGAATGGAAAGATAAAATTGTAGAGCGATAGAGAGTACACGAGCAAGAATGAGAGAGCACAGACAGCATAGGAGGAGAAACGACGGACATCTCAGTGGAAATGGTTGATGAGTTGCACTGGGTTGAGCGACGGCCGAGATCAAGCTGAACATTGATCCGTTGGCTGGTCAATGGGAAGCTGCAAAGGCCATGCATGTATAGAAATGATGATACCCCAGATTTAGTGAGTTGAATAAGAGATGTTCCGATCTCATGGCCACTTTCCGTACACTAATTAAGCTGAGCAATCAAGCACCGACCAGGGGATCGGTCAGAGTGCATCGTCCGTCGTTTCGTTACCATTACAGCACCAAATTGGAGGACGAGGACAAGGAGCAAGATTACCATCAACAGGCGCCAACGGACATTGCATTGCATAGCGACATGGCATGATATGAAAACGTTTCAAATCTGTGCACGTAGGCAGAAAACATCAAACATGGTGCGTTGCGCTGCGTTGTGTCGTGCTGCGCTGAGCGGCGCGACGCGTGTATATCGATCGTATCCTTAACATTGCATCGTGGATCATCGTGCCATCCATCCCTTTTCGCTTTCCCAGACAGAGACAAGATAAGTAAAGAAAGGTCCCTTCCTTGCATGAGATCCATGACCCACAAATCCGCGAACATTTTGGCCTGGAGGTCTGGCTTCATTCTGGACTCGCCATCCCCTAGACATCTCTCCCCCTTTTCCTTTTCCTCGACATCGGCATTTCCCCGGGTTGGAGTCTCTACAGCTCCTCTGTGAACCTGCTCCCCTCCCTACTCTTCTCTTCGCTCTTCTTCGCACTCGTCGGACTCACGACATCGACCAGTCTCGCCGCCCCGCTGTCAACCTTGGACGCACTCACCAGCCGACCTTCGTCAAAGGTGTCCCTGGCCTCATCGAAGTCCTCGTCATCATCGCCATTCGTCTGCGCGTGCGTCAACGCAGGTGTTGTGGTACCTGTGACGGTCGTATTTCCCGTCGCTTCGGTAGATGTGGTTGAGGGTTCCTGCACCTTCTCGCGCAGGGGTTCCGTTTCGGAGAGGACATGCTCATCTGGGTTGGCATGAGCTTCGCCCGCTTCTTCTGCCTCGGCCGGCTGGGATTGTGGTTCCGATTGAGGTTCTGTTGCTGCGGGATGTGTTATAGTTGTAGCTGGAGCTGGAGCCGACGTCGGGGCTGTCCCTGTAGCAGTGCCAGCTGCGCTCTCTGAAGGTCCAGGCTTCTGCTTCTCTTTGTCTTTGTCCCGTCCAGGGATGACTTTTTTCAAAAACCTTTCCCGGAATCCTTTCCTCCCACGGGGCTCTTCGTCCTCGTCTGTCAGTGTGGCCAGCTGATCGAATCCCGAGTCCCTCTTCGACCCAGCGTGCTCAGTCGAGTACTTGGAAGAAGCCACGTCCGCAGCGATCACGTATGGCTCTTCACTCAGCGATGATGTGTCTGATGGAGGGCTGACGTCTCGTTCCTTTGTACCAGGAGTCACAGTTGGGCCGGGTCCAGTGTTTTCCCCGATCACAGGTCCATCGTGGATCGGTGAGATTCTCCCGTAGGGTTTGACAGAACCGCCATACATGTCGTCTGTCTCGTTGTCGCTCCGGCCTGCGAGGGCAACGTCTCGGATCGAATCTGTGGCGGCTTGATCGTCTTCGTCCTTGACGGGTTCGGTTGTCTGACCACCCGTGTCTATATTCTGTTTTGGATCCGTCTCTATGGCCGCAGTGTGCTCCGGAAGATCATTTTCTGCTTTGCTTCCCGCCCTGAGTCTCCTAAACCATGTCTTCACTCGCGAATCTCGCTTTGAAGGTGAGCTTGGCGAGGTTGGGGATGTCGGAGATGTTGGAAATGTCGGTTCCTGTGGTGGCGTCGTGCTGGAATATGGCGTCGTACCAACATGGTCTTTCGGCTCAGCCTCTTCCTCTGCCGTTTGAGCGACCTCTCTCGGCTCCTCTGACGGTTGTGCCTTGTCCTCGGTGTCTGCTGCAGCCACTGCGTGTGCGGCTTCGTTCGGATCCAATGTCACTTGATCATGCACAGTTTCACCGGCGACCTCGCCGCCTTCGGCCGTCATGGTTCCTGGGACTGCGGAGGCTGCCGTCAGGGCTCTTGCTCCTCCGCCAACCACGTCCGCGGTGACCTCTGCAACGGCAGCTGTCGCAGCACCTGCGGCAGCCCCAGCTGTGACAGCCCCTCTGCCAAGGAAGCTTGGAAGGAATCGAGTTTTGCCAGGTTCAGTCTGTCTCTTTTCTTCCCTCTCGGTCCGCCGACGCTCTCGTTCCGCCGTACTGGCCTCACCCCGGGCTTTCTTCTCGGTAGCCTTTTGTTCTGTACGCAGCCGTCTCTCTTCATGCTTCTGCTCTTGCTGTATTCGTCTCTCCTCTGCTTTTTGAGCCTTTTGTTCGGCCTTTTCGCGGTCTAGGAAGAGTCAGCAACAGATCTATTTCCGAGCACAATTGCAAACTCACCGACAACGGCTTTCTGTTCCGCCTTAATATCTGCTTGGCGTTTCTTCTCGGCCTCTTGTTCAGCCTTGAGCCTCTCTTGTTCCAATCTGAGTTCCTCATCCTTGGCCCTTTGTTGTTCGGCTTTTTCGGTAATCTCGTCCAAGGTCGGTTGCAGTCGAGCCTTCGCAATCGCCTCAATCTCCGAGTGTTCCAGGTACTTGCCACCTCCGATATGAACTTTGCCCACATGAAGCAGCCTTTCATCGCTTTCGCGTTGAGCTCTTTCCCGAGCCTGACGCTCCCACAACTCGCGTTGTTGTGGACTCGTCTTGCCGGTTTCGGAAAATACCTTTTCATCCATTGCGTTCATGCGAGCCGTCACATTTTTATGTGCCACCGCAAGCAATGCATCTCTGTCAGCTTGTCGCTTCTTGCTGTCAACCTCGGCGAGCTTGCCCTGGAATAAAGACATTTGCGCTCGGATCTTGCGTGATTCTTCCAAGTCAGAGTCATCGTCCTCTCTGATGTCAGACGTCCGCCGACCGCGGCGTAATGTAAGCCGTGATCTAGGTGGCGCGGTCTGCTGTCCATAGTACTGCCGATATTCGGCGTGTTCATCGTGTAGCTTGGCGAGTCGCTCCTGCGCCAGTCTGCGGGCGGCCTCTTCCAGGTTCTCGTATCGTGGCACTGCATCGGTGGTTGCTGGCTGATTTGCGGCGTCGGATTGAGCGCGTCGCCGAGCGGTGTATGCAGCATAGTGACTTTGTGAACGGTGAATTCCCCTTGCCTCGTCGATCTGAACTTGTTGAATGGCAAACATCTTTCGAGCCATGGCCACGGCTGAGGCGCGTAGCATTTCTTGCCTTCTCCTTTCTTCCACTTCTATCGCAACCGGCGGATTGGACGTGTACATCTGCCTGGAGACGTTGCTCTTGGCAATGTGTTGGACCCTGGCGGCATCCACGCCCGACAATTCGCTCGTTGAGGGTGGGGTCGGTGAAGACGGAGGCCTCACATTTTGAGATGATGTAGCAGCCTTGATGGCCCAGGCAGAGGGAACTGGTGTCGGCGCTGGCCGTGTGGGAGCGGACTCTGCTCGCCGTCTTCCACCGGACAAGGATGCTGTCGCAGCCAAGAGTGCCTTCTGTCGTCCATCACTTGAAACGTGTCTCTCAGTAATGGGTGGGGGTGATTTTGGGTTCTGCAAAGCTGAGGATGCGGCAGAATGTCCTTGCTCTGTTTCTGGAGCCGTCCAAATGTCTACCGGTGCAGCATCCCGATGTGCAGCCAATGCCGCCTGGGAGCCCGCCCGGCTCAGCTCCGGCTTCCACAAAGGTTCCATCTCATAGTCTTTTGCTCTGTAGGCAGCCGTGTTCGCCTGGGGGATGACGCCGGGAGTCCAGAGTTCTATGGACCTCTTTTTGGATTCTGCGAGGCTTGCTGCGGCTCCAGCGGAAGCGAGTTTGACGCCGCCGGCAGAAGGATACGAAGGGAGGTCTTGAGCTCGGGCGTATTTCAGAGAGAGCGCTGCACCTGGGGCGGCAGTTAGTATTGTGAATTGGATGCGAGGGGTTGCTTGGAGATTCTGGAGGGCACACAAGGGCGGGGTTGACACACTGGCAGCAGATAGCCGGCCTTCCTCGTCGAGGATTGACGAGGTGCTGTGCTTGGTGGTGGGCGTGTCTCGAACGACAGATAATGCCGCAGAGGCAGCTGCACCATGTCAGCTTGCCATGAAGCTCATGCGGTGCAATGGCGAGGCGAGCAAAGAAGAAGATTGACTGACCTTGGTCCTCGAGCTTGTGCGAGGGGGCGAAGCTGCTGTGATGGGGATGGGGGTTGGGATGGGCCTGGGCATGCGCATGCGCAACGCTGGCCGACATGCTCGGCCCTTGCTGCCAACTGGTGCTTCTCGGGTAATCGATAGGTGGTGCTCGGTGGTGCTCGGTGGTGGAAGCTGGCGGGCAGTTGCGGTTGGGTTGCGCAAGCAACAACGCAGTCAAGAATCTACCATGGCATGGAAATTGAGGGTTCTCTGCGACAAGAACAGGAGGCAGAGTGAGGGATAATGCAGCAGAAGGAGCTCTGCTTGCATCCAAGAGGAAGAAAGCGAAAGAATAGCTGCAGAAGGCCAGTGGCGTGCCGCTCGCTCATCAAGGTCGAGGTCCCCAAGGTTGCTTGGGAGGTCCAAGGTCCAAGGTCCAAGGTCCAAGGTCCAGGCGAGCAGGGCCAACAGAGTCCATACGGCAGAAGACACCCGTCTCGCCCGTCACCACCATCCATCCACCATCCACCATCCACCATCCACCGTCCACCGTCCACCACCGTCATGACCAAGAGCTGCACCCTGTGTATGTCATCCAGATCATCCCATTTTCTTGTTCTATTCCCTATTCCCTATTCCCACCTACGTCATGCCAATAGGATTAACGGGAGCAAACCAGACCCCAAGACCCTGAGGTATGCCTGGAGCAGCGGTTATCTCACCTACGGTTCGACTTCTTCGACTACAGACTCATTGTTTTTCCACCATACATTCCTCTTGTATCTGGTTTGGGGAACGGCAAGAGGAGAACGAATCGAGGGGCACAAGGCACACGATGCCGATAGCCACGGCCATACCCCATTCTGGATCGGACCCTTCGCTTATCCGCCTCTCGATCATCAACGAGAGGAAGAGGAGAAGCACCAGAAAGAGGAGGAGAGGGCACCCACCCACCCCAAGAGACAGCATGCCTGGTTCGAGAGCTTGTGGCGCCCATGTGGTGCCTACTTAGCGAGGTAGCTCCAGGGGAGCGAGGCAGGGACCAAGGAATCTCACCGTCGAGCTCCCCTGCTCCTTCCTGTGCCCCACAATGACATGCAGTGCACAGCAAAAGGCAAGCAGCTGGCTGGCGGGCAGTGGTCAACTTCAACACCTTGTTTTGGCCAACACAACAGAGGTACCACTCCCGTCCTTGGTACTCCATACCGTCTTAACAGGTCCCCACTTCTCCAACCGTGCACGACAGACTCATTTAGTAAGAGACATGGATTCTCCAGGTACTCATCAGTTTGACAATCTGCTCAATTTTCGCGATGTTGGAGCCCATATCAACAGCATCCTCGGAGCCCAGGTCCTCCGACCCGGTCTCCTTTTTAGGAGTGCGCGGCCAGATGACACCAGTGCATCCGATCGCAACAAACTGGTCAAGACGTACAAGATCCAAACCATCATTGACCTTCGCTCCAAAACAGAACACATTAACGCGGCAAAGAAGCGGTCTGAAGCCGCTGTAGCGGCACAATCAGCGGCGATACCCTTGTCCAACGACATCGTCGCTGAACCGGTTCAAATCCCTGGCGTTCGTTATGCGCACATCAATCTCAATGGCAAAGGCTTCGAACGACATCTTATCTGGCAGCTGAAGTACACCAGCCTCGCCAAGTTGGTGTTCTTGATGGCATTGGGTTATCGAACAGAAGGAATATCAGTGCTTGGAAAAGAGCTGATGCTGCCACGCGGGCTCGTCGGCCTTGGGATTGACACGCTCGACCACAGCCGTCCCGAGATCAAAGAAGTTTTTGACATCCTCGCAGATGAGACGGCATGGCCTGTCATGGTCAACTGTACCCAAGGCAAAGACAGAACCGGCATGATAGTATTGTTGGTACTGCTGTTGTGCAACATTGACTTGGACGCCGCCAGCCAAGACTATGTCAGGTCGGAATTCGAACTCGAACCGGAGAAAGCGGAAAGGATGAAAGAGATCGAAAGCATTGGCCTGGATGAGTCGTTTGCCAAATGCCCGCCAGATTTCTGCGAGAAAGTCGCCCAGCACCTCGACACTACTTATGGCGGTCTTTCTACCTACCTGCTTCAAATCGGCGTTGATCCCGAACAAGCCGAGCGTGTCCGAAACGTCCTCAAGGTCAACCTATCGTAAAGAGAACGTCTTGAATCCTGCGAGGTCGGAGAGCTTCTGAGAGATACCTGTCTGAGTCTAATCGCTTGGAGCGGGTGCCGCACGATATACACATACTGTCAGCGCCGTGCAACGGAGCCAACGACTCCGGTGGCCGCTGTCCCACCCAATGATTTAACAGTAATGGTTTGAGTCCTTTGCGGAGTGTCAGCATTCAGAGCTCCCATCTGGCATCACGACAGCTCCCTGGGAAAATGTCGGAGCACAGCAACGAGTGGACCAGTCTAAAAAGCCCTTTACTAGATTCTCGGATCTGGACACCTTGTTATCCTGGCAGTCAAGCAATTCAGAGGTTCTCTGATATACCCCAGACTCTGACTTGCCCCATCGAGGTATGTAATGGGGCCGTGCTGCATGATAAGGGCTTGGTCAGCACATTATCTCCAGGGAAGATATGGTGCTGACATATTGCCCACACCTAGACGGGGATAACAAGAGACGTGCTAGCAGCTGCACAGTCATTCGGGCGAGGGGACCTTGGAGTAGAGGCGGTCAATGAGCGGGACGGGCTAGCTATGTACTTGTAGTCATTTCCTGTGTTGAGACGGTAGCATTACTTATCAATATTAAGCTTTCGGAGACAGAGGCATCAACTCAGGAAAGCAGCGGTTGGATCATGGACTGTACGAGGTTGCGAGACAATGGGAGTGCGCCTTTTTTGCAGCAAACACCTCGTACTCGGTTCTCTTGTCGCGTCCCCAAGAATGGAATGATCAGGGGAAAGTGAGAGATGAAAGACGAAAGAGAGACGAAAGAGAGACGAAAGAGAGATGCGACTGAGAGTTTGCCATGTCGTCATGGTCGGGACACCACGGAAGATGCCAAGACACGGTTGTGATTGAGTCATCCGGGACTCTGTCTCCACCTTCTCACGGCATTAATAACTCTCCGAGGCATCTATGACGTCGTGCTATCGACTGGTCGCGGTCTGACTTTTTCACTTGTGATTTTTTCACCAGAACGGAAGTTCGTCGCCGCTATATCCGCCCATGTCGCCGTGGACTTGTTACAAGTACTTGGCCTCCTTGGTAGGTGCCTTGCACAGAATGTCCCTCAATGCCCAACAAGGCATGGCACACGAGACGTTTCCGGATCTCATTCCCTTCCGACCCTGCGAAGGGCCAATGAGATGGGCCTGAACGGCGACGCGACTGGGAACATCGCTCCGCCATTGCCTCAGGCTTTCCTGGTCGATCTCTGGTCGATCTCTGGTGACACCACATTCCAAGTACTTAATCACCAACATTAGCCTCTCGGGCCTCTTCCGCATTCAGAATTGAGAGAATTCATCCATACATATTACCGTTTCATTCATATTGACCTGCTTTCTGCCTTCTCCTTTTTGTCACCAGACGAAGCTGTTCTGTGACTTCCCCTCATCTTGCGCCTTCGCCTAGCCTGGCTCCCATCTCCACCTCCACCGTCGTCCTTTGAATCTCTTCTCTGCCAACACGTCTCTCAACAACCGGCAATATGTGGTGGCTCAGTGCTTGGTGGTTCCCTGTCGTCTCGGCGGGCATGTACGTCTTCTTGTCTGTTCGATACACTCCAATCTTGTCGCTAACTGTCCTCACACAGGTGGCTCGGGATGCTGCTGGCCATGTTCTGCACCTGGGAAGCCGAAGGACATCCTCACCTACCGTCCATGGACCCCAATCAGCATATTGCCTACATATCTGACATAGGAGCCTTTGGATTGAAACCGCTCTTCATCACCGGCTGTGTCATCACCACCGTGTTCCTCGACTTGGCGTTTATGTCGGAGCGGTGGCTTCGCCACTATGGTCGGCTGGCACCCAACACCTCCCGCGTCCAATCCGCCCTGTCGAGTTGCGCCATCTTCTTCGCCATTGCAGGCACCCTCGGTCTGATCCTCCTGTCAATCTTCGACACCTACCATCACGACAGAGTCCATGACGGATGCTTGCTCCTCTTCATTGCTGGATATATCATCTCGGCCATCTTCCTGTGCGCCGAATATCAGCGACTCGGCATCCACTACCGTCAGCACCGCGTCCTGCGCATTTCCTTTTGGATCAAGCTTGCCTTTATCATTCTCGAAGTCATCCTTGCCATCGTCTACGCCTCGACTGCGTGGAACGATCGTCAAAATGTGGCCGCTGTGTTTGAATGGATCATCGCCCTCATCTTCACCTTCTACGTTCTCTCGTTCCTGCTCGATCTCTGGCCTTCGGTTCGGTCGAAGCGCCACGTTCCTCAAGGTTGGAGAGAACGGGAAGCACAGCTCGAGAAAGAAGCTGGCAGGCACGGAGGTCTCCCTCCTCTTGACCAAGGCCCGGCGCCAATCACCTCAGATCAAAATGCAGCCACGTATCAGAACGATGATACGCCTTATAACCCTACCACCCAAGGGTATCGTGGAACCACGATGACCGGTGGTCAAGGTTCCCACATCCAGTCCGCTCTCTCCAAATATCCCCTAGAACACAAGGATCGTGGACGACAGAAAAGATGGGGTATTGGACGGTTCAGATTCTGACCATTCTTTGCTCTCTTTTCACCTGTTCTTCGTGTACATTATTTCAGGAGTGTTGGGAAACGATACATGAGCACCACGAAAAGTAATGGCCGATAATAGACTTGAGGAGTGGGGGATCCCAAGCCCTTATATGACGCATGACTGAGCATTTGTTCGGCGTTGGCGGAAACTTTGCGCATCCGGGATCAGACGAGGCTGGTGTTGGCCCGCGACTCACGGCTTGTATATGAGCAATGACAAAATTCTAGAGATGGATTTAGATACGTAATTTTTATATTTGCTGTACAATATGACTTGCTAGCTGTCAAGACGAAGAGCTGCCGGGACTTCCACGAACACTACTCCATAGTTTTCTCACTCCTCTAGCCAGCGCAGTGAGGCGCTCGCATTCCCACCATTAATTCTCATCACTGTGCTCCTCAAATGGAAAGAGTCCTTGTGTTGCTCATCTTTTTGGGAAGCACGAAGGCACCTGTATTCTATCACTCGACTACCCAGGCCAACTCACCCAACAACTCCTCGAAGGATGTGGACGTTACTAACTCTGGAGCAGGCTGCAACATGCGCCCTGCAACACCGGACGCCGTGGATTGGTTTGGATCTCCAGGAACCCATATACTTCTATTTTCAAAGCCTGTGTCTGTCCCAGCCTTCCTGCCTGCCGACGCAATTGTTGCAAAGAAATCCTCTCCGTCCCATTTCGGGCAATCCCCGCGGCCATTGTGTTATTTAGTATTGCCCATGCAGGCTCGGATTTCAGATCCAATCAGACGCCGTGGTGCCGAGTTCTAAAGAAAGACACATCCACATGGATGCTTGTCTGTCGGTGGTATATATAAGAAGAACCATTTTCGTTGTGCCCGAACGGGGAGTTTGGTCGTCCTTTTGCTGTAGCAGCCCCGTCGGGTTTCATAAGCTTAAGAATGCCTAGTATCCAGTACCAGATTCGGCCGTTTCGAGCCCCTTTACTTCCTGACGATGGGAGTATCGGCTCGACCGCTCCGTCACAGCTGTCGTACCAATCCGACGCCCTGCCAGACAGAGCCCCTTTCTTGCTCCGTACCGACAGTCTCGGCTCGACAGTCACCTCCTCAAAGACATCCTCACAGACCGAACCCCCCCTTGTCCGAGCCCCTTTCCACCTGCTGCGTACGAACAGTCGCCGATCAGATGCTCCGGAAAAGACATCCTACCACTCCCTGCAGGCAGAGCTAGGCGACCGGAAGGACCAGGATTTCTGGCAGCACACTCGGAAGCCGTTCTTCATCAAAATTGCTGCCGTCTTTGTCCTGCTTCAGCTGCTGTTCCTGGGAAACGTGTCCTACCTCTATGGTTCTCTGTGGGGCTCAAATGGTCGCGTCTCATCGCTGAATGTCTTGTGGTTGGATCTCGACGGCGGAGTGATAGGCGAATCTGTGAACAGTGCTTATGAGAACCTTCGAGGCTCCAACTTCCCATCACTCGACAAGCCGTCTGGGAGCGAACTGCAGTCTGTCGCCGAGGCGCTAGACGCCGTGAGAGCTGGATCGTACTGGGCGGCATTTGTGGTCAACCCAAATGCATCGGCGAGACTTGCTCGCGCCCTTGCCAGTGGCGAGGTGGCGCGGACCTACCAGGCTTCTGACGCGTTGACATACGTATGGAATGAAGTCAGATATCCCCCATTCTCCGACGAGGCGTTGATGTCCAGTTTCGAGCTGTTGGCACAGGCCGCCGAACAGGAGTATCATCTCAGACAGGGCCAACCCGCGCTACAGAACCTGAATCGAAACAGCAGTGCGGCCGTCCAAGTTCTATTCCATCCGATCGGCATCTCCGGCGTGAATATCATGGAAACCACAAATCCAACTCGGCTTCTGTACAATACAGCGACCATGGTGATGCCAGTGCTGGAACAGTTCTTTTTCGTGTTGATCCTGAATGGACTCTCTGACGAGTTGGGCATATACAAAAAGGTGCCTGCGACGACTACGGGAATCATCCGAGTGGCATTTGCCTTCTGCTACACCCTCCTGTCCGCACTCGGCATGACCGGATACATCTGGGCATTCCGAGAGACATGGGCGGTGGACGGGAAGCAGTTGGGCCTGACGTGGATGACCTTTTGGCTGCTTCACACGGTGCACTTTGTCGTTGTGGACACGGCGGCCGCGTTCTGGCCTGTGCCTGTCATGCCGTTCTTCATTCTGACCTGGATCGTCCTCAACTTAGCAAGCTCCGTCAGCCCGCTCCAACTCAATCCGGCGTTTTATCACTGGGGGTACGCACTCCCGGATAACGAGGCGTATTCTCTCCTGACGGATATTTGGTCCAAGGGGGCGGTGCCCGTGCTCCATCGCGCTCTTCCGATCTTGTTTGCCTGGCTGCTGGTTGGCTCAAGCACAGCCATCATTGGTCACTTTCGTCGCTGTCGACTTGCTCGTGATACATGATCGAAGCGCGCAGGAAGACAATGCTTTCGCCAGGTGATGGGCTAGTAATGACAGCGATAACAACGATGAGATGAACCTGGGCTATACTTCTTGAATAAAGAAAAGAGCATAACAATATTGGCATCGTCATTCTCATTCGTGTTATCTCAACACTGGAAACTATGACCGTTCAAACGAGATCATCTCGGCACTCTTCGCACCACCGGTGGAGTTGGCGCTGCTTCTTCACGTCGGTGGCCGGGTTGATGTTTGCACATGCTTCATGCGCGTGGGAACTCGTAACTCTTTCGCCGAGAACATCGCAGCAGTCCGAGAATGTTGACGTGTAGATAGAGTGTGGACACTATTAGCTATGTAGTGAAGCGCAATTAGATTTGGATGCTGGACTTGATTCCTCGCTGTCAGACACTGCCACCAAGCCCACGCTGAACCCACCAAGCCACCAAGGCCCACTAGGCCCACTTACATCCTCACCGAGTGGTCCTCTCGTACCCAGTATGCGGGGCGCCACAGTGGCTTCACGCTCAGCTTGTCGACGTCATGGCTTCAGCAGGCTGCGACCAAGCGCAGGCAATCCAACCACATGCCTTCCTCTGCCACCCTTCGATTGAACTGATGAGCGCCATTATTATTATTATTGCATGAACCGCTCATGTCTTGATCTGTAATCGCCACCTGACTTCTGGTTCTTTTTGCTGCCTAGGAGCTCCGACACTAGATTCAATCGACGCAGCCTCAACGCTGGGATCGCAAGTGGTTCGAACATGTCTGAGCTGCCTGATTACTGTAAACGCCATCCGCCCAGCCAAAGAGAGTGAGACTGACCGAAAGGAGATGCCGTCCTCGAAGTTGCCCCTGACAGCGATCAGGAGGCGATCAAGAGAGCTTACAAGAAGGCGGCGCTGAAGTAAGTTCCTCACTGGGAATTTGGATCATCTGCAGCCCTTTGTCATCGGACCCCGACATTCTCTGCCTAGGCTAACGGGGATTGGAAGATGGCACCCAGACCGCGTCGCTGCCGACTCGGAAGAGCGCCCCAAGCGGACGAAAATGTTCCAAAAGATCAATGACGCCTACTACACCTTGTCCGAGCCTACGAGGCGGAGAGAATACGATGAAGCAAGGCGCTTTCACGGGACCACGAGCTTTGAAGAGTCTGCCGACGAGGAAGTACCGAGACCCTCACCCCAGGCTGGAGCCCAGTCTTGGTTCAACATGTTCGGCTTTGGCCGCCGCCATGCAGGAGACACGCAAGAAGACAGGTTCGCAAACGACCAGTTCAAGAGCGCCTTCGAGGAGATGATGCAGGAGGACAACCTGGCAGATGACACCCATGCACCCACCAAGCGATTCTGGACTATCGCCGGAGGCATTTCGGGGGGCGTTCTCGGTTTCATCGTGGGCAACTCGGTGGGAATGGTGACGGGCGCTGCTGCCGGCAGCCGGATGGGCGCGATACGGGACAAACAAGGTAAATCTGTCTACGAGGTATTCCAGTCGCTGGACCAGGGTCAGAAGGCCCGCATTCTGAGTGAGCTTGCCGCGAAATTGTTCAGCGGGGCAATCAGTTAAGAAATGAATGGGTGGCAAGGCGGTTGTTTGGGTACAAGGGAGGTTCCAGGTCGGTAAAACGCATGGTGTTCGTGGCATACACTCTCAGCAATGACGCAGTTTTATATTTCTATCTCACATCGACTTTGAGGCCGCTAATGCAGACTGCTCGATTGCCCTTTCTCGGCGTTGGGTAACCTCGAGACTCATCCGCCATGGTGTAAGCGGCCGAAGCCGACCACATAAAGGTGCGCAACATGACGGGTCACCATTCTATCAAGTCAACAATACGGCTCAATCGTCCGAGAGAACGCTGGTGTCCGTCAATGAAAACGCACTAGGAAATGCAGCTTGAATGGTAGACTCGACACCGTCCTCGAAGTCATCTACAGAAAGGAGCTCCTTGGTCGAGAGGCTAGCAGTAGAATGGAAACAGAGTCCTCTCGATTTTCATCGTGGCCCTTCGCTTTTCCGTATAGCGTATTCTTCAAATATTATACTCTGGTCTCAAGGTACGGCGGTCGACTCGGCAAGAAAAGCGAGAAGTAGCCTCGTTCTGCTCAAGCGCAACGCTGCCGAAGTCGCACAGAGTGATCGTGGCCACAGACCAGGTGTGAAGGTGGAAGGGGTTGAACCGTGGTGCGCTGTCGGTTACTTCGGCATCTTCGATGAGAAGAATGTTGGACAATTTGTCGTCACAGACGGCGAAGCAAGAAGACCCATCGCAGAGTAGAAAGGCAAAGTCGTAATAGAAAAAGCATCTCTGATCAAGGAGCAAGAGGCCATCATTGCCCCCCCCCCAAAAAAGAGCCCGCGATCAATGAGCAACAGGCGGCCACTCTAACCCGTCTGGGAGAAATGGGGGAGATCCTGCGACAGAAGGAGGAGGAGATGGAGGATAGAGAATAACACTCGGGGCCTTTTGAAATATTGGGGCTGGTAACTTCCTTGTTGGTAAATGCCTACATATATGTAGGTCCTCTAGTCTTGTATTGCACTCCTGAAGCCATCGGACAGCGGTGACGAGCTATTGGACTCTGATGAGAAACCTTTTAAGCTGGTTCCCGCGATTGTCGTTGACGAGTGGAAGCCTGGCTGAAAGTGGCGCGCCACGGTAACAAGAGGCTGGGATGCGACTTGTAATTGGAATTGAATGGGCCTATCGAGCTGGGAGGATGGGATGGTGCAATATGGGACTTTAGGGGCCAGAATGGCTCCATTGTACCGAGTAAATAAGGCTGTGCGTGAAGCATAAGGCTTTAGAAGATGAAGGCGGCGAGGGTGTTTAGGAAGAGTACCCAATAAAGACGGGCTTATGGGGAGGCCTCACCAGCCAAGGCGCCACGCGGGTCCTCCGCCAACACCTACTTCGTAGCTCGCACCCCCGGGCGCCTCACGCCCTGAGGCAGTCGTAGGGATCGGGCTGGCTCCATAGATGGGCTTTGTGAAATATTTCTGCCTGGTGGCCAAGTCTGCTTCCTATGTAACACGGCCACTTTCTGTTACAAAGAAAGCATATAAGTCTATTTGCTGACAAGTCCTCCGTACCCCAATTTTCTTTACATGTTCACTAAAAAGGTCACCGAGGGTTACATATGGCGCAGCTCGCCTTTGTCAACCTGTCTCACCCTAGAGATGTACAAAAGCGCAATGTGCAAACGAATATTCGGCGTCATGTCATGAAAGACATTGGGCGATCGCGCAGGAAGCGACCGCGTGCCACAGTCATTCCCCTGCAAGTCCGGACGCGACCACCTGGTAGAAAACTGAACGGAGAACGGAGATCGATGGTAGAAGTCACTCATGCATCAGGGAAAGATGTCGAGGTCCATCATCTCCAACCCTGCTGGTCCCCGAATCCTTGCGGCATCTTGGGAGTGGACCTAGATGCGAGGACGCTTCAGATTTTGCATTTCGGTATGCTTGTACCTACTCCCGTACTATTGAACCCTCGGGTGCTGACAACTATTTGTCCGTGTGTCTAGTGAGATCAGTGGCAGATTACAAGCACCGGGCCTACCTTACCATCTGGATGCGAATGGGCCTCTCGGACCCGACGGCGCTGAAGCTCTCTATGGCGAGCTCATCGCTCTTCTGGGATCAGGCACACGGGAAACCCGACAGCGTCGAGTACAACGATAACCCGGAATCTACAAGGTACTACTTCGAAGGACTTGGGCAGCTGTCGAAGCGTCTGCGCGACCCGCGTGAGTCTGTCAGCGCTGGTGTTATTGCTTCAATTCTCGGGTGTGTCTGCCATGATGTATGTATGTCCATTCCTAACTCTGCGCCCTTTTGATCTCATGCATCCCCCCTACTGCTGCTGATGGTACTGCTAGGTGACTGTCGCAAATTGGGATCGCTGGGCCGTCCACCTTAACGGTTTACATCGTATATCAAAGCTTCGCGGCGGATTCGAAGGCCTGGAAAATAACATTGCTTTAATAGCTTTTTGGTACGATCCTTGTCGCCGATGGGAATGTGTTTGTTCTATTCTAACTGTGTTACATATCATAGGTTAGATATCGCCGGCAGGACCGTCCTCGATTCACCGCCATGGTTTCCAATTCCGCGAGAAATATGCACGCCTGAGGTTGAAGAGGTACCTCCTGCGATGGATCGACTTCTCGTTGGCTTGGATTCGGTATATCCCCAGTTATCGCCGGTTCTCTGTGCCTTGCGGATGATGTCCTCGGTTGCTCAAATGGTCAATCGCGACAGTGATTCAATGCCGTTTTGGAAAAACGAAGTCTTGGGAATCCACCTGATAGGTCCTGTCACTCACCGTCTACTCTCTATCCCGAGATTATCCGACGATCCTACGAAGGAGTCAGATCCCTCGGTCGTAGGAGAGATGGTTCGCCTATCATGCCTTATAGTCCTCTCTGGCGTAAAGAAGGGCTTCTGCCTGAATTCCTCCGACATGGTACCGCTTCAAGCAAAGTTTGCTGAAATGGCAGCTCGGAGTTTGGGCGAGATAGACTCGAGGCTACAAGACCTCAGGCTCTGGGCGCTTGTCACTTCGGCTCTTCTACGCCCCAGCGATGCGAGATTGTCTTTGATATCCCATATTCAAGTGCATATCGTGAGCCAAGGTCTTGTCGATGCCCGCGCCGCAGTCGACATTGCAAGGGCCTTGGTCTGGATTGAGGCCTTAGAAGCACACGAGGAAACAGGGTTAGTAGCGCAGGTCAACGGCGATGACGTCTGTTGCTTTTAGCCCACCCAAGTTCGTTGGTTAAGTTTATGGTGGCACTGGGAAACGTATAGGGGGTCGACGGCACGGCGGGAAGGCTGTATACTACCTCGATCTGTGCCTTGGTGCTTCAGTGCCCTGGACCATTGCAACAACACGCCAGAGCAGTTGTAACTACTACATTCGGAACCAAGTATGTACATATAGTCACGCATGCCTCAAAATTGACATAGCTTCGAAGATAATTTCGTCCGACATTGCCGTACCCACCTGGGGCAAGCTTCATTTTATAACCGTGTTCTGTACCGTGGCGTCCCTCTGTCCTTCTTTCCCACTTACCGAGATCCCGAGTCTCATGACAATTGCCTGTTGGAAGCAATCCCGAACACTTGTACTCACCCAAGTACTGGACTTTGCTTGTAACCTACGCCATCCGAGAAAGACTAAAGTATGGAGATTGCTATCTAGGGAGAGTAAAATTACAACAACCTCAGCCCCTATACATGGTCCTCCGCCGTTGACCCTTGAGTTGGAATCCTGTCCAAAGGGCTCTGTCACACATCTGGCCTTACTTTGAATAGCACGCAAGACATATGCATTTCCCCACCCATCCTGTATCCTTGAGAGTCGCAAATCAATATACAAACGAAAGCTTTAAAAGGACAACCCAGCCTGTACTCCTGCGGTTTTCTCTAGTGTCCCGTTGTCACGACTTGCGTAATGGCGTGTTTTTTTTTCGCTTGTGCATGGTATTTTGCTCTTGAGATTTCATTTGACGTCGCGTCCCCTTATCGCTGAATCTCATGGTGGATGTTGGAGTCAGACGAAGGCGGAGCAGAAACTTTCCTATATCCTTCGTTTTGGTGGCCAGCCGGGATAGGTTGAACCTCCATGCTGTCCGTTGTGTAGGATTTTCTTGGTCGGATCAAGGTGGGGAAGTAGTACAACAGAACGGCCATCACTGCAGCCATGAGGATGGAGTCGAAGACATACAGAGGCGACTCGTGAGAAAGCAAGTACCCGTCACGGCCTCCAGCAGTCTCAATAACGCGAAATATGTTCCGCACTATGATAAGACTACTGACACCATAGAGGGCGAAAAGCATCATCTCCCAGCGGATTTGGGGGCGGAACGATGCCTCAGTGGGTCGTTTGTGAATGCGATTGTGGAAGATAAAGGCGACAAAGACGAACAAGCCGAAGAGAATGATCTGCAGGGCGAGACCCACAAGGATGATGTATCTGCCCAAGTTGATATTGCTTTTATTGGAACTCCCCCCAGACATAATGGCAGCACCGGCCACCTGGACGCAAAAGCAGGCAACATCGCCGGAGACGAAGATGACAGTCAACCGAGAAGGCCGGATTGGAGAGAGTTTGTCCCCGCGGATGGCTCGAACTGTGCGGCCCAGGATCATGTAGATTGTCGCAGCAAAGATAGAGGGGGCCACGAGAATCAAGATTTTTTGGGCGATCTCTGAATTATCGTTGCAGGGGTTGTTATGACCCAGTATTCGTACACCGAAGCCAGAGACTTCGACTATTCAGGTAGGGGAGGTGGTTAGCTAGTGGACCCATTACATCTAATCCAGGAAGGAACGAACTTACAGAGTCCGCCAACAATGAAGGCGGCCATGAACCATTGCTTTCCTCTGATCATTAGGAAGATATGGCCAACAGTCAAAGTACCGAAGACGATGATGAAGATAACGGAAGCCGCTGTCGAAGGAAGATATTCGTATTGGCTCGTCTCGCCATTGGGGCAGGAAATCGCGGTCATTGTGATATCCGCCAGCGAAAAGTTAACGTAAGATGGTAATACAATAAGCAGACCGAGCTGAAGCACAGAGAGTAGATGTGTGAAATGGCAAGAGCGAAATTTGTGTTGAATGTAGAATGGGAGACTTGTGGGCGTTTGTATAATGAAGATTCTCTTCTAGAACTGTGGGCGAGTTTGAGGGTTATATAGATATCAGCAGTCATTAAAGGTCATAACAACATTGGCGTATTCGTAAAAGCGTTCTAGTTTTCATCTATGATGGCTGATGATGCCTCTCCCATTCTCATCGCAGTGGCAGTGCTTGAGTATATTGCGCTGCTGAACACGTAACAGGGACCATACTGAGAAACGAGGCATCCCAGGACGGCGGAACGCGAGCTAACCGTATATTAGCGGATTGCTTGGCGGGCGTTTGAAACCCAGCGGAATGTCTCCTAGGCTTCACTCCTCCTTTGCAAGCTCCATAACTATCAACGCTAAGAGTGCTGAGCAATCTAGGCTCCCATTTAACGGAAATATCAAGCCCATGCATGTTACAAGATTGACTTGGGTAAAAGTATGGTGGAGGCTCTCGGCGCTAATGCAGGTAGGGGGGACCGGTTTCCATTTTCGGTAAGGTCTGTATTTATCACTCCTGCCAAGCTAGCCTTGTGGACCGGTGCAGGAGCCTGCACTGCAAAGACTTCTGACAAGATCATCCCACACCCATCGAGGGAGGACGTGGTAGGTTGTTATGGGAAACTTGGCACTACGTCCAACCTCAGGCACTACCAGTCCATTGACTCTTCAAAGACCTCCACAGTATCAGTACACATTCTAACCAGGAGGAAACAAAAGGAGCCCGAAAATGTAATAGTATTGCTTGCCCCAAAGTTAGGAAGGCTTGACGACCGCATGACCGAAAATATCGCTGAGATGGAACCAAGGAGCGCCTCCCTTGAAACCCGACCTGCTGGGTACGTCGTGGTTGGTGGGTATTGAGGCATATTCGTAGCTTCTACTCATACTCTGGAGGCTCAGCTGATGATGGCCCTCCGTTTTTCATTCCGTTCCCTTTCCAGGAGTATTTGACTGTTTGCCCACTCGAAGGAGTTGTCGAAATTCCTGCGGGTCAGTGGTGTTGTGAAATTTGGCCAATAAATTCCGATGCACTCCGATTTTTTCATACATTGTGACCGGAGTCAAGTCACCGAGGCCCATAAAGACCTGCCTCAGATAGTCCAGACAATGATTGAAGTGGATCTCCGTCGAATGTTCACTCACCGGATCGGGCTCATTCACGCCGTAAATGCGTTTCCGGGGTGAGGTTCAAACAGTGCAGTTGGCGCAGCATCTCGATCTGGATGACATACCGTCCAGCATGGTAGGGTTCCTCATCGGAAAGCGAAGAGAGTCGATACTTTGGGAAGATTCTATTGTGAGTGCCAAAAGTCGATCATACGGTCGCTGTTTTATGATTCTTGGAAACGTTTGGCTGACAACGTTTCCCAGCGGCATTGTGGGATTGCTGGAGAGGAGAATAAGGCGGCAGTTTGGTGCAAGTCTTCTAGGAAGCGCCTACCCTTTTGGAGATTGACGAATTTGCCGCTAAATTTGGAAAGGAACTGTAAAGCTCGCCGGGGTATCAACCAGTATCGTAGATCTTATGAAAGGAGAGCACATCAGGACGGGGTCCCTGTGAGCTCGCATTTTAGCAACGTCGCGATGACCACGCTTTCAACGAGACCCGTCTCAGGGATCTCGAATTGCCGATTGATCAAGTCGACACGACTTGTGTTTTGCTTAGAGATGGCGAAATCTGTGTTGAAAAAGGAGGCATCTTGGCAGCCATCAACAACAATCGCACAGATATCATTTCAAGTATTGGGCAGGTGGCGAAGCTTGGATGAGCTTGACGTGGACTATCTGGATCGTGAAGGCCTCATTTTCTCGAAGCTGTCGGAGGAAATGCTGTGTCAATGGTCAGTGTCCATTTGCTGGAGTAGGAATCTGTACAAAGTCTTCACATGAGAACCGAATCTGACAACCTTTGTCGGAGAGCGACGATGCATTTGCACGGCAATCAGATAGTTCTTTCTTCCCGACTGGGGGCCTTTATGCAAATACATTCGACCGCGATTTGAGATTCGCCTCGAACCCAAAGGCCCCATTCATCCGAGACGAGACCATGAGATGGTAAGGTTGACGGAGCAACTGATGGGGTTCGCGGGAGTTGATTTTCCAAGACGCCCAACCGGCTGTGAAATGAGACGTAAAAGTGTATTGGAACTAGCTATTATTAAATCCATGCGGCCGGGAAGGGTGCTTTTATAGGCATAATTACCAGCGGCTTAGTATATTTCACACGGCAAATGGAGATGTCTCCATGCTTCTGCTAGAAAGTGAGCAATCCAAAGCTGAATGAAGGACTGACCAAAGCGCTGAGACCGTGCTCCTACAACATCAGCGGCGCAGGGAACCGTTTCAAACATAGGAAAGTCCATCAAGCCGCTTCCAAGTATTCTCGTCAAATAAGACTAAGCCTAATAAAGGATGGTTGCTCGGCACATATCTGACCAACCAGATTCGCCGTACGTGGGAGCCAGCCTTGACCAGCCTTGGCCAGCCTTCCTCGACGAAGGGTGAGTTGCGCAGCCTGCCCCACCGAACCCCTGCCCCCCCAGTCCATCTTCCAGCCACTCCAATTGTGCGTCGAGCGGTCTGCTAGACTACCTCGTACGGAATCCTCATTTCTCCAGTGCTCCTTGCCCAAGAACTGTCATCGCTTGCATTTGTAAAGAGATTTGCTGATTGTGCATCTTTCACCGCTTTTGTCGCTGTGTTTCTCTGGGACAACGCACAGTAACGAGAAAGACGAGTTTGCAGACCCAGCGACGGACCAGCTGAATAACTATTACCACTTCAAAGGCGAGACGCTACCGAGGTTTCTGCTGCGACGAACGAACAATCAAGCGCGCATCTTCCGAATAGGAGGACCCCTTATCTGGTCACGTCGACTGGGCCCTCGGATCCTTCCCTGAACGCGAGCAGAACTAAAACATGGGGTTTTGGAATCAGGGCATCCGCTCCCATCGCAGCAACTCTCCATCTCCCTCCCGCCGCTCATACTACGCCTCCCGCCCGTCCTACTCGCGCAGCGCATCCTCCTTCTTCTCCGGCCTGGGCGGTGGCTCCTCGTCACGCGGTAACGGCCATGGCCACTCCTCCCGGGCAAGGCCCCGATCCGGCTTCGTCAATCGAATACGGCGCTTCTTGAGAGAAATATACCACTGGATGCGTCGTCATCCGGTCCGAACATTTGTCCTGGTGATTCTGCCGTTGATCACAGGAGGGGCTCTGAGCAAACTACTCGGAACATTGGGCATTCGACTCCCCGTCGGGTTGCAGAGGATGATGGGCGGACGACAGATGACCCAGACAACCGGAAGGTTCTACGCCCGTGGAGGCGCGAGGGACTTTGATGGTGGTAGCGCCTTGCCCGGCATGGATGGTGGTGGACTGGGCAACAGTATTGGTGCATTAGCAGGTAAGGTGATTCTTTGACGGCTTATGCGGAATGAAACTCACGGAGATCAGGCATAGCTAAGATGTTTATCTAATTGCGACGGCGACACTGAGGTCTACTTGCAATCACCACTCGGATTCGGTATCTCTTTCGTCTGCTTTGAGCGAGCGAAAAATGTTGCATCGCTAAATGGCTGACAGGGGTCATCTAAAGTCGCGGTAATGTCTTGAATAAGGAATTTGCACGAACAATGTATGGGACAAGGACGATTTTTGACAATATCTTCAGCATTAAAAAGCAAGAGGCCATGACAACGAACCTGGACCAACGATTCTTCCTCGCATCTGGGGTCATCCCATGTCGGCACCAGTATGCTCGACAGTAGTAAAAAAAACTATTAACACATGCAGACTCTGTGAATACCGGGGTTCCCAATGCATATGCCCGTGTGTACTATCTCCCTTTTTTACTTTTCCCAGCCATGGTTTTCCCATTACTCCGAGCCCTTTGCGATGATGTCCCTGCGGCTGCACTTCTTGTTTGGATAGCATATTCGCCTCCGGGTCTTTCCCTGACATCGACAACTTCACCTTCCGGGACGTAGTCGCTGCCCTCATCATCGTCATCGTTTTGGTTCTCCGTGTCAGACGGGGCCAGGTAGTTGTAGACCTCTGGTCGTTCATCAGGAAGGAAGAGTTCGTCTTGTAGACGGCGATATTGACCAGCTTGATTCTGTGGAATACCAGGCGGGCCAGACGCAACTCGACGCTGCGGCGAGGCAAAGCGTGGATCAGAAGGGTCAAAGCGCGGTGCTCTCCCAATGCTTGTCTGGTAAGGCAATTGATCCAAGGGAACATTGACCAGGCTGGAGGTCGAGCGAGCGCGAGGTTCCCAGTCGGGCTCGGACGGGTCAGGCCGTGAAGAGCGAGAGGAATTCGAGCTGGGCCTATTGCTGTAGAGAGCGTCTGGGTTGGAGGAATAGCGATGCGAATAATAAGGATGTTGATAAGGATGTTGATAAGGGGGGATCGGCTGCATTTGTTGTTGTCGCAGTGACTGGTTGGAGTTCGTGCGGGAGCCTTGCCGTAGTGGTTCGGCTTGACGAGGACCAGCCACATAGTATCCCTGCGGGTAAGGCAACCTCCGATCGTAGTCTAGATCTGGCGGGGGAAGCGTGTAGCCAGTCACGGAGTTGTCAGCGTTCTCGCGCGCAGAAGTGTTGGACGCGGAACTTCTACCGCGATTGCGACCGTCTACCGCCTTCCCTTTGGTGGGAGAACCGCCGGAAGACTTGCCATTGCTCTTGCCCGACGCCTTGCGGACCTCTACAGGCTTGCGCTTGACGACCGGTGCTTCTTTTTTGCTTCTTGGAGCGGCTTGTGGTGCTGCAGCAGGCGACTGTGGAGGAGTCTGGCTCCGCTCGAGCTCTAAGCGTTTTAAAGCATCAATCTCAGCTCGACTCAACTTGACGTTGGGCTTACCCAAAGCCCGGGCGCGCGCGATCCTCTCCAGAGCTCTCTGCACAAGCATGTCTTCTTTCTCCCTGTAAGCCATCTGCACGTCTGGTCTTCGAATAAGCCCCGAATAAGGGTCATAATCGTCCTCGTCATCCGAAGGAGTCAAATTATGGTCGAATGAATCACCCGAACGCCGTCGGCGGACAACCCCCCGGCCCAAATCTATGCCAGTAAAATGAAGTTCATCTGAACGAAATCTTGATTGACTGTAACCCTGGTCCAACTCGACACCTGGCGGCGAATTGTCATCGTCAGTGTCGAGCTCCTCCACACGAACATCGTAGTCCCACGAGCGTCGTCGTCGTTGTTGTTGTTGTTGTTGTTGTAATTCCCATAATCTGTCGTTGTTCCGCCCCGGTCGTCCCCTTGGTGGTCTTCCCCCAGGGGGCATATCGTATGGAGTTCGCGGCCGACCACCTAGACCGCCTCCTCGGAAAAAGCATTCTCGATTGGTCTATCCATGAGTGAGGCATGACCCAGGATGGTCACACCGGTAGCCCCAATCAGCCACAAGAAAGTTGCAATGGGGGAAGAAATGAAAGCAACAGGGACAGCAATACAGGCCAGGCCGGTGTAGAGCTGGGAGGTTGTAGCTCTGAAGGTACCAAGTTCGAGATCACCTCCCCCCAACTTGCCAATGGCCCACATGCCACCGACGACCAGGATGATGTCAAAAAGAAGCCACAGGTTGGTGAGCAGGCTGTAGATGCTCAGCATGACAAAGACCACGGCATAGTTGCTGGAAAAATAGCTCAAGTTGTAGTTGACTCTCGCTTGCACCTCTCCAAAGTTGTTTGGTTTTGACAATCTTTTCAAGTCGAGAAACTCGGAAATGGGGCGGATGTTTGCAAAGCGGGAGGCGATGGACTGCGATCGAACACTGTTAAAGCGATCCGAGAGGTTAAGGCGGGAAGTCAGGGCTTCGATGGGGATGCTGATTCTAGCCATGTTGGGTATGCGAGAGGGGGTGATTTTCGATAGAGAATAAGGTGGTTGATTACCTTGCAGTTGTCAGTAAGGGAACGTGAATTGCTGGCGACGCAGCACCAAGAAGAGCTGGCGTCCTGCTGTTGGAGCACTTACAAGATTATCTGGAGTGTGGTGGTTTGGTGCCGAAGTGGAAATGAGTGTAATGAAGGAGAGTCGGGGGGAAGAATAAGTGAGACAGAGGTCGTGTATAAGAACAAAGGGATGTAGTGTCCAGGCAGAGAGACGTTTTCTTGTTGCCTGTGGCCCCCTTTGCGGAGATTTGGGATGGAATTCGACGGGGTCGAGAAGAGGATTATTTGGTTGGCGACGCTCGTAACCAGAGATTTTCGAAAGGGGGGAAGGGTGGGAGAAGGGCAAGGGGGAGGGGGCAAAAGGGCAGGCTGGTGGGTGGCTTCAAAGGGAGGGGGGAGGGGGGGGAGTGCGGGTACTCGGTAGGTCACCAGCTGGTGCCAGGCTACCTTGAGGCGTAGTCAGCACAACCTCCAAAGCCACACCAAGGCCACACCCAATTTTGGCAGTGACAGGGGGGAAGTCACCGACTGCGTACCTAGAACAGAGCACCTCAGCAACAACTCTCGTCTGCTTCCACCTCGTCGTCTTCCTCGTGGAATTCCTCGACCTGCCTCCCGCAGGCTCAAGGTCTCGTTACTGCCATCGCTCTCACTTCAGCAGCGAGGCGTAGAGAGCGAGAAGGAAGAAGGAAAAAAAGAGGAGGGCACGTTCCGATATATACACCTTGCAAACTCTTCCTTGGCTGCGATCATACAGTAAGCTACTGCACGTTCGCTGCGGCATCCTCCTCGGAACCTTCGTCAATTGGGCCCACGTATTTGGGCACCATTCCCAGTCACATTCGAATTCCTTGCCTCACTTCATCGCCGGCTTATAAGATTCCCTTGGACAGCGTGTGTCACCAGCACCGGTGATTATTGTCGTGGGGGAGAAGTGTGGGTGAAGATGATGCGACGAATCTTTTTCCTCTTGCTCTTGGTCGCCGTCTGTCTTGCATGGTCCGCGGAAGATTATGAGCTGTTCAAGTTGCATGATGAATTGGAAACAACTGAAGGGCCCGGAGTGACCTTTTACGATGTCCTCGGCGTCTCACCTCAGGCTACGTTCGAACAGATCAGTGCTGCTCTCAAGAAGAAATCCCGCACTCTCCATCCCGACAAAGTGAAACATTCCTTCATAGCCTCACGGTCGACGGCGAGCCCGAAGAAACAAGGCGGCAAGAGAAAGCCTGGGGTACACGTCTCGAAAGGACCATCACAGCGGGAGATTTCACGCGTTGTGAAAGATGCGCAAGAACGCTATTCTCGGCTCACTCTGATTGGAACAATCTTGAGAGGGCCGCTGAGAGAAAGATATGATTTCTTCGAAGGCCACGGTTGGCCCTCCTGGCGTGGAACAGGATACTACTATCAAAGATATCGACCTGGACTGGGTACCGTTTTGCTGGGACTGTTTTTAATTGGCGGCGGAGCCGTTCACTACTTCGTCCTGACCATGAACTACAGAAGACACCGAGACTTCATGGAGAGGTACATCCGATATGCAAAGAAGCAAGCTTGGGGCGATGAGACTGGTATCAGAGGCATTCCAGGTCTCGGCGATCCGGTGGATGTCGCACCTTCGATTGAGGAATCTGAGCCGACGGCAAATTTGAACAGACGGCAGCGGCGAGAACTAGATCGACAAAATAAAAAGGATAAGGCGAGCAAACCTGCTTCCGCTCCTATTCCCAAACCGATGCCTCCCTCAACACCGGATAGACGACGGGTGACTGCAGAGAATGGCAAGATACTGATCGTCGACCCTGAGGGGAATGTGTACTTAGAAGAGGAGGATGAGGACGGAAACATCCAAGAATATCTGCTGGACCTGGATGAGATCCCGAAGCCCACGATTTGGGATACAGCTATCTTACGCCTCCCCATTTGGCTCTATCGCAAATCCGCCGGTTCATTTTTGAAGAGTGCGCAGCCGATTCCTGAACATGAGAGACCTTCGCCAGACAGGGAAGGATCACCACCTGAGCCCACGGGAAAAGTGGTTGTCTCTGAGATGCCGACTGCGCCGGATATGAGCTCGAGTCAAATATCGGATTCTGGGTTTGAACTTGTCGACACCACTGGTCTAGAGAATACCAACGGTACTAATGTCAAAAAGCGCGGCAAGAAAGGGAGGAAGTGAACGCCCTAGAGCTGCGTTGGGATATGGATACCGATGTAGAGGATGTGCGAACATTTTGAGCGAGACCAAACAATAGACAATGAGATAAAATGCGTCAATGTAAACATCAAGTACTGACCCTAACTGCCATTTGTAACTTGTCCCCGTTCCGCCTTGTCTCGGTATTGGTTCCGCCACACTACAGAATTATGTATTCCTGCCTGTCTCAACATCGATTGATTCATTCGCAGATTTAATGTCGTAATCGACCACAGGAGAGGGAAAGCAGGTCTTCCCATTCGCTCAGGCGTACTTAAGTCCTCTGCTGGTCAGTTAGTACTAACCTGGATGACCAGTTGGGAATCCTGACTGTTGATTGTTGTTTTTTTTCTGCATCCGATTTTCGCTCCTACTCACGCACGGTTGTTCAAGATTCCGAATATTCCTCGTCTGCTTACGGCAAATTTGGTAAGCATTTGCGACTTGCAAGGTACTAACCGTGTACTACGCATTCGTGGCACTGGAAAAGTTTTGCGGCCCTGTGGGCCGCTGGGCCACAGCCCTGTCTCCACCAGGTTCACAGCCTTGCATTCTGTAATTGCATGCTTGCTCCCGACGCTGTGGCGCCTCTCGCGCACCAGTCTGGGCGACCCTAGAGTTTTCGTATCTGGCTCTGGCACAGCAACTTCTTGCCTCCCCAAGGATATTATATATACGGAGTACAACCGATGATAAGCGCCGCTCTCGGCCGATGGCCGATGGCGGGAACAGCCTGTTCAGAGTACAAACTGGATCAAACACTGTATGCCAGGTGCATGTCCAAGCTATTGATTTACAACAGAGCCGGCTCAGATTTTACCAGAAAGTCAGGGCGCAGGTCGGAGCATTTCCCAGACGGACATTCGGCACGGGATATCCCACACACGAGCGGCGGCATCAAGAATGTTCCTTTCAAGGATTCATAAGCTGAAGCTCGGTTTTGCAATGCATCCGAGCAATCAGGAGACCGAGGCGTTTTTAAAATGTCTTTGTTCGAGAACTGAGCAGGCGCGCAAGGACGGTCTGTGACCTCGTACTGGTGTTGTGCTCGTAGATCGGAGGGAAAACCACTCGAGGCAGTCCAAATAAGGGTAATCCGGATGCCTGATTGACGCACAAGGTGGCGAAAGAGGCCTACATTCCCGCTGGGCGGATGTACAAAGCAACCCCTGACCGGGCAGCCTTCCGGAGCGCCAAGGCCGCCCCCTGCAGTCCAAAGAAATAATACCATCCTTTTGTCTTCATCTTGACAAGGCTCACCTCTCTGATATACATAAGCCACAGTCGTCTCAAGTCCCACCAAAAGTCGCCTTCGGCATCGCCACCCACCTCGCTCTCCTTGTCCGCGTGATCCCGATCCGCACGCCCTTGGTTCATGCAACCCCCTATTGACCGCATAATCGCTCGCGCTTCAGCATGATATGCAATCTTCCGAGTGTCTGACGACGTCAGCGCACTCTTCTGGGCGTCAACATTTATGCCCCGGTCTCGTGCACTATTTCGAACCATCTAGAGGCTACGCTGGATGCTTTTTAGGGTGTCCGAATTTTTTTTGGTCTGCGATATCGAGACCGAGAGGTAGCCCAATCACGAGGCAGACTGACTCCCTGACCGGCTATACGCAAGTTCTGGACCTCACGGGCTGTATGGATCATTACCGAATCATCTCGCAAGGATTAGGTGTCCGCATATGGGGCCTGCTGCCTTTTTTTCGGCGTTCCAGAGTCCGTATAAAAATGGCAAGAGGGGATGAACCTAGCACCTGCGGCCCTTTACACTTCTTGATCTATCTTCAATTGTACACCGTTGCGCTTTCCGCCTTCGCTGGAGCACATCCGGTATCTTCGCGCACGCTTCTCTTCCTTACAAGTGGCTTTTGCCTGTTCAAAATTTTGGTGACTGGAGGCGCGAGATATCCTGTGATTGACCTGACGTACCAAATACCCGTCCAAGTCTTGTTTCCAGCATTGCGAGGTAGGATATCATGACCCTATAACTAATCAGTCTTTTTCCTTTCGTCTTTTAAGTTGTTGTTTCTCTCTCCTACAGAGCCATCTCTTTCTACTCTGTCAACTCTTTCATACATGTCATCAAATGGTGATCCTCCGCAAGAAGACGCTGCTCGCGGGAGTGAGAGCAGAGATTCCAGCACACGCCGATCCTCCAATATTATCGAGTTTGTCGATAGCCAGAATCCCAATGTCAGAAGTGCCATCCAACGGCATACCGCGTATCATTCAGCGGCACAACGTCGAGAAGCGCGGGCGCGACTTCTTCGGCGGTCCAGCCAGACTCGCTACTTCGAATGGACCCGACGTCCCAGGGGGGACGCAGATGTTGCAACTTCTTCAGCCAGCAGCGCCAGTTCGGTGTCGATTTCGCCGGCACCCTCAATCCCCGGAAGACCGGATCTGCCCAGTCGTACAACCAGTGACGAACAAGAAGCTGGTTCATCTACAAGTGACGCGGCCGCAGACTCCGCGATCGAAATGTTACCATCCGCACCTCAGATAGCCATCTCTGCTGATGACTCGGTACTGGAATTTTGTGAGTTCCTCCTCCAGACATGCTCCAGCACATACGTGACCGGGCAATGCATGCACAGTCGGCATTCTGACACTAACACCCCGACCACAGTACGAGCCACATTCTGCGATCATTATCAATCAAGCGACGTGTTGGAATCGGCGCTGGTATTTATGCTTGAGAACGAAGCTTCTCGACATCTGCTCATTGCCTACGCCTACGCACTGCGGAGGTCGCGCGCACTTGCCGAGGAAAGCCCTCAGGACCAGGTGGAAGCGGAAAGAAATCTCGGTCGAGGTACTAACATTCTTTGGAACCGGCTCCGAACGCCAGGGCATGCCAGTTCTGACGCCAACATCCAGGCTGTGCTCTTGTTGGTGGCGTACACCGCGGATTTCGGGGACCCAAACGAGGTTCGTCTTCATGCCGATGCCTTGAGGACAATGATCGACCAGCGTGGCGGCATTGACACGTTTACCCATAACCTTGCACTCCAGCATCAACTATGGGTGATAGAAGTGTCGCGACGGTTCCATTTGAGCCTGGATTGCGAGCCGAGCTGCCCAGATCCACTTCGGTTTCCCGACGGTCTTCGACTGCGACATGGAGGTGAGGGAGGTTGAGAAACCTGGGGAAGCGATTGTCTGTCAATATGACCAAGGGCGATGTGGAACCGACGATTCAGTGGATCGCTCAACGAAGTTTCCAAGAGTTTCTAGAAAAGTCTTGTTCTAGAACGATACTCTCGTATGACGATTAATAATCTCTGAGTTGTGATATACCTGTACTTTGTACATGATGCTGTGTATATACTTGCCAATACCTGTAAATAATGCATCTAATGATGTTTCGAGACTTGGTCCCTGCAGCGTAGTCTGCCCTACTCTTCCAGATTGAGATGGCTCAATGGACAGGTCTAGAACTGGCTCGGTACTTCGGAAGGTGTTAAAGAACGGATTTAAGTTGGTGCGGCATTAAATAGCGCGTGGGTCTCACTGCCACACCGTAATACCGGAGTCGCGGGGCTGAGATAAGGCGTGCCTCTACCCAGTACAAGTACAAGTATTTCTGAGAGAACCACATGTGCGGACGAGGAAGCAAAGAGATCGTCGAGTGGCAAAAAATTGAGAAATTCCCCGTCACCACCGTCTCCGAGTTCCTTCCAACAATGGCCGAAAATAAAGTGCGTGGAAAAGACATCCACGCACCCAGTACGGTGGGGTCTAAGGTGCGATTTGTGTGGGCACTGTGACTACGGCGACGCAAACGCTCGCCTTGTTCCATCCAGCCCGCAGCTGCCAACAGACTTGGGAATTCCGTGAATTTTGCGTCCGTCTTCCCCACGACTGATCTCATTGTCCATTTCGACATCCTACTGGTACCTGTTCTGTCCACCACCCTCCCCGGCCACCTCACTCCACAACCAGCGCTCACAAGGACAGCTTGTCCTCCAGAATCACACCTCCCACGATCGTGTACCTTGCAATTGCGCTTGATCTGCGCTCTACAATCCGGCTTCTTGCTTTCTTTGCTTGATCCCCGCCCTGTTTAGCCCTGCAAGCTCGACGTCCTCTCCTGCGCACATTGCAATCTCGCCTCTCACGGTTTGTCTAGGTCGCGGCGATCATATCTGGAGCTATCCTTCTTTCTCTTGTGTAGTCAAGATACCTATTCAAAATGTCGGGCGAGGCGTGGTTATACCTGCTCGCCGTCCTGATAAATGCCGTCAATCTCTTCCTGCAGGTCTTCTTCACAATCATGTACAGTGATCTGGAGTGGTAAGCGACAGCTCCCCAAGCCCGGCCTGTCCAGGATATACTCTGCTAATCTGGCCAATTACTGCTCAGTGACTATATCAATCCCATCGACCTCTGCAACCGTCTCAATACCTACATTGTTCCCGAAGCTGCCGTTCACGCCTTCTTGACATTCCTCTTCCTCATCAACGGATATTGGCTGGCGCTACTGTTGAATCTACCACTCCTGGCATTCAATGCAAAAAAGTGGGTGTCCATTCCGACCTAATAGTTTGCACGGTGGGCGGGAACTGATGAGATCATGGTAGGATCATCGAGAACCAGCATCTACTTGACGCCACAGAGATCTTCCGAAAATTGAACGTCCATAAAAAGGCATGTACATACCCGCAGTGGGAGGTGGCACTGCATTACTAATGCCGAGTTCTTCGCAATAGGAATCTTTCATCAAGCTCGGCTTCCATTTGATCATGTTTTTCTTCTATCTTTACAGCATGATTGTCGCCTTGATCAGGGACGAGTCGAACTGACTACGTGGTGAAATATCATATGCGATGAAGCATGGCAGTTACTCCTGATGATGGTCGCCTGCTGCTATGATGCGTCAGCCAATTAGGGAAGCTTTCAGTGCTGGTGAGGAGGATGATTAAATGGAAAACGCGGCGACTGTTGAGGGGACAAAGGGACTTTGACGATTTCCAACGCACCGGGGCTCGCCCGTCTGGGTTGTCAAGTTAGCCAAAGACGACGTGGCGAGTCCACCAGAGGTTCATTCTACTGCACGAAAGGCGGTGCAAGCGGCGACGGCAGTCAGAGAGCAAAGATTCTCACATGGTCAAGATTTGGAAGGACGACATTTCCCAAAACTATGTGGTTGGTTTATCTGTCTGCTACTCGACCTGTACAGCCGAGATATGAGATACGACGAGGCAGAGGAGTTCTGAAATATTTCCGCTGGTGGAGGGTCTATGATAGAGAGAGCAATTTTTTAGCAGGCCCGTTGCAAGCATGATGCGACAATATGCTAATGTCCTGGGTTGCAGAAGCGAGGAAAAGCCACCATTTCCTGTCCTAATGCTCAAATTCTAACCGTCCTAGTTGGCATTACTTCACCTTACAGGCTTTATTGTGTCACATTCAGATGCGCCACCAAACCCCCGCAAGGACCAGTTAAGACGTCTAGAGAAGCATTCAACACTGTTGCTTGATTGTGAAATCGACCGAGTCATCAGGCTGCCATCCTTTATTTGGACACAAGGCCACCGTAGCTATCAAAAAAGGCAGGTATTCCGAGACATGTGCGTCTTGGCCGACGCCATCACGAGGTTCCCCAGCACGCGCCAGTCCCCGAACTTTTTCCCTCGTCTGGATGACTTGAGGACGGAATCTCTTTTGCTTCACTGTGATTTTCGTTGTCAGGGTCAGACTCGGCCAAGATGTCCGCCCTTCTAGGATCAGCATATGACTCGAGCGACGACGACCAGAGCCCCGTGGAACGCCCTTCTCGGCAAAAGCCCGCAATAAACACCGCACCAAACGCATCAACAGAGGTTTGGTCTTTGTTCACCAGACGATGTGCTGGTCAGTCTAACGCGGCGCAGGATGTGTCGCAAATGCAAGTCATGTTGGCGAACCCTTCTAGCAACGCGCTCACTTATAATGTCACCTACGACAACCTTGCCCGCCCCGCCCAGGGTCCAGCAAATCCATTCAAGACTACGGCCGCCAATGCCCTCAAACGGAAGAATGTCCTCACCGGAAATGCAGAGGAGACATCGATGTCGGAAGCCGCATTCAAGACGCAGCACAGGACATATCAGAGCCTAGGGTACACCAAGGATCCCACGATGAACGGTTCATTTGTGGGCGATCAGTCTGCCGTTGCCAAGTACGGCGGCAGAGACGTCGTCCAGTTGCGCCACTCCAAGCAAGAAAGTGCCGCAATTCGGGCGAAGAGGCAGAAAAAGGGAGACAGCAGCATAGTCGATGGTGAAGGCGCATATCTCGGTCCTTGGGCAAAATATCAAAGCGACGATGTTGCTTATGAGCAAGCAGAAGCCGCGGCGGATCAAGAACTTGCCTCAGACGAGGAATGGGTGGAGGAGGGCATCGTACCTACGCCGCTGCCTGCTCCTCCGAAGGAAGCCACTGGATATTCCGACGATTCAAATGCTGCTGAGACGACCGAATTTCACGGCGCTTCAGAATTGGATTACCAAGGACGGACGTACATGCACGTACCTCAAGATCTGGACATCGACCTTCGCAAAGAACCGGGTTCGATACAAAATTACGTGCCGAAGAAGCTTATACACGTCTACAAGTACCACACGAAACCAATCACCTCGTTGCGATTCATCCCGAAATCGTCGCACCTACTACTTTCGTCGTCCGCAGACGCAAAACTCGCTTTGTGGGATGCTCATCACGACCGGACCCTCCTCCGCACGTTTTCGGGCCACAACAAGGCGATCACAGACACCGATTTCCACCCCTCGGGACAATCTTTCTTGTCCGCGTCTTATGACCGGCAGATGAAACTTTGGGACACAGAGACCGGAAAATGTATATCCCGGTTCACCACGGGCAAAACGCCACATACGCTGCGCTTCCACCCCGAGGGCAACGAGTTCATCGCTGGCATGGCCGACAAGAAGATTGTCCAATTTGACATCCGGTCGGGCGAATTGACGCAAGAATACGACCACCATCTCGGCCCCATCAACACACTCACATTTGTCGACGAGGGACGAAGGTTTATCTCCACATCCGACGATAAATCTCTCCGTGCTTGGGAATATGGTATCCCCGTACCTATCAAATTCATTGCGGATCCGTCCATGTACGCGCTCGTGCGCGCCGCGCCTCACCCATCTGGGAAATACGTCGCATTCCAATCTGCCGACAACCAAATCGTCGTGTATGCCGCGGGAGACAAATTCCGACAGAATCGGAAGAAGGGCTTCAGAGGTATGAACACCAGCGGTTACGCTATCGATGTGGCCATATCCCCGGACGGCGGAATCATTGCAAGCGGCGATTCCGGCGGGTATGTGTGTTTCTGGGACTGGAAAACGGGAAAGATGTGGCACAAGATCCAAGCCGGAGGCGAAGGGGCGGGTGCAGTGACGTGTGTGGCATGGCATCAACACGAGAGTAGTAAAGTTGCGACAGGTGGACTGGACGGAATGATCAGATATTGGGATTAATGACCCAAGGCAGCCCAGGCGAGCCATTTCACCCAATCTGGAATACTCACCAAGTTGATCGAGACACCATCAGGCACAGGACAGCTCGGGATTTCGCAGCCGTCACAACGGATGAAGCTGCGTTTAAAGCGGTCTGCAATGCTTGACAAGCATGGCCCCGGCGCCATGTACCGTTCGTGTCGTCGCGCACGGGGAACCGTGGTTGTTCCACAACCCACGAATCCTTGACCTTTCAGAAGAAGGCAGTCCGTACCCCTATCAGAAGCTATGATCAATCGCTCTGTCCCGGGTACGTTTGCAGCGGCATGTCCTCCATTCGCCGATGGCCTCGGGTTAGGCCCGTCGATTTCGATCCACGGCAGCAGTGAGGCAGAGACTGGACTGGATTTCTACGGGCATTGGGGGTCAATGCCTTTCCAATGACATGTTGGCCCGCGCTTCACATCTCCGGTCTGTACGTGGAGAGCCAAGGTGCTGAATGGAGAAGTCTGGAATAGAGTCGGCAGGACAGGACAGGTATGCTTCGCCATACGCGGGAAAGGGACGCCCAGATGGGTGCCAGATATATAGTAGAACAGATGACCTTGTACCGCTGGTCTTACATTGACCCGATGTTCTTGGTGCTCCATGTATTCATACAACTCCACCATGCACCGACACGTCCCTTAAGTTTTCGTGCTACCTTCTCAGAGCATCCAACACACTCGAACCCCCTGACATCGCATACGGCGACTTGCTGCCACTTGACCAATAGTCACTCCACTCTCCGCCCGTCTCGTACAAGGCATGTTGACTCTCCACCTTTTGCCAGTCAACGCGATCCCACCACGCGCCCAAGTACCATTTTTTGCCCAGTAGGCCATAGTCTCTGAGCCATTGATGTTCCCACACATTGACACACAAGATAGGTTGCATATCCAGCGCACCCGAGTAGAGGTTGGCACGTGAAGAGCTGAAATCGCCAAACGAGCCCGCCGTCGAGTTGCCTGTCGAAATGTTTCGTTCTTCCAAGCTCGGCAATCCCAGTCCTCCGCGACCGGAGAGTTGATCCGAGAGCGTACGCCCATCGAAGGTCGCCATGTCCTTATCATCCCGTCTGGGTGCCGCATCGGGGTATGGAGAACCGGCATTGTACGTGGCCAGAATGCGCATGTCGCCCACATTCTTCCCTTTCATCAACCACACGAATCCGTTGCCGAACATGGCGTCCGCGGTCTCGAGCATCTCTTCCCTTAAATTCTCCACACTGCCGAAGCTGGCCTCAATGCTTCTCATGGTGTTGAGCCCCGGTTTGTGGATCGCCGGATCATCCTTCTCGGTCAGGTACTCCCAAAAGAACCGCGTGAATTCGACCATGGCGGCGAGATTGTAGAGATGTGCCCGATCGGAGCGATGGGCGCATTTTGCGTGCAAGTCATAGGTCGAGGAGGACTCGTCTGCCGTTCCTAATACGAGCTCGTTGAGGCGGTCGCATAGGTGTTGGGTGTATTTCATGTAGGTCTCTTGGTAGGTTTCTGCACTCAGGAAGCCGGGGACGCCGTGGCGGGAGAAGAATTCCTGTTTCCCCTGGTTGGCCCAGACGGGGACGGTGTGTTTTCTGCGGATCTGTCTCTTCAGAAAGGAGGAGGGCTGTCATTCAACGAGGAAGAGTTAGTCAATCCAGAGACACACGGAGAGAAGACGGGCGCTTTTGGGGAATCCATCACGGCTGTACATACCGCGGGATTTGATTGCTTGACAAAGGCCCGCAGCAACGACTGCGGCCTCGCCGGAGGTCTTGTGATCATCACTGGGAGGATGGAGCAACGCAGTCTCAGTGCCCGAGAGAATGGAAACGGACTGACAAGCCCTGCGAGCCCAATTGCTCCAAATTTCTGAGACGAACAGACGCAACCACCGAAAAGGGAATAGCTCCCTGCCCAGAGCCTTCAGCCACTCACAGAGCTCTGTCCTCGTGCTGAGCCGCAGTCTTGAAACTCGTCCGCCACCTCCATCTCTCCCATGTACCTACCAAGTACACCCTTGCTACATCTTGCTACACCAACGGACCAACCTACACCATCCTCCACGCGTCTGACCTTCTTCTCAGGCTTCTATAGCCTATCGTTTCAGCTTGCATGAGTGTTTCCATGCATCATCGCGCCCTACCTCGCAGCATATGGTTCCGCGTCATTTTGTGAAGCGGCAAGCCACTGGCTGTCGGCGGAGCTTTTCTCGATCTCACTTCATGTGCTCTGCATATTCATAGCTACATGGCAACATGGCTACCCAAGGCTGCAAGATGCACGCTTGTGTTCTGGCATATTGGCACACAGCAGACACGCGATCGGGTCTCGATCTCCGCGTTCTCCTCCTTTGTTCTATAATGAGCTCTTTCCTTTGTCCATTCGGTGAAAGGCGAGTATACTTCTTCTCTTTGTCACGTTGATCGACGCTGGCTTTGAGAGCCTTTATTTTCCCTCTTCTTCGTTTGCAAGACCTATTCTTGGCCACCAACAGAGTGACAATACCGTCCTGGTGACCTTTTGTCTTTATACCCTGTGATCGCTTTGGTGAAGAATCTGCTTGCATATATCCGTCTATTGCTTAATTGTCTCTTTCTGCGGGTAGCAAACTTGTATATCTCTTTCAGCTATGCAATTTCCCACGCGTGTTTGTACAATACGCACCTTCTTGGTCGCATCTGGCATCCTCTACACCTCGTCTGCTTTACAAATCGTCTCGACGCCAGCTCTTCTCCGGAGAGACGATTCCTCATGCGCGGCAGTCGATCCCAAACTACCCGGGAACTTCAAATGCCCTTCTGGAAACAACTGTGTGTCCCTCGACAACTCATCATCAGCACTTTGCTGCCCGGAATCAAGCTCGTGCGACAACATTCAGACAGTATCCTGTGATATCTCATCTCAAAATGCAACTGCGAATCCTACAGCGGGAATATTCACAACGAGACTTGGAGACAAGTTGCCACAGTGTGGAGATAAATGCTGTCCGTTCGGATATTCCTGCATTGAACAGCCATCGGGGCCTTCCGTTTGCAGTATCATCCTGAGTACGAGCATAGTGGGGAAGACGGAGCCATCTTCTGGCAACGCATCCCAGCCTTCCTCAGCAAGCTCTTCCGCTACGAGGTCAGCTACTTCGAGTACCTCGACCACTGGCTCGACTTCAACTTCAAATCCAAGCAGTATTAGTGCATCGGCAGCTCAGGTTGGACCCTCATGCAACAAATTTCCCATCGGGGTCTTCCTGGCCGGGTTCTTTCCTGGCATGTTCATTGGCGCTTTTCTGATGCTGGCTTGGGTCATATGCAGCGGACGACATCGAAAACCGAAGTCTCGAAACTCGTCGGGCTCATCAATATACAAACCGACCATCTCGGACCCCATTCCCCTAGATAGTGGTCTGAGGACGGACTTCCTTCGCAAAACCACCGATCGAGCAAAGTCCATGTTTTCCACAAGGAGCAACCGGAATAGCCAACAAGCCGCGCCTAGTCACTGGAAGATGCCCACACCGCCAGTACCCAACAATATTCCCACCGTCCCAGCGGGCCTACCCGTGACGCCGGAGCGGAGACTTGCGCATGAGCTCAGTACGGAAAGCATCAAAGTCTATACTCCGCCAAGCGGCACAGTCCAGCATCATCCCAATCCCGCTGCAATCGCCCCACTGAGAGGCATGGCTGCACAGCGATTGCCGCTGGCAAACACAAACAACATGGGCAGCCCATTTCAATCGCCTCCGAACAACAACACTAATGGCTCTACCACGGTCAATCGGATGAGCAGCAATCGAAGAAATGAACGGGATGTGAGCGTCTTCTCTAGTGTGTCCGAGTTTTCAGCCGAGAATGATGGGCCTACACTAACGCCGGCACGGTACAATGGTGGCTTCAACCCAACACAGCGCATGCGATCCGAGAGCAGAGACGAAATCAGCAGACCAAACACCACTTTTACAGAGATGTTGCACGAAGCTGGATTCCCTGATCCCATGCAAGCAGAAGAAAAACATACCCCGGCTGTGCCGAAGATACCAGATGGTTATGTGCGGGGGAACAATCGGATATAAATGATAATTTGACGAGTCCCATTCGTTTATACCGAGAGTGCCTGGACAAGAGGAAATCCAGGACCCTGCAAGCGGTCAGATGATGAACATTTTGCATTTTGCTATGAATTCGGGTACACAGGCTGTGGATTGAAAATAGTTCTCCTCCTACGACAGTACTATCGCTACTCTGACTCTAGGGGTCTTGTCAGAGATTAATATGAAATAATTCGTGATGACGCATTGATTTTGATTCGCTCTTCGCGACGTGAACGTTCTTCAGTTATGGACAGAGAGATCCTAGAGGCAAGAAGGCGCACATAATACTCCGCAGCCTCGCCCCTTCTCGCATCTCAGCCTTGTCACCACCCACCCCACCGGCCGGCCTGCCTGCCCCTCCGCACGCGACTTGGAAGTCCAACGAAATATTTCGAAACAGCAACCGAACTATACTCACCACCACCACAAAGCATACCGCCTAAACTCACATCTTATTAGACCTAGTCCTCATTAACTTGTATTTGCAAACATGGCGGAACGCCCACCCTCCCCGACACCCTCCGAACGCGCCCGCAAGGACGCCGAAGACCGCAAGCGCGAAGAAGAGGAACAGGCGAAACTGCCGTACAAATGGACGCAGACTCTCGAAGAGGCGGAAGTCAGCGTGCCCATACCGGGGAACCTCAAGGCGAGGGATTTGATTGTCGAGCTGAAGAAGGCGCACATCAAGGTCGCGATCAAGGGCCAGGAGCCCATTATTGACGTACGTGCTACGTTTTCTCTTTCTCCTTGTCTTTCTGCGCCTGCTTTTCTGGGGCTGCTTTGGCTCGACGTGGTACATAGGCAGGGCGCCCTGGCCCTACGGGCTCTTTTGATACTTGTGTTCTCCGAAAAGAGGCAACAGGAATGAATATTAAGAATGCCAACTAACACGGCATCACTCCACAGGGCGACTTCCCCCATCCCATACAAACGGACGACTCGACGTGGGTGTTGTCCACCAAGCCGGACGGAAACAAAGAAATCCTCGTCACCATCGCCAAAGCCCGCGGCTCCAATTGGTGGGCGCACATCGTCACTTCGGCGCCCAAGATCGACACCACAAAGATCGTGCCTGAGAACTCCAAGCTGAGCGAACTCGACGGCGAAACGAGGGGAATGGTTGAAAAGTAGGTTCCGCTGCCCTTTATAAACACGCGTTGCCATAGTCCGAGCCTCGGCGGTTTATAAGACCATGTCACTAACGCAGTCGTTGCTGGAAAACTAGAATGATGTACGATCAAAACCAGAAAGCCATGGGCAAACCGACCAGCGAAGAGCAAAAGAAGGACGAGATCCTAAAGAAGTTCATGAAGGAGCATCCAGAGATGGACTTCTCGAATGCGAAGATCGGATGAGAAACGTATAAGAAATGGCAATGCGACCCGAATCAGACCGGACGTGGCCAATAACGGAGGATTAGGGAACGGTGATTTTATGGACAGCTCTCCCAAGGTCCTGTTCCCTGTGTACGAATTGAACGGACGATACCACTTTGAAGGCATGAGTTTCACGATTCATGAGAAAAAGACAACGGAAAGAAAGGAATAGCATCATCCGGAGTTCAAGAGTTTGGCCGTCAATTCTGGTCGACAAATGACTTTGAATCAATCAAACTTGTTACCATCACCAATGCCTGCCTTCGGGCTCTAGGGGATGTTGTCCGGGCGAGGGAGCATTGTCCGCCTTGACTTCTCGTCTCAAGAGTCCGCTGCTTTTTTTTCTTTTTTTTTTGATTGAATTACAGCTCGTCTCGCTTTGTCCTGGTCCCTGCAGCCTGTCTCAACCGCCACATCTGAATCCCATGCCTAGGCACCTGTGCCTGCAACATCCCCCCGCCACGGACCGTCCCAACCAGCGTGCCGATCAAGAGAGGATTGCTCTGGTTCAACCCCGTTGCCCAACTCGTCTCGCTGGCATTGTAATATCCCGTCGCGTTCCCCACCGCAAGCGTGCCGTTCAACACCTGTGCCGCCACCTCGGTGCTCATGACCGTCTGGTTACCCCAGACATCGAACAGGTCCCAGCTCTTTTGGGCATTTGTGTTCGTGCGGAGGCCACCGAAGACGTCGACAAGGCTATAGGACATGATGCGCGAGTTGTTGCCCGCATTGAGGAAGGCGACCACCTGATCGCCATTGCTCAGGCTTCCTTGCCACACTTGGATTTCTCCAAACCCCCACGCGTCCGTGTCGTCGACCTGCTGCCTGACTGTCCTGGAGACAGCACTGATGCTGGGGTCCTGCGATATGGCCAGCACCGCCGGGTTAATCAGGATGGCATAATCCTCGGGGGAAAGCTGGTCGAGTTTGTTCCCCATGATCAACGGAGACTTGATGGCCGCCCACATGCTAAAGTGGACTTTATATTCGTCGTAGCTCATGCCGCCGTTGCCTACCTCGAGCATGTCCAGGTCGTTATAGTATCCCGCTTGGGTTTTGCTGCGGATAGGGCTGGCCTTGCCGAGGATGTTCATCACCGAACAGCCATAGCCAGGAAGCTGGCAGTAGTACTCGTCAGGACCACAGGGGCACGACGTTGTAGGCATGGAGAAGCTGTCTTGGATATCGCCGGAGATACGGGCACTGTTGGCTATTGTGGATGCCCACTCCCTATTGCAGACGAAGAACGATTCATGGTGAGTCTGCAATCCCGCCAAAGCCATAACCTTGTTGTTGTCAGGAGAACAACTTACCAAGGTTTATCGTCTCCCCAGTTACACAACGAGTATACAAAATCCCGTCCCGTCCCGTTCAAAGCGTTCGACATCGCAGCATATCGATCTTGGCTCAACTTTGGCGTGCCCGAAAGGCCTTCGTTGTAACAATTGTCGTATTTCAGATAATCTGCACCCATGCTTGACCACCATGCCGCATCCTGAGTCTCATATCCTAGGCTTCCGGGGTATCCTCCGCAGGCTGTCAAGTTGAAAGGAAATATGGTTAGTGTCATGACATCTGTGACGCAGTGTGGGCGACAAACTATATTTGCCCGCACTACTATACACTCCAAAATACAGGCCATAACCGTGGAGCTGGTTCGCTATGTTCTGGAGTCCTGAGGGAAATTTGGCTGCGTTCGCAATCAAGGTCCCATTGGCACTGCGATCGAGCTCCGTCATGGCATCGTCAAAGATGACGACGCGGTAGCCTAGGTCACGGAATCCAAGGGAGACTAGTCGTTCGGCGTTGGTAAGGATTGTGGATTCGTTGTATGCAAGGCCATAGGCGTTGTAGGTATCCTATCATGGCATACTCGGTCACCCAGTGGATTCGAACTTCAAGCCATAGGAAGAAAGGAGGGTCGGATGGCAAGGCTGTTTTGCGTAGGGCACCGATAAGACGGAACTCTTACCCAGCCCATTTGAGGTGTTTGAGCAAGGCCGTTGTAACTAAGGCTTGCAGCACAGACGGCCTTCAGCAGCAGCGCAAGAAGAAGCCACTTAGATATAACGGCAAAAGATTTGAGCCCGGAAGCCATTTTGGTTCCGCAATGAGTGTAAGTGAAGCAAAGAGCTAGAGATGAGAGCAGGTCGAAAGTAAGGAAGGCAGGACTGGGGGTCTCCATATAACAATGCCTGGTATGTTGCATGCATGTTCGTCGATATGATATGTTACATTTGCCAGCTTGTGCTGTCGGTTATTGAACTCCCACTGTTCCCCTGAATGCTAGACCAACAGACCTTTTCCCCGCATCTGTGTCCACGAGGACTGTGTTGGTGGCGATCTCCAGGTCATGACGCCACAGCACAGTTCCGGCTGTGTCTTGCAGATCCACTTCCAGGAACTAAGCGGAGGGGCACTGGGGACCTCGCTCCGCGTTGATGCGGCTGGTTTTGCGGCAACATGTGCCGGTGAAGATGTCGCCAGGGTCATCTCTGGGTCGTTCTGGTATATTCCTCATCGGCGCCCAGGAAAACGCCCGGTGTGGAAGAAACAGCGTCCACACGGCGTGTCTCAAGTTGGCCTTTTAAATCCCATCATAGCCAGATTAATATCGGGCGGTTGCGGCCTTTGTCGGGGTTTTGAGAGGTCCATTCCAAGGGGATCACCATCGGCTTCGAGATCGCCCTCTTCGTACACGCTGGTGGGTTCGTTAGTGTTGAAAAAACCGTCCCATAATCCTTTCTTGCACACGAGAGCTCCAACCAATACCAGTGGGAGATGCCAGACGCTCGCCCAGAAAAGTCCTCTAGCACTTCCTCCAGCTCCTTGCTGTCTCCAAAAGCGGAACGCCTCTCTAGTCATCCAGACGTTGCATGCCGTACTGATGACCAGGAAGCCCTTGTCCACACACCCCGTGAAATAAAGGAGTCCGCATATAGGGAACATAGCTAGAGAGTATCGTAGAGCAACACGTCCATTTCGAGCAGGATTCGTCCAGGCCAGCATTTTGTGGCCAGCATTTCGATAGTCTTCTCGAATAGTGTGAGACAAAGACATAAAATGAGGGAACTGCCACGCAAAAAGGAGGGCGGCTAAGGCCCAGCCGCCTATCGAGCTCTCGGAAAAAAGCAGATCTCGCCATGAATGGTGTTCGGATGTTGCAGCCTCGCCCGCAGCAGCGCACCAGCCCATTAAAGGGGGAATGCCGCCCACAATCGCCCCGACCCACGTATTTGCCGCGGAGATCCGCTTCATTGGAGTGTAAACTCCAGCGTAGAGGAAGATATTGAGAGCGGATAGGCCCGCCACCGTCGGATTGGTCCCTAGGCCGAGAAGAAGCAGGCCAGACGCCCCGCAAATGAAGGCAAACACGGCGGCAGCCCGTGGAGAGACCAGCTTCCTTACAAGAGGCCGATTTCGAGTTCGAGACATGAGGGCATCATATTTTGGTTCAAAAAGCATGTTGAGGGTGTTAGCACAGGCACACGACAAAAAAGTGCCCGAAGTGAGGAAGAGCCAAGTCAATGTTGACGTTGAAAGTGACGAAGTCACCTCCGAGGATGCGGAGGAGAGAATTTCTGGGAGCGGATACAAACTGTAAGCCGAGGTGGTCGTGAGCAGAATCAGGAATGACAGTCGTGGTTTGGTCAACGAGAGGTACGTTGCCAGCTTTCGTCGGAAGACGGCTGACTTTGGCATCAAGGTCGCCGCAGTCGTCAATTGGGATGAAGCGTCCAAGGGAAGAGACTCCTCTGATGTGTCCTGGTTGCTCTTCCGTCGCTTCCGCCTTCTGTGCGGCAACACCTCTGTCTCTGGTTCACCATCCTGCACAGCTTGGCTCACTTCTGGGCCTTTTGGAGGGCTCGGGTTCACTGCACTCGGAGGCTCCTCCTTGAATGACAAGGCCTTCTCCAGTTCTCCCTGTGCTCGAGTCCGTGTAGCTTCGGGAGGTATGTCATTGTCCCTTCGTCCTGCAGGCTCCGCGACTGTGCGGACCGCAGCCAGCATCCCACTCTTGATCCATCCTCTCTCAATTGAGGCGTTGGCAGAGAAATAATCGTCCACGAAGCTCTGCGAATGAGCAACTGCACTTCTGGAGGCCTTTTCGGTTGGAATTATGCCACTGTGGAGCTTCCTGTTTGCCTGGAGAACAGATTTCAAGGTGCTGTGCGTCCGAGAGGATTGGCGAAGGCATCGTGTGATACAGGACGGACAGATGCGAAAGCCACGTCCAGACAATCGGCCTGCTGCCGGAGCAGCAGCCATAGCGGCGGTGATCTAAGCTGGCGGAAATCGCAGAAGGGTCATTGAGTTGAAGCGTGGTGTGAAGAGTAAAGACCGAAATTCAACTTGGCCGCAACTGGCCGCAAAAGCGGAGGTAAATCGACATCGAGCGCACCTCGATACTGGATACCCAGAACTGACCTAAGCTACGCCGCTTTTAAACACCGCCAACCTCCCACTCACCAACTCAGCTTGAACTCTTCTCTTTTACTTTTAGTTATTTTCATTTATTGATTTCTTTAGGACGAGAACTTACTTACGGCCTAACTCTGCTCTATTTAGGAACAATTTCTGCTTCTACACTAGGCTAGAATATTGACCCCAGTACCGAGCACTCGGCGAAAAGGCTCCCTACTCGCTGCCCTAGCAATGCCTAAGTAGCTCGCATCACCCTCGAGACTCGGAATCATCTTTTCAGCTTAACACCGTTGAAATCTAGCGGTAAAATGCATCAGACTATTCGTGGTAAGTCAGAAAGTTGCAGAGGATGCCGTCGAGCGTATCTTTGCAGCCAAAATTTTAAGCAAATGGGATACCAGGAACGCAAGGGAAAGGTTGGAACTTGTTGTCTATGGCAAAAGTGCGAGATACGGCGAGGTTGCTGAGGGAGCGGCACGGGATTCGAGACTCGAGAGCAGACACCAACGGGGGATCATCCTTCTCGACTGGCGTCGCAACACGAGTTGGCAGGAGTATATCAGGCGAATAGTCAAATGAAGGAGGCAGCGAAGAATTCACAAGCAGACATTGACGAAGGATGATCCCGATCGACTGACATCGCAGAATAACCTGGCTATGATCCTAGGGGAACTTGACCAGTGAGTCTCCTTCACCTTCGTGGAGACCCTACAGACGGGTTCCGTGCAGCGTCCGGGAAATGGATGGAGCCTTTTAAGAACGACACATCCAAGGTTTGACGACCACGGATTTACCACAACACTTTCTACCGAACTACCTAGATAGGTACCTACGACTACTCCTATCACGATCTACCGCCACCTACTTCGTCCGTGTTCCGTTGTTCTGTCCACAGCCTTCCCGCAGCCATCGCATGTCTGATGATGGCCCGGACGATCTTCATGTTGGATGTCCATTCAGCTGCTCCGTCCATCCAAACCATGCACGGGCAGCCCAAACACAAACGGACCAAGTTTGCTAGGTGCCAGGTACCCGACCAAGCTGGACTTGCGAGACCTAAACCCGAGAACTGAAGTCGTTGGCGCACAACTCGGCCGACAAATGTGAGGTACGTAGACAAGGATTGAAAAGGAATTTAGAAGAATTCAATAAGCAGCACTCGTAAGCGCTGCCATGGCCAGAACAATCCTCTCTGCCCCGCTGCATTGAGCATTTTTTCATCTATACAGAGCCGAGGGCCCTTGACAAACCCCCCACCCGTTTCTAACGATGTGCTTGCCAGAGATGGAGTGAATGTGCTTGGTTTCTTGCCGCCGTGGTCCTTATACTACTCACAATCAAGCTAGGCCTACAGCCTCTGTCGAAATACAGTGTGAGCACATTTCCTCATTGAACGGCTCGAGCCAACGAGACGGGTAACATGCTCTGAGCAAATTCATTGTTTCAGACGAAGTCCAGTTATGCAATTCATATCTTGCTATCTCATCATCTGTTGATATTTGACGATGAGGCCCTGCTCTCATCGGCATTGTGTTTCTAGCAATTAGTGAGTGCCCAGTTTTTCGACTTCTGAGCCACCAAAGTATTCAACAGTTCGATGCCTGGTAAGCCCACAGCTCATGTGAAACAGCTGTGAGTGTAACATTGACAAGTTGGGAAGACACTAGCAGCCTGCTGAGCCGCCTCACGGCTGATTCGACGCCTGATAGTCTTCAAGGACCTGGGAAATCTCCGTCGACGCATGAGATACAACACGCTCTGTGGGTTGGCAATATCCCCAGCGAGACCAATATTCTGGACTTGAAGGATTTCTTTTTGGACGTTACCCCAAACGACCTTATCAGTCTATCCTATAATCCCGCCTCAAGGTACGCGTTTGCGAACTTCAGCAAAGAGAGCGCTCGCATCACCGCAATTGTGCATGCGGCTTCCACTCTGTTCCGGGAAAACCGACTGGATTGCCGAATTAGGTCTGAGGGACAACCGAGATCTGTCAAAGTCAGCTATGGCCTCAGTGCTGGTGATAATAGAAATATTGCAGTCCCAAAACCCACCGACGACCAGAAACAAAAGGCTAAGGAGTTAGCCTTCTTCCCTGATTGTGACGTCGACCAAAATGATAAGGAAAAGTTCTTCATTATCAAGAGCTTCACACTCGAAGCAATACGCCAGAGCCTAGAAACGAATCTGTGGTATATACCGCAGAGACACGCCTGTCGCTCGAATTATGCTTTTCGGGTGAGATCTAATTTTCCATTTGATGTCTTCCTCGAGACGTTGAAGCAACACTAATCTCGACCATTCACCTCTTAGACGGCTCGAAAGGTATATTTTATCTTCTCAGTCAATGGCTCCGGTGAGCTGCTCGGTTACGCATCAATGGAATCTGAGGTTCAGATATCTGAGACACCCAGCAGCCCTCTGCATGACCTGGAGTTGCCTCGAATGCGTAGTGTCGAACTATCCGCCAAAGAGAGTCTCGTCGACAATACTTCCGACATCGGGTACAGATTTCGAACCACGTCCCCACACACGCATAGATCATCCACCCCGGGAAAAGTGATATATGAGCCAGATAGACGGCGAATCATTTGGAGAGCGTCAACAAATTCGCAAGACTCCGATGTCGATTCTTCAAAATACCTAAAGATGGCTTCACTTGGCCACGGAAGCGTAGCGACCTCCCAGCAAGGAAGATGGAGGAGCAAGTCCCCAGCCATCGGGACGGGCCAAAGCCACAGATCATGCTCCTGTGAGAGAGGTGCATGGCTGCCGACGAGGCACATGAGCGACCCTCCTCCGCAGCTCCAACGCATCAGCGCCCCATGCCAGATCAAATGGATCTCCCGCGAGCAAATCCCCTTCGAACAAGTCCGCGGTATTAAGAACCCCTGGAGCGAGGACATGAACGTCAGTCGAGCCAAAAACGTCACGCCGGTGCACCCAGACGCTGGAGCAGCAATCCTGAAGCTTTGGAGGAGGAAAATCATGCAGAGGCAGAACAATATATGGAGAGAAGCAAGTACAGAGGCGTGGGGTCGGCGTTGATAGCAGTACTTTGACAGACAATTCAGGGAATGATTTCTGTCCTTTCGCAAAAGATTCTTGGATTCATCGGCGCGCGGATTTAAAAGGGGCAAGCAGTCTCTGACCTTAATTCTTTCCTCCGTATCCAGTATCAAATCCGGGCATTGTGTATCAAAGTATTTATTTGGGAATGTTACCTTGGAGCACGAGGACGAACGAGACTCGATATTTCTGTCATTCAACGTGTTTGTCTTGAGGGCAGTTCTTCCAGGGAATCTTCAGTACCAATTCACGGTATCAACAAAGATCTAGTGGAGGCGCTTGTGGACATGTGAGGGATATGAGATGACGCCTCCGTACAGATCTGTCTCACCCCTGACGCCGCGCATTCAATATCTATGGGCCCTTCGCCTCGTCCTGCAGGTTGCTTGATATCCTAAGCGACAACAAGCCTCTCAAAGGTGCCAGTGAGAGAAATTCAAGGACCCGATCAGACGGGCATCTTCATACCACATACGGAGAATGTAGTAAACCCGCCCAAGGACGTGAGATTGCAGAGTAAGCCGTGTCCCCCAGGGGAGGCGGGAGGGTGTCGATTTAACTTGCTCACTGGCAAATTATCATTGCCCTCGGCGCAAAGATACTGGGCGCACTTCTTCTTGCCCCCCAACCGCTTCACGAGGTTGTACTTTAAGAGAACAGAGAACAATTAGCTCACGGTTGCGTGATCGCTGTGACGGGGTGAATCGTCATCGCCCAAGCAATCAGAAGGGAATGAGGTGCGACGCTGAGTTAACATGATGAGCAGCACGTTTGTGGAGCGAAAACAGCGAGATTTCAAGAAGCATGAGTCCAGGACATTAAAAAGTCGAGAAAGACTAGCACACATGTATGGCCTGTGAAATAAGATTGACTCAACCCAACTGCTCCGCGGAAGAAAGAGCCTTCGCCGTTCATTACAAAGTAGATCATGATTTCATTTCCAAAAAAAAAGGGAGGGGGGAATAAAATCACACTATGCACTGTACATCAAATCTACATTGGGCTTAAGTTTTAGGGACGGTTACACAGGCGACAGTGTTTTGAAGAAATGTGATTGGCAAGCACAGCATTAGATAGACGATGAAGGAGTAGAGAACATCCACCCTTGAACATGACGCGCTTCGTTCCAGTCCCCCGCATCACCATTACTGGCCTTGACTTGAAATTCGGGCTCTTGCTGTGATCATGGTCAATTGGAATAGAAAAACAGTTGCCTCAATTCCCCTGTGGCAGTGGCACTTGCAACGCCTTACCGTTGTCTAGAACAAGTGCAATGCAGCACCCATTAGGACAGCCATGAAGTTGATGGTCACCGCATCGGCAGCACCAGTGAATGTAGCGATGGCGGGCGAAACGTGCGACACGGAAGTGCCAGACTCAGATCCTGAGCCTTTACCTGCGCCCAGCGTAGAGCCGCTCGTGGAGGTGGCAGCTGCAGCCACGGCAGTTCCTGAAGTAGAAGTGGGTTCAGAAGAGAGCCCCTTGCTAATCCGTTGCCAGTTCGCTAAACTCGTGGGAGTCGAAGGGATCCCGGTTTCTGTACTTGTTGTGGCGGTGAATGTTGGGAACGCTCCCTTGTTGGTCCACGGCACCGAGATAGTACACGGGCAGTCCGTGACGGTAATAGTGGTGGCAGATATCGCCGTGTACCATTTTCCGTTGTAGCTGAACTTGGTGGCATAGGGGCAATAAGTCTCGAATGATGTGACCACGGTTATGGTATAGGGAACTGACTCGCTTGTGGTGCTTGTGGTGGAGGAGACTGGCGATGGGACCGTACTCGCAATGGACATCTTCGAGCCGGAAGTCCAGTGGGAACCCTTCGTACTGGGCTTGCCGGAGGAGGTAGCAGTCGAAACGGAAGAAGCCCATGCTGTGCTCGATTTGCTGGGATAGGACAATGTCGATGAAGAGGCAGTCAAACTTGTGCTAGACTTGGTCGAGATGGAAACTGTCGATGCGGTCGAAGCAGTCGAAATTGAAGTCGAAGTCGTCGAAGCAGAGACTCCAATGCATGAAAGAGCACTCGCACTTGCAGACAGTCCCACCAAGCTCTTGAAGCTATCCGATGACGAGCCCACAGTAACATCGTACTTTGTGAATTTCAGAGCCGCGGCAGGGAAGCTATAAGATCCCATGTAGAAGGTGTAATACTTGGACTCACACACCTTGGTCATAGTAACCTTCTGCTTAACAAGGGTAGGGAGGTTGTTGTAGGTCATTGCCTTAACGAGCGAGAGGGTAAGGTCAACTTCGCCAGTAGTACCATGTCTCACCTGCGAAGCTCGTTAGTTCAAATACTGCCAATAGTCACTCGTGTGCACAAGACTAACCGCTGCAACAATAGTTGCTAGTAAGTTGCCAGCGGAGTCTGCGGAGGATACGATGGAATTTGCGGTTTGTGTAAAGATCGTGTCCGAGACCGGGAATCCCTCGCCATTATTGTCGTAGGCAACAATGCCAGACGAAGTGGTGATGACGACAGTAAAGGAAGAGATTGAACTTTTGGCGGGAATCCCGCTACTGAAGTTAAAGAACTAGATACTAAGTCAGCTCCCGTTTGTTCCTAGACTGTCGATTAATAGGTTCTCACAGTAAAGGTATCATCAAACCCAGCAGCGTCGCCGGCAACTAAGGTGTCGATGTTCTCAGAGCCGGCCCCTGACCTATCTTTGTAGACAAGTTTTAGACTTGAGATGGACAAAGCTGGCACTGTGTTGGTCCAGAAGCGAATTTGTCCGGAGAAGATGAGGTTGTCGCCGCCTGGTGCCACGTTGAGCTGAAGATTTACTGGCTTGACCGGGTACGGAGTGATTATGTCCGTCAGAGTCACGCTCGAGGGAACGGTATCGAGCATTTTCGCCAGGATTGTCGAGCAAGTACCAGCGTAGGAATTTGCGGTTTGCATTGCAGAAATAGTCTCGTTGTCATCACTGGCAAAAACTCGTAGATCGGAACGAGCATCCAAATCAGGGCCAACGACAAGAGGGTTTTTAGTACTGCCATCGAGGTATTCTATGATAACTAAGTTGTCATACGTGTTATTAGTCGCGTCAAAATTTTGGACTCCAAGAGTTGTCGTGTTCGCAGGGACAATTGTAGGGTGCTCTGCTGAATGAACACCTCCGAGAGTGTGTCCACAAGCAACAATCTGGATCATCTCGGTTGGCGAGAAACCCATCCTGGCGAATTCACCAGTCAACTTGGTAATATCGTCCTTCGCATCGGGTACCCCAACTGCGCCAGCTTGAGTAGCATCAATTCGACCAGCTTTAAGAGGCACCGCAGGACCTCCACACGCTCTGACGGAGGCGTAAACACCAAGGGCGATCAGATCGGACATGGACGCTCGGCTGCTGAAGAATTTAGAGTAGTAGGTCAAAGAGGCGTTGAAAGCTGGACCGGTATTCTCGATGTATGGCTCGAGGAGCTCGAAACCAATTGAAGCATCCAGACCGCCGGTGCCCGCAGCCACGTCTGCCGGAGCCATATCGTGAAAGGCGGTTCTGAGGAATCCTCCTGCCACTGAGTGACCCGGAGTTGGAGCGAAGGTGCACGGAACCACTGGAAATGGAAAGTTGCGAGCGTTGACTCCGGAGTTCAGCAGCATCAGGTCCTCTATCTCGTCGTAGGCTGGAGATGGCCATGTAGCAGCTGAACTGGCCACGCAGATCAAATTGAGCCCGACGGCCGCCGAAAGGAACATTGTCGTTTTCCCCAGCATAATGCAAAGTGTCAAAAGAATGGAACGAGCCAAATGGGCTTCAGATCGACAGAATGTAGACCACAGAAACAAATGTCATGTATCTCAAACGAGGGACTAACTAGTTGGGCTGTAGAAGCAAAGCAAAACGAGTGTGAAAGGGGCAGGAAGTGAAGAGAGGCTGGTGACTTTGATGCGGCTGGAAAGATATAGATATAAGGTGCTATCTTCTCGTACATACAGGTCCCCCGGCAATCTCAAGCGCGCATGGTGGTATTTTGCAAAGTACGAAGCCACCTCCCATCCCACCTGTGGTGCAGCGCTATCGATATGATGGTCGAACTGGACCAGGTTTAAATACTGGGTAGACCATTGATGGCCTTGCGGTCGGATTAGGTCTCAGATAGGTGCGCTTGTTGAAATCAGATTTGCCTCTCCCTCCGTCGCGGCGTACTCATTCTGGTAATGACAGCGGGTAGAGAAGGTTGTTGGCTGCGTGCTCGGAAATTCGAACATCTTGGCGTCGACGCAGATTGATCCCAAAAAGAAGTACTGCGACGTTGTGGGATTTTATAAACCTGCTCATGTACACCAATAGCATGGCTGCTGATGATCATGGTCGTCGTGTGGATAAGGCTGTAGGGTGGTAGGCTCCAGGTTTTAAAAAACATGCTCACGTCCCCAAGTATTGTGCTCACCATCCACTATCCGCAAACCCTAGTGCATAGCCTCTGAGAAGGCAGAGACTCACCAGGAACAACCGCCCGCCAGCTTGTAAATCACCCAGACCTCCTTTGTCGAACTTTCATGACTTGTAACCACGGTTCGAGTTGAAATAGTCCAAGTAACTAGTCCTCCTCAACTATAACCCTCAAAGTCAATCCTGTGAGTCTGAACGGAAGCTTTCCATTGTGACATCTCACACTCAGTCCTGTCGCCCACTGAGACACAGAGGAAATGAAATTGCACTCCGATGAACAGCGCTCTATTGGACCCTTTGGCGATGAGAAAGTTGTACAGGTCAAATATTGAGCCTAGGGTTCTTCGGTCTACCGAGTATGTATTCTGTTTCTGTGGGGGTGAACTTTAGTATTGTATTAGCCCAATTAGGCTAGGTAGTGGGGTCTCTCGGCAATGTGGGAACCTGGCGAGCTGGCTCGCCTGACACCTGTTTAAACCTATCACTCACAGATCTCGATACGCGTTCTCCTTTCTCCTGAATATCATCTTTTATTCTCCCGGCCTTCTGACTCTGCTTAGGATAATTGCACAAGCGAGGTGAGCAGATTCTAGACAGCCGCGAGAGTCCCAATCCCAGAAACCTACTCATCGTTCTCTTAGAGGCGCAGACAAAACACACTATGCTAGCGAATCGTTCAGATTTGGTGGAAGATGTGCTATTCTCACGGCCAAAAACATGCTCATATGGCCGTGCTAAATCCTTGGGTCCGCAGTGTCACGTCGTGAAGGCTACCTCGTGCACTCCCTGGACTCCCTGAAGTCCCAAGAGGCTGATCTAAATCAAGATTATCCTGACAATCTGTTGGGAGTACCGGGTGTGGTGTGAGAAATCGCAAACCCAGGTATGAATGCAGGGGAGAGTGACTCTGCCAATCATGCTTCACCGCAAGCTCTGGGGTTATCACGAACCGTACTGTTTCAATCACAATCCACCCACAATCATGGTGAGATCAGCTAACAAATTCCAGACGGCTCGGCCCTCATATCCGATTCTAAGTATGGTAGCTGAGAAGTCAGACTTGAAATTCTCGGGAGCTTCAGTTTTGATGCTGCAATCTGCTGATCTCAGGAGCTAGGACGAGGAATTCACGTGCCTCCTCCTACAGCCCTCCCCATGTGATTGTATCGCATCTTTTGAACAGCGGCTAGGCCTTTCTATCAAGAAATAGTCACCTAAATTGGCCTTCTCCACTAGTGGACATGATAAGGCAACTCAAGCCTAGTTTCTCACGACTTCCGCCGCTCAGGAGATATGGGGGCACGTCTTAACCCTTCACAACCATACCACCTCACCCATCGACAGCTTCCGCCGATTTCACTTCGAAGATGCCTTGTATTCTGCAACGGCTTTACCGTTGCCAAACATCGAGACCAGGCAAGCGCCGGTGAAAGAATGGCTGATCGCGGCCTCTTTTCTACAAAAACTCCAAGCCAGATGGCGCATATCTGGGAATTCTTTCGCTTTGGTGGTGTTGGTTATCATCACTCAAACGGCGTTCGGAATTTGGCAGTGCGTCAAATATAGCACGGATAAAACGGACCAAGCAGAATTTGGCTGGGGCGTCGGTCTCGCAAAAGGTTGTGCAGGTGCTCTCTATCCGACGCTCTTCTTTCTTATTTTGTCCATGTCCCGGTGGCTCATGACTGTTGTCCGACGTTCTCGCTACGCAGCGGCTGCTGTCAACTGGGACAAAATTCGCAACTTTCACAATTATATAGGAGTCAGCGGCCTGCTGCTTGCTTCCCTGCACACCATCGGATACCTAAGCGGATCATTTGTTCACGCATCCGACCCAGAGCACAAGCAGGCGATCAGAATCTCTTCAACGGGGGGTTTGGCACCAGCAGCTACACTGTCTGGCTCGAATCGGTGCCAGGGATCACGGGTCTGATCAGTTACGGCATCTTTCTCGTCATGTCGACCCTGGGTATACCGTACATTCTGAATTGGTCGTTCGAGCTCTTTCAAGCCAGCCACCTGTTGATGTTCTCGATGATAGGTCTGTTGATGGCACATAGAGTAGATAATCTCTGACAACATCCAGCCTTGGGGCTTGTGTTGGCTGTGCCTACTCTTTTCGTCATGATGGAAAGAGGACACCGAGTTCTGGGCATGTTCAACTCCAAAGGCTACGCCGAGATAACGCCTCTGGGTGACGAAGTTGTCAAAGTATCTCTACCACATCTGGCCCAATCTCGGCTGTTCAAGTATCAAGGCGGCCAATACATTCTGTTGTTGCTGCCCTCGATTTCAGATTTTCAGTGGCACCCGTTAACAGTGTCTGGATTTGACGGCGGCAGGCCTTACATATACATGAAAGCGGGTGGGAATTGGTCCGCTCGAGTTCGTCGATCGGGGCGATTTGCACCAGCCCGTTTGGACGGACCTTTTGGCGCCCCAAGCCAGAGATTTTTTGACTATAAATACAACATATTGATTGGGACGGGCATTGGGATTACGCCTTCTCTCTCGACTTTGGATCGTCTGAAAGAGCGCGATCATCCTTGGGCGATGCAAGATACTGCATCCCCCCCGTCAATATCCCATATACCGGATGATGACACACTGAATGTCGACGAGACGTCTCATTCGGTGGATATATACTGGACATCACGTCGAGCTGACTCGATCCTCTGGCTCGTCCCTGTCCTCGCCGAGGCGTCATCGGCCTCGCAAAACCGCAGGATTCAGTTCGCATTGACCGCGTTCATTACCCAATCGAATGCATCAGACAGTCTCAAAGCATCCGTCGAGCAGGAAAAATCGGAGCTGCTCAATTACAGAGGACACGTGCAGTATCAGCGACCAGACTTCACAAAACTGCTCACTGAACATTATGGGAAGATGTGCCATTCTCTTTTTCGGCCCCAGAAGGGAAGGGTGAGGGTCGGCGTGTTTTTCTGTGGCCAGCGTGCGGTGCGCAAGCAGCTCCAGATGTTGTGTTATGAGAATACTCTGGGAGGATGTAGGGATAGCAGCGGTATCGAGTGTCATTTTCATCCAGAGGTATTCTAAGGACAATTTGATTGTTCTCTTTTTCTTTTTCTTTTTTTCCCTTTTCCCTACAGAAAGTTGTGCAAGGCTCCATTAGAGTGGAGCATGAGATTGGAATCACTGACAATTTTTAGCAAAAAAAAAGTCGCAATACTTCCCAAGTTGTGTCATTTCATGGTGTTTTCATGGCTTTCCCGAGTAAATTTTGCTAGGTGGCAAGGTATTCGACAACATTAACGGCGGTGGCCGGAGACTCGTATACAACATGGACCAGCGTTGGGTTGCAGCCAGCGTATTCGGAGCCCCTCGCTAGTTAACCTAAATGGGCTGTGGTCACGCCAGCCCCTACAGAGAGATAATGAGCAGAAGCCAATCGCTAAATGAGACGTCGTACTTACATACGTTAACCCACTGGTATAGCCAGCTGCTTGTCTCGAATCCAACCTCAATTACCTGTGCGACATAGCTCCATCTATCTTACTGCGCTGTCGAGATGGAATAAGTATCGGTGCCAGTCTGAAGTCTGTGGGTGATATCTAAAACGCGCACTGCTTATTGTTGAGTTTTGACTTCGATCCAAGTGTGATTGTTGAAGGGTTATCTCCTCATGTCCATGCAATCTCGGAAGTGCAATATCCCCCTTGTACCGAGAATGGGGCTATTGACGCTGATGTCGGCCTGTCGCCCAAAAGAGGCCAGGAGGCACGTAGCCGAATATTTCCATGTTGCACAATTGTGCTTTGATGAACTGTTCACAACTGTCAGTTCGCGAAATTGAGAGGATATGAAAGCTACAGCATCACTATTACTCGGGGAGAAGAGAGGATAGAGCCAAATGGTACTTGCTGGTTCGCCATCCGCTTGATTATTCAATGTCCCAAAACACACTTGAATGATGACAGCAAGGTGGTGGCAACAACATGTGCCGTGGACTCTATTCAAGAAGAACCCTAACGCAAATTCCAGAGCAGCGAGGTTGCCGCCAAGGTACTGGGGTCTACCCTCATTAACATCGTATTGGAGAGTCGGCACTCCCTGCGGTTGCGGTCCTCCGAAGTCCTAAAATGTGGTTGCGATGACTTCTTCCAAATTCAGTTCCATGAGACGCAGTAGCTCGGCACCATGGAAGGTAAATACAGGAGCCAATGAAGCAAGAAAAAAGTAAGCCTCGATCAAAGTCCGGTCGTCCAAAGTCAACTCGACGGTCGGGTCACTTTCTGCGGCAATGGTAAGAGAGGATCCTGATAATCGAAGCAATACGAGGTAGACCGCGCACATGGCGTTGGGAGTGAGGCGACGGATGAGCCATTCTCATTCTCCATGACCTTTGAGCGGTGCATACAGGGTAGACATTGGCCGTGGTGTTTATGAAGGTAAACCCGGATGCGACTACCTCGCTGCTTTCACCAACAGGGACCTCATGTTCTTTGCTCTGTATCGGGACCTCATTTTCTGTGCTCTGTATCAGAATCCCGTGCAGCTCGCCTACCACCACATATCTCGACCCAGGAGCTCTCCAGGATTCATCAGAAGGATACCTCCCACGCAATGTGAACTAACCATTGCAATTGTGGTCATCGTATCTGAGTGCCACTGGTCGAGGGTCAGGCCAGATATTCGGCTCAGTTGCACATTCCGACGAGTTGCAAAACCGGTGGAAATAGGTTCGCAAGATTCAGCTTCGAGCACAGGGGCTTCGACGGCAATCGCATGATATAAAAGAGTCCTTCTGCGTATCTGTACCAAGAAATGGTCTATAAGGAGCTTCGAACGGGCCTCAGGAGTCGCGAGGGTCTGAAATGCAATGAACAGAATGGCTGCTGTGGCATTCTCAGTTTCATAAACAGCACCGGCCCTTGGCAAGAAGTCGTGGATAGGGGGCACATCTCAATCGAGACAGAGCCGGCCTATGGCTATACAAATCCTCCACATTCTATCACGTTATGGCGTCTGCAGAAGCTGCGATGTTAACAGGTTCTAGGCCCACCAGAGCGTTCTGAGATAGCAAGCACTGAAGACCTGTACTGAATGTGCGCCTTTGGGGGTCCGTCGCCTGAACCATCACTTTCAGTACCAAGTAGACACTGGAACATTAGACGGGCGTTTGTGGTGAGAGTGAGTGTAAAGGGGAGGGTAGGTCCAAAGTATTAATAAGATGAAGGAGATGAGGAAGGTGACCTTTTGAGCCAAGACGGCAGGCGAGGGGTGAGCGTAGGGCAGCATCACCCACGTCCCAAAAGGGAGGTGTGCAGCTTTGTTCTCTCCCTCCTCCATCAACCGGCCACTCGCATCAACAACGTTACTTCAAGGTCAGAACACGACACAATGGCTGAGCTCACCACAGACCACGTCCGATCCCTGGATCAAACGCGTCAAAGACTTCTAGCTCTCCATAAATCACTGGTGGCTTTGGGATCAGAGCTCGTCACCCAGAATCCACTTCCTTCCTGGTACACAGATTCCTGACTACGAAGAGACACATCTAGCTGATTGCATCGGACAGGTCAGCGCTTCAACTGCATGCGAACCTTGTGTCTAACAACCTACAAACCATTGCTTCTCAGCTGGCTGAGCATCGGGATACATATCAATCCACCGTCGCCTTTCCCACACCTCAGTTCCCGGGGACACAGCGCTCCTTCATTCTCGAGACTCTCCTTCGAACCAAGCTAGAACCCGACGTGGAAGATTGGGTTGAGGCAGGCGAAAACGTCAGTGTACAACAGCACAAGGCCACTTTCCGAGGCTTGTCGGACGACGACCGCAACGCTCTATGGCAGTGGGCCCCCGGGGCTGCAAATGGTGCGGCCCGCAAGCAGAAATGGGGCGCGGATTTTACCCTGGAGGAGAAGCAGAAAGGCGTAGAGAATGTGGCTACAGGGTTACGAAGACAGCTGGTAGAACCTCCCGATGACGAGGGCGAGGAAGAGCCTGAAGAGGAGGAAGATGAGTACGAAATCAGCGACGAGGAAGACGAGGGCGAGGATGGGGACAAAATGGATGTTGAAAAACAGCCGCCGAAGGCTGAGGCAAGCCCAGCTTCTACAGCCTTGCCAACCGCCGGCCACATGACCCTAGGAGCTCTCCACAAATTCATGACCACTGGACGATGACCACCTCACAGAGATGACTCTACTCCAGGTACAAGTCAAGATTGCGACAGGATGCTCGTCCAACTGGAGAACCCGACTTTCCGTCCCATCGCAGGCTCAGTCCCCCCCTGCCCTTGCGCAGATATGGTCGAGTCGTGCAGCCAGACAAAGTCCACCCATTCGCTGTCATCCATGCCGAGAATCATGTCTCTCTGCACTCTCCATTCGACAGTCACGTTGACGCACGACAAGGACAATTTGAGTGCCAGCTCAAAGTGCCTTCTCTCGGCGCTAGTGACTTGCGTGGCGACGGAGACACTAGACTCGATCACAATGGTCAATTTCTGGAGGGACTTGAGGAAGACAAGACCTTCAGTGACCCAGGATGCCGCGCAGGCGAATGCAGTTGACGGTCGATCCTGAGACGAAGGAGCAATTGTCAGGATGTGCAGCAATCCCACCATTGAGTCGGCCTGTGCCAACAGCAGATCTCGCGTTGTGACATGCACTGCCAATTCTCGCAAGCTGCAGCCGCCGCCCCAGTCGTCTGAGTCCTTTGCGGACTTGTGGTCGGCCTTTTCTCTTTCGTTCCAGCCAATTTCGATGTCTGCGCCACCACTGCTCTTCACCAAGTCACTGTCACCGTTCGTCCCCATCACGCCCGCTATTGACCTAAGAATCGACCTCAGAGACCATGCTTCCGTCACACTTGCGAGCAGGTGTAGCTCTAGCTTCCGAATTGCTCGTCGTTGAAACGGCTTCAGCACGTCCAAGAAATGTTTTGTCGCCGAAGTATTCGATCCCATGGTTACAGGACACCTGACCCAATTGACTTGGAGAGGCATCAAGCTTGTTTCCCTGTAAATTTGACGACAGAGAAGAAGACCTTGCACAATACTGTTGTTTGCGGCGTCGGTCCTTGATCCCGGACGTGAGACCTTGTACCGGTCTCCTACCATGCCGAAAAGCCTTGATGGAGCGCATGCCTTCTGGGGTGGAAATATCTCAGAGCAGTCCATGAAGACGTGTTCGAAAACCTTTTGCCTGAGCTCGTACGGGAGGCTGAGGAGCGGTGACAATGACAACGCTCGGGATGCTCTCTCAGCTGTGTTGTCATCTTTCGTCTGACTTTGCAGCTCGCCGTGTTCATGGCCTTCCTTGCTGCAAGCTGGTGGCTGCTTTTGATCATCCGCAAGCAATGATATCTCGTTTGAATCATGAAACATCATATCGGACTGGAGGGCTTTAGGTCAATGCGGTCTGTGGCTGCCCTTCGATGCCTTGGGGATGTTGCGAGTTGAGGCCCCAGGAGATGAGATGGGATGGGACAGCGGGCAATAAGACTGCAAGCCCGAAGGAGCGGTCGCACAGTAGTTGTGGGACAGGCGAATATTTCGCACCTTCTCGACTGTATTATTTGGCACCAGAGCGAATACGGAGCAACCAAGTCGCGAAATACTACTGGAGAAGAGTGGGAGTGGCGAGATACTGCACACCGCACCCTTGTATTTTACAACATGGCTGCACTCTCAAATGGTAGTGCCGGGCAGTACACTACCCATGGTGTGCGGATGCCCGAAACTTTGAGGGACTTGTACCACACGCTCATCTCGGCTACACGGTGGATTCTATCAGTCTTGGACTGGATGTGCTTAGCGCCGCCTTTACATTACGCGGTGTGTATCGCGGTAGTGGAGGGCAGAGAATTGGCTACTTAGTCATGGAAACGAAAGGACTGAACAGTCCAGGACTCCAGGTAATACTGGCAAATATGGGGAAGAGGCGGACATGCATTATCAATTCAAACCGACCAGGCATAATAATGTTTGACTCGGAATGAGGCTGTGTGGATGCAGGACTTGAGATGGGACTGACCACATGGAGTGCTTCATCCTTTTGTGCTATTATATAATACTGTACTATCCTACATGAGCAGGAATTGGACCGCCAAGCGATGGAGACGTCGCCGCCGCCCCTTTGGACGGAATCAGCCTCGCCCAGTACGAGCAACATTAGCCTTACATCAGCTTACTAGTTACATTCACCACGCTCACACCCACATATTTGACCGTCGGAAAGACCCGACTTGGTCTTTTTACACGGTCCTCTAGGTAACACCCCCCGGGGAATGAGTTCTTCCTTGCCTCGTTCGTTCTGCACTTGGAGTCAAGGGGAGAGGTCGAGGCCGAGAGGCGGAAACCTCATGAAAAGAGACGACATGCGACATGTGACATCGCGGCCCGTCTCCGTCGCGGTCGTGGCAAGAAAGAGATATACAAGTATGCTCTTTTGACTCCTGGACATTATACAAATACCAAGTACATAATACCAAGACTAGGACGGGAAACAGGGACAGGGACAAGGACAAGGACAGGGACCGCTCGCTCGCTCTTTAGCTTCAGCGCCCCTCGCTCCTTGGGGCCAAAAATGCGGAAACCTCCTGCGAGATAATACGAAGGAATTACCTTTCGGTCCATCCCCATCACGTCCACCATCGTCGGGACTTTCAAAGAGATTCAGGATAGGAAACGCAAGACAAGACAAGACAAGGCCTAATATGGCACAACACAATAATTCTGGATTCTGCAAAGACGACGACGATGATATTTCTCTCTCTCGCTCTCTCTTTTTTCGATGTCTTACATATGGTTCCTACAAGTAAAGTAAGCATCCCGCCTATTTTCCATACTATATGCTCCGGAAACCAGTACATAAATCACAGCATGGCCTTGGGCATCTGCTTGATGGCCTGCCTGACGCCGAGATCGGCCAGGACCTCCTCGGCGCCGCCCAGGATGGCGTCGAATTTGTACGTGCGGTGGAACTGCTCGACGAAGCGGCCCATACCCGTCTGCGTGATGCCGCGGCCGCCAAAGATGTTGACCGCGTCGTCCGCGACGTCGTGCGCGCACCGTGTCGCGTACGACTTCAACAGCCCGATCGGCCCGCCCAGCAGCTTCGACTGCTGCGCATAGTCCATCTGGTTCATCTGGTACGTGATGGTCTCGAGCCAAGACTGGCACGCCTCGGTGAGGGAGATCATCTTGGCGAGTTTCTGTCGGATCACCGGCTGGGACACCAGGGGTTTCCCGAAGACGATCCTCTGGTTCGTCCATTTGAGGCACTCTTCCACGATGGTGCGCATCCAGCGGATCACCGAGCAGGCCATGGCCCAGCGTTCGTGGTTGAAGTTGCTCATGATGACGATGAACCCGTTGTCCTCCTTGCCCAGAAGATGGTTCACCGGCACTTTGACGTTGTCGAACTGGATAAATGTGGTCGCCGCCGCGGTGGAATATGATGTCTTGATGCGTTTAGTCTCCACATTGTCGTCTCGTGGCACCAGGATGACACTGAATCCCTTTTCGGTTTTACAGCCCGTGACAAAGTAATCCGCGAACATGCCGTTGGTGATCCATTTCTATCATCACGTTAGTGGACTAGACCCCAGGTCAAGGGCATCTATGGAATATCACCTTCGTCCCGTTGATTCTGGCGCAGAGCTTGTCAGTATGGACGTCGCTTGATAAGAATGGGGGCAAAGAAACTCACATGTAATATTTCCCGTCCTCGGTCTTCTTAGCTGTCGTCCTGATCCCCGCAACGTCGCTGCCTGCAAACGCCTCGGTGATGGCAAGACACATGAATTTCCTCCCGCTTAGACACTCTTCGGTGACTCTATCCTTCAACGCCGAATCGTTTGCCCACTGTCGCACAGCTGTAAGTGAGATCATCATGCCCGCCATGTTTCCGTCTTGGAAACCTCTTGCCATGCCGCGAGAGAGCTCCTGGGCGACGATAAGGTCGTGGAAATAGTCAAACTCTTCGCCTTTCACATCGCCAAGTAGTTTGCGGCCGTAGAGATGCTTGCCGGGGCCGAGACGCATGGCGAGGAGGCCGTTCGATGCCATCTTGTCGACCAGTTCTTGAGAGATGTACGTGCCGTCGAGTTCTTTTTCTTGGGCTTCGGGGTAGATATCCCGGTCTACGAATTCCCGCATGGCTTTTTGAAGGGCGCGATGAGAGGCGTTGTAGTAGGGGGATTTGAATTGTGGAGTCAACCACAAGGGCTCCGCATAAGGCACTCTCGACAGGTCGCCCGGTTTGGGATCTATGACTTCGGGCTTCTCGCCTTCAATTGTGCCAATGCAGAGATTGGCGTATTTCTGGAGCACTTCATGACGGTGGAGGTTGTAGAAGGCCGTTGTGGCGTCCTGGCCGGCCACCTGTTGCAGAACGACATTGCCACCGGGATGGGCGTCTGTTGCGGATGGTCGTCAGTTCATACGTCCCAAGGATGAGTGAATAGGAAAAGACCCGCTGCCAAAGGACTGGGCGAGTCTTCCAAAACCAGCAGCGACATACCGAGAAAGTCCGAGAGGTCGTAGACTTTGTGATCAATCTGAGGGATTCGTGTTGTCAGCAGCCGAGGAACCCCGTGGTGAATCAGGCGAAGCGAGGACGGCTGCTAAGACTCAAGGAGAACTTACGATGCACCATACGTCGTCCTCTGTGTTATGCTCAGCAACTTCGGCACGGGTGTGCACCTTGCTGGGTATCGACTGAGATGCCTTTTGGGCCATGATTGTAGATTCTATTTCGTGGAAGGAGAAAAGGAGGACGGCCAAAAGTGTGTTCCCTCAGGCAATGGCCGGGATATACTTCCCCAGATCAAATGGGCTTCTTAAAGGATGAAAGCGGCGGCAAGTCGTGGTTAAAGATATATCTTGACATGTCATGGACTCGGGACTGGAACAATTTGTTGTGGTTTGACCTGGAACCGAGGTTCAGGTTGAGCTTCGAACAGCCAATCGCCGGCCTCAGTGACTAACCAATTGCCTGATCACTGATTGGTTGACGATACCCGGCTGCACGAGGCTGCACGAGGCTACACAAGGCTGGCATTTAGCCTTGAAGACTCCGGGCTTCGCTCGGCTTTTCGTTCAGGTCGACAATCCAAGGACAATTGACGCTCCTCGGCAACTAACACAACTACTTAGGTTGGTTACCATTGGTCGCCAGCGCCATTGGCATCGATGACTACTGTCGAATTCGTCTCTTTGAACGGAGGCTAAACGACAGAATTGCAGGAACGGAGACAACAGTATCTCGAAAGACGGAACGAGCTTCATGTGGTGTACTATTGAACTGTTATAAAGGCGCCAATTAGTCAATCTAGACACCTGTTTTGTTCAACCTCGCATTGACCACATCCACAAGCTCCACTGTGGGCTGTATGTAAGGCGTAATAGTGTTTCTGACAAGAGTTCTTTGCTCAAATGCATATGCAAGCCCGATGAGCAACTCCTCGCTGAAATGAGGCCCCATGAAACTGATCCCGAAAGGAACGTTTGGTGCCGTGGCATTCAGGTTGCCAAACCCATTGAGAGTAACCGCTGTCTTAGGAGGGAACGCTCCGAGGGGCACCGTAACAACAGGGGACCCAATCAGTGCAGGGAAATTGGGCGAAAACTCTGTCGGTAATACCAGAGCATCTAGTGAGTAGTTTGCAAGCGCGCCTGTGACTCCGAGGGGACCAGCCAAGTAGGTATTCATCGTATAGTTCGACCAGAACTCCGGCGAGGTGTTGTTATAGCCAAGTTCCAACGCACCGTCCCAGACCAGTGTGTCGCGCTCGGGCCAGTCTTCCAGAGGGAATGAATGTGTAAAGTTGCGAACATCCGCCACAGAGTACACGTGGTTGGGATTGTACGAGAGTTCCGAGAGATATTTCGCGAGGTCGCTTATGAAATCCGCTTCAAGGACGATATTAGAGTAGTTGCCCTCATTGAGAGCATCGTAGCCGGTGAAGTTGGTGTTGTCTATGACTGTGGCGCCCGCAGCACGCAAGACATCCAGCGCGGCATTGAAGGCTGGAACGATTGGCGCCGCAGTAGAGTCGCTGCAAATGTACGTTAGCCTTGGACTGGTGGTGAGCGTGACAACAGATCCGTTCCGACATGAGACACTTTGCGGGAGCACTCACAAGGATAGATCAATGAGATTTCGCGGCACGCCGATCCTCTTCCCTCGCAGCGCCGAAAAGTTGCATGCGGCGACGTAGTCAGGAATTGTGTCGAAGGGAATTGCAGAGGTATAATTATCATAAGACGACTTCCCTGCTATGGCCGAGAGGACGTACGCTGCGTCCTTGACTGTCCGGGCCATGGGCCCGACAGTGTCTTGATGTTCAGAGATCTGAAACGGACAGTCAGTCTCTGTCTGGAACGGCGGGTGGGTGCATGTGGCGGACTATCAAACACGAAATACGTGACCTCCCTGGGAGACACTCACAGGAACAACCAGATAACGGGACGTTAGTCCCACGGTAGGCTTAATGCCAACGAGGTTGTTGACATCCGAGGGACTCAATATGCTGCCGTCCGTCTCAGTGCCCAAGGCAGCCAGCGCCAATCCTAAGGACGACGAAACGCCACTGCCAGAACTGCTGCCACTGGGGTCTTGACCAGGATAATAAGCACCGACCGTCTGCCCCGCGATTGCCGACCAGCCGTTGCTCGTATTGAACGAACGGTAATTTGCCCATTGGCTCAAATTAGTCTTCCCTAGGATTATGGCTCCAGCCTTCCTGAGATTGGCGGCGATTGTGCTGTCCCTGGGGACCTTGGCTCCGGCGAGCGCATAGGAACCGGCAGTGTTATCCATGGCATCAGCAGTGGCAATATTGTTTTTGATCAGAATTGGAATGCCATGGAGTGGACCGTGCACAATGCCTTTCGCTCGCTGTGAGTCGAGTTTGGCTGCGATGGAAAGAGCATCAGGATTTAGCTGAGTCACCATATGCAAGGTGTCGTTGACTTCCGTGATGCGGGCAATGTAAGCCGTGACAAGATCGACACTTGTGAATAGACCCGTTTCGAGTCCACGAATGAGGTCTTCGGTTGTCGCTTCGATCAACGGCGGGAACGGAGCCCCGTTGATTGCTGTATTTTGATTCCAACATGACTGAGCCGCAACTAAAGCATTCAGAGACTGCGAAACAAGCAGGACAGCTACAAGTCGGCGAACGGATCCAAAGACCATGTTGATGAATAACGCGCAATGAAAACGGTGCAACAGGTGGAGTCGTCATGGTGTTCTTCGGCTTCTTTTAAATCAACGTCGGCTTACAGAGCCAGACTTTGCACAAGTCGTCACACAAGATAGCCTGATAAAGGAGCTTCGTGTACATACGCGTCGATCGGGGTCCGTTTGGTCGATAAGCCAGTGTCCTCGCAAAATAGTCGCTGTATAATTGGCGGGTGCTGCAATCGGACGTGTGTCGGGACACAGTACGCCTAGGGCTACCCCACAAATTTGCAGATGACCAACTTATCGAGCTGCCAAACTAGGCAGCTCAATAGTCGCTGCATACTCCAACACGACCCATTTGAAAGGCGCCAGCACAAACAGGCAGGCCATCATGATTCAGAATGAAAACACTGCAGCAGCCCGGGATGGATACTGGCTATGCACTGTTTTTGTCTTTGGTTGGCTCGAAGCAATTTCCGCATCTATTCACCGACGGATCGTTTCGTCCTTTGGTCGCCGGCTACATTTTTGGTGTTTGCCTCTTTGATACCATTTGCTTAGCTTCTCTCAAGAGGCCAACGATCAGCGGCACTCCAACAGGACCCAAAAGTGGAAGCAGGACGGCAATCTTGTGCTCGTCGGGAAAATAGACCTGGCCAACCATTGATTTGTCGAAAAAGGCCTTTTCGCTGTCTTTGAAAGCCTCTTTAGCATGATTGGGCGTCAAATCGAATCTACCCTCGAGCGACGAGTGGCAAAACGCTTTGAGATTCGCTATCGAGTCATCAACTAATTGCGCGACGTGTTTCGGGATCGGAATACTGCTGAGACGCTGAGCCAATCGAGCTAGCGATCCCAGACTCGATGCAGCATGGAGGTAGAGGGTAAGAGCTGACAGACGTTTGTAAGCGTCGAGTCGCAGTTGCAATGGTCGGGATTTGGCAGAATCACCCGGATTCAAGACACCCAGCAGTGACAGGAATTGCGAAGCAAATGTCTCAAAGGGGAGGCGCAATAGCTGGTGATCGAGATGAGCAGGCAGCATCATGTTTCCGTGGACAGGGTTTAGGTGCATAGGTGGATTGAGGATATGTATTCCGCCCCATTGAGGAATCAGCCATGAATTTTCATCGACTCCTTCAATCCTCAGAGGTATCTGATCCGTGGATGGAACATAGAGGATGAAATTGAGGGTAGGTCCATCTCCGATCGATGGCGCCAAGGGCCACTCTGCGGAATTCACAAAAGCCGTCAAATCTTTCTGCTGGAGAAAAGAGCCGTTTTGTCCTTCTCGATGAATAGGTTGTATGGCAGGAGGGAGAGTCGAGTATAATTGCACCTGGGTCGTGATGTCGAAATCGGCAATGGGTGAGAGTGCTTGTACAAGAGGTTCGATGTGATCTCGGAGAGCGTCGTGAACATCCCAACTTGAAGGAGCTCCGCTGGCTGTGAGGAGAGAGAAGGTGAGATGGAATTCGGGAGACGACTTGTATGCCCGGTTGATTTGCTTTTCTACCTTGGCGACGATGTCGTAGGGTTGAGACCTCAGAAACGCCTGTGCATTGTGGCTGTGGCTGGTGAGAGAGACAATTTGAAGTGCAGCAGCAATTTGTTCTTCTCTGAACAGTTCATGGAGGGTTTCCGCGAGGGCTTTGGCGATATTGACACTAGTACTAGGAGGTATGCTGGCCTGGGCGGTCGCTGTGACTGCGTCCAGCGTGAACGCAAAGCCATCCGGCGTAGGTCCAAGGAGAACTTTCAAGACAGGCGCTCCGTGGTTGAGGGTAGCAGGATCCTCGCCGCAAGTCGCATCCGTTGCTTGTCTCTTTTGGCCAGCGCCTGCGACATCTGCCCCCAACTTGACCAGGTGGAGCCGTTGATGGAGAGTCGGGTACTCGTTCAGATCATCCAAAGCTTGTTGGGTATCTTGCACTATCTTCTGCGCGTCTGAGCAAGAGAGGTCCGGGGCCGACAGCCAGAGATGCAATGGAATCGCTGTGGGTGTATTCTGGAAATTGCCGTCAGCTCTGAAATGCCTGCAAAAGATGCATTGTGCTCACAAGTCCCTCTGCCCAGTTGAGCATGTCCTGCACCGGCAGACTCGCCCGGTATATTGATGTGGTCTGCCACCATACCGGAAGACCCAGCAGTATAATCACAGCCCAGAAGGATAGTACAATCTTTGTCCGCAGGCTCACGGCTTCGGGCTTCTCGGGAGGAGGCTGTTTTGACGCAGGTACAGCGACAGGGGGAACGGTGGAAGATTGCTCCATTCCGGCAGGACCAGGTGCCGCAGGCGTAAGTTGTCTATTGGATTCTATTCGCTTTTGGTCGTGACACGTCCATCACGACCGAGGAATAAATGCTGGCCCAGAAATATGCGTGGTTGTGAGGAATTGCGAAGACAATGGGGAATTCACTTTTGCAACGTGTTTGCACGATTCAGATGCTAGCTCAGAAACGATCCACCTGATTCGCCGGCTGAAGAAACTGAACAAAGCCCTGTTGGTCTGCCATGACGAGCACAACTTTTTCTTTTCTCGAGGTTCATTCACGCTTTACAGGTCAACGCTCATTTTCACGCTCACTTAGACAGGATGCGCTCATTGTAACATGGAATTCAATCTTTGATTGACTGCTCTTGGACACCTTCAGGCCAAAATGGCCGCTTGCCGCACGGCCCTTCTGCTCAATTCTCAAGCTCGGTTTGTCCCGGCCGTTTCCACGTCATTGAAAGCACACCCAATACAACAAGCAAGGACACTCTTCGACTCCCTCCTCTCCTCAACATTTGGGACCTGTTCACTTCGTTCTATGGCCCATACCAAAGTTTTACCATACTCCGCTGCAACAGTTTTCAAAGCGGTCTCTGACGTGGCAGGCTACCCGACTTTTCTGCCCTTCACAATTTCAAGCAATGTCACATCGAGAGATGCTGCCGGCTACCCGACCCGAGCCACTTTGAAAGTCGGCTACGCGGCACTTGGCATTGAGGAAGACTGGGAGAGCATTGTTCGATGCGATCCGGCTCAAGGAATCATCGAGGCAAGGAGCAGCGAGGAGCACAGCAACGGTCTTTTTGAAACCTTGAGTACAAAGTGGCTCGTTGCACCTTCGAAGACGGCTGTCGACAGCACGGCTGTCAGGCTGAACGTCAACGTCAAATTTCGAAATCCTCTCTACGATCAAATGTTTGCCCAGGTCGAAAGTAAGGTTGCGAGTACGATGGTGTCTGCCTTTGAAAAGAGGGTTGAAGAGCTCCATCAAAAGCAGAAAATGCGACCTGGGTGAATGGCGGAAAGTAGCAAGGACGGTAGAGACCAATTGCAATTAACGTGCGTCTGTGGTCACGAGTCCCTCAGACGATAATCACTACCGCGTCCGGGTTGGCAATCCGCCGACTCACGAATTCAGGGGAGTTCAACGTCTCGGACCGTCTCGGCCAAAATGAAATTGAGATCGCACCAATATGGAACATCCGGCGTCGGCGTCGGCGTCGGCGTCGACTACTCAGATTTTTTGGACTGCTGCTGGAAGCTTGGGTACGGACACCAGCGACAGGGTCCGCATATATTGGAGCAACGCAGATTGGTGGGGGTGATCAGTCTTTTTCGTGACCCGGTCATCTCCGGATCAAACATGTACATCATGCATTGTGTGCGGGACGAGGCTTTGTCCCAGCCTTGTAAGGGGTTCCGGAGCGGGTGTTATAGATATGGGATGTATCTCCGGTGGTGAAAACTCTCCGTGCTTGAGACTATTGTAGATGGTCCTGGCGGCTCTGTGTTTTGAATTCATTTCTTCAACGGCGATCTGACAGTATCACAGTACTTGTCACAAACTTGTTCATTCACAACCGAATGAAACGAATCTCGTGGGCGGCTCGAGAGGAGAGGAAAAAGACTTGTGGCATCAACAGGTGCGTAATAGTTAACTACTAGTAAGGACGAGGTTTGGCGGCATCTTGTCGCCAGACAGGGAACAAGACAACGATCTCCAGAAGCTGCTGCAAGATGACAACTGATGGGTCACTTTCTTCAGGAGTTCGCTGGTGGAGTCGCGATAGTCCTCAGGAATAAGCAGATTCAAGAGAGGGTGAAGGAGGGGGAAAAAAAAAAGAGCTGTGATACATACATGCCGGCAACAAGTCACACACGAAGCTCGACGACGAGAGGCTGCCGAGATGCCTACTTGTTCAGAGGTGTGACGAGGAGTGGAAACTGCGCCAGCGGGTGTCAGTGGGTGTCAGTGGGTGTCAGTGGGTGCCAGTGGGTGCCAGTGGGTGGCGGGGTGGATGCCAGTGGCAGTGGCCGGGGGCCTCAGCGGAATGGTCAAGGATGGCAGCCAGCAACCAGCAACCAGCAACTCCCAGATCGCCCACCGAGGGCTCAGTGCTGCTAGTCCCCCACTACTGGAAAGTCTCCCACCATTCACACGCAGCTGTGGCAGCTTGTCACATCCAGACACATCCCGACCATCCCACGCCGCCAATCACTCCCCATCAGCTTGACCTCGTCCTCTGCTGCTGACTGGAAGATCAGCTTCTTTAACCGCCGAGTGTAATGCAAGCCACCGCAAGCATGGAAACAACCCTGTCCAGGTGCTTGCTACGACACATACGCAACCAACACACACACACACACACTCTCTCATACGCCGAGGGGGGGCAAAAGGGCCTCCTCTTCCTCCTCACCCTCTTTCCTCAGCTCATTCCTGGCAGGCCTTAAATTTGGGATAACATAGAAGCGCAGCGCAGCGCAATCTCTGGGTTGCAATCCAATCCAACAGACTCCCCCCGTCTGCCCTCTTGTTTCATATGTCGCTGCGCTCACCGTCAGTGTCATGGCCTACTGGCATGACCGTCCTGCGACCGGCGGCGGCGCGCCTGCTTCCTACATGGCGGCCATAGTCTACTATGGCCTGCTACTGACCCTCCTCCTCCGCGTCACCGCTGCCTTGCAGTCCGTTCCCGGGTCCCCTTGCGAATCTGTCTGCGTCGATGCAGGCTCCCTCGAACAAGACATCGTCTGCCTCGACGCTGATTACCAGTCCCTCCCCTCGGGTCGAGCGTTCCAGAAGTGCGTGGCATGTCAGTTGAACAGCACGGCGGTAGATACGGCGAGCAATGATACGGATGTAGAATGGGCATTGCGTATGATAAACTATTTTCTTTGTTTGCTTTCTCTCTTTGGAGGGTGCTAGATTGGAATGCTGAGACGTGGGTGTTCTTTGTGCTAAATCTTGCAGTGGCCCTTCGTTACACACTCGCTGGGTGCATGTTTGCCATCCCCGAGGACCATATCTCGATCAGCAGTCCATGTCAGGTCAGCTGTGCACCCCTGAACGCCTCGATCGGATACCGCATTACAAACGACAGCTCGACCGCCCAGCCGGGGAACGACTTCTGTACCGCCTACCCTTTTGACGACTACACAATCAACCGGTGTGCTACATGTTATAGCTTCATCCCGCAGCAGTTGTACCAGGCAAACTGTAAGCTAAATCCCCCACCCCGCGTTTCGTTTTTCACATATATTTTCTGCAATATTTCTAAAAGGAAGCAATGTTTTTCCATTTTTTTTCTTTGTGGCTCATTCGCTTTTCAAATTGCAAAAATATATAGTTTTACAAGCTCTCCACATCGCCTGCCGCCAACCCCCCGAACCGGGCAAACCGTTCTTCCCGGATGCAGAGTCCATCTTCAACGAGACGCTGATCGCTGGGCCGGCACCGCCGTCCAACAACACGGGTGGCCACGGCGGGCTGCACGGCTGGAAACTGGCGCTGGCCATCGTGCTCCCGATCGTCGGCGGCATCATCCTCATCTCGGGCACGTGCTGGGGTTGCTTCATGTTCACGCGCAAACGTCGCCAGTGGATGGCCCAGACGGGTCGCATGAGCCGCGTCCACGACGCACACGCCGACAGCATGTATTCGCCCATGTCCGCCAAAGCCGAGGCCTGGAAAGCCGAGGATCTCCCCTGGGGCGTGGCGGAGCCGCCGCGGGAAATGCACGCCATCAGCCCGACGGTGCTGCACGCGAAGCATCCAAGCCCCGGCGTGGCGCAAGGCAGATGGAGCCATCAGACCGGAGGAACAGGAGGATCGGAGCAGAACACGCCCCTGAGAGGCAGTTTTCAGCAAGACTCGGTCGGGCCCGGTCTTGAACAGGTCCGAGATCCAAATCTTCATGATCAGTATTTTGGCGTTGGCGAGGAAGTGGACGACTTACCCGGCCCGAGTGGTGGACACGAGTATTATCCGGAGCATCAGCAGCATGGACTCGGACAGCTCCGCATGCCTGATGATGAACGCGGCAACTTTATATGAATGGCAATGCGGTACAAATTCATCACAAGAAGCACGAGAAGAAAGATGGAAATCCTACGATGAAACGACCTCCAGTGTGACAACCCCAGCTGTTGAATGAAACTGTGTCAAAGACCGTTCGGACAATATAGAGTCATGGGGAAGGCTGTCACGGACTCTTCTTTTTCTTTATTCTTTTTCTGTCATCTCGGCCGATTCTGCAGGCTGTGTGCATTCGGCCAACTCCTTCAGCAGTCAGGGGAGGTCTCCGTGGCTGACTGCAATGAAATGTATTGTATATGTCCTCTTCGAGACCTAGAAGAACCTCGCCTGTTTTCCACCAAGAGAAAAGGAGTCTCAAGTAGTAGATAGACGTGTCCGCCCATTCTCGGGAGAATCAATTAAGCCAGATTCTGTTATCGTCGGATGACGGCTTCTGCGAAGATAACAAATTGCCGGACACGGGTCTTCGGCCCTTGAGCACAGCCTCGTGGCGGTGCGGATTTCCTGCTCGGAGAATAAGACGGAACCGAGCTTCCTTCTCCTTCGTCCTCGCACTGCAATCCTACTGCTATGCAATCTCTTGTGATTGTGTCTGCTCTCTTGTAGCACGCGATAGAGGCCCTATCCGCCTGCAATGGCCTCCGCAGCCAGCACGCGTGCTCGCCCTGAGGGAAACTCCGGTGTCAGCCCAAGTACCTCTCGACCCCCTTTTCGTCTGCAGCCTTGTCTAGTGAGACGTGTCAGCCTTACCGTTTCTTGCATCCTCTTTCCTTTTAGGTTCTTTCTTGGTGCTGCTGCTCTCTGTCTAAGACCTTTCTGGGTTTTGTCTTGCGCTAGAAAGTCAGTGAGGACGGTTGGCAGTAGAACTGAGGGTCGGCGTTAACTTTGGGCTTGAATCAGGCTGACTCAGGAGCTTTACGTACCCAGAAGGCTCTATCGCCAAAGACATCACACATTTATTTGTATGATTACCCTCTTGTTTTAGTCCGAATCTTTGCAGCGATTAACACCACTTCAAAATTCAATCGTTGTAATGTGTCTATCTTTCCAACAGCCTCCATGATATCCTCCTTTGAGCCTCGTACGTGCCGAATGTGCTAGAAAGGGCTCACGGATCGAGAGGAGTAGGATCGCGGTGGGAGCATGTCCAGGGAGAAGGATGGTTCAAAGGCATTTCTGGACCAAGTCAGCCTCCCGTTGAAAAACATGCTGTCAATGGCTGCACGTTAGAATGGTTCGTGGTCACCAAGAAGATCTTCGCCGCAGGTGTAGCAATGTGTCGGCACAAACAAAATTTTCAAGGCGGCGGACCTCCCCCCGAAAGCCATTCATTTAGTGGCGGGTAACTTCTTTGGAGTTTGGGGACGAAGCAATGCTGAACAGAGGGGGGGAGGAGGGGGGTTCTTCTTTTCTTTTTTCTTTTCTTTTCTTTTTTTTCCTTTTTGGCAGATAGAGGGATACGTCTGCTATGAGCAGCGTGCCAGACGAGCATTCTCCGAGCGTATTGTTCGGCTTGATTGCAGGATCGAGGAGATTTCAAAGCGTAAAGCTAGGGAGGTGAGGTACTTGGCACCATTAGTGTACGCGCAGAGCAAATGGATCCAGTCTGTCTGGCTCTGGGCTTTCTCGAATGGAGAACCGTCTCGACAATAGAGAATTGCTTAGGAGGCAAGAGATTAGTTCGCGGCTTTGCCTGAAAAGCAAGTACCGTCAGCAGCTTGCCGTGGAAGAAGCAATGCCAGCCCACAGATCAAGATGCGGCTGAGGGCAATGATAAGGAGCTCGTCCAAGACTGTAAACCTTCACCAGGACTGATTGCCCCCGTGTGCCCAGTATTTTGCTCACGAATCTGCGGAAGTGTGACCCGCCTCTTGAGTGGACACCCTCGTTCTTCCTGTGTATTCTGGCTCCTCCCCAGTTGGCGGCATCTTTCAAACCGACTGAGATAACCTCTCCATGGTAAGAGAAAAATGAGGTGATGGGCAAGAGTTCGGACCTGGATGTAAGTTAGGGTAACGGTAGCCACTCAAGAGCGGTCGAGGATCGACAGCGTTCCCTGACAAGGTTTCAGATCATCGTCTCCGTCGCGGGTAGACACCTGGAAAGAACTCTTCGAGGGATTTCCAGTTCATGACGTGAATGTGTGTGGCCAAGCGGCCCGTGGGGTCAGCAAGGCAAAATAAAAGGTTCAGTTGAAGGAGTGATGATGAACCAAGTCCCAGGGCGCAACGAAGCGAATAGCGTGCCTCATCTCGCCTCACTTTTCCAGATCACAAATATTGGAAACACCCTTGGGGCACGTCCGCGGGACAATTTTTGGCTCCAGCCGTCCCAGGGTACAGCCACGGGACAGTCTCTGTAATAGCACAAATGGTCGAGGTGAAGAGGGCGCAGTGGACATTTGAGGTAGCGCTGGGCTCAGCAAGAGGCGGTCTATCAACCCGCAAAATGGCTTCGTTCGGCCCGGGAGTCAAGGAAAGAATGGCAAGTGTTATGGTCGGCGTCCCAAGGTTTCGGCCTCTCGCAAAGACTGGTCAGTGGCCACTGGGGGGGAGAGGCGCGTCTTGTACGTCCACCCAACTCAGCCGATATTTCGCGCATGTTCGCTATAAACCCTCTCCCAATCGCCCGTGCCTTTCGTGGTCGGCCGCCCCCAATCGAAGTCTTTTTGCCAGATCCAATTTACGCGTCCAAGCTTTGCTCAATGCCCTCGCCAATCGTAGCGCAGCGGATCAGTATCTGAGGTCTGTCGAGGTCTAGAATTTGACGTGTGTGAAGGTACGGTTCAGGATTTCAGAAACTGGGGTCCTGCAATTGACGATGGCCCATTCCATGTTTCAGCTTCGAAGCCAGGCCTCGTATTGGATGGACCACGCCGCTGAATTGGGCAGTTCGCTCTGTCGCTTCGGTAAGGAAGCCCGAACCTAAAAGCCCCAGACGAGGCCGTCAAGGAGGCATCATCGGAAAAGGGGTCGGATGTGATGAACTTTATCTCATCGATGCAGAAAAGGCCGCATGTTAGATGATCTACTAATAGTGAGCACCGTCCAGGGGGATTCTGGGCGACGGCGACGGTGACGGACCTGTTGATACGCTGCAAACCTGCTCACCCATTTGATTTGCAGCTGGAAGTTTTCTGCGAGGACTCACAGGCGCGCAGAACGTTCTCTGCATCCCGCCTCAACCCAGGTCGCAGTTTCTTCACCCGCGAGGCACTGAGTTTAGCCGCTCCCCACGAAGACCGCTCAGTTGCTGCCCAAACTCATGTCTTGCAGGTATTACCCTGAAGTTTGAGTCATTCACTGGGGGTACGATACATCCTGGGCAGCGAGGGGCAGGCGGTGGCAATGTCGATGCCCAACGTTTCCGAACGTTACTTGTGCAGGCTGCTTGGGAGCACAGGAGCTTTCAAGGCTCGGTTTTCACAGATACATTGCACTGTCAGGTCAAGAAAAGCAGTTTAGGCAGCACTTGGTTGATCGCCCTCGGGGTGAGAACAAGTACAGATCTAAGCACATGACGTTCCACATTGCATCCGTTGGCGAGAGCTTGTAATATTCGGCTCTCGCAAAAAGGACCACGGATGAAGGCTGAGGGACGATTGCAAGCAGAAGAAAAGCATTTAGGTTCACAGACAATCACGTTGAGCATTGACTGAACACGCATTCGGGAACCGTGTACGTACTTCCTGTGCTGAGGGTTCAAGGACTAGCTCCTCGCCGCCTTTCCGTCCACCGTCGCTCTGCAAGAGTAGGGAAGCTGGAAGAACATGGATGCTAGGCTGGCCATCGGGCGCCCCTACAGGCTCGTCGCAGAGAACCATGCAGCATTGGGCAATGGGCAGCCTTCTCCGGCTTCCATCTGATCACGCGGCCCTCGAGTAGAATCTTCTTGCGACGTCTCCGCTTGCGCCTTCATTTGCTTGCTCTTTGGACAGCCATCACGCTGCGTTGCATTGTTGTCCTCGCCTTTCCTGTGCCCAACCATCGCTTTTTGTTGGCCCGTAGCTGTAGTTTTGCTGCGCAGGCGCTTGGGTCGCAACTTGGACCATGCAGCTTCGATAGCGGTCAACAAATAACCGGAGTCGGTGGCGGCCTTCAAGGCGTAGAATGCCCGGACATCCATGACGATGGCTCTGGTGAGCCAACCCGTTGAATGCCCCCCTGATTATGGAGAGTGCATGCTCGACGTTGGCGTCTCCCTGTCGGGAATTCGCAGCACTTACGCAGCAGAACGTCCCCTCCCAGCGAATAGTCTTCCGCGTGTGTTCTTTCTTATCAGTCTCCTTCGAGCTCGACACCATGGGAAGGACACGTCTGTTGAAAGCCGATCGTCTGTTGTATTGACACATCAAGTCTACATATGTCTTGGTCACACAACGCCATGATAGGATTCAATACTCCACTTCTCGTGCGGCCATTGCGATCCAGTCGGCACCGGAGGGATGACTCGGAAAGCTGGCCTTCGAGGCTCGGTTGTCAGAGTCGGAAAGCCTCCTAGCGAAGACTGGGGGGCTCGGGGCATCGTGGAGAAATCTTCTGTCATTTGCGCACTGCGACAAACCGGTGGTCAGCAAATAGTTCCTTCAAGATTCTTTGCACTTTTGGAGCCAAAGCCGAAAGTCTGACATACCGGGAATGACCCCAGAGAAAATCCTTCCTTTCGCCCCCTGGGTGCAATTTGCACCGGGGGCCTGGTCGCAATTCACAATTGCATTGTTCTTGGCTGGAACTTTTGTACTTCCCGATCCGCACGCGCCAGTCAAGCCGTGCATGGACAATGGGCATCGTCCTCGGCCGGTTCCGGCAAAGAATTGCGGGCAAGGTAATGCCTGAGTGATTGTGTAACATGAAGGTTGACAGTGCTCGATGAGCCTTTGGGCACCAGAATTTTCCACAATGCTCCAGATGTCCCAGTCATCTGTGAGAAAGCAGAAGATATCGTAGTGAATTTGGGGGAAGTCCCCCAGTCTATTCGAGCACCTGTAGCGTGTGGCCATCGAAACATCGTCCTCCGAGTAAATGTTATTGCTGAAGCGGTGTATGCAAATTGAGGCTGTGTTTTCAGTTTCATCAGGTGCGGCATACAATGGGTCTTAGCTATGGCCTCAGAACACCCCCTCCCACTACTGGACTGGGTGCCAGTCATGACATGGTGAGGGAAAGGCCGATACACAAGTTCGATCATGAACCTGCATGATCTCGCTGATACTGGAAATGGGTATTTGCGGGCGAAGAAAATCAATGAGCTCCAAAGATCCATGTAGAGTAAATATCTGGCATGTGCATCATTGAACGAGGACGAATGAATCCCCCCTTCTTCGCAAACTGGAATGAACAAGCAAACATGAACTGCGGGGACTCTTCACTGAAATCCCAACCCTCTGAGTCTGGCTCTTCTTTCGAGGATTACGCTCTCGGTTTGCCTATACAGAGCGTCGAGCTGTTCCATAGACAAGGAATCCATCAAAATTTTGGCGACCTGGGTGGCTGCGCTGACTAGTTGCAGCATGTACCGGTCGTCCTTTGGCGTTCTGGGCTGCTGGTCTCGGTTGTTTTGCTTCAGGGCAAGCGAGTTCTCTAACGTCGTAACAAACTGTTTGATTTGGTTATCGTAGAGCACACGGGCTGGGATCCTTCGCTTGGTAGCGAGCCTCTTCAACAAATACGCCCACTCGGTCCACTCGCGGTCCCCGGGCGTGCGGACCCGTGGTTTGTCCCTTTCTAGCGGGATGGGAAACTGATATTTTGCGACAAAGTGAAAGGCGCACCGGGACAAGATATCGTTGACCCGTGTTGTGATTTCGTCTTGCTCCTCAATGTCCAGGTGGACCGGGAGGGAGGGTAGTGCCTGGGACCGTGCGTGCTCCTGTTGCGGCACAGGGAGCGGAAGAAGTTGAGACGGCCCGTCGAACTCGTCCTGGTTGAAAGGTCGTCGCCGCGTGTGGTAGCGGGTAGCAGTCCTGCCCAGTTCGGAAGCCCGTCGGTTCTGCGTCTCCAGATCGTACTCTGCGTAGCCTTGACTTGTGGGAGACCCTGTCTGAAGAATAAAACTGTCCTGGCTTTGTCTTCGAAGCGCGATGTTCTGGTCATCGGGATTCGACCTGGGAGGAAGACCGTGCTGCGGATACGAGCCGGGATCAGAGGCAAAAGTGGACGATTGTGATATAAACGAGAGTGGTCGGAAAGGATCACCCACAGCAGTCGCTGTAGGTATACGAGTTGCGCTATGAATCTCCGGTGGAAGCCTCTGCCGCAGCCTCTCCGACCGCTCAGGTGATATGCGGCCGCCAGATTCCCCGGCGAAAGGGTCGTAGGTGGACGACGGCCACTGGGAGAATCTGCTGTGTATCGCTGCGTCAACAGAGAAAAACTAGGGCATTAATATCCGGCGTTGCACCCACCTCTGGAAAGAGAACGGAGAAGAGGTTTCGGCCAGAGGTCTCGACGTAGCCGTATCTTGCTGCCTGGAAAACGAAAAGTCCTCCTTCTCCGACATGCCCGCGGTGTTGTCTGTTAAATCAAGCGCAAACTGAACCCCCGGGGCGAGTCCCGACGAATAGGTAGACTGGAGATTGTTGATCGGAGACCTCAAGGCCAACATGATCAGAGCGGCCAAAATGATGGACAACTGGGGGAAGAGGGCAGAGAAATGGAGATCGGAAGAAGAGTGTGATCTTGCCTCCCGCTACGATAGGAGGGTGTCGAATGATCTGTGGCCAGGGGCTTCGTATAGGGTGCTCATCAGGTATTGGAGCATAATTTTCAATGCCAACTTGGGTTCGCAAGAAGAAACAACGACTCGGACAACCCAATAATGAGGATATTGAAACCTCATCAATGACGGCACGTGGAGGGGACAAGGCAGTGACTTTTTTGGCCCTCTGGTGCCTCAAGACTATGCTCGAAGTTGTCTGATTCCGCAATCCCCGGAAGACTCTAGTTTCTGACGAAAAGACCCACTGGACAGGGGCTGAAACAAAAGTGCCTTGACCCTGAGCAGCGGGTTCTTGCCGATGGGCATGGATGAGGCGTTGAGGCGCTCCCCGTTCATTGCGCACCAGTTTAGCAGATTAACAAGGTCTGCCTTAGCAGTTCGACGGAGAGCGCCACTGATTCGTGCTCGCAACCCAAAAGTTGGTACCCTAGGTTGTTCTGGAAGCCTAGTAATTTCTTCGCGGGAAAGAACGGCGGTACCGACGGCGACTGGAAATCCATCTCTAGCTTATTTTGGCGGTGCGCAAACATAAGGTTTTGATGCCCGAGACGCGTTCAATGGACGGGTCCTCGTTATGTACCCTCAGTGTTAAGGTGAGGTGCATTGCCTACCTGTCCCGTGGGCATTCGCCATCGACCCATGGGGTTGAACAGACGCTGAGAGCTGTAGCGAGTGGCTGTCCGCAGTATTAAGTTCGTGCCCAGGGACCATGCATTCTCGAGTTTCGCACAGCCCTACTTAACATGGAGAAGATTCAAGAGGGTTTGTTAGAACGCCTTGGACTGGCCGTTTCGAGCCAAAGCGGTGGATCATGCCCTAGGATTGGCTCGGGTGGAGAATAACAACGGGTGATGAGCGTGAGGCGTCGAGCTAGCGAGTCGCATGGGTCATCAACGGCACCAAGTCCCTTTCAGCAGGTATCCGGAGATCAATCTGTCGCAAGATCTGATACATGGTTAATACCTAGTCGTTGCTTTCGTGGAGAATGACCGACTGCGGTGATTCGTGTTAGAGCACAGCCGCACAGAATGGTTTGATGGGTGTCTGGGGAGAGAGCCAACCGCAGCCAGGAAGCCGCGTCAGGATGTCAAGTCACAAAAAGGTTTGGCCATTACAACATATCCGCCTTAGGGGCCTGTCAGAAAGCAAGCGCGAGGTGCCGAGAGTGACGACGGCCTCGCTGATCGTAGACGAAAGATTCAAGACAGACTGGAGAAGACCCATTGCATTATTGCTGCCCAAACCCAACGGGCCTGTCCTGGCCCTGGTGCCGATCACGGAGCTGATCTGCACTGGCCTCGGTGAGGCGGCGGAATTTTCTCGAAGCAGGGCTGCGAGATCCTGAGCGTCCAAACAGACGGCACCAACGGGGAGGAGGGGGGGGATTCGATTGTGAACGCTGGCCGATGCTGGCAAAGGTTCCCTTGTCCGGACCAGGGGAGAAACTGGCCCTTACAATAAAGGGGGGGGACGGATCAGGCTACTGAGGTGAGAACGTTACGCCCTAGAACCGTGACGGTCTCAGCAATAGTCGACCAGAGAAAGAAGAAGTTCAGAATGGCCGGTAGTTAGAGAGAATTCCAGTTTCCCGAGGCTCCTACCTACTTGTTACAAGTACCGAGTACGGCGGAAGGGGGATCCATCACTCGGAGAAGCAGTGCCAGACGGTTAGTGGGCCAAAGAACAGGTTCAGGGTCCTGGATTCCGTGCAAGCGGGAGACCAGTAGTTCGGTGGAGGACGCGGGACGAACGACCCAGGGAACTGTGATGGGTGGCTCCGTCGTGAGCGAGCAGTGGTCAAATGGGGGATTTAGAGTTGGGGCGAGGTTGAAAGGGAATGGTTTGAGAGGCTACTGTACATCAGGCAATCAAGACGACGACGAGGGAGCGGAAAGTGGAGAGGTACGAGTGGTCAAGTACCTGGTACCCAGTACTGGGTACCTCGTAGTGGTTGGTACCTACCCAGTACAAGTTACCTACCCTGTACTTGTAGAGGAAAAGGTGGGCAAAAATAAGAAAAAGGGGGAAGACGAGGGATGGAGCCTTGGAGCCTCGCTATTTCCCGCCCCCGTCACATCCCCCTGTCCGCAACGTCATTGGCGGATGCATTTGCCAAGCCGTCGGCGACGTCACCGCCCACAAATGCCGCCCGCGCCGGTCACGCGCTTGAGGCTTCAGTACAAAAACATGAGACGGCGAACGCGCAAGGCTCCCTTCCCACTGAGCACTACCACTTCATTTCCGTGTCGACACCACCGCCACAAGCCTACCCAGTACTGGGTACCAAGTACACAATACGAGATTCTTCCGGCCGGATGGTACCCCAGATGACACCCAGAGAGTTGGATTCTCTTCACAATGCGGATGGAGTAATTATGCACCCTCCCATCAGCACAACCATGTCCCTCCGTGTCGTGCTTCCGACGGCCAGGTACCCGACATTTCCCACTTTGTGCAACCATTTCGGCCCCCTCACTAGGTATTTAATGCCTGCTGCTCCCAGGATCCCCAAGCAGGTACCCGGCGGCTTTCCAGGGCTAGATCCTAACCCGGGTAAGCACTGCTGAGTTCGTTCTTTGCGACTCGAGTCTCAAGGAGTCCTTCTACACACCAAGACGGGCAGCTGCACACCCATGTTTACCATCCTACCACACTACCACTCCAAGTCCTCGGTACACTACTTAGTTGTACTTGTACCTCTGGCGACTCTGCCCAACGCTACCAGAAATCAAATTCAAAAATCGCGCATCCTCCAAGCACCGATCCCCGATTACATAGTGCTGACTGAATCTCATCATATGGCACAAAGCCTTTGTCTACATACCAGTACAGAGTAGGGATGTACTCGGTCCTGCAAACCCAGGTCTGGCACCTTTGGCTCAGGAACCTTAATCGAATCATTCCACATCTACCCACACGGTGGATTTCTCGTACGTACTGCGTATCATCATGCGGCACGGAAGGGGCTGCCGATTAATTCACCGTCGCTCTCTTGTCAGTCGTTTAGCATAGTGCTGGTCCGCATTGGCATCAGTTAGCACAACTAAAGAAAGCATCCATCTGCCGAGCTCGCAGCCAGAAGCCACGACAAGGGGCGCAAAGGGGCCGCAGCACTCACCTCGCAGCTGGCTCTGATTCCCGCTTCAAGCCCTACTCGAGGTTGATAGCCGAGAATCCTCCTGGCCTTATCACCACTGGCATATCGCATCGCGCAGGCATCCATTACGCTTCCACGCGAGAGGGTCGTTGGAGTGCCCGAGACTCGCGTAAAGACTTCCGCGACCAAGCCTAGCACCCAGCCCAGTCCTTCTGGAATGTGAATTTCCCAGGCTGGCGGGAGGTGCCCAAACTCTTTCCAAACAGCAAGGCTGAATTCCCGGAAGGAAATGGGTTCGTTGTTTTGGATGAAGAAAGTCTCCCCTGCGGCGCTTTCCGCTCTTGCTCGGCCATGGCAACCACGCTTCGGTTCCGCTGATTGGAAATCCAACAGGTTCTCGACGGCAAGGACGTGCGCGTCAGCCACATTGCCGACGTAAGTCGTGTCCCAGAGATTCTTCCCGTCTCCAATCACCCAGCGAGTCTCTCCTTTGGCAATACAGGCGTGAATCGGCGGTATCAGCTGGTTGTCTCCTTCGCCAAACAGCACGGACGGTCTCAATACGCATGTGGACATTGACTTGTCGTTTGCTGCAATCACAATCTGCTCCGCCTCGACTTTACTCTCACCATAGATGGACGACTTGGGCGAAACAGGCCATCTTTCATCAATGTTGGCATAGGACTGGCTCATGTCGTCTATCACGGTGCAGCAACTACTCGTGTACACAAATGCTCTGCATCTGCTTTTCCTGGCTGCGTCGACCATATGCCGCGTGCCCTCCACGTTGACAGCTTTGACCAAGGCTTCTAGGCGCCGTGCATACCTGCCAAAATAAACCGAATGAGCCATTGCGCATCATTACAAAGCGAGAAATGTCGAGCCCGATAGAGGTACGATGCACATATCGGCCCTCTTGAAGAAAACGGCTCCCGGCGCCGGGACACGGAAGCTGCAACATTCGGACAGCACCGCTTGCACAACATTCGAGACGGACCTACCTCTCGCTCAAAGATGGCACAATACCTGCTGTGTGGATGATGGCATCTGCATTGATCATGGCAAGCGCGTCCATGACGCTCGTCTTATCTGTGATATCGGCCTGGACGTATCCATACTCGCATCCTCTCAATAAGTCCAGCTCATCGTCTCCATCGTGACTATTTCTGTGCCGTCGATTCTCGCCCTTGTCGAGAATCCAGACGTCCCATTCAGGATGAAATTCCTGCAAGGATCGGACAATCGCCGAGCCTACAAACCCAAGGCCACCTGTCACTATGATTTTGATAGGGGTTGGAGAGCTGTTTGGTGTCTTTTGCACGGAGCCGATAGTTCCTGAATCTCCTTCAGCAAGCTTCGCCATTTTGGCTCGGGGCTTCTTCGCAAAGCAAATTCGACGAAATTCAAGGATGAAATCAGGGGTTTGGCCGTTTACGAAGGCCGTAAAGCATAGGACGAGAAAAGGTTCACATTGCATTAAGCTCCTGCCGTTCAGCAGTGCATTAATCATCACTCAGGTTGGAGAGAGCCACAAAAACGAATGAGAGCGAGGAGAAGTCGCCCCGTGCAATCACACCACACGGCAGCTCCTTCGTCTCACTCCGCATATTTTCCCATCTGTCTGACTTCCGTATTACCCGCCGGAAGGGCCAAACAGGAGCCCGTCTGACAGCAGCAATTTCCGGGCCGTTCCCCACAGCAAGGCTATGTTCCCTCGGGCCCCTGGTTACTCCACCCACGGAACACGGACATGCTTCCCCATCAGTGCTCGTGCATAACAAGTAATCATGGAGTCCTTCGAAAAGGTCTATCTCGCTTACAAGCTTCCAATGCTTCTAAAGCTTCCATTTCCCACGCCAGGGTCGCCAGCGACGCCATCGGACGGGGATCATGATCACCGAGACATGCCCATACTCGATAATATGAACGCCACTTATTCCAGCTTCCCAAGAGGTGCAAGTGGGCCCTATCGGTGATCAATGATCATCTGTCAATAATGCAAGGACGACGCGAGTCGAGGCGAGGCGACAAGGTCCCTTGGTCCCAACGGCGCGGAACCCTTGTCATGCCGCCGTCGGTTACTATTTATTGATATCCTGGCTCATTTCCCTTGGTACTTGGTACAGAGATCTCAATCAAGTTCAGCTGATGTCTGCAAACGGTCAAGTAGCCTGACTCAGTCATGGCTGCACACGGTACTCCGTACTGCGTAGCTTGCTTGCTTGACTCGGTGCCTAGTCTCCATCGCCTCTCCCCAGTCCGCTTCCCCGGCCAACGGTGACCAGGTACATATCTAAGTAGGTTTGTACCTACCGTAAGTATGTACGTACTCACCCTCACGTCCTTGACAATCAAAATCAGAATAGCTTTCCTGAGACCGGGGATCGAGAATCTGCGACCTTGCAACTTCGCTTCGGGAGCGAGGCGAAATGGCAGTGTGAGTGGAAATGGAATAGGGATGTGAACACGACTGCGAATTCCAGTGGCGACTCTCCCACTCTTCGCCGTGGACAATCAAGCGATGGAAATCCTCGATCATTGGAGCCAAGTTCCTCCCATTCATTTTGCGTTTTTCGTGATTGTCTATGTGTGTGTATGGTGTGTGTTCTCGGTAAGGGAGGACGGCAATCGAGGAATGCGATCCGGAAGCAATTTCTTGCTCCACTACCGAGCACAACGCAACGCAAAGAACAAGTCCGCTCAGCGTCTGGGAATCCAGGAAACCCACCCATGACGGACAAAGACAGGAATCGGCGATGAGGGCGACGAGAGCAATGATCACTTCATTAGTGTCATTTGACTTGAACATACACACAGACAGAGACAGAAAGGGAGAGAGGGGAGGGAAAAGTGACATGAAGTCTTCAGGAGATATTTCTCTCCCTGGTCCTCTTTTCCTTCTGCATCTCCCCCCGTTGGTCTCTTTCCTTCCTGAACACAAGAAGGCCCCTGATAGCCCTCACCTCGTCTCGTCTCGCCTTGCCTTGCGTGCGCATTGCGTGGCCAAAGCCAGCCCGCGTTTCGCCCATTCGGCGGAATCATTCCCAATTTTTATTCCATACGATAAGTCGGCTGTCGCCCAAACTGTCCAAGCCGTCCAAGCAAAATAAAGCAATGCATAGTAATGTTGAGAGAGCCATGTAAAGGAAAGCAAAGTAAAACGCGGGCAGCAAATTGGTGATTGATGTTATTCGTACAAATATCCCAAAGCTTCTCTCATTGTTCCCGCCTCCCAAATCAATCATGGGCCAACCCAGCCTTGCATAGCACACTTCCAACAGACGGCAATCACTCACTCCTCATCGTCCTCGTCGTCCACGTATCGCGGACCCCCGGCTGCTGGGGTAGGTGCATCAAACCCACCGCTGGCGTACGGCGTCGGTGCGCTCGCAGCAGGAGTGGGAGCGTCAAAGACGGCCAACCGATTGTTCTTCAACGGCTCGCGATTTGCACTCTTTGCGAAACTCGGCGGTGCCGGAGTCGGCGCGTCTTGGACGGCGGCTGAAGCGCCCGGCGTCGGCGCGCTGAGATACGGGGTGTATGCTTCGTCCTCATAGCGGCCAGACCCAGATGCGGACGGCGTAGGTGCTGAGATTCCCGGGGTCGGCGCGTCGTAAGGACGCGCACCAGGCGTTGGAGCAGACGCTGCGGAACTGCCGGGGCCGCCCCAAGCTGGAGTGCGTGATGAGGCTGAGTTATAAGCTGGTGTGCGTGAGCCGGCTGCAAAGGCGTCAAAGCCAGACGAGCCAGACGAGCCAGACGATCCGAATCCATGGTCGGCACCGTAGGGAGTCTTTGCATTGGAGCTCCATGCCGGGGTGCGTGAACCTGGATTGGCGGAGTAGTTGCCCGCCCCCCCGTACGAAGTCATGCTACCTCCCCCGTAAGAGGTCTGGGAGCCTGAAGGTCCCTTCCATGTCGGTGTGCGGCCAGAATCGAGGCCACCGGATCCAGGGTCGCTCCAGGCAGGCGTCCTTGACGAGGTGCCCCATGCTGGAGTTCGCCCTCCATCCATGACGCCCATGGGAGTTCGTCCTCCAAAGCCTGCATCGGGGACTCGGGAGCTGGGGACACCGAGCCCGGTTCTTATTGTTGATGGGCCACCACGCTGCCTGATCCAGTCTTCATATCTTGTCCGGTTTTGCGTGTTGGTGCTAGTGAAAATGTTAGCATAGGTGCAATGGAAGGGGAGTCCGTTGAACTTACTCAATGATTGAAAGGTCCATCTTGCTGACATTGATGACCTTGTTCTTCGTCTGAAGTTCAAGTCTCGCTTCGCCAGCTGTGGTGTCTTTGACAATAGCACGGTGACCTTTGTATGTTCCCTTGTTGATATGCACGAGTCTCCCTTGGAGAGGATCTCGTCCTGGTCGTTGTGGAGGGGCCATGGACATGTCTGGTCGTTTCATTTGGAGGGCGGGATTCATTTTCGTCAAGTCGGTGCTGGGAGCGGTGATGCGTCCACCCTTTGCAGCCGTGGTGATAACGTTGGTGCAGCGATTGACCCAGATGCCCGCATTCTCGATTCCAAGCTTGTTGTGGCAAAAGACATATCCTCTGTGAATATGGAGGATCGTCCCGGATTTTCCCTCTCCTCCAGACTCTCGCACCACGTCGCCTATGCGAATTTCTGACCCATTCTTATCCGTGGCAACAGCATTTTTCCGCGCTTCAATCTTCTGGATCTGAGAAGGTATTTTGGTCATCACGGAGCCGTTTTGGTCAAGGATCCGAACCGAATCTCGATCGGCTCTGATCACGCAGCCAACCGTGGTAGGATCAAGCTGCACCAGTTCTTGCACATCGAATTTGCTGCTTCCTGCGCCACCACTGCCAGAGTCGGTGGCTTCTCTGAGATCTTTGCTAAAGACGGTGATCTCTTCGTTGCTGTTGTTGGTGAGGACCGTGACCTTGTCATTCTTGATCCGCAACACCATTCCCACTTCATCGCGGTATTTGCTGCCTCCAATGATTTTCACATTGTCGCCCTCCTTGAAGCGTTTCCGCAGACCCTTGATAGGCACTTCGACGAGCTGGCCGGTCAACTCGCCCTCCGAGACCATGATGGAGACAATGTTGCCATGAACAGCTTCCGTCTTGCCGACAATGCCCCTCTGTTCTCCCTCGTAAACTTCTACCTCGTCGCCAGGCATGTAGTTGCCCTCCACAGTCGTATTCCGTAGACTGTGGGCCAAAGTTTCGAGATCAAGCAACTCAGAGCCGTCGGCAGCGGTTTTGGTAAGCTTGGTAATCTCCTCCAGTTTCGGGTTGACATTCTCGGTGATCAGATGCTGCAACTTGAAATCCTTGATCAAGAAACCGTTTTCGTAGGTGTCGCCTTTGTATGTGAAACTCTTCCCTGTCAGCCCTCTGTTTTGAGTCACAAATCTCTCGTGTCTCTTCTTGGCTTCAAGCTCGTTAAACAGCCTCTGTGGAGGTCGATTTTGAAAGGTGTTGATCGGCCCAAATGCATTTGGTCGTTTGCGCTTTGCATCTGCGAGAGCCGGTCGACCTTGGTCTTCATCCAAGCCGTAGGAAAGTCTAGGCACCAGTCGAAGGGTCACTTCAAGCCCATTAGTCTCAACGTCCTCGATCATGGCCAGGTCACCCATGTAGAGGCCTCGCTTGATGCGCACGTAGCCACCGACCTCCAGCTCCCTGTCCTTTCTCGTTCTCAACAAGTCGGGCATCTCAGGGATCGGGACAAGATTCATCTTCGATCGCGGATAGACATCCGGGATATTGGTAAGGGCGTCTTCGACATCGCTCTTATTGAGAGCTTCGACAAAGATATACCCAGCCATGGGGCCATCGCCTCTTTCAAAAGCTGAGGTGATCCTCAGCTGATTCCGACCCTTGCTCTCGAAGTATTTCTTCATGATCCTGCCGACAATTTCTCTCTCCTTTCCAGCTTTGCATCTGACCCCCCAGATAGACGGGGAATTGACGTCGGGCATGAGCAGGTTCTGAGGCACGAAAGAGCCCTGGCTGAGAGCCGCAGCTGTTCGCCGACCGTACCGCTCTTTGTAGGCTGCCGCCTGTTTCTCCAGGTCCATCGAGGCCTCCATCTGTCGCTGGCGATCCAGTTCCCTATGCCTCGCGTCGTCGTGGTCTGCTTCAGGCGGGAGATCGTCGTCGGGATGATTCTGTTCGATGAAGTCTGGCCCGAGCTCGTCCTCCTCAGCTTCAAGTTCATCGTCATCCTCGTCGACTTCGGCTTCTTCTTCGAAGAACTGATTCAGACCTCGTCTCCGTCGCTTTCTGGGTCGACTGGTGATTGCGTCTTCGTCCTCCTCATCCTCTTCTTCTTCATCTTCCTCGTCCTCATCTTCTCCGTTCAGGTCTTCCCCTTCGCCTTCATCATTTTCACCATCATCCGCCTGCTCTTCTTGGTCACCTTCATCATCGTCCTCATCGGGCGGCGGTCGTCTACTTTTGCGCACTGGAGAGGTCGACTTGTTGCCGTTCGCGGCAGGTGCGGGGCGTTCGTCGTCCTCGTCCTCGTCCTCATCATTCGCTCTTCTCGCAGTGTTCTGCGGTTTTGAATCTTCATTATCCTCATCTCCGGCATCTGACCCTGCCTCGACCCCAGGGTTGAAGTCATTGTCTGATTCTTCGTCGTCTCCACCAAAGTCTTGGTTCAGCCATGATTGTCCGGAAGCCATCTTGGTCGGTGGATCTCGCAGAGAATGCTCTGGGAGGCCGTTTTTGTAGATACAGAGGGATCGACAGCTGGCCGTGAGAACGGCCTGAGAAGAAGAGATGATACAGTTGGGAGATTGTGAAAGAGGCGAGGTGTTGGTGACAGCAAGACCAAAAGTATGTCTTCGTCAACAGCGCAGGCGACTTGATGCTTGGCGGGAATTTGATATCACGTGACTAACTTCGCCCTCGCCACCAGCGGTGCCTTCCAACACTTCTCGGCAGGGTTCGAAGGCCACTCGAAACCCTGGACTTTCAGCTCAGATATTCCCTGCAATCTGGAAGACCAGCCATGTTGAAACCCAACCTCTCCAATATGAAGTAGTTTTAGCAAAGTCTAGCTCTGTGCGCCGGGGCTGACCGGAGATTCGAGAACCAAGTCGGATGGCACATGCTCGTGGAAAACACCAGAGCAAAGGGACTTAACATTGAGGCTGATACCATCGATTATTGCTCCCGTTCACCACAAACCTCTGGCTCTCTGATATGTCGCCTCTGTTATTCTCTCCAATATCCATCGTGTATGGGTCCTTCCTTGTAAGGTTACGCCAAAAAAGGACAGTGGCAAGTGAGTTCGACATATGGCCAAACACAGCCAGAGGTGCATACCGGCAGCAATCAAACACCACTCAAGTTATTTCTTGATGGTGATGCCTCCTGACTCCAACGGGATCGAGCTTTTCACTCACACAATCTTCATTTCGTCCTCTTGGACATACAAATGCTATACCAAATGTGCCCCTGTCGGGTTTTCATATATAGCCTTGCTTCTCAAGAGCAAGCTTCTCCATCCAGGTCGTCAATCCCCAATCCACCTCAATTCCTCGGTCTCTTCATTTACAGTTTCAATCCCAAATTAACATGCACCGCCTTCGTTTGACTATAGGCCGCCAACCCAGCCTCGCCCAGCTCTCGCCCGATCCCGCTTTGCTTGACGCCGCCAAATGGCACTCTGAAGTCCGAATCATTCGACGAGTTAATCCATACCATTCCAGCCTCGATCCTGGCCGCCACACGATGTGCGCGCTCAATATTGCTCGTGAACAACGCGCTGCCGAGGCCATAGGTCGTATCGTTCGCCATGCGCACGGCCTCGTCTTCTGTCTTAAACGATGCAATCACCACGAAAGGACCGAAGATCTCTTCACGGTAGATTTTCATATCGTCCTTGACCCCCGTGAAGACGGTGGGTTCGATGAAGAACCCTTTTCCGTCACCGACGTTCTTGTGCGGAACTCCGCCAGCTGCCAAGGTTGCACCCTCCGACTTCCCGCTCTCAATGTATCCGAGGACTTTCTCATATTGAGCCTTGGTAACTTGAGGACCTTGGAAGGTGTCGTCCGCAAAAGGGTCGCCGACTTTCGATGTAGTCTTGACCACCTCTTTGAATTGCTCGATGAACTTGTCATAGATGCCTTCCTGAACGAGGACGCGGGAGGTGGCAGTACAGATCTGACCCATGTTTGACATGATTCCAATATGGGCCCATTTGGCGGCTTGGTCGAGATCGGCGTCGTCAAAAACAAGGAGGGGCGACTTGCCGCCGGTTTCCAAGGTGATGTTCTTCATGTTGACGCTGGCAGTCTTCATGATTTGTTTACCCGTGACCGTGCTGCCGGTGAAGGCAATCTTGTCCACGTCCAGATGGGAGGCGAGGGCGTGGCCCGCTTCCCTGCCATAGCCGTTCACGATATTGATGACACCTGGAGGGAAGATGCCAGGGACGAGACTCGCAAGGTAAAGAATCGAAAGAGGGGTCTGCTCTGCGGGCTTGAGGACCACAGTGTTGCCGCATGCGAGAGCAGGGCCCAGTTTCCATGCTGCCATAGCTAGAGGATAGTTCCAGGGGATGATCTGGCCGCACACGCCAATGGGCTGCTTGAGAGTGTAGGCGAATTTCTGAGGTGTGGTGGGGATTGTCTCTCCATGGATCTTGTCCGCCCACCCAGCGTAGTATCGCAGGCAGTTGACGACCTCGCCCAAATCCTCATTCAAGGCGACACTGTATGGTTTTCCGTTGTCCCATGTTTCCAGCGTCGCCAGTGTTTCCTTGTTCTCTTCCAGGACGTCTGCGAACTTGTGCATGAGGGCCCCACGGCCGGTAGCAGGAAGGTCGCGCCAGGAAGGATCGTTGAAGGCCGCCCGGGCAGCTTTGACGGCTTTGTCGATGTCATCTGCAGAAGCTGCCTCGACGGAGCAAATTTCCTTCTCGTCCCTAAGCGGAGCAGAGGGGTCAGTATTGGTCGGGGCGCCATACCAACGCCCGAGAGGGTTCGTAGAGTCCACTCACGCAGGGTTGATGCTGGTGATCTTCTCGCCCGAACTCGACTTGACGAATTCATTGTTTATGAAAAGGCCTGTTGGCAAGGTGATTTTGCGCCCATTGGGAGCTGTCAGCTCGACTTTCAAATCTGCCATCTTGGACAATGTGTGCGGGCTGGTTGAAAACAGTCGCAGCTCAATATGCTTGTTCCGAGAAGAGTCCCAGGAAAGAGCGCGGAGGGAAGAAGACCTCACGGTGGGCAGCAGAAACTTCGACGAGCACTTGTACATGTAAAAAGGCAAGTCAAAGGAGAAGAGAACCACCGGATTTTTGGATGTGTCTAATCAAACAGGACAGACCCGCGTCGGCGCCGTTACAAGAGGGACAAGCCAATCCTAGCGACCATTTGGGCAAGCTCTGAGAAGTTGTCTCGTTCGCAGGAACCAGCGAGCCACCCAGGAGCTTTCTCGGGACTTGATTGCCTGTTTGGAGCTGTCTACCCGTCCAAGCCCACGGCGATCAGCGAGAGACCAGCAGCAAGTCGCTGAGCTCCGATAAGGAAGAGAAGAGGGGAAGAGAGTGAGGGCAAGTGAGGGCAAGTGAGGGCAAGTGAGGGGCAAACTTCGATAAGCAGTTCGCCGGCTGCGCCTTCCTTTCCTGGGGGCGACCCCCCAGACCTACTTACTTGCTACGGTAGTGGCCCAGTGGCTAGGGGCCCCAGGGTGCACTTATTAATTCCTGCTTTACTTGTACAGGCACATGCTCCCCTCCTTGACCAGGAACCTCAGCCTTGTCCCGCTCTCGCTTTTGCCGAGGTCCTGTCGCAATCGTCCGGGATCAAGGGGCGAGAGATTGTGGAGGAGCCAGAGGAGCTTGCCGGGATTGTGGAAACAACCCTCATGCAACCTGCAAGAGCGGAAGGGAACCAGAGCGTTGGTACTCGGTATTTACTGTAGTATGCAGCCCGTAAACTTACCAAAGCGCCACGTGGAAGGCTAGACCCGAGATAGACCTAAAGGGGAGCGATACCGGGCTGATTTCCGTCGTGGGGAGCATTTCACTCCTCTCTTGAAATTCGACAGGCCTCCTCTGCGAATGCCTAATTCGTTATTTCGAGAGCAAATCCTCGAAGCTGGCAAGAACAGGAACGGAGGCGAGCGAGGCTTGAGGGATTGAAGTAGAGTTCTGGAGAGGCGTCATGCCTTGTGCGAACACAATTTGTGGCCCGGAAACGAGCCTGTGGTCACCTATGAAGGCGCCAAAAGACTTCAATCCTCGTCGAGATAGCGACACCCGGCCAAAAAATCTGACGCCTGAGGTACACAAGCGCCCGAAGGCGCACGGCGGAGAATGCAACTTGCTCATTTTGGAAATGTCTCGCCTTCATCCAAGGTCCATTGCTGTCTGGGCCCCGCGTGTTCGATACGAGGCTTGAGTCGCGGGAAGCATCCACACAGCCCAGATTGACCGTGCGATATTATCCCTGTTTGAAACCTCCACCATCTCAGCCCTATTGCGCTTCGTGTTTGTTATCTTACATCCTCCGTCCATTATTGGCCAAAGATGGTCAACACCGCAAAACCTCGACCAACTTCCCGCTGCTCACAGGTGTCAAGGCTAGAGTGTCTTTGGTCAACATTGCTCCATGTACACGCCTGTGCTTTCTTTTATGTCGCCGTCGTTATTGTGAGGACTGTTGTGACTGGTCGACGCCGGTATCCGTACTTCTTCTTCTTCTTCTTCTTTCCTTCATAGTTCGCCAGCACCGTGAGCATCGTCCGATTCGGCGCTGTTCTGGGAGTGGTTTTGCACCGACTCCTCGATTTCCACTGCGTCTGTCATTCCTAGGCCGGGACCTCCTTCAACGACTCCATCGGAAACTCCGTTGAGTCCGTCGCCGTCGCTGGCGCCCGCCGTCTCCTCGCCTTCACCATCGACTTCCGATTCGTAACCGCCCATGATATCTCCATGTCCCAAAAAAACTGGCTCTCCGGCCAGATCAAGAATGAATCTCCACTCCTCGGGGGAGACGGCCGAGACGCTGAGTCGACTCTGCTTAAGCGTCTGCATATTCTCCAAAACGCCACCAGGCTTCGAGAACGATTTCAGCTCCTTGAGGGTGATGAGGCTCGCAAATTTCTTGACGAATTCGACCTGGACAAGTTCCCACTTGGGCTTTGCGCGGTCGGACTTCGGGTCAAAGTATGGATGCGATGGGTCAAACGCTGATTCGTCAACGGTATGTTCGCCAACAATCCGCATGACGCCAGCGATGCCCGGGATGGCACAGTTAGAGTGATAGAAGAATGCTAAGTCGCCCTTGCGCATTGCTCGCATATTGTTGCGGGCGACTGCATTGCGAACACCTGTGCCATTGTTAGAAGAATCCCCTGTGACGGACAGACAACAACACGAACCATCCCACCCCTCGGGTTCCGTCTTAGCAGCCAGATCATCGATAGAGAATTTGACATCGTGACCTTTTTCCATTCGCGACTCTGGTTCAGCCTTCATCAGCCAGTATTGTATGTCATGGTCAAGAGCAGCCATCTCTGCCGATTTTGTTCCGTCGCCGTTGATCGCTGCAGGCGCATTTCCATCCGGATTCGCGCCGTCTTCGGACTCGGAATCGGGCTCGGACGATGCATCGCTAGTCTCGGATTGGACCTTGGGCTTTCTGCCGCGCCTGCCAGCTGTCGTCGTAGTGGGGGCGTTCGTACTGGACTTTCGGGTCGCTGCACGCGCTTTCTGGGCGGAGGAAGTGACGGGTTTAGACGAAGTCGAAGCTGTCAATCAGGTCAACACCAGCACATTGCGGCCTCAAAGCCGTCAACAAACCCACGAATTTGCGACTGACTTGTGCTTTTCTTCGGAGTAAGTTTCGCCATCTTTTGTTTGACCGCATGCTTGGTCGCGGTCGAAGCAGTAGCAGCAGCAGCCGCAGCAGCCGCAGCAGCCTTGAGTGGCCTTCCACGCTTCTTCATCACGGGTTCACTTTTTGCGCCGGCCGAGACTGCATTCTGAGCGCCAGATGAGCGGCGTCGGGTGAAATTGTATTTTGGCTCACTGACAGAGGTCCGCTTGGGGCGACCAGCGGGCGAGGCCGCAGCTTGGTCAGGAATGTCAGAGGTGCCGACGATACGGACTTTCTTGGCCGGAGTGCTGGAAGTTGACGAGGCTTTGCGCTTCCTCGGCGGCATGGTGTGACAGCTTGAACCTATAAAGGACGTCCGAGAATTGGACAAGGCTGTGTGCTGAGACAAGCTGAGGAGACAAGCTGAGGAGACAAGCTGAGGAGACAAGCCGAAGCACGTGCTGTGTAACACTAGTGAGAGAATCGCCGTGTACCAAGTAGATGACAACATTGAACTGAAGTCAAAACCAAATTGAAAGAAAGTTGGCGCGACGCGTGGGAAGATCGCGCCAAGCTTCTCTAGGTAGCCTCGGTAGCCTTGTGCAGCCTTGTGCCAGCGCTTTGTCTCAGTCTGAAACCTACAAGTGTGATGGTCAAGGGTGGTTCAATGAGTGTGAAGTGAGGTACAATTGAAAGATTTCTGCGCTTTGAGTTCTGTGTGTGTCTGTGCGCGAAGACGAAAATAAAGCTCACTTAGGTTGCTATAATTTCTACAATTCATTGTCACTACCAGCCTCCCAAAGCGACCCGACAACTAGAGGATGGATTCAGATTCCATCAAACTGATCACAGAGTTCTACAGTTTGCCACTCGTGTCAAAAGTCTTGTCTGCACGGCTGCATCTGTCTTTCTTAATCAAACACCAGCCCGCCTTCTCCGCTGCTGACATCGTCTGGCGACAGCTGGGATTAGGAACAGCCCCTTGGGGTCGACGGATCGGACGTCCAGCACCAGCGGAGTCCGAGGGAGCTGAGCGTTCTTCATTACACTCCGTACGAAGAACGTCAAGTAATTACATCCCGGGAGAATAATCGGACTTTTTTGGCATCCGGTGAAAATGTTGTCTGTCGACCTGCAGCGGCCTTGTTCTCTGATGGGTGACATAGAATTTCCAAGGTTGGGCGTCGAGTAAAAGTGTGTCCGCAAGTTCGAGCCGTGCCGGGGATCATGGTTTGGGAAGCTTCGCGGGATACAGGTGACTGGTGGACGAGGGAGCCCTGCTACTGCACGGAGCGATGGTTCTTCTCGAGAATAGCGGAAGGCCTAATGCACAACCAGTGTGAAAGGTGTGACCTCGACAATATGTATTTGAGGTTTATGGGACAAGACAAGCACAGAGGAAGCTTACCTGGGTCCACATCCTCAGTGACACAGGTTCCTGTCACCTGTCCAGCCCCCTTGCTCAGCTGCAACAAGAATTGTCCGATGGGGGTGGGATGGTGGATGGTGGATGGTGGACGGTGGACGGTGTTGCTTAACCTCTTTGCGTACTCAACCCGTCCTGCAAGCCACGTGTTGATGCGGGAATCGACGACCTGCCCTTGCAGATGATCTGTGTCGTGGCTTCGTTCTTTGCCCCTCCCTTAGTTCAACGCAAAGCTGACGAGTGGTGGTGGCAGTATTCTCTTTCCCAACTGAGGAAGCGTGTTAGCTCGAAGGAGACCTCAGCCAACGGAAGGCAGGTTAGAGCGGGTTTCAAAAGCACGCAATCGGCAACTAATAATGGCGCTACCTGGTGAACTGCAAGACGAACTTGTCAACAGGGAGGAGGTGCTTGGAGAAGAGCTCCTGCAGGCCCAAGACCAACAACCTCGCGACGGGTCGGGTCACCTGCAGCTCGACTGCGTGCATCACATCACGCAAATCATCACCGCCTGGTGCTTCCCAGAGCGCAATCCGGCACCTTCGCAGAACCAGGGACTGCCAGCCTGGCCTTGAAACCGTTGAAATCGACGGGCAAAAGTCCTGGGGCGATCATTGTGGGGTGGGGGAGACGAGCACCGTTGCGCTCTCCGCGCTGAAAACGTCTAAGAGTACTCGGTAATAGATTCATCATCTGTCTGGAATGGGCGCCGTCTTCTGCCCTGGTTGTCATAGGCCTAATGGAGCGCGTCGCTGGGAGCGAAGTGGCATCAACACGCCCATCAATATCGCTTGCAGGTCAGCCATTGCCATGGCCGCCGGCGGCAATGGTTGCAGGGATGGAGCAGAAGATGGCGGTGGGCACCGCAAGCACCGCAAGTGGGAAGGATCCATTGCGATGGAGAAAGTCCCAGAAGTTCCATCCCGCCCACGTGTGAACGACTCGGGGAACCGCCTTTCCCCCTTGATCCCTGCTGGCGGCTGGTGGCTGGTTGTTGGCGCCATGCGATGCAGTATGCAGTCTTTGGCATCTGCATCATGCAATGCAATGCACGGCGCTGCAATGCAAGGTCTCAGTAGCGGCTCTTGTTTGCATCGTTTGGGCCGCTTTGCAGGCTGCAGCACCGCATTGGCGTGAGTCTTTCGTCTTATCTGCTTTGTTTGTATGTACTCCGTACTTGCTACCGAGTACATGCTCCGCTTCCCTAGTTCCAAGTTTCTTCTGGGTATTGTCCCTGTGCCCTTTGTCGCCGGGGATTTTTCTCTAGCCGCCTTCTATCCTGGAAAGCAGGCTTGACCCGTTGTTCAGCCAGTCAATCGAGGTTTTGGAGAGTACACACACTTGATGCAATCGGGGAGATGATTTTGTCGCCCAACTTGTGAAGCAGCCAATTACACCAGCGACTTTTAGCCGAACGACCTTCGAACCAACGTGGGGACGTCTTTTGCATGCTGGCTGGGCTGGCAAATTTGCTCATCCCTACTTGGTACGCGACGACCAGTAAACTGGCTTAAGAGCATTTTATCCAATGAATCGAAATTTCTCCGACCGCATACTTTCTTCTTGAAAGGAAAGTCTTGTGACGAAGCAAATTTCTGCGCGACGCAACTATTTGCTCGGGTATCCCGATCTTTCGTGCATTGATCTCCGAGCGACGGGCAGGCTAGCCTCGTGGTCGTTTGGGCCCCATCATGGCCCCAGTAAGGCGTCGTTAGAAACTGTCCAAACCGCAAGGAAGGTGGATAGAAACCTGCAGCTAATCTGGGACGTGATCTTTGTCTCCCGTGAGGATAGCGTCAGCCAGAGCTGCTGATCGCCTTCGCCTGATGGCGGTTGTTGTGCGGTTGCTATGTAAAGAAAGATGTTTGCTCGAGCGATGGATTCTGATTGCCTTAGCCAACATTTGGATTGCAGGTGAGGCGGGCGCCGGAAATCTAGCGACTCGACTGGCTGAGATTTCGACCTGGGCATCAAGAGATGTGTGAGATCGAGTCCCTGTCAGCAAAGACGTTCCGGAACTCTTATTAGACGTCTTCCTTGTGACCTCGAGACTGGTCCTGGCTTCCCGAGATCCTCCATCGACCCATGCCTATAGGTCAGAACGAGCTTGCGAGGTAGAAATGTTTCGCAGAGACGAGGGACCAGCAGAGCTCCCTCAGCCGAAGGCCACCCAGGCCACACTAAGGCGGTGAGCTTTTTGCAACAATCATCAGCATCCTGGCCAATGGAACTCGCAGACCACAGCTGTTTTACTGTAATTGTCCAATACTTCATCAGAACCGCCCTCCGCATGCAGCGATTGGCCATTATTACTCCTTCGCGTTGACGTCCGCACCTGGCATCCATATCTAGCCCGCCGTTTAGCGTCGTTTTCCGGCTTCCCAGGCAGCAGAATTGCACTTTTCAGCAACCTTTTCACGTTGATTGAGGACGAGTGGTGACAGCGTCAGGCTGGCAACCTGCAACTCGGGTCCTTGTCGGGCCAAAGCAGCGGGGTCGTCACATTCCTGATAACAGACACGTAGCTGCCTGAAGATGCTTCCTGGCTTGCAGCCAGTTGTTCGTCAGCATTTACGTTGGCGCCGTGAGTGTCCTGGTGGACATACAAGGTCTCTTCGGCTGACGGTTGGAGGAATCGACCACGAGCTGTCAACTGCGCTGTGGCCCTGTGAATATACCATATATCTAACAATTTGTGTGAAGCATGGGGGTCGTCTCTCGTGGATAAATATACAAAAGTACAGTCACCAACGATATGGTGGTTCAAGTCTGCCAAATAGATAGAGCCTTCTCTGTCTCTCTCGGTGATTTCTGGTTCCCTTCTCTGCAGTGTCTGGGACTGCTAGTCTGCCTCATCTCTGCCCAATTGTCCCCCAACGCCGCAGAGAAGTATTAATCCAACAAAAGGATGTAGGTAAGTGGGGGTATCTCGCAGGTGCAACACCACGACCAAGAAGAAAGAACAAAAAGCAATTAGTCAAGGAAATGATATCAAGAGTGTATGATCTTCCAGTTTGTGCAATAAGAAAAGGGCAAGCCAAGTAAGCCCTTGTGACGGCAAGCGCAAATCCCATTCTGATCTCGGTCATTCGTAATCATGTCCCACCACGGCGGTGAAGGGATGTCGCATCTGAGGTCGCCCTCATTGTCGTCTCTCTAGGAATAGTCATTTCGAAGGAAAAAGGATTATCAGTGTTCTGATTTCGTGGGGGAGGGAGGCCCTCCTCATTCACCGGCCAGAACTCCAGCTCCTGTCAAACGGATCTCTCCGGAAGGGGTCGTAGGATTGTGATCGCGTAACAGGAGGAGGTGGCGGCGGTCCTGGAGGCAATGTCCTGGAGGTTGCGAACATGCTCGGTACAGGGGGAGGAGGAAGCGGTGGAGGAGGTTGCGATGGAAAGCTTGTGCCGTAGCCAGGTGCAGGGGGTGAATGAGTGTGCCGCCCCGTAAAACTTGGCTGGTAATCACCGGTCCGTCGGCGTTGAGTAGAAGGCCCAGACTCGGCGCGTTCACGAGAAGATTCATCGGACACGGTGGGAGTTTCCAGGAGAGCACCACTTGCGAGTGGCATTCCCGTTGCCGCAGCTGCCAGTCTCCTCTGCTGAGGCGATTCTGGCCGTGGCAACAACTGAGCAGCGGATACATACCTCATGGCCAGATCACGAAAATAATTCCTTTCAGACAGATAGTGGTCGCGTTCTTCGATTAGATCCCGCAACTCCTGCTGCAAGCCTGCGATTGTCTGTGACGCTTCCTTCTCTTTTTCCTTCCTGCGTGCGCGGAAGCGAGCTGATGCCCCTGCATTGCGCTTTCTCTTTTCGTCCGCAACCTTGGACGCCTGTTGCAGGTCCAACTCAACCGGAATGTTCAGCGGCCCCTGGTCAGTGTCAAGAGTCATCTGATACGAAGCCGGACCTTGGTGAAAGCCTTCGTGCGATCCATGGTGTCCCGGAGTTTCATGAATGTATAAACCTCCACCACCAACTGAGAGCGCTCTGAATGGAGCTGGCGGTTGAGCAGGCGGCGGTTTTGGGATACCATACCGATACCCTGGCGAAGGGTGTTCGATGTTGCTGTACGGAGGCTGCACAGTCGAAGGTCGTTCGGCTTGGGGGGTTATCACTGGCTCCGCTCCACGGGCAGGGCTTTCTGAGACGTGTGCTGAACGGGGCTGTCCTGATTCATGTGGTACTATACCGCTCAAATGTGCGCCGGTCGCAAGCGCCAAAGGAGGCAGAGGCGGAATTTCAGATGTCTGATATTGACCTGGCTCGGCCGTGTAAAGGCGACTGCCCGTGCCCGGCGGGGGCTGTAACGGCTGGATCATGGAATGAAACGCTGGGTTCCTTCTCGCTCCCAAACTTGCTGCCCGCATTCCCGGCGACTTCGGGGTGAGGACACGCCTTCCCATGCGTCCATGCCCCTGCTCAAACTCTCGAGGAGGGGATCTTGGATCTGTGCGCTTTCGGCTGCGCGGGGACTCGGTGGGCGCCGGTAGAAGACTTTGGCTGAGGCTCATGGCGGACTGAGTGGCGGGTCTGACATTCGGAGAGGCTCTTTCTTCGGGCTCTGCTGAAGGGTTCAGAATGCTGTGTACGCCAAACGCCCTGGATGGAGTTTGGACAGTCGACTCGGCCGAATGTCGACGAGAACTGATGCCCAGGCCCACGTCCGTCACAATTCGCCCTGGAGCATTCCCACCATAGCCGCCATAAGGCTCCGTCCGAACCGCACTCGCCGTGCTTGGTCTTGATGATTCTGCACTTCCACCAGAGGGCTGAGGCAAAGGGATCCGTCCTCCGGCAGTGGTGGGCGTGGTGATTGACGGATAGTCTGCCGGTGGGGAGGATTGTGACATGTACTTGTTATGAGCCTCCTCGTGCGGCCGGTCCCTTTGTCGCGACCATGGATGTTCCTCCTGCGGCTCTCCTCCGCCTTCCCGCCTCCACCTATCCTCAGGTCCTGTGGGAGATGTCGGACTCGTTTGGCAAGACTGATAGTTCCACGGTTGCTGGAAGAATCCAGAGTTCGGAGGGGACCTGGGATATTGCTGGAAAGGGGAGATGGTGACACCGAGAGTAGCCAGATTGAAAGCCTTGTAGTTGTATTGTGCTGGACAAGGTCAGGTCAGGTCAGAGGAAAGACTAGCTGGTAAGCTCGGCGCGAGGCCAGACTTACAAGAGTACTTCTAGAAGTCACGGCACTCCGGCAGGTCAGAGCAAGGTTACAATACACGCAAGGGCCAGGAAGCCGGACAGAAGATTGCGCATCCCAAGATCAGAAAGCATTTGCGCAACCCACCCCCATGAACTTGCGAGGATCGTCCGATAATTCGTCTCTTGGTGCAATAGATGCGGCAAATGAGAGTCATCAAACTGCAACCCTAGCCCTGAGAGGTCCGTTCGCAAAGAAGAACCGGCACAAATGAAGCCAGGCAGCCCAGGAGCATTAGATGGGCAAAGGGCAAAGGAGAACAAATAGTCTTGACAGGCTAGCCTGAGGTCAGCTCGTAATATTTCATCGTCCGGAGTGGGCAGCAGAGTAAGCAGAGGTACTTGGGGTGAGTGGCCCGCCGCAATTCCTGGGACGGGGAAGCGGGAAGCATTATTTGTTGGTGTTGGAAAAGCGAGATGCTTCCAGGCTTTCTAGCGTTGAAGCTCGTCTGCCTCGTCACGATCTGAGCGTCGCCCTCTCCCTCCCTGTCCCAAAGCAGGGACTTTGGGCCCAACGCCGACGAGGGACTGGAGTCTCCATCGGTGAGTAGGGAGGAGGCAAGTGGGTCGCGCCGTCCAGCGGGTTTCGACCATGCGAGCAGCCGATGGGAAGAGGGAAGGCCACAGGTGATTGAGGATTTCAGAATTCAGATTCGACCGCCCTAGGGACGCCGGGATGCAAGGAAACTAGCTCATCGCCCGAGCATGCCTTGTCAAGCGCGTGATGGCACCGGCAGGCGGGATGATGGCATCGCTGGGCAGCAACAATGATAGCGCGATTGTGGGTGGGCCACGGCGGTGATGTGGCGCTACGAAACGTCTGGGGGTTGGTACATGTAACTGTCAACCCAGCGTGGGGCTGGGCGGGCTGATTAGACTCTGAGCTTTTCCTCTGTAATGAACTAGAGCTGTGCCTCCCAGTGCCTCCTTCCCCCTGGTCCCCTGTCGAAGGGGAAAAGGTGCCAGGGGCAGAACCGCGGATCCACAAACTCTCTCGAATCCTGCGGGCATCTCTGATGGGTTGAACCAACGGAACGAAATTCCCATGACTTGGAAAGGGTGGGTGTCCTTGCATCCGGACTGGTCAACGCCTGACCCAACTCTCTTGCTTCTCCCGCCTGGGCTTGTACCAGGCGGGCAGCGGGTATGGTAGATGGGGGGTGGACCACCGTTTGTACTGGTATTGACAATGCGACCAGGGGCTGAAAAGTGAAGAAAACTCTCCCATGCAGCCATGTCAGGCATTTCGAGGGCCACCAGAGAGGCGCATTAGCCACTTCTCCTAGCGCCGCCTTGTTGGCCTTGTCCCCGACGTCGGCTTGCGTCCCCCGTTGCAGCTTGGTCCCAGTACTGGGTAGACTTGATGAGAAAGTTCGTAGCGTCCAGTCCAGAAATTCGCGGCGAGAGAGGGACAGGAAGTGCTGGGGCAAGGCGATTAGGGTGTTCTGCCGTCATGGCTTTAATTGGGTCGCGGCTCTTCTACCACTTCGCCTGGGATCAGGCCTCAAGAGCTCTATCCCTGTCCAATGCGAACGATCCTTCTGCTTTAGGACCGCCAAAACCCCAATTTGTCGTTTGATTTGGGTCAATTGAAACAGGGCCTACCAGCACACCAGGGGAGTGAGTGCCAAATTCACAGTCCGTGAGACTTCCACTTTAATTCGAGAATATCATGGGAGGAAGATCAGCATCGAAAAGTGAAGCGTCCCACTTACCTGGAGGCTTGTGATCCCGGATTGCTTTCGGCCTTCACGGCTGTCCAATGGTTAGCAGGCTCTTTCCACGGAGCTCATCAAAAGAATGGAAAAAACAATACCAAGGTAAAGGCCGTCCTCTCAATGGTGGTCAATTCTCGGCCAGTCCCTTGCAGTCCGTCTTTATTCAGCCTACAGTAGGTACATACCAGCACAACAGACGGGTGACGTTATCGGGTTAGCTTTTTCGCAGGCCCAGGAAAAGGCCCCTCGTCAGTGGCGGAAGGGAATGAATAGTCGTCTTCCACTACGGAGTCCTGGCTCCAAAGCCTCAGGTTAGCCTGTCCCGGTAAATGGTCCGCTTAGGACGATCACGTCGATCACAGCTTTCCAGGGCTGGATAAATAGTACCAGGGCCATAATCCCCTTGATCTCGCTCGCATATCAAAGTCCTTCCCGACCAAAGGGTTCACAGGTTGGCCAGGCGAAGGGAAACCGTTCACCGCTCCAAGATTTCAATTTGCGCACGAAATAATCCATTTGTGGATCATCCACCCACGAAGGGCCCCCTTGCTATTCCCCGTTGGGCGTACTCGCTAGATTACCGAAATAGCGGCAGGAAGTTCCGGCAAGCTCGAGTTTGGAATAAGATGATTGTTCTCCTTCGATGGCCACAAAAGACAAGAGCAGCCGAGAAAAGCGTCGAGCTGTTGGTTAGGGCAATTCATTTCCGGTGATGGTGATCAAAACTGGAGGAGCAGTTGTTCGCCCTCGACCAGCTAGACACACGCCGGGTAGTCCACAATCAACGTCCGGAATTGTTGCACTGCCCTTGATGCTTTCCATCTGGTGAAACTATATCATTGTATCCGTTTCGGGAGACGTACATAATGTGCTCGGAACCAACGGCCTTTTTTCGCTCTTTAAAGTTCAGCCAGCAGCCAGAGGAAGACGAGCTATACAGAGTTCGGAGCCCATCCGTACACTCTGGGAGAGATCATTGAATTCGATCTGGAGCTTGCTCCACAGGAAGCGAAGGACGTCGAGCAGATCGTGACCAGAAAGGCTCAGCTGGACGCCAGATCGCTTGTTCTGTGCCTCATGGTCAAATCTATTGATGTTAGCCTCGACTACTAGCTGTCCCCCCGTGCTAGCTATCATCGTCGACGCTGCGAGGGCAGAAGTGTCAAAGCCATGACTAACGCTTTCCACATCCTGTAAAGCAGCCCCCAAGCTTCGACTCAGTAGGTGGGATGCCAAAAGTTCCGTATGGCCGACCTTGAGTCGACGGGGCTGCGCTGCTGTAGTCACTAATTCCTCTAGGGCAAGGTCGCAATCAACGGTCTCCGCCCAAGTGCGCAGCTGCAGGTATATCTTGACTTGGTGTTCGGCAGACAAAGGTAAAATCTCGAGCTGCGGCGACAAGCTAGAAACACGTTGGTGCCAGGCCCTTGGGACTGGACTTTTGCTAAGTGAGTACCCAGTACACTTGCCGGACGCGCTCGAGGCGGTCTACAAGAGCACATGATTGTGGCTGGTCCTAGCCTTGTCGCCTTCCGGCTCTCATTTCTCTAGTCAGAACTTGGGCTTCGGCGAGCTTAGGCTGCTCTATGTGTTTTGCGAGCGGTCAGTCGCAGGTCCTCGCTCGCTACTTTGTACATTGCGGCTGATGGCAACAATGAATCTCGGGAGGGGTCCCCCAGATACGATCGCGGCTCGGTTGAAGCACTCGTAAAGCATTGGTGTTGTGGTTGACAGCCGAGAAAACCTAACGGGGCAGGTGATGAACTCTTGAAAAGCCGCATTCGTCGGCTATGCATAAAGCTGCAGCTGCGATTTCTGGCGTAATGCAGGCCAGCGCTACCACATCCGCTACTACCGTGCATGCAGGACGTGTGGAAAGGAAGAGCCACCAAAGCCACTTTCTTGGTAATTAGCAGGCTGGACGCATTAGATCCAAGATGTCGAGGTTGCCAAGTGTGACCCTGCTCCCCCCTTCTGGGCTTTCCTTATCATGGTGCCTCGCCCAGCGCCCGAGGCACCTTTTGGGGGGTTGCGTTCCGCAAGACTGGGAAAAGAAACACGACAAGGCAGTGTCGATCATGGCAAACAGCCAACAAGTTGGCTTTGTGCAGAGGTAGACGATTTGCCATTTGGCATTTGGACTCAGCCTGTCTTCCCCTCGGGGAAAAAAAAGCTTTCGGTCAGCAATCCAACTTCCCGAGGCGGTAAATGGTCTTTCTGACGACCATTTCTCATCGCTTTCTGTGGATGGAAATCCCCGAAAGTTGATCCCAACTAAACATCTCATGCTTCTGGTGTCGCCAGAGACAGGGCACGCTGGTGCTACTTTTCCCCCACCGGAAGTCCCCGGTCCACACAATTGTTGTTTCTTGTCCATTGGAACCACCAGGATTGATCACTTGATGCGAAGCAAAACAGGATTGACGTCGGCCTCGCTGACCGCCTTGGGAGAGCGAAGATATCCTTGGGGAGACCGAGGAGGGGTAGTCTGTTCAGTAGGGCGAGTCTGGAAGTCTGACAAGTGTTCAAAGAGGGTCAACAGCCACGTGGGAAATGCCATCCCGCGCCCGTCAGGCTAATGGGGGGCCACAGGGCCTGCCATTGCCTACTTCGGACTTGAGGCGTCAACCCCCTGCAGCCGCTCCCTTAAGGCCCCTGTAGCTTGATGGTGGAGGTGCTGGTCGTATTCCTGATGACGCCTGCCGAGCAAAGCCACCGGTACCGCTTTGCCCTGGTTTCGTCACGCCTTCACCTCCTGTTGTCCTTGGAGGAGAGGCGGTGCACCCCCTCCCCTGAGTCTTGAGATACAACCAAGCGGCCACCGTTGGAAGCGAAGTGAGCCCCCTCTTTCTATGCGAGTATCTTCCCCAGACAAGAACAGGCAACAAGTCCTCGATTTCGGCCAAAGGGCAAATTGAAGGATCCGTTTCGGAGGGTCCGAGCTTGAAGCCATGGTCGCAAGGGCAGTGGTCACCGTCAACAAGTGCTGGAGACTTTGAAAGGATGCCCCTCACCGTCACGGCTCTCGGTTTGGAATAAGCGAGACGGTAAGACAGTCACTGGGGATGTGATTGAACTAATTTCCCCTAAGCTGAAGCTCCCGCCGCTGGTAAAGGTGTCAATGATAGACGAAGACGCACCTCGACTGTGGCATGCAGTTTCACTTTTGACTCTGCAACGGGCCATCCTTGCTTCGAGATTAAGCTGGGCCGTCTTCCCCGAACACCGTTTGTGGCATATGACGAACGATGTCGACTTTAAACCCTTTTCCCTGTTAGAGTTGGAGGCTAATCACGTCAATCCACGGCAAGACAGTAAAGTCCGCTTAGGTGGGAGTACCTAGTGGTGGTAACGGTGGCCGCAATTTGCGCACGAGTTTCGAAGCAACGAGGACAAAGCTCGACTTGGCTTGGGGCTCAAGTCGTCCAACTCGTACAAGCACAAGCGTCGGCCAGATTGGAACAGAACAATCAAACTTTGATTGTAGCAGAAACACAAGCTGTGTGGCATCACCTTCGGCAAGGAGTTACGTACAGGTGCTACGTAGGCCCTCGTCGCTTCGGCAGCCCTGGAACAAAAAACAACCTCGTCTATTATGCTAGGCGAAGCTATTTCTGATCACCGACCAGCCAGCCTTGTCATGGCGCCGTCAGCCCTGCGACCTGGGACGATCCTGGTCGGAATTTCATGATGGTGAGAGCGAAAAGAGAGACACGGATGATTGACGTCGCTTATGCCAGCCCTGCTTCCAAAATCTGCTATCTACCGGGTACTATTTAGTCTATCACCCTTTCTCCCTCACTCCCCGGCTTCGCTCAACCAGGCAACTCTTCCCTTGGTGCCAGAGATATCCGACGTTTAATTTCGCTCCATCTCAGTCAACCATTGTTTCTAGAAAATTCACACAGCCGGGGTCCCCCTTGGAAAGATGACCCTAGTTCAGGCGAGCCCTGTACTTGGGCATGCCCTCGATTCCGACGTCAACCCTGAACAAATTTCCAGCAAATTTGGCCGAATCCGGGTATTTGTCAGGCTGAGGTTCCGCAGCACTAGTGATGAACAATTCGGTACCTGCAAAGGTAGGGCAGGTGATGTTGCGTGTCGGGAGGTGGATGACTCCGGTGATGGCGCCTTGCGGCGATATTCGTATGACCTTGGAGCCCCCGTAGCAGGCGTGCCAGATGTTCCCCTCAACGTCCATGGCATGGCCGTCTGGGTGTACGCCCTCCTCTTCCAGGTGGAAGAAGATCCTCTTGCTAGAAATGTCTCCCGTTTTTGCATCGTAGTCAAAGGCATATACGTTCTGAGGGGGGGAGTCGGTGAGGAACATGGTGTTGTCGTTTGCATTCCAGGTGATCCCGTTCGGGATGGTCATCTTCTCGTGCATCGTGTGCAGCGTTCCGTCATGGTCGAGGCGGAACAAGCAGCCCTCCTCAGTGAGTTCGGCTACCGTGGGATCAACGAATGCTTCGACCCAGAAACGGCCTTGGGTGTCGACTGCGCCATCGTTCGAGCGCATCCTGACAGGTTGATGTGAGAGACAGGTCCTCCACAGCCTGAAGTTCCCTTACCTTCTGGTCTTGTCCTCAGCATCTGGTCCCTTCCAATATTTGGCGACATATTCATGCTCTCCAGTCTTCAGGTGGAACTTCGTAATGCCGTCCTTTGCGCCGGCCAGGATGACCTCTGAGGGATCAACGCCTTCGATGTTTGCCGTCACCCCAATCGGCTGCGTGGTATCGATGATCTTGACCGAGTCGGGCCCCTTTGCAAGATCGAGGATGAAAAGCTTTTTATTGTTGATGTCCTGGAGGTCATGGTCAGATGGGCAGGACAGCAGGAAGAGCAGTTCCTCACGAACCATATACCGGAGCTCATGTCGCTCCTTAGTATAATACGGCCCTTCGCCCAAGCTACATTTGGAAGGATAGTATGCCTGACACTCAGTTAGAGTCCAAGAGAAGCCACCAAAGTCAACTGACCTCCTTCACTGTCCACTCTTGTATAACCATTATGTCGCAACTGATTGATCTTGATTCACACTCGTGCACACGTACCTGTGTGGTCGACTTATGTGAGTGTCCAAATGCGAGGAAGTGTGCTTCTGATTCTTGATAAGAGGACGAGTGTATGGCTTTACATCATAATGATATATGATCGAGCGTCTTCCTTTGCCAAGACCTCAGTGCAACCGTCCGGACATCTCGATTCCACCGCATGTAAGGTCTGAGCTACATTACATGCCCATTGGTTCTGGATATGGCCAGGTGGTCTCAACAAGGAAAATGATTCATGTGCCACCGACCCCCATCTCGTAAATCTGCTCTTCCATGCCGAAGATGACCCGGGTCTCTGCCGGGCATATGTATCGAGTATATAGCCTGTTTACAAATCGGCTGGCCGTAGCACCAGTAGCAGACCGCTTGATCCACAGCTCGGCAATCTGCATCCTCAGCTTCCTGTCGGGGCCTCTAAGGTTTCCTTTTCCAAAGTTGCGCGACACTTGCCCCGAAATAGTCATCGATCTATCAATGTCCATGAAGATGCAAGTGAGAATTTCCCCAGCAGACGTGCGTATACCTCCCCACTATAGAAGATTCCTCACGCTGCACCCGCTGCCCACTTATCCTGTGCAGTTCGCTGACTTGGAGTGTTGCACTGGCTTAGGCAGTGCAGATCACCGGACAACTCGCCTTCACCCGAGACAACACGCGTCTTTAAGGGTCGGTTGGACCCAGGAATTTTTTGAGTCGAGATCAGTTGGCCGAGTTGAGGAAATTGCCGACCGTAACCACCTTCCCGGCCAGGCCGTCAGAAGAACCTTCATGCTCTTGCGGCGGGAATGATGAAGGCGTTAATGGCTAGTGTAGCATTTCCGTCATGCGATCTCAACAGTTCTGTAGCCTTATTCTTCGAAAGATCAAGCTCTTCGACCTAGACTACATATCAGCAACTCTTTGGCATCCTCGAAAGACCCAGAGGGCGTCACGCACCAGAAAATTCACGTCCTCGGCCGCGATCTTGACCTTCTTTTTCACTTCTACTTCCTTCTTCGCCTGAGCTTTGGTATTGTCCTCCCTCTTCTTGCTGAGGCCACTAGCGATCTCCAGTCTCGACATGGCCTTTCCCAGTGCCTCTTGGTCGGCCGCAGAAGGTTGTCTCGTCCCGCTCTCGCCATTCTCGGTAGACATCTCGTTCGCATTCAGTGAGTTGAGCGCCGCAGCGGCCTTGCGGTCCTCGGCGTTGTTAGGGAGATTCTGGGACGTTTCGTCATCTGCCGCGTCTGCAGCGGCCGACGAGGCCGACGGGATTGGTTCCGCCATCTTCTTGCGGTTGATTGAATAGATGTGAGAGATCAAAGAAGTGGTTTCGCAGGATGCAATATCGAGACTTGAATCCCGAGTCCGCCGCCGTGAGGAGAAATAGTCCACCGTACAGAATTGTCTAGCCCAAAGTAGAATAGCGTGGTATTTGGAAAGTCGAGGTCTTCGAGCACTACACAACCCTCTTTTATCAACTTGTATTCGACGCTTGGAGAAAGAACTATATCAATTTTTCAACAAAGCATATCTGGCCACATGTATTGCTGAGTGTCTATCAGGAGTCTGCAGGTATTTTCAGCCAGCATTCACGCCCGCTCATCTTCCAAGCTATCGGTGACTCATCCCTAGTATACCTTTTGCGTATTCATTTTGACAGAAATCATCTTCTGAACCTGCTTGTGGATTTCAGTGATTTCCCCGAGAAGCATACTACTCTCCACGACCAGTCATACGGGTTTAGGGACATCTATGTGCTCTGAGAAGTCGACCTGAGGAAGTCTACAGAAGCCCCAAGGGAGTCGGGGTCACTACCGGTCTATACTTATGGAGACGAACGGCCCCTCTAAGCACGCCGTCACCGGGCCCTGGACGCCCTCAAGCTGGAAAACCAAACCCATTGTCCAGTCCGTGCAGTACAGCGACGTTAAGGCATTCAACACTTCCGTTCAAAAACTAAACTCTCTACCACCCCTGGTCACACCGCAAGAGATCGTCAAATTGAAGAATGAGCTCCGCGAAGTTGCAACAGGAAATGCCTTTCTCCTCCAAGGAGGCGACTGCGCCGAACTGTTTGACTACTGCACACAAGAGATGATCGAGGCCAAAGTCAAACTCCTGCTCCAGATGTCGCTGGTTCTGATCTACGGCGCAAAGAAGAAGGTCGTCCGCGTGGCGCGGATGGCTGGCCAATATGCAAAACCGCGCTCATCACCCACCGAAATCGTCAACGGCATCTCAATGCCTAGTTTCCGGGGGGACATACTGAACAGTTACGAGGCGGATCCGGCGTTGAGAAAACCCGACCCTAAACGACTTGTGGACGCGTACTTCCACTCGGCAGCGACGCAGAATTACCTCCGCGCGGCATTGGCGAGCGGACTCGCAGATCTACATGCACCCCTGGACTGGAGTCTTGGCCATGTCCGTGATCCCATCGTGCGGGACAAATACCAGATCATCGTGGAACGGATAACGGACACTCTGGAGATGATGCGCACGATCGGGTTGGACACAGGCGGCGGGTTGGAGACGGTCGACCTGTTCACCTCTCACGAAGGGTTGCTGCTGGAATACGAGCAATCCCTCACTCGAAAATTCAAACACCCTGCAAACCACCATCACCACCAAGCCGCCCGTCGCCCTCTATCTCCCATTAGCACTCACCAAAACCAGTCCAAAACCCGCAAAACGTCACTGCCGACACAGCTCCCTCCACCCTTGCCCCCCACAAAGGGCTACTACGACACCTCGGCGCACATGCTCTGGATCGGCGACCGCACACGCCAACTGACACACTCGCACGTCGAGTTCTTCCGCGGCATCGCCAACCCGATCGGCGTCAAAGTCGGCCCTACCATGCCAGCCACGGACCTCGTCCCGCTCTTGGACATACTCAATCCCGACCACGAAGTCGGCAAAATCGTCCTCATTACACGATACGGATGTGACAAGATTGCCACACACCTCCCGGCCCACATACGCGCGGTGCAACAGTCGAGACACCAGGGCACGGTGGTCTGGCAATGTGACCCGATGCACGGCAACGGACGCAACGCCACAGTCACGCTTCCAGCCCCAGCTCCGACCGATAAATCATCTCCTACACCAACAGAAACAACAGCCGCAGAAACAGCAGCAGCAGCACTACCGCCTCCCGCCCCCACCACGACGATCAAGACGCGACGCTTCTCCGACATCCTCAGCGAACTGCACCAGGCTCTCCAAATCCACCGCGCGCACGGGTCGTACCTGGGCGGCGTGCACCTGGAGCTGACGGGCGAGGCCGTGACCGAGTGCATCGGCGGCGCCGAGGGCCTGACCGAAGAGCACCTCAGCCTCAACTACGCCACCTTCTGCGACCCTCGCCTGAACGAGAAGCAGGCCCTCGAGCTGGCCTTTCTCGTCGCGGGTTTCTACAGAGATTCCGCCGCCGCCCCCGCCGCCGTGTGAGAGAGGAGAGCGCGCGCGCGCGCGCGCGCGCGAGAGAAAGTACAAGCATATGGGCCGTGGTGCATAACGCATACGCATGGTGCTTGGTACATGGTGCACGGTGCATGAAATGAACCTCCGGGGGCCCCGAGGAAAATAACTCGGCTATCATGTATGTGTGGATGTATGTAGTAAAGAGGTGGCAAACAACTAGCGAAGAAGGCGAGGCAAGGAAAGAAAGAAGCAGAGAAAGAGAGGAAAGAACAAAAGCAATGAATCAAATCATGGAATGATCCAAGCAAGCGAGCAAGCAGGCAGGCAGGCAGTTTTTGGTTCTTCATACTTTCGTTCATGTTCATTCTCAATCTCAGCCTCGACCTCAACTTCAATCAACATTCCAATTAGTTGGCCAATCGATCAGCCAATCCAACCCAACAAACCCAACCGCTATGACCCAGTCCTGCGTGACCGTAATGCCAAACCGAGAAAATCAATCGCCTCCCCATTCCATTTCCAAGACCCGAGCCTGAGCCAGTGTCTTCTCTATGTACGTACGTCCAAAAGCTTCCTTTGACCAAAGTGTAAGGACACCAAACAACTCATCTCTTTCAGACAAATACCGAGTAGTCGAAATCGCATCACTCTTTCCTCAATGGACTCCCAATCCGAGGCTTGAAGCCCGGTCCCGCAACACCCACACCGAGGGTCTTCCTCCTAGCATCCGACGACCCTCTGTCTGATCTCCCATACATTTTTACCTGGAACTTCTTCCCACCATTGGCACGTCCTTTCTCCCCTGCAGCGCTATCGTCATCATCGTCATCACGATCAAAGATGCCCTTGTTGATCTGTTTTGGTGGGGCGCTCATTTGCACCAGCTCTCGTCTCTTGGCAACGCGGTACGGAGTCAACGGTGTGGCTGCTGTGCGTGGGTCGTAGTCCACTTTCAAAGACACAGACTTTGGCGTCGACAAATCCGTAGTCACTTTCTTAAACACGGCTGATGCAGGTGTCTCAGCGTCCTGCTGGACCATCAGAAGGCCCACGTTGGCAGTGTCACCACCTCCCCAGACCGTCGCCGCAGTTGGGGAGTTGTACGTCGAACTAATCTCCGACTCGTCTCCAACCTCGACACCGTTTCCAGTATGCTCGACACTCCCAACCACCTCCATTCCCCTGACAGGCGTGTTGACCAACTCCATTTTCATCTCCCCAGTCAAGCCCGCAGACTCCGCAGAGAGGCTTCGTCGCTGGTGCTCCTTGCTCGCAGACAGAAAGCCGTTGTCGTTGACGAGCATTCTAGGCTCCATAGACTTGCGTCTCCTGGATCCACCTCGGGGCATAATACTTGCATCGACAGCGTACGCGGATTCATCGAGCCATTTGGCTTCCCGCATGCAGTCAAGAACCCAGCCAACGCCTACACAGAGAACTTGGCCTTTGGCCGAGCGGACCTTTTCCAACGTGCGCTTCCCACCATCCTTGTAAACGACGTGTGTGATGCCAATGTTCGCAATTGGTGCTTCCGAGCCAGCGGACTCCTGGCTAGAGGGACCAATGCTCACTCTGGGATTCCACCTCCACTCTTTGACCACCCGCGCTCCCATGGACGCTAGCAGGTCGATGTAAAAAGCCGAAGCGTCCATCCCTTCGCTGGTGTGGATGTCAGTATGAACAATTGCACCATGAAGAACCCCGTTTCCGACCGTTTTCAACGGTGTTCGGCTCGTTTGTAGAGTCTTCGCCGCAGACTTTGGGTTCGCTGAGGTGATTGGAGTCTTAGCTTTGGTGGTGATGGTAGGCGTCTTGAACGTAGACGCAGCTACCTTTGAGGGTGTCAATTTCGGAGTAGCAGTGATCCGCCTCGCGCTTGCCTTTGTGCCCGTCGCATTGCGAGGAGTCGTGGCTGCATTTGACTGTACAGTAGAAGGAACAATGCTGCGTCTCTTCGTTGCGGCGGCCGGCGTTTTGCACAAGGAAGAGCCCATAGTCAGGACGCTGTCATCTTGATCAGCAATTTCCGTCTCCTCGACATCGTCAGACGTCATTTCCTCCTCGGGTAAGTCGATTCCATCAAGCGTGCTATCTCCGAAGTCCTCAACGGTAAAGCTCAAACGACCAGGTGTCGTCAAACCCGTGGCGAGTGAATTTGCGGGACTGGGTGCTGCACTCCGCATGCGCCTCTGAGGCGACATGACCGATGCGCCGTTTGCCTTCGGGGTTGCAAGAGGGTCGACGTCGAATGAGGGAACTTCCAAGCTCGGACCCAAACTACGTCTCTTGGCAGGTTGTACATGAGAAGAAGAGAGCGACCTTGGTCTTTTCCTCTGCACTTTGAGTGGCGACGGAGGGGAAGCGACTGCTCCTTCAGGCCGAAGCGGAACCTTTGACACCACAGTATGAACATATCTTGGGAGACCTGGATCTGGCCGGACCGGCGTCACACTGAAATCCATTTCTTGAATGGCATAGTCGACATTGACTGAGGTGTGCTCGTGCTTCGACAGCGAGGCCTCTATGCTGGCTGCTGTGACTTCAAACAACTGGCCGTTTGCGTCCAGGGAGTCCATGGCGGCTTCGTCTCCCTCTGTATGCCCAGGTATGCCGTGATCGTCCTCCCCATGATGTTCTTCAGAATCATTACTCACATCGGCGTGGCATTCTGCGCTTTCCTCAGCAGGAAACTCCTCCATTTCATCTGTATCAGGATCATCTGCCGCCGGCTGCTCGATGGGAGCGGTGTTTTCATCCCCATATGACCTGGAAGAAGTCGAAACTGATAGCATAGATTGCTCTTCATTTACCGTCTCGAGCATAAGCGTGGGGATGGTAACATTAGCCTGCTCATGGGGAGTGGCTTCCTCGTCATGCTCTTTTTGGGCTGCAAGATCTTCAGCTTCGTCCGCCAGGGCCTTGAAATCGACCATGGCGGTATCAGACGCATTGGTAAAATTAACCAGATCGGTCGTCAACTCCACGCTTGACTTTCCCATATCTTCTCCCGATAAGGCTTCGACTTCGCCGCCGACTTCGCCAGCAGCATTATCTTCCGGGATAGCTCGCGGAATGAAGTTATGAAGGTCGTCATCTCTTGCAGCGGCAGCAGTGTCTGCTTCGACTTGATCTTCAAAATCTTGCGCAGCCATACCTTCCGAAAAAAAGTCAGCCTTGGCAGGGCTCTCAGCAATGGAAGGAGCTAGAGAAAATCTGCTCGCCATCGTCTTTCGTGTCGAAGCTTCACGACCTGGGGTATCTGGTCGGCTGAGCTCCACTGAGCCCGCAATATGCATCTGAGCGACAGGCGAAAACAGGCCCCGCAACTTGGAAACAGCCCCGGATCTCTTCTCAGGACTGGCAGCTCGCCATCCTTGGACTTGTGCTGCCAGTGGAGTGAAGCCCAGATTTTTCGATGCGCTTTCCGGGACAACTCCAGTGGAGAGACGAGATTGGATTCTGGCAGCGCTCATGCTAGGTTGGGAGTGGGATTTGAGGAATCGGTTGTCTGGTGTCTGATCTCCAGCGAGCTCATCCTCAGACTCGTCATCGATTTGTCTAAGGCGACTGAATAGGGCGTCCGAAATTCTGGGTTTCTTGACAGAGTTCGCCTCAGCTTGCTGACAATCTTCAGCATCGTGAGTCTCGATGTCACACAGCTCAACGGTGTCCGTTACTTCCTCCTCGTCACAGGAGTCTTCAGATTCGACTTCAGGATCCACGGCAGTCTCGGTGATGTCAGCTATCGTAGCTGGAACGGCTTCATCGACCGAACCAACCTCCAAGAATTCAGCTTCCATGCTTTGGTAAACATTGCTCTGAACAGGCGGATCGTTCAAAGCTATTTTCTCGACAGCATCCTCCACAACAGGCTTGACCTTGTCCACCTTGAGAGGACTTCTGATGTTTAACACGGACTCGTCGAAGTCCACTTCAGCGTCCAGTTCCTGAGCCGACTCATCCTCGCTCAGCCTGTACACCCTTGAAGACCGCTGAGGTGAAACGGAAGATCTGAAATGAGACGACACTGCAACTGCATTACTCTCTTCACTTTGCAGCCTCCCGTCGCCATTGGCCAGTGGTACTGAGCTTTCTCGGTCGGACATCTTCCCTAGAAAGGGCGATGCCTGAACGGGGGTCTTCTGTTTTGAAGTTGAGAAGAGGCGTCTGGCAGGTGAAGAGAACAAAGAGGTCTTCAGTGGGGTGGTTCGCGACTTGACGGCTGATGGTGGGAAGACGATCCTATCAGTCAAACCTTTCTTTGGAGACTGCTGAAGGAGGGATTGGGCATTGGAAGGGTCCAGGATCAAGGGAGCAGAGTTCTGGCCGTCTGGAATATGGGCTCGAAAAATTGTGACGCCCTCTGGCGCTCTTCGGGGGGACTCCTTCAATAAGTCTTTGGCCGGAGAAGCCGGCCGCCGCGGTGGACTCAGCATGCCGAAGGCCCCTCCTGCGTCGTTCTTCTGGGGTGATGTTAGGTGGAGCGCGGGCGAAAAGTCAAGTTTCTTGACCGGCGACGACAATCGTGTCGCCGAAGCGACCAGTCCACGCTTGGGCGAGAGGCTGAGATCGCGGACTGGGGTCTTAGCTCCGGCAAGTTCGTCCTCATCGTCATCACTGTCTACGGGCATTGCCTTGGCGACCTGGGTAATTTTCTTGGGGGTCAACGCGCGAGCCTGGATCTTCTCATTTTTCTCGACCTCTGCTTCAGCTCTGGATCCCAGCGCTTTCGTAGCAGCAGCTCCTCGAGCGGCTTTCGTCGTTCTAGTATTGACAGGCTTTCGGATCGGCTTAGCACGCATGCCGGTGGCTGCGGTCTCGGTCTTCTTGGGGGCAGCCGATTGTGACTTTGTGCTCTTGGACTTGGACATGGTTCTGGGACGTTTGTTCTCTTTCTCATCGTTATCCTCGGGGAGAGCCTCGAAAGTGACCTTCTTCTTTGGTATCACATTGGCGATCGGAGGGTCTGCGACAACGGATGAGTTCGTGGATCCGGCTCTCGCTCGAGTCTGCCTAGTGGTGACGGGCGCGGGCTTTGTTTCTTCCACTGATGGTGAAGGAATTTTTTCTTTCTTCAGCCTCCCTCGCGACTTGGTTGATGTAATCGCGGGTGCCGACGGGAGTTCTTCGTCCAGCTCTAACTCATTCTTCGCCGCTCGACCTCTTCCTCGTTTCTTCGGTTCCGGCAGCATCCTCTCCGTGTTCACATCTTCGGCCGGTTTTGGAAGAGCAAGTTCTTTCTTACCTCGTGAAGTAGATGGCTTTGCTTCGACGGGGACAGCCTTCTCTTTCTTCGCCCTCTTAGATGGCTTCTTTTCCGGCTTGACTTCTTCCACAGGCGGCGGTGCGACAGGCTCAGGCTGAGACTCGTTCTGGACCAGGGGCGTGACTTTTATCCGTCGCCTAGGCGCGGCTGCGAGACCGGCATTCGCTGCTACTGTTGTGTTTGCCGTGGTCCGCACAGATGTCCTCGACGGCTTGACTGGGGGTTTAGCAACCGCGACTTCCATCACTCCTTCGACCTCATGGACACTGCTATCCTCTTCCACAGGAGGCACCGCTTTGGCAGACCTCGTGTTTACTCGCCCGCCCTTTGTCGCTGCACTCGCTGCCGCCGTTGTCGATTTCTTGGTGACTCGGGATTTCGCTTCCAGGGCCCGCGCCCGACTCGTGGTAGGAACGGCCGAGGAAGCTTTGGTGGTTCGGCGTCTCGATGTCTCTTGAACGTTTGCCGTAACGGTGGTGTCGATGTCGGCGTCAGCTGCTCGGGCGCGGGTGATGCGGCGAGGCTTCCCTGGGCTGGCGGCCTTCCTCGGTGCCATGGTGTCGGGGGCCCCAGCGTTGCAGCACAGCACCGGAGTTCGTTCACGCGTCGGAATACGGAATCGTGGTGCTGCACAGATGGGAAAAGCACGAATGCTCGCGCGAGCTGTTGTTAGGAGGACCGGAAAAGAGGATGGTTGAATGCGGGGAGAAGAGAGACGAGGGAGTCGACTGGAGTGTGGACAGCGTTGTTTACTTTCTAGATGTTGACATGGCCAAATCCGGGTTAGCGCAGAAACCAAAAGGCAGACGAGCTGATTGGCCGCCGAGCTTGGCACGAGGCTGATTTGAAAACTTCATTCACTTATCCGAACCAGTCTTACTGGAACATGTTTCGTTTTAGTCTCGGATTATATCTTTGTTATTCTTCGTGTCTATGATATAGTGAGCCATAGCCCACCACACTGTGGTTTGCCCCAAGTTTCAATGCTTCCCAATTCATTATGCATTGGCATCATCGATCATACCCGACTGCCCCCACTTAGCAGCTCAAAGAATACAGCGGCGCGGTGGGAGGGGGGGAACCAGCGCCCACAACACCGAAACTTGGACTGGCACCACTATCCTGAAGGGTGTACCACCAAGTGTTGATGCCTTCGCCGAAGGCTGTGCATCCGACACCATCATAGTAAGTCTGGGCATTCTGGACGGAGGCAACAGCTTGTCCGCTGTTCGGACCCGACACGGGCCACCCGGTTTCGGTTATCCAGACAGGCTTGCCTTGGGCTACGGCAGTGGTATCGTCATAATCACCCCAGAAGAGAGCATCGGCATTTTGGATGCTGTTGGCTTTCGTGGTTTCATACCAAGGATATGCGTCCACACCAAGAAAGTCGCAGCCCCCGATCAGAGCATTCTGGCTAGCGTTGGTCCAAACATTGTAAGTGTCGACATGGCCGACTGGCTTGCCCGCAGCCGAGGTGCCGGCGATGGCCGATCGAACTTGGGCGATATAGTTGAGAATTGTAGCTGGACCCACTCCAGCGCCGGAATTGTTCTCGATGCCGATGGGGGTAATGCGATAAATATCTTCACTGCCGACGCTGATGCCAGCAATCAAGTCGGTAAAAGGCGTGCCATATTGGGTGATGGCGGCATTGAGGGCGGCAAGCTCGTTGGCGAAATCAGCGTCGCCGGCGGAAGCCCACAGGCCAAGCAGGAGCGTGGTGCCAGTGTCTATAGCCGCAGGGATGGCAGAGATGGGAGTGCTTGTGGTCCCGTCTTGAATCATGGTGTACAGACGAGCAGAAGTAAAGCCTAGAGCCTTGGCCGAGTTGAATTGGCCTTCAAAAGCGGCTTGGTCATTGCCCGTCGAACCATAATTGAAACCCTTGTAGGCGGCCAGGGTGGAAGGAAGGGCAGCCGCGAGGGCGAGGATCTGCGAGGTACGCATATCGTAGATATGAGATGTATGCTATTTCCTGTAACGAGCGTGACGGGTAGACAGACCAAGGAAAACGAAGCTGGTATATGATATATGGTACAGAAAAGATGGACAGATAAGTTGACTGGGCAGACAGGTCAGAAGCTCGGCAGGACACGAGTAAATAAATGGAAATAGCAAAAAGAGACGAAGATGGCGAATTGGTTGGGGGCAACGCTCGAGTTCCAGTGGCGGCCAGACAGTGGCGGCCAGATCGAAGCGAGGCGCAAGGGAAGGTGATGATTATGGGTGGTGGAGGCATTGGCGAGCAAAAAAGGATGCCACGCCATTCGATGCGAATCCGATCCCATGACAAAAGAGGGTCAGCGAGGAACAACTCGCTTGCAATGAAGCCACGCACAGACTGCAGACTGCAGACTGCAGGCTGGCAGGCAAGGATGAGGATGTGGATTGGGATGAGCAAGGGAAGAAAAGAAAAAGGATGAAAATTCTGCTTGGAATTGGTGGATCTTGAGAGGGGACAAGGGAGGGGGGGAGTGACGTACGAGGGGACGGGCGGCAGAACCATCACCACCGTCGCTACCGAGTACCTGCATCATACAAGTACCAGTAACGGGTACAAGTACCAGGACAAGGACAAGGACAAGGACAAGGACAAGTTAGGTACTTGGTACAAACCTTGAAAGCTGGACCGTCGACTCCCCGCCTGAAACTTGTCCACTCACAATATCGCCAGTCTGAGCCGGCAGATCCACCGCGATGCCATGACATGGTCAGCTCGCGTCACCAGCCCAGGGAGGGACAGAATACCACTCTGGTGACTCTACGACTCTACGAGGACTTCTCAACAGAGTGTGCGTGGATCCGAGTTTGGGGTTGTTCCTATCACCACGACTCCGTACAATCACAGCTTCATCCCCAGCGCCTTGTGCACCTTCAGGCTCTGTCGCATACTCAAATCCAGCATGATTTCCTCGCTGCCGCCAGGAATCTTGTACGCCAGGGTATCACGGTACAACCGCTCGATCTTTCCCCCCTGCCCACCTCGCGAATAGGCCAGCCCCCCAAACACCTGCGCCGCCTCCTTGGTGCAGAACTCGAACGTCGTTGTCGCTTGAGCCTTGAGCCCCGCGATCGCGCCCCCCAGCCGGAGCATGGCTTCCGTCTCCCCCATCCGCTGGCATTGGTAGATGATGTTCTCCAGCCAGTTGTAGCTGGCCTCGATCTGCCGCGCCATGTGCGCGAGCTTCATGCGGATGACAGGGTGGTTGATGAGTTTCTGTCCGAACGTCTTTCTCTTGGATGCGTATTTGACACACTCTTCAAAGCACACGCGCGAGAACCGCAGGCATTGAATGATGATGCCGATTCGTTCGTGGTTGAAGTTGGTCATGATCACTGCCCATTAGCGTCTGATGCTCTCGACAGTAGGAATCCCCTTTCCTTACCTTGGAAGCCTTTATTGACCTTGCCCAGCACATTCTCGACAGGGACTTTGACGTCCTCAAATGTAATATACGTAGTTCCACTGCTCCAGACACCTTGGCAGTCCATCCGTCGCGTGCTGACACCTTCGCTGCGCTCGATCAACAAGAGACTGATCCCTCCCATCCCAGGACCACCAGTTCTCACGGCAGTGGTGAAGTAGTCGCACCAGATTCCGTTGGTAATCCACTTCTTCTCTCCGTTGACGATGAAATGCTTGCCGTCTTCGGACAACTTGGCCTCGCAGGTGAGATTGGCGACGTCGGAACCAGCGTCAGGCTCGGTGATGGCCAAGCATATTCTCTTGTCCCCGGCGAGGATCCCCGGGAGGATGCGGCTGACGAGCTCCTTCTTGCCGTACTTGACCAGCGGCGGGCAGCCGATCCCAAAGCCTCCGATCAGGTTCCAAACCAGCCCGCCCGAGCCGGTGCGCGACAGTTCGTCCGTGAGGAGCATTTCGTGAAACAGGTCCCATTTCTCGGGTGGCACGCTCTTGACGCTGTTCTTGACCAGATGCGTCGGATACTTGACTCCCAACAGGCCAGCCAGGTAGCCTCGTTCACCCATCTGTTTGTAGATCTCGTCGGGTACTTTCTTGCCCTCGTCCCACTCCGTCACGTACGGCTCGATCTCGTTCTCCACCCATTCTCGGACTTCGGCACGGAGAGCAGCGTGAGTCTCGTTGTAGTAGGGCGAATGGTACTGGACTCTTAGTTGACCGTCACGAATGGTTGGGACGGATTCCCACTTACGCCCTGATACCAACTTGGATCGCCAAAGGGAATGAGAGACCCAAATGGTTCCAGCGCCTCGGCGTCTTCCGGAGCAGACGGACCCGGTGAAGGAGCGACGGTGCCAGGTACCGCTTGACGACGAACCTTTTCCTCCTGGACTTTTTCGGCCGGAGGTGTCACCGGAGGGGTGGGGGGCGCCTCGACCCTTTTGGTGTCTAACGATCCGACCTGCAACTTGGCCTTGTATTTCTTGAGGATTCCCTCGTTGTGATATTTCCAGAATTGCTTCGAGGCATCTTTACCGGCAACACGCTGCAGGACTGCCCACCCAGTGGCATTAGATGATGCGCACCCAGAGGTTGGCCGGAAACTCACTCTTTTTCCCGCCTGCGCAACCTGGGTCAGTATGGCTTTTGTTCGGGGGTCACGGGATGGACATCAACAGACCTGGATGCTCGTCTTGAAACTTGGTCAAGTCATAGACGTCCTCGTCGACGATAATGTAGAGGTTGTTGGCCTTGTTGTGGGATGCAACCTCGGCGGCGGAGAATCGTTTGGACATTGTAACACGCTTAGGAAAATGGATCTGCCCTATATGAATCACAGAAAGTGGTATAGTACAAGCACAAAGACTCTTTTGGAACAGAAAGGAACAAAGGAGTGAAGGTAAGGGGACCCTGGAGGTTAAAAAGAAGTTCAAGGGACGGCAGGAAGAGGAATGCAGTCAGTTGTATGGAGTAAAAGGGAGCGACATCAGGTTGGCATTGTTTTCACATGCACATGCCCCGGCATTCTGGCCAGCGAGCCGGCCGCCCTCAGGAACCATCATTCCCGCATCATTTACGGGGAGTTACACCAGCCTGGTCACGCTCCCTCGACGGAAAAAGCATCAATTACTGAAAACCGGAGACTCCGATGATGATTTGGGTCCATTTACGTGGCGCTTGATTCGTTGCTAATCGGTCAGATGATGTTCCTTGCGGATCGAACACCATGTCAGAGGTGCCGAGGCATTGTCCAAGTCCGCCGTACAGATCATCATCACATGCCAAATGTTACGACTGTCTTGGACTGTGTACCAAGTACAAAAATAAGGAAACACCTTGATGAGCACGTGCTTTTCAATTTCCATTCTCATCTATACAATGAATGGTAATGGGGATTTTCTTCAGCCTACTCCCCGCCTGTCCCTCCAGTATTTGCCCGCTCTCGCAACCGCCGCCCTTCCATCAACCCTCGTAGGCCCCGTTTCTGAAGCCCAATCACCGAGCTTACATCGCCCGTCCATATTTCTTGCGAGTCCTTGTCCCCATGCCCGTTCTTCTCGGCGTTGTCATCCTGTCCCGAAGTCTCGGTGTCCGTCCGGGACATGTCAGTCGACGTCGAAGCCGAAGTTGCTGTCGAAGCCGAATCCATCGAGCTCGACTTCGCATGCCCTCTCTTCTTGCTAGGTTCCTCGTAGTTTGTTGCAAGTTTGAGTCCGCTGGCCTTGCTGGCGAGGGCCAAAGTCGCATCTCCAATGGTAGTGGCTTCGCTCTCTCGTCGACCCATATTGACAAGGTTGCTGCCGACGGCACCTTGAAGGCCTCGACCGCCTCCTGCGGCCATGGCAGCTGCGTTGAATACTGCAGCCGAGTTTCGCCCATCCAGCACCTCGTGCAATCGCTCGACCGTCGCTTCAAGCAGTCCATCAACTTGGTAAGGTCTGGCCATCTGCAACAGAGAGCAGAGTGTGTGTGGTGTGCACAAGGCCGATCCGACCGGGGGCAGCGAAGACGTATAGAGAAAGTGCAGCAACAGGTGGATCGTTGGAGCCATGTGAGGAAGGTACAACGATCTCGGCCGACTTGAAGGCGGTATGTTCATCGTGTTTGGAAGCTCGACTAGCGTTCTGGTCGTGGATCGACTCAATGATCTTTGCGGATCCAAAATTCCATCACTTCCTACCGCAGACACGGCCAGCCCATTCGCCACGGCCGGGGTGATGGTCAGCGAAGAGTTGCGGCTGGGATGTGATCGCATACTTGGCCTCAGTGTCGCTCCATCCGATAGGCTGACGTTCTCGTGAGTAGACACGGATTCGACCAACAACTGATTGAAGAACGGGCCCCAACGTCGAGAGAGGAGGTATGAGTTGCACGGAATCTTTTCTCCGCCCAATGCCACAATCTCCATATCAGACAGCTCCGCCAGACTCAAAGCGGCTTGGCCGAGTTGCTCGGCGGTGCTGTTGTACGGTCTTCCGCCAGCTGCTTGACTCAGCAGACTCGATTGCATTGATGGGGGAATGGCCGGGGCAGACACTGAAATGTAGCCCGAGGTGGGGGCCGCCTTCCTGGGGTTGTCATAAAGGCCAAATGCTTCCAGCTCAACCATGCAAACGTGACTGAAGTTGATCCGTCGATGGTTGTAGTCGTCCACCAAGCTTCGCTTCCTATTTCCCAGAATGACAAACGTATTTCTTCGGTTCCACAACACCCCCCGGTTCCAGCTCCCTTGCGAGAAAATCGATCCGTTTGTATCAATCCGCGCCCATGTAAGAGTCTTGAGGTCCAGTGCCCATAATGCATACTCATGCTTTGAAGAGGTCAAGTAGGTCCCACTGACCACGAAATGACCATCGATGATGCCGCCATTCGGAAAGCGGAGGCCAGGCGGAGACACGGACCCGGTCACGGGCTTCTCTGTCACAGATCCGTCGGGTAACCGGATCTGCAGCTCCAGCTTAACGTCCAGAAAGTTGTAGTTCGAGTATATTAGCATCGATGTGCCGGGTCGCGAACTAGTTCTCTGGACTTGGGGATCATCCAACGGGACCCCTCGACCAATCAGCTCTGCCGACAGTCCAGTCATTGGCGCGACCATGCTCTTGTATGCTCCACATTTGCGGTCCCACACTGTCGTGCCTGTCCACCTTAGACTGCGCAGGTTGAAGACGGAAAACTGCTCGATGTAGCTGTTACTGCTGTCTTGACCCCCGGCGACAATCATTTCTGCACCACCGGTTCCGTCCAACTGCACTCCTAGCGTGCCGGAGTGAGGGTCGGAAGATGGCGGGTTGTGCTGGATGGCGGAGAGTGGAGCATTGGCAGAAGTGAAGACAGCAGAGGATGGAAGGATCGCCGCACAATGAGCGTACCGCCCTTGAGGGTTTTCAGGGGTCGAGATCAGGGTCCATTTTCGCGTGGGCACATCGAAGATATGGATATCGGACATGACCACGACCTCGGGCTGGCCGTCTGGCTTGGCTGGTTGACCGGTGCTGGCGGTTCTACTATGCGGTACAGGTGACATGCCGCCGTAGCATACCAGCTTTGAGTCTCCAAGGGCGCAGACGCTGTGAAAGTATCGAGGAGGGGGAATATCTCCGAGCGCCTCAACCTTGATCCAGTGCCGCCGGATGAGATCAAGCTCATACAGGTCCGAGGTCAACTGTGGTTTCGATCGAGAGTGTACCCTACCTCCAAAAACGTACAGTTTGTCCCCGAGTATGGTTGTGGTTGCGCCGACCAACCCTGGGGGCTCTTCACCCGTCGTTCTGTGCACATTGCAAACCAAGCCCGACAAGTTTGTCGGAGTTGAGGTATGCTGAGGGACCGAAGAAGAAATGCCGATATTTCCACCGGCTCCGTCCGTCGGCTGGTTCAAACCATTTGTGCCCTCATTGCTCGCCTCCGAAGCGACGAGGCTCACTTGGCTGTTGTTCATGTCTGCTGGTTTGATCAGGATGACTGAATCTATTTCCTCCTGGAAATCTCGTTGTCCTGCAGTGGAAAATGCACCAGCCTCATCCGAATGTCTCGAGCACCGTGGATGGCTTTTCAAGGTCGGAGTCGTTGGTGAAGGATCAGTGGTCCGCGGGGTGTGAATATCGGATTGTGGTGTGGCAGAGAGCAGTTCTCTAGCAAATGATGGCTGTGCAAACTCGGGAATTATTATAGGTACATATCGTGGCAGTCGTGTGGTATTGGAAGACTTCGTGGCCCGGTCCGGCGCATACTCATGAACTGGTAACTTCGTTAATCGGTATTTAGAAGCCTCGCTCGATGTATGCCGTGAGGTTGGGGAAGTAGCTGGGCTTCCTTTGGTCACGGATGGTAAGCACGGACTCTGCCAGAGAGCGAAGACGCTGGAGACCACTGATATGGAGCCGTGCTCTGTGGTTGACGGCGAAATGGGCGGCCAGTGCTGTTCCTCGGGTGATGGTGGGTCAAGATGTGAAGTGAGAAATCGCGAATCTCTCAAGCGTGGAATAGAACCCTGCCTTCCAGCACTTTTGCGTCGAAACCTAGTCATCATTGTCAGCTCCAATCTCAGGATGGCACAGGCGGAGGTCGGGCGAATAACAAGGAGCACGGCAATATGACAAATGAGCAAACAAGGTGAAAAGAGTATAAAGAACAACGTCGGCGTTATAGCACGACTGGGAAGTTCCCCCTCCCCCCCTTTTTTTTTCTCTCTTCCGGATCTTGTAGCCCATGGCGGGAAAGAGTACAAGCACAAGTTCGTTTGTCCCGGTCGGCAATGCTGAGGGCAAATCAGGCGGGATCGAAATCGGGCAGCAGAGGTGGCGTAAAGATCTCAACGATGCAGAGGGGAAAAGATAGGCCACTGACCGAGAGGACAAAGAACCTGTCTCGGGATGTCGCTTTTTTCGTGAAGGGTCGTTTTCTTTTCCGTGTCACCTGGATGGCGTCAAGGGGAAAGGGGGAGGCGGCGATTTCTCTCGACGGGAAACCCGACAGCGGTCAATTGAGGATGAAGAGACGGCTTGCAAACGTCATGCAGGATTGGATTGAAGAAGAAGAAAAATATTCAAGATCTGTACAACTAGGGTTTCTGTGGTGAATTGTAGGAGAATTAGTTTGGATAACGGAGAATTTTGTGTAGCGGAAGGGGACATGTTCCATGTCAGGTCTAGATGCGCGATGTGAAGAATGCCGACTACTGGCACTGGCACTGGCACTGGCATTCTCGCCAGTGGGCACCAGTGGGCACAGGCAAGGGGGGGCTGGGGGGCTTTGGGGGCTTGGAGGGAAACAGTTAGTCAGAGGGAGTTGCCGCCATGCCAAGCCGGCCCACGACAGCCAATTGTCCAGCTACAGGGCTTACGGTAAGGGCGTCTCCATACCCAGCACAGCTCAGAGGCCTCCTTACAGCAATGACCAGGTTCAGGGGCCGAGGCGCCTAAATACTCCGTACGGGGTACTACAGTATGTACTGGGTCGTTGCTTGACGTGAAATCAGTGGTGTCGAGATAAGAGACATCGACACACGACGGAACCAATTCCAAATCAGTTCTCCGCGACTGTTTGTGCAGCCCACGTCATAAATCTACTAGGTAACTCCCTTTCATTTGCGCTTGTACAGTATGTACCTAGTATACCAAGTAGAGTCCCAATTTCTCTCCTTCGAAGACGCTTCTCGACCCCGCTCCATACTTGGTGGTATCAATTTCCCTCTCCCCAGAAACCACAGCATCTTGCTTCCATTTCCTCCCCCCTAGGCTGCGCTGGTCTTCTCCTTGGGCAGCGGTGTGGTCCGAAGGTATGGCTTGATAATTTTCATCTCTGGGAAGATTTCCTTCGCCTGCTCGGTCTTAACGCTAGGATGGACAATCACGTCGTCGCCGGGCACCCAGTTGATCGGGGTTGTGACCTTGAACTTGTCGCCAGTCTGCAGCGAGTCAACGATTCGGAGTACTTCGGCGGTGTTGCGACCGGTTGAGGCAGGGTACGAGAGAATGGTCCGGATGACCTTCTTCGGGTCAATGATGAAGACGGATCGGATGGTGAAGGCAATGCCCTTCTCGTCCACGTTTGTAGCATCCTGATGGTCGATCATATCATACAAGAGCGCGATCTGTCTGCTCTTGTCCCCGATGATGGGGAAATTCAGATTGCTACCACTAATCTCGTTGATATCCTTGATCCATTCTCCGTGACTGTCAATCGTGTTGGCCGAAAGCCCAATCAACTTGACACCTCTTCTTGTAAACTCCGGCTCCAACTTTGCAAAAGCTCCCAACTCAGTCGTACAGACCGGGGTAAAATCTTCCGGGTGCGAGAAGAGAATGACCCAGTTGTCGCCGATGAACTCGTGGAAGTCAATGGGGCCCTTGGTGGTTTGGGCTTGGAAATTGGGGGCAAGTGAGCCTAGGCGGAGGCTGCGAGGTGTTAGTTATGCTTCTTCTGAAGGTTTGGTAGAGAAAGGGAGCAACATACGGTTCAGAACGATCTGCGGATCCCATTTCGTCTGAGGGCGATTGTGTGGGGTGTTTCAAATTGGTATTAGTCGGGGGATTGGATAGAGGATAAGACTGCGACTGTGCGAGGATGCGATGGAGGGGCAGGCAAAGTAGTTATATACTAGTCAATCAGAAATCTCGGACGGGCAGATTGGTAACAAAGTCTCAGAATCTGGGCTCAAGCGGCGACGACAAATCTTTTCTTCCCTTCTCGAACAGGCCTCTGCCCTTCCTCCTCGTGGGACAAATCCCTGCCCCCGTTAGTGGCATGATTGCTTGCCCCTCGTGCTCTCATGATGCGGGCGGGATCCATAATGGCATCAGCAATCAGCAGCACCAGAGGCAAAGGGCCCGAACGAAGTACGGGAAGCATGTCAGCGATAGAAGCATAGTGTCCACCCATCCGTGCAGGGTATCGATTTGCATCCAAAGCCAGACAATCAGCAAGTGGACAGAGCACGCAATCGACAACGCGCTAATCCTGTTTGACACATTAGCGACTTGGCATCTTCAGCCTTGTAAAAGCCCCTCTGTTCACGTGCGAGGCTGGCCCGCGATGCCCCTCGTTGGCTTTTGTGTGGTGTATTGCTTGTTGCTGGAACGGATGGACGCTTTCCTGTCTTCTTTCAAGTACTCGGGTGTGTACGTAATTAGCGTGACAAAGCAGCACGCTCTGGCAAGTGTTGTCAGCACGCTCCCTGAGTTTCGTAAAAGTGAAGGATGAGAGATTGGCCGACGTCATTCCGACAAATCACCAAACTTCAACTCGAGGTTTATATTATCCCAAGAGTCCCCGTTCTCGTATTGACCGAAGTCCAGACCAGGCTTATATACTGGCCATACACCTGCCAAGCACAGTGCCTCTCCTGCTGTCAGCAATAGACCAAACACCAAGAGACGATGGAACCCGCTTCGCCGACAGCACCTGTTGCCGCTCCACAGTCAGCCGACGAGCTCCCGCCTGAAGCGATTGCTCTCGCAGGAAGATTCTTTGACGCCGCGAGGTCGGGTCAGCTTGACATATTCGAGCAAGCTTTGCCGCGGGGTCTACCTGCGAATCTGACCAACGACAAGGGCGACACATTGGTAAGTGCTTAGAAACGGCAGAGACAGCGCCTTGATTGCCAACTTCCCCAAACTGTCAGAGCCGCCTCTCTGACAGAGTGACTAACCCACTCAGCTGATGCTTGCATCTTACCACGGCCACGCTCCCTTGGCCTCATTGCTGGTGCAACACGGTGCAGATCCCAATCGCCTGAATGACCGAGGGCAATCCATCTTGGCAGGAGTGGTCTTCAAGAACGAGGCTGAAGTGATCGACATCCTTTTAGAAGCCGGGGCCGACCCTGAGCTTGGGCAGCCGAGCGCCATAGAAGCGACAAGAGTACGGATTCCCAAGTTTTATTACGATTGGGGCGTTCTTTGCTAACGGTGAGGAAAGGTCTTCCGACAAGAAGCATATGAACAAAAGTTCAAAGAACAGGTTGAGAAACTGAAGGCCGCGGGCGCCAGAGCCATGGACGGCAGTTCATAATGTGTGAATTGGTTTTCTTCTCTTGAACACTTCTTCTCCGATCTCAACAAAAAGTTCGTCACTCATGTGATCCCCTTTGATGGTCATCCAAAAAGTTTTGTATTTATCCCAGACGCCTCCAACACCTTGCTAAAACCCAAACACGGACATCTATCGCTGATGATGCTCTATTGGTACGCATGGCCAGGTTCGTTGCCCATTCTCGACTGCTGCAGCACTTTCTGTGAGGGGATCTTGACGGTGCTGGGGACGGGTGGAGGCTTGGGATAGCAGCCGGTACACCAGTCGTACTTCCGCTTCTGGATCAAGTGCATCTGATGGCACCACTCGGCTACCGGCGAGGTAGGTTGCAAGGAGGTGGCTGATGAGGTACGAGATGAAGGTGCAGATGAGGGCGGAGATAATCTCGGTCGTTCAACAGCTTTCTCGAGAGCCCGTTCATAGTCGGCATAGTATCGGCTGGATGGTTTGGCGTAAGACATTGTGCACTGGGTGATCGTTGGGCGTGATCATCTGTAACTGGATGGGATGTACTCTGTTCCCAGTTCTCGAGGAGACGTTGGAACTAAATATGTTTGCTCCAAGGAATATAAGGCTAGGATGAGTGGCACAGATGACGTGTGGTCTGAGGAGGGATGTGCTGAATAAGTGAATTTTGGGGAAGATTTCATACAAGCCGGAGTCCCGGTGACCAACAGAATGAGGTTCTGCAAGGTTCTGATGGACGTATAGAGGTGAAAAGAGTGGAATGATGGTGGAGGTAGAGATAGGACGCGTAAGAGTGAGTGGATGAGATCAAGACCACCACAAGCAGGGACAACACAATAAGACGGAATGCAGAAAATGATCAGCAACCGGAGAGGATGGATGGACAAGGTCTGAGATATACGTAGGACGTAGTAGGGGGGGGGGGAGGGGTCACATCATGTTGATTCTGTCTCCTTGTATGTGGATAACAATTCGTACTCGGCCATGCAGGGTGAAACAAATAGCCCGAAAGAAAAGCTGTGCGAAGAGGATGGAACTCAACATTTCGAGCACATGTGCTGTTTGAGAACGAGACAGGCAAGAGGGAGAGCCACTTGGTGGTGGTGGTCGTAGAAAGTTCTCAGCTGAGTACATACATAGAAAAGTCTGAGGAGAGGTACCGCCGTTGACCCGTCTTTGCAGACGAAAGGGCACCGAAGACAAGAAGCGAGTTGTGGGAATCGGGTGGAAAGATATCAAAAAAGGTAACAGGGCAAAAAAGGGGAGCAAGGGGGGATGGATACAGTACCAGCCATTGATGAATGAAGATTGTAAAGGAGACATGAAGAAAATGTTTTTCTTTGGCATGTGAGAATGGGACAGAAGAAGTGCTGATGTCACGTTCCCGAATCCAGCCTGCGCCTGCGCCTGCACCTGCGCCTGCACCTGCGCCTGCGACCTTCAGCTGGTGAGGCTTCGCCTATTTTTGGCTACGGCTACACTGAGTCTCATTCAACCATCAATCGTGGATGTTTTCAACCACCACCGTCCCCTTCTGGGCCGTGATTATGGTCAACTGACGTCCATAATACTAACACATACAAGGAGACACTGGTCCTTTTGCTCCACCGATTGCGGCGCTGGCTTTCATCGAGTCTCAAGGGGCCTAGATCTCCACACCTGCACACAACCCTCTTTGCCTGAATGATGTGCCATCCATGATTCCGAAGATGATCATCCCGAGCCCAGATCTCGAATCTGATGCCTTCTCCTCTTTTCCTCGTTCCTCTCACACCATCAAGCGCTCTCCGGCATCTCAGCGATTGGCTGCACCCCGCAAAGGATGTTCCTCGGGCTGCTCAGGTCCGCATGCGGGGGAAACGGAAGGACAGTGCCTGATTGACAAGATAGAAAGGTAGGTATATGGGTGTCTGAAGAGAGGGTTTTGCCGTGTTGTCAGTCACAGTCATATCCTCTCCCACTTCGCCGACTGAAACTGCTGCGCACGATCCCCATCTCGAGCTACAATGTCCGTCACGAACGGTGCCAATGGCCATGTGAATAGCTCCTCGAATGCCCTTTGTTCTGTCGACGAATTGGTGTCTCGCAAGTATGAGTTTGTCGTGGTCGGAGGAGGTACTGCCGGCTTGGTGGTCGCTGCTCGTTTAACCGAGGATCCAAACATCTCGGTGGCTGTTCTGGAAGCCGGAGAGAATCGAATGGACGACAAGAGCGTGTCAACCCCGTCACTCTACCCTACCATGGTGAGTAAAATGACGCTCGATCCCACCGGACCTTCCTGACCCTCTCGAGATCGGTAGGAAAGAATACGACTGGTGCATGACCAGCACACCACAACTCAATGCTGGCAACAAGATCTACTCGATGCCTCGTGGGAAGGTTCTCGGCGGCAGCTCCGCCATCAATTACCTCATGTACGTGAGTTTACCGCGTCGTAGCTGCCTCCAACGTATATCATGCAGTTGTTCTGACCAAGCACTTTACGTCAGGTACGTGAGAGGCTCAAAGAACGACTACATCCGCGGCTGGGAATCAATTGGCAATCCTGACTGGGGCTGGGAGGGTATGCTTCCTTACTTCAAGAAACACCAGACGCTGGACAACACGCCGAGGCACAGCGACCCGCAATTCATGCCTATTGCAGGAGGCGACAAGTATCATGGAACTAACGGGCCCATCCATACCAGCTTCAATGACTGGTACATGCCGCTGGAGGTGGACTTTGCCAAAGCCGCGTATGAAGTCACCGGGACAAAGAAGACGATTCACGACGCGTGGAGCGGTGATCATCTGGGCTTCTACTCAAGTCTGGGCGCTGTCAACAGGTCTGACGATCCGGGGAAGCGATCCTACGCTGCAACCGGATACCTTCGCCCGAACTTAGGAAGACCGAACCTAAAGGTTCTGACCGAAGCACAGGCCACCAAGATTATCCTAGATGGGAACACCGCCACAGGTGTGGAATTCGTGCACAAGGGCCAAAAATACAGCGTCCACGCTACGCGGGAAGTCATTCTCTCCGCCGGGGTGATCCAAAGCCCTCAACTACTCGAGCTCTCTGGAATCGGCGACCCTGAAATCCTCAAAACCGCTGGTGTCGAGTGTGTGGTTGGAAACAAGGGAGTTGGTGCCAATTTCCAGGACCATGTTCTTGGCGGAATCCTGTACGATTTGAAGCCTGGGATTGATTCGATGGATGCATTGCACGGGGAAGAGTTCATGAAGATGCAGCAGGACGTCTACCAGAACAGTCAGAAGGGACTCTATGCCAACCCAGGCATGATGATGGGGTTCGTATCGTATGCCTCCGTGGTGACTCCCGAGGAGCTTGAGGCTACCATCAAGGAAATCAAGGAGAAATCACTTGCAAAGACGGATTTTGAGAAGGCTCAAGAAAAGGTAAATGATTCCTCCCAAACTTCTTCCCCCCACGCCAGAAGACGTCCACAATGCCCCTTGTCGCCCTCGACCCACACAATCTCATGGTGTGCGCTAGGTAATCGTCGACCAACTCCGCGATCCAACCTTTGCCAACCTCCAAACCTTCTGCATCCCCTGCCGCCTCGACGTGGCCAAGGGCTCAGATCAGACCCAATTCTTCGGCAAACCTCCCAGCGGCAAACAACAGCTCTCCTTGCTCATGTGCCTCGAACACCCTCTCTCGAGGGGAACAGTGCATATCAAGTCGTCGGATCCTTTGGCACCGCCTGAAATCGACCCGGGATATTTCCGGAACGAAGTCGACGCTAAGATCCTCGCGGCAGGCATGAAATGGATGGACAAAGTGGCCAGACATCCCTTATTGGCGAAATCGCTTGCTGAGAGAGAACTGCCGCCCGAGAGTGAAAGTCTCGATTCCGAGGAGAAGAGGATTGAATATGTCAAAAATCATGTCAGCACACAGTATCATCTGATCGGGACTTGTGCGCTGGGCGAGGTCGTGGACAACGATTTGAAGGTGAAAGGGGTCAAGAATCTGAGAGTGGTGGATGCATCGATTTTCCCTGGACACGTGTCTGGGTGAGTTTGAGCCCTGATTCTCCTTCCTCAACATTCGGAATGTGCGTCCTATCATGCTGATCGTTTTCCGATACAGGAACATCATGGCTTCTACTTATGCTGTGGGTGAGAAAGGCGCAGATCTGATCAAGAAAGATATCTAAGCGCAAGGATTAGCCAAAAAGGACGAGCCGTGAGGATACCAGTAAGAAAACGATTGACTGACTTAACTTGACAAGGCTTGAGTTATGTTTCCTTGTTCGTTCCTGAGCCAAGTTGCTCAACCTTGAAAATACGCAGCAGGATCAACGACCCCATCTCCACGGAAAACTGACATTGATTCATGCAGGCTGTTGAGGCAATGACTCTCATTCAGATGTGGAGCAGCGAAGCCTGTGCCAGCCAGCTCCAGGTGCAGTGACGATCTGTCCCAGACAACAAAACAATTATGTTTCTCCACTCAAAATGCAGTGAGGTGATATCGATGCAGGATGAGGTTTCATTCTGTTCAATCTGCTCCAAGTTCCGTAGCTGTTGTGGGCGCCGGGATTGTTGGCTTTGAACCCTGAAGTAAGTGAAACAGGTCAGAATAGAGGATATGGAGCCCGGAATACAAAGGATTGTGGCTTCAGTTTCACAAAGATCTCTTTCTACCATCACAACACCAGAGCAAAGACATAAAAGAAAAGCAAGAAGAATGCAGAAGACAAACCTCCAGCTCCGCAAGGACATCGTCACTGTCCGGATTCGTTCTCTGCCCTGGTAGTTCACTGCGAAGCAGATTCCCTAGGCTACTATTTGGCATGCCTGTGTCCTCAAGCTCCGGCTTTTGATGGTATATGCACGACGCGCTTTCGTGCTCATGCTTTTCCGCTAGGCCACAATGACGACGCCGCCGCCTCAAAATCAGGACGGCCGAGACAACGGAGATGACGAGAACGAGGACTCCAACCCCGGCGCCGATTCCATCTGCTGCGCCCGAAGAGAGCTTGCCTCCTGAATCAGGCGCGGACGTGCCAGTGCCAGTGGCTGTACTCGGACTCCTGGTCGTGGTTGTGCGAGTGACTGCGCCCGAGGCATGACTGGTGGTAGCTGATACCGACGGTGTGGTAGAAGTGGTAGCAGTACCGTCGGTCTGGGTGAAAGAGGAGCCTGTCGACTTGTCAAATTCGCTCGACAAGGACGAAGCAAGGGAAGCAATGGAGCTCGTATCGAACGATTGTGTAACCACGGTGAAGCCTGCGTCATCCGAAGTAGACATGGTGAAACCCAGCGCTGGTAGACGGTATTATCAGCCCTGGTCGCAAACAAACAAGGGAGGAGAAGGAGAGAGAGAGCCGTCAATGAGGCAGTCAGGCTGAAGAAAATGTATCGAGTCCTGCAAGGTTGGGGCAAACGGTGAAGACACGAACACGGGCAGTTAGTTCCCAAGATCCCTCGCTGCGACGTACTAATCAATCATGGCTTATTTCAGGGGTATTGTAGCCGAGCAATACATGGTGATGACCAAAGACCGAAGCAGGGGTTTTAGATTGATGCAGAACAGCTAACCACGTATAGAGTACGGAGTACATACTCTGGAACTTGAGCGGCACGCCGACGCACACCAGTGACCCAAGGGTCGGGGCTAGACAGGCGAGAAGGCGAGATGCCAGCGGTGTGGCTGGCTGGTTTTAAGTCCTGTATGTCGTGCTACAGCAAGTCACGGCGTGCACAGCACGGAGCTGCATATCCACAAGTACACCCAGCACCAGTAAGAAGAGGACTACGAGGTACATAGGATGAGTAGCGAAAAGTGGGCAGGGCCCTGAAACACCACTTGTAATGCGACCACCAGTGCAATGAATGACCTCCATGCAGGCGATGTACCGGGTACAAGATGGAGTGCTGGGACGCATACCCCGTAATAGCTTTTGAATTCTCCTTTTTGAATTGTAGCCTGTATATTATGTACATGCCGAAGTTGAATAGTCTCGACGGCGAGAGGGAACGCTCAGAGTAGAGTGGTAGTAACACAAATACCCATGGAAAGAATATTATGACGCCGAACCCTTTTTGCAGCCCTTAAAACGTCGTCGCTGACGCGGAGAAAACACCAACTCACTCGCTCACCAGTCTTCATGTCAAGATCCGAGGATCGACGCAACGATCTTGCTCAAACAGGCGTTGGATCCATCTTGTTGACACATCGAGGATCGTCATCTGTTGTCTCAGCCCGGGAAGGAGGCTGTCCTGTTGCAGAAGCGCATCCGGATCTCCAACATCAAGCGCTGCTTCTTGTGGATTTTGTGTGATTCTCTTGCTCGTTATCGTCGTATGAACGTCATGGAATCCCGACTCGCCCAATCCCTCATGGTCCACAAGGAGCAAGCCGAGCGTCCACGAGAAATGCTCGGACAGGTCGGTAACAAGGAGGGCTTCCCTCACACAGCACCTGTATTCACCTCATGGTCCGGCCCACTTTTCATTTCTTGTTCCTCTCCGCCTGAGCCTTTAGGTACTCAGACTGCAATTCCTTCTGCAGCTGCATTGGAGCGCGCTCGTAATGGCTGAACTCCATGCTGAACTCACCCTTGCCTTGCGTCGCCGCTCGGAGGTTACCACTGAATCCAAACATACCGTTGAGACTTGTGTCGGCCCAGACCGTAAAATCATCCACGCCAACTTCGGTATCGTTGATCACCGCATTACGCTTTTGCAACAACCCGACCACGTTGCCTTGAAACTCGGTCGGGGCTGTCACCACGGTCTTCATCATCGGCTCCAGTACAACAGGGTCAGCGTCCATGAACGCCTTTCGGAAGGCCTGCTGCGTAGCGTTTTTGAATGCCATTTCGCTGGAATCAGTCATGTGTGTTGCACCATCATTGATGACCATGGTCGCGCCGAGGACTTTGTGTCCAACCAAGGGACCCTTTTCGCAAGACAAGTGGAACCCTTTTTCACAAGCGAAAAGAAACTTCTCGGAAATGGCACCGCCAATAATGTGTTCTTCAAAGTGGTTGCCCTCGAGGTTACCCTTTGGCTCCATATAACCAGCAACACGAGCATAATCACCTGCACCGCCGGTTTGTTTCTTGAGTAGATGGTTGAATTCGACACGTTTGGTGATGGTTTCACGGTAAGCAACGCGAGGTGGACCTGTTTCACAATCGACCTTGTATTCTCGGCGCATACGCTCGACGTAGACTTCTAGGTGGAGCTCGCCCATGCCAGAGATGATTGTCTGCTCGCTCTCGGTGTCGAAATGGACTCGGAATGTGGGATCCTCGCGCTGGAAGCGCGCAATGGCTTTGGAGAAGTTGGGCAAGTCTTTGTTGTTCTTCGGCTTGATGCTGAGAGAGACGACCGGTTCAGGCACAAACATGCTGGTCATGGTATAACCCAATTGGCCGTCTGTGAAGGTATCTCCCGATGCACAATCAACTCCAAACACCGCACAGATCTCTCCGGCCCCGACTTCGTTTACTTCCTCCATCTCGTTCGAGTGCATGCGAACAATACGTGGGATCTTAACTCTCTTGTCAGTCCGAGCATTGAACACGTTCAGGCCTTTCCGCAATTTGCCTTGGTACACGCGTATGTAGGTGAGTTGTCCAAAGTTGGATTCTTCCAACTTGAACGCCAGACCGACAAAGGGTAGCGAGTTGTAAGGTACAAGCTTGACAGGAGCCTCCTTCTGTCTTCGATCTAGAGCGGTGTTTGACACCTCGGCGGGATTCGGGAGATAATCGCAGACGCCGTCGAGCATTGGCTGGATGAATTTGTCGGCGAGAGCGGATCCTATAAAGACGGGTGTGAATTTGAGCGAGATGGTAGCCCTGCGAATGGCGGCTTTCAGCTGCTCGACCGTAGGCTCCTGTTCATCCAAGAACAAGTTGGCAATCTCGTCATCGACATCGGCAAGTGTTTCGATCAGCTTTGCTCTTCTCTGTTTTGCGAGCTCCTGAACCTCGGCCGGAATTTCGTCCTTGGTGACGATGATCTCACCGCGTTCGCCCTCAGCATAGTACGTCTTCATGGTGATCAGGTCGACCACGCCGCGGAACTCATCTTCAGCGCCTATAGGCACCTGTACAGCGGCAGCGGCAATTTTGAGCTTCTTGTTGATCTGATCGACCGCTTTCCATGGATTCGCGCCCATTCTGTCCATTTTGTTGATGAAACTGATTCTGGGCACATTGTATCTCCTCATCTGTCGGTCGACAGTGATAGTTTGGCTCTGGACTCCAGACACAGCACATAAAATCATGACAGCGCCATCAAGTACTCGGAGTGCACGCTCCACCTCGATAGTGAAGTCAATGTGTCCGGGAGTGTCGATCAAGTTAATGTGGTACTTTTCTTCCTTGCCATTCTCCTTTTTAACCCAGTCACAGAAAGTGGCTGCAGACTGAATAGTGATGCCCTTTTCTCTTTCAAGTTCCATCGAGTCCATTTTTGCTCCTACCGCATCCTTACCGCGGACTTCATGAATGGATTTAATCCGGCCCGTGTAAAAGAGGACTCGTTCTGTCGCCGTCGTTTTGCCAGAATCAATGTGTGCCTGTCAACGTCAATTGACTGAACTGCAGGAGATTGGACTTGTGACTGACCGCAATACCAATGTTTCGTACTCTTGACAGACGATGTGCCTCCTCCGGCGACAAATTGTCAATAATGGTTTCTTGCGAGAGGGCCTCGGGATCATCTTGAGCTTCTTCGAGCCTGCCACGCATTCAGAACAAGGACAAGGGGAAACCTATGAGTAATACTCACATTGCAGCCGCCGCGCCCGCCGCACCTCGCCGTTGCTGCCATCGTCGGTCCAGCGGCCATTGTTTCGACTGCGCCCTCAGGCCCGGGGACAACGTCGGGAGAACTGCAGTGGAAGCGCATCGCCGGCAAACCCAGTGCCGCGCGAGAGCCGAGTTTGGAGAGCGTACTAGATTGCTGAGAAGCCTCGAGGAGCCTCCGATAGCACGCGAGGCACTCATCTTGACAAGTCGAGAGGTCACGAAGCTGTCCTCACAACTTCAATGCTCCATCATTTGACAGGGAACTTTTTTTGAGCTCAACCCTGCGTCGCCAAGGCCGAGCCTGATCGCTTGTCTGTCAGCCAATAAAAAGCCTCCCAATTAGCGTTCTCACAAGGCTGAGCTTGGCAGTAGCTTTATCCTGACAATCTTCTGGACATATATCGTGAGCGTCCGCTCGGTTCCGTTTCCTGACAGGTGTATCCTGCTCCTAGCTTACTTTAAGACGACATGCCTTCTCATTACCGTCGCGAGGGCCACACTCCCCAGTGTGCCGCTAGACTTTCAAGAGAATCTCGAGAGAATCCTAGATAGCATATGGCTAGCAAAAGTCAAGAGGAGTGAAACTCCCACGCCGGTCTCGAGATACGATTTCCGACTTGCTATGTGCTGCGATAGCTTCATGGTATCTAGCTGCTTGTAAATGAAAAAGGCTTGTAATATCAAGCGATTTCTGGCCATGGTCAAGCGGTCCTCAAAAGACAGGATCAACTAACTCCGGCCTTTTAGTTGAACCTAACATCTTCTTTCACAGCTGGGAGATAGTAGGGGAGATCCTGAAGGATCCTATCTGCAAGGGCCTGCTTATCGACGAGGCATGGGCGTGTGGCATAGAGTAGGTGATAAAATTACAAACACTCCTGCCCCAGCCTGACACCGCTAGAACGTACGTTACAACTGTCGCATCCTGCTCACCTACAAGAAAATCTTTTTCATCCGGCCGAAAGTGAGCCTCGTCGACGACGGCCTATACCGCGAAGCTCGACATTTTACAGCCTGGGTCAAGGAGAGGACAACTGAGACGTATTGCCTTGAAAAGGATGTCAGCGATATCACGGGCCAGATGACGGTACCAATTGCCGAACCCGTTCTCTCTACGTTTGGATACATCGGTCGGGTAAGTGGAAAATACTTCTAAGCGGCCCTTCACAATTATATTTCAATTCGAGGGCTTACAATTGGTGTTCCAGGTGTGAAACGTGCGAGGAGCTCTCTACCGTAAAAAATCTCCCTATCGAACTCGGGTTGCAAACCCGCACGCCCTCCTTCATGAAACGGACTTGTTCTCAATCATTGTGCCACAACGAGGTCGCTTCAACGACAGAAATGGCAAGGAGCTGCTAACCTGTGTACAGCTGTCCAATCCGACCACGAACATGGCTCTCAATGGGGTGGGGGTCATTGTAAACTCGTAAGTTCTTTGCAGCATCATATTCTGTGGGACATAGCTAGGTTCTTCCTGTTTACAAGATCAGATTGGACTCTTGAGAGGACTGTAGTAGCGCTTCGCACGCCGAGGTGAGAAAACTCAACACCTTACTCAGCCTAATCCAGAACTACACTCGTAAACTGGGAGGTATTCATATTTACGCTAATGCTATCGGTGTGGTGAATGCGGCTCTCATTCCAAATTCCTTGCAGTTGTAATGACTCTGATTGATGATAGATGGTGAGGCCAGGATGATGTTTGATGGCTTATCTATGGATTTTGTGCTACGGTCGCGTGCGAAATCAATTTCCGCAATTCTCGCTTGATCCTATTGAAGCTATCACCGCGGCAATTGATCTCGAAGAAGTTTGCAGCTACAGAATGGCATCAACAATTTCATGTTGCCTCGATGCGGGGGAAGCGGCAGTCTTCTCCCGCTATCCTGCAGATTATGTTTGTACCTCCCTCGCTTCCTCACGGGGTGTGGACGTTTCTTCTCCATCGGCGATCAATGCGCTAACTTACGCCAGACATTGGTTTATTGGCTGATGTCGGTAGCAGCCTCATGCGTTGATATGCCAAACTTCCCGATTGCTCGGCCGGCTCGGCTCTATCGCTGATCATCGCTTTTGTGATGGCAGCCCAAGGTCTACATAATGCAGCGACTGCCTTCTCCCGAGCAAGGGGGAAAATTGATCTGTAGTAAGTTGTTTTGGATTAAATGCCCTAGGCTCTGGTAAGGCTGGTCCTGGAAGGAGATTTTGTTAGCTCAACCAACTCGATAAACCTGTTCCGCAACATCTCTTTTGCAAACATGACTTCCCTCTACCAACGCGCCCAGCAGATCGACTCCCTCGCACAATCCTCCCTCCTCCCGCAATCCAGCACCGATCTCTCCCAGGCCCTTTCCCATGCTCTGGAGAACTCGGCAGCCAACGGCCTCCCACCCATAACCATATCCCCCTTGCAAGGCCAATACCTGGCGATCCAAGCGCAGCTGATCGGCGCAAAGAACGTCCTCGAAGTCGGCACTTTGGGCGGCTACTCGACGCTCTGGTTCCTGTGTGCCGGCGGCGTGCGCGTGACGTCTCTGGAAATTGACCCGCACCATCGTGACGTCGCGCTCCAGAACCTCGAGCACGCGGGCTACGAGGACGGCAAGGACTTTGAAGTCATCCTCGCGCCCGCCCTGGACAGCCTCCCCCGCCTTCTCGCGGAGCAGCAGGACGGCAAAAGGGCCAAGTTTGATTTGGTCTTCATCGACGCGAACTGGGACGAGCAGTTCGACTACTTCCAACACGCCGTCCAACTCGCGCGTCCGAACGGGTGCATTTATGTCGACAATGTCGTCCGGGCGATTCTCGAGGACCCTGAAAGTGAAAAGTATGAAGCTGGGCAGAAGGAGAGTTTGCCGATCAAGGTAGGGAAGGACGGCAGAGTAAAGGCCACAATGGTGAGTGTTGTCAGCAGCCATAAGGGACGTGCGGGCGAGACCTTTGACGGGTTTCTTTTGGCTGTTGTCAAGGGTTGAGAAACCAAACGGAACTGAGATTATTGGTGGATGGGTTCCTTACTTCAAAACACGAGAATCGATCCAAGTGGAAACGTAGCTGTCCAGGTAGACATGTCCCTGAGGTGAATAGCTTTTCCAAATTGTTTTTCTCGCCCATCCATCTGTGCGTACTGTTTACTCCGCGGTGCTTGGGTCGGGGCTCACTCCACACCTCGACTCAAACCTCCTTCACAAATCCAACTTCAACAAGCTTCTCCACCGGCACATTCAAAGCCTGGACTTTCGTGCGCGAATTTTCCCGAAGTAACAAGAATAATTCCAACGCTCCTCTCCTCAAGATATGCCCGGGTGTCAATTTTCCTTTCTTCACGCGCATTTGTTCCTTGCCCACCACGTAGACCACCTGGCTCTCGAATGCATGTTGCAGTTCGGCGAGTTTGCGAGCGAGCTCGAGATGTTCTGAGGACAGGCGGCCCGATTCAGGAGCAGAAGGGATGGAAACTTCGGTAGTGCGCGAGACGACACCCTTTTCTTTTACTAATACGTCGCCATTAATACTTGGATCAGCATTGGGCGGTAAAACTGTCCCCAAACATTCGCGGATTAGATAATTTCGGATCTGCTCGTACAGCAGGCCTCCCAGGTCGTTTGTCACGACTTCGTCGTTATACCCGTGGCGGATCATGATGCGGTAGGTGTCAGGCATGACGCGCTCGCTGTTTCCCTCTTCGTCTCCGATATAGCACCGCGACACGGCAAATCTCTCTTCGGCCGGAACAGTGGGAATTTGGAGAGGTCGCAAGTGGAAGAACACAATGACATCGTTCGCGGCATGGAATTTCTGCAAAAAGTGGATAAATACCCTCGGCGTGCTGGAAGGTAAACCTGATTTATCGAAGAAAATCCCCATGCCGTCGATACGCGTGACTTCCTTGCCGCCGAAGGCTGGCGAAAGCTTCAGCTTCCGGGTATAAATATTGCTGGGGTCACTGTTGCTGTTGTTGCCTGTGAAAGGGCTGGCAATGGCCCGGATTAGATGACTTGGTGGAAACCGATCTGACGCTTCGGCGCGCCATTGCTGTTCCTTGCCGAATCGCCAGAGGAGGAAGATGGAAGAGAGGGCCACTGCCAAAGCGAGCGTGAACCATGCGCCTTCGGGAACTTTTGTCATCGCCGAAGAGAGGAATGTGCCGTCAAAGAGAGCGAAGATGAGCCATACGGGGAGTACAACAAAAGCCGGGACTCGCCAGACAATCAAGGCTACAATGGCGACCATACAGGTTGTCAACATCGTTACCAGGATCTGGAGGGTGGGATGGGTTAGTTTAACGGTCGTCTTTCTCAGGAGTAGCATCCATGAAAGAGAGAAACATTGGAAGTTGCTGTACAAGGCAAATTCAGAGTCATCACGTACCACACAGACACCATAAGCATGGCCCAAGTTGGCGGTGTTAGTATACACTCCAGTGACGATACAAGTGGCAATCATCAACAACCAATTCGCGATAGGAATGTAGACTTGCCCGTAGAAGATCTTCGAGGTATGTACAACCTTGACCTGCGGGAAGTAGCTTAACTTCATAATTTGCGTGAGCAATTGGAAGACTGCCGTGATCATTGCTTGACTTGCAACGACAGCTGCCAAAATCGCGACAATGAGTGAAGGCCAGAAACAGCCAGGTGGAACTGTTTTGTAGAACGGATTTGACCACGCAGAAGGGTCGTCAGAGATGTATGCCGCTTGGCCAATGTAGCCGAGTAACAGGCAAGGAAAGGCGAACGTTAGCCATGAGAGTTGAATGGCGCGTTGGGTAAAGGCCCCCAAGTCGGCGAAAAGCGCTTCGCAACCGGTGAATGCTAGAAGGATCCCTCCAAGGCTTTCCCAGCCAGTCTTGTTCCGGACTAGATAGGCTCCGGCGAAATAAGGCGAGAATGCCTTCAGCACCGAGGAGTCATGCCAAGCTAAGTTGTATATGCCGAATACGGCGTTAAAAAGCAGCCAGATAATGACAATAGGGGCGAACGTGTTTGCCAGCTTCGTTACGCCAAATGGTTGAACTAGAAAAAGAACAACGAGGATTGCGCACGACGATCCGATGACGGTGCTCTGTGATATAGTAGGATGGACAACTTCTATGCCTTGAATAGCGCCGAGGACCGATTGTGCTGGCATCAGGACACCGTCGGACATGACGAGAGCGACGCCAAAGACGCCTAGAATTTTCAGCAGCCATTGTGTCGCCCGAGATCGTTCCATGAGACCTCGAGTTTTCTGGGCCGATCTTCCTAGTTCACTAGCGATGTGACGCTCTATTCTGACCAACTGCTCCTCTCGAGGATCGCGTCTGACAATATTTGCATACCTCGATAACAGCGAGAAGAGAGCGAATGTCCCTCCCTCGCCTTCATCGTCTGCAGCCAGAACAATGAGGCAATATTTGATGCTGACCATAATGGTGAGAGCCCAAATGATCAGAGACAGGGCTCCAAGTAAGTCATCATAAGAAGGGTCGTGTGTGAAGGTCGAGGAGTAGACATAGAGCGGGCTCGTGCCGATATCGCCGTAGATGACTCCGGTAGACTGATATGCCAACCATAGGAGCCTCAATCCTGTAAAGGTCTATATCTGATCAGTGTTGTTGTGCGGGTAGCAGTGGAGACAAACAGGATGCCCATTACCTGCTTTCTCTTAATGTCTCGATCTTCGACCTTGAGAGACTCCATATCTTCGACATTTCCCGCACGTCTCTTCGAAGTTCGAGCACGAATGCTTCCCACTCCAGCAACTTCTCTGCTCCTCAACGTGTAGAAATGTGACGCCACAGGCTGGATTGCATCGTCGAATTGTATGCGGGGGCGTGCCATTCGGTGACGGTTTCATCCAAACAAACACACAGATGGATTGACAATCTCCGAAAGTTGCTAGGTGCGCGGAGAGGGGACACGTAAAAGAGAAGGAGGGAGTGAGAGAAGACGACATTCTCCGACATGTGGGATGTGCATGAAATACTTGTGGTGAGAAGGAGCAAAACACCCGCGTGATACGCCCATTTGTTGGAAAGTGTCAAGCTGGGCTTAGCGTATGGGTGAGGAGGGGAGTCCGCATGGATCTGCATTGCCACAATGCCATTATCCCACTTAACCCCACCGACTAGACGACACCAAGCACATGCTTGGTAGGTATCAGAGCGGCCCGACTGATCTGGCTCAGGATGAGACGAAAAGTGATAGTAGAATGGGATCAGAAGCCCAAAGAGCTGGATGGGGTGCCCTGTACGAGGTAAATAAGGAGCATTCTCAGCCCATAAGCAGGACTACATAGAGCCTGTTGGGGGCTTCGTCTACATGAGCCAAGAGACAGCGGATCACCGAGCTGCCTCGCCCATTGGAGAGATGACGAGCAGAAGCCGAAAGCCGCACTGCACCTTTTGATACGTCGACAACAAGCGAGTGAGGAGGAGCGACGAGGGTTCGTGGGATGGATGGCGCCCAAAATGCCTCATGCAGGTAAGAAGACATGGTGAAAAGGTTCGAGATAGGCATTGCAGGAGATGGTCGGCCCGATGAGGGTGGAGAAGACAAGGCGGAAAAGAAAAGGTCGCTGCCTTAAGCTCCTCTTGGCGCCTTTAGCGCCGGCTATTGAGCCAATGAGCCGATAGTACGTCGTCTTCTCACGTGGTGAACTGCTGCTCCGTGCATCCGGCTGCTGTACCGAGTATCCTGGTACGTCTTCTTCTCGTTGGACCTGCTCAGGCTGTGCCTTCTTCAGGAAAGCCTACCACGAGCCAGGATCAGGGCACAGGGTCTCGGCAAGGAGCTTGACGTCAAGTGCTGACCTCAAAACCGGGACGGGCTTGTCGCAATTGGTATTTATGGCAGGTTTGTGCCAGAACTCCGCAGCCCAACCGCGGCAAAGACTGAATCCACCCAGGACAGATAACTCCCAGCAACCTGCCATGCCTTGGCTTTGCTGCCATTATTCTATTCTCTTCTTGCCCTCTTCCATATATCCCATGTTGGCCGTGCTAATATTCCTGGCTCTCCTGTCCTTGCCACTTGCCGCCGCGATGATATGCCCCACAACTTTGTCCTTGTGAGCCCTCGACAAAGCCTCCGAGTACCCTTCACTTGCGAATGCTGGAGTATTGAGTTTCGGCCAGTTGACATATAACAGTCCATGTGCATAGATGAACTGGAACGCCCACCCGGCAATGACCAAGCACAGAATAACAAAGATACGCAGCGGCCAGATCGCTGCGTCTGGAGGTCGGCGAGTGAGAACTGAGACGAAAACAATAAACAGTGAGGCAGCCAACACATATGGCACAGCTTGAATGATGAGTGGTCTTCGGTCCGTGAACATCAAAGAAGACCCGACACCATAGGTGGACGGCAGATAAGTGCCCAAGAAGAGGTCGAAGCCGTCTTGTCGCGGCCCATCCAGGAAATTGTTGCGGATATACCGTGTGGCGGAATTGTTGAAGTCCTGTACCGCTCCCGCTCTCGTCCGTTTTCCGGTACGCGTAAAGTCCGTCTTCAGCGCGCCAGTTCCTGAGTACGAATTGGAGACCACATCCGCGTTGTCGGCCCATACATTGCGGAACAGAAACTCGAACGCTCTGTCGTCTTGCGCTCTCTCACCAGGGTGCAAGATGCCGACATCTTGGAATTGTTGAGTCAAGGCCCATCTGCCCAACATGCTCTGGACGACGTTTGTCCGATCCAGACAGTCCATGCAATTCGTGCGCACGACTGCGGTCTGCCGGCATCTGACTTCCAGAGCTCCAGATGGGTCGCCGGGCATTTCGACGCCCCGGAAATACTGCCCTTTCCTCAGGCCATCTCTCAACTCGTCCAGCAAGAGTTCGGCACGGTGCCATTTGTATCCTTTGGTTTCACTGTGGAAATCAAAGTAGATATAGTGCAGCTTGTCCATTCTTTGGCGCCCGTTCTGCGGTTCGATGTCCCGGAACTTGTCGTCCGTGCGCATATCCGCCTCTACTGACTCTTCTGGAGAGCTGACGAGGATTCGGACCATCTGTTCATACGCCTTCTTCACTCGCTCCTCCCTGCCGCGCTGGTTAACCAGGTTGACCAGGTAATTCTCGCCGTAGATTCTAATCTGCTCATCAAAATGCTTCCGTGCGGCATCGACTGCGGATTCCACGCCTCGGATTTGCAGCTTTGGTGTATAGTGGAGGTCGTTGATCTCGGCCCAGAAGACAGGTACACTACCTGTATAACAGTATTAATACCAGTCTCGGTCCAAAAGAAAATAGAGTGGATTTCCTTACCGCGAGTCTGAATGTATGACATGACTTGGGTCTCTGTAGGCCGGCCTCCGGCGTTTCCATTCTGCATACCTCTTCCACCAGCGTAGCCTGTTGGGCCTGAGGCGTCGTTGAGCAAAGCAATCTGCTCTGTTTCGTTGAAATTCGCCACGTGGCCCTCGTCATCAACGCCCCGAGAGAAGTACCTTGTCCCACCTCGAAACCTGGATCTCCTGGTGATAAGAGCGAAAGTGAATGGGGTGTTTTTGATTTTTGCCGGAGTAATGCGCAACATGCCATGCATGACCGGGAGGATGTATGGATCCGCGCCAGGCTGTTGGTGCCCCCTCAGGCCTCCGAGCCTGAAGTCGATGAGGTCCGTCTGGACGAACCTATTCCAAAAGAAGCGGTCATCCGCTCTCTTCCACATTGGCTGTGAGAGATCTGACTCGGACTGGCGCTGGAAGCTGGACGTTATGTCAATCGAGTAAGAAAAATACATAGGGCCCGAGGCGAGGAGTGCCTTGAGGTAAGTGAGATAGGTATCTTCGTCGGGATCGCGCACGGGCCGTTCTCGTAGAGGGAGGAACTCTGTAGCGACGACCTTGTAGATCATGTGGCCCCGTAGCCTACCCATGGGCTGTGCCTTGGTGATGACGATGATGTACTTGTCCAGCTTCAGCTTGATGATGCCCAAAATTCCAGCAATACTCGAAACACGTTTTGCACCCAACAGAGATCCATCGTTCAGTCGGATATCCCCTGAGGGTCTTTCCACCACAAGAGTCGGCGCAGAGGAGTTGGAGGGTGAGGTAAAAGCGTAATGGCTGGTGGAGGCGTGGACGTTGATGTCTCGAAAGGGCAGCAAGTTGGCCATCGTGAAAGGGCTGGAGGGTCGAGGGTGGTCGCGGGGAGGCTTTTGTTGGAGTCTTTACTATCGTATCATGATTTTGGGTACAGGATCAAGATGTGGAAGAATAAAGAAGAGAGGGAGAGGGAGAGGGAGAGGCTGGCGACTGCGTAACTTGGCTGCCGAGCGGTTGTTAGATCGCAGGTGGCCTTTGTTGGTAACGAGCATTCTGCCCTCCGTCATCCTTCTTGGCTCAGATCTCTCAGATCTCCCCAACTGTCCCGGCACTTTTGACTGCAGGTCATAACACCACCACAGGCAATCATCAAACATACGCAATTCTTGTTGAATCCCTACTCTGAGTCCACGGCTATTCTCCCGAGGCTCGTCGAATACCCAACCAGCAGTCAAATATCAATCACAGCCCGATCATGGCCGCTCGAGCTCCCGCAGGCCGACCAGGCGCAGGCGGCAGGTTCGCCCAATTCAAGCTCGTGCTTCTCGGTATGTTGAGGACAAGCCTCTCACTCCTACCTAGGTAGTCAATCGCTGATTGCTGTCTTCTAGGTGAATCGGCAGTAGGAAAGGTACTTTGCCCAGCGACTCCGGCGTCTCCCCTCTGAACCAATCCATCCTAACAGATGTCCCTTTTCCGCAGAGCTCATTAGTCCTCCGTTTCGTCAAAGATCAATTCGACGACTACCGCGAATCCACCATCGGCGCCGCCTTTCTCACTCAAACGATATCATTAGACGAAAACACGACCGTCAAGTTCGAGATATGGGATACCGCTGGTCAAGAGCGATACAAATCTCTCGCCCCGATGTACTACCGGAATGCAAACTGCGCGGTAGTCGTCTACGACATCACCCAGGCCGTACGTCCCCCCGCTCTCTACAAGTAATTGTCCGGCATCTAATAGTGTTTCCCAGTCATCCCTAGATAAGGCCAAGTCATGGGTCAAGGAACTCCAAAGACAAGCCAACGAAAACATCGTCATCGCCCTTGCCGGTAATAAACTCGACCTCGTTGAAGAATATCCCGACAAGCGGGCCATCCAAACTGCCGACGCAGAGGCGTACGCCAAAGAGGCCGGCTTGCTCTTTTTTGAAACATCTGCAAAGACGTCTACAAACGTGAAGGAATTATTCACCGCCATTGCGAAGAAACTGCCTCTGGACCAGGCGGGGCCCAGGAATTTGAGGGCGACTCCCAGACCAGGTGTGGATTTGAGACCGGAATCGACTGGAACGCAGGGCGCTGGAAATTGCCAGTGTTGATTTCCAAGCAACCACCAAGTTGAGGTTTTCTGTCAGATTGTGTATGTCCGTCTTCACAACGTTTTGATCTAGCAGGCGCAAGAAGGGAAGGAGTTGTGTGTGGGCGGCTCGGGCAGGCATGCTGGACAAAGGATCTGGATTTCGCAAATGCTTGCCCAGTCGAGATCAATCATCTACACCACATTCGACACTGGGGACACTTCGAAGGCAGAAGTCGAGCAGGACAAAACTAATTGAGGCTGTCGAGAGACGTCCCGTGCGAAGTCCCCGAGTCGAAGGCCATCCGTCGACATCCATCATTGTGATATACTTTGCCGGGCAGTACCACAGGCGTTTCTGAGAACAGATACCGGTGTCCCGGGTTGTCCGGCGTCCGTTTTACCAAGCAGTCTGCTAATGCCTAGAGATACAGTTGTTTCGAGACCTGCTCAGCCGGGGGCGACTCCATCCTCATCCGTCACATTGCGTCCCCCCTTTCGTGCCATTGATGCTTTCTCACTTATTAAACAGACCCGCCACTCCTATTCCCGGCTTTATCCCCCACCAGCCCCGCCATCTCCAACAATGCCCTTGCACCATCCTTATCCCCTCCAAAATTCACCCCCCTGCGTCGTGCGGCCTCGGCCTCTTCCCACGCGAGCCGTCTCCTCTGTTTGATCATCTCGTCCTCTTCTCCGGCACTCTCGGATAGCGAGCCTGTGCGGGCAAGCGGGAAGGAGATGCCCCAGACTTCGAGCGTGTCGAGGTCAAAAACTGCCTTTTTCGGTTGTGCGGATTCCTGGTCATTTTTTTGCGCCGTCTCCAGGCCCGGGTCTGTCATGAACGCACCGACCCCAGCGTCCCCATCGTGCTGGAAAGTGCAGGTTGACAGGTCGCTGTCGATTAACACGCTGACCGGTCCCAAAATCGGCGGTTGAGGTGGACCTGTACGAGACTGCTGCGGGGGGATCACACAGCCCAGTGCGATGCCTGTTTTGGAGTTGAAATACGAGAACGGGATCGTGCGGTTGTATTGATTTGCGAGGAACATGCAGTGGCGGGGGAGGAATTGGAAGAGGCAGGATGCCTTGGATGGGGCATCAGTGGAGGAGGAAGGAGCCGTTGGCTTCTCGCGCCACGGCTCGGGGAGGTACGCACCGAGTACGATGGGGTCGTTTCTGTCGGGAAGCGTTCCAGAGATGAGGACCAATGTAGAAGATTGCCACGAGTGGACTTGCCGGGAGAAGGACGACAAGGAGGTGCCGTGGGACGAAGTCGAGTAGAGTTGGTTGAAGCGAGAGTTGGAAGCGAAGACGTTCTTGAGCGAAGAACTTGACGAGGCGGATGCGGAGATTTGGACGGACATGGACATTTGAGCCAGGAGAGTATCGGTGAAGATGGTGCTGAAGGTGGTGTCTTCCGGTGATTGGTATATTGGTGATGGTATGGCCTCAATAGTTTCGATCACCGGTAGGGCGTCGCGATATTTGTTGAGGTTGAAGTTCTTGCTGAACAGAAAATGCTCGAACAGAGCGTTGAGGGGCTCGAATAGATCCGGTAACGTCGTTGTGACGGTCTTGACAAAATTGGAATATCTGATTCCTCTGCTGTGAGGCTCGGGGTCAAAGGCTGCCACGATGGCATCGGCTGAGGTGTTCAGAGCCTTTAAACGCTCTCCGTCCAGGCGCTGGCCGTAAATGGCCAGCGGAGTCAAGGGCGTGATGCCCGCGACGAGTAGCAAGAGCGTGATAATTTTCTTGAGGTTCTCTGCAGGGATCATTGCGTGGCTGATCTTGCGGTTCGTCCTTTGATCGTGTTTGAAGACCTCAATGGCGTCGAGCGAGTCAAGCGCGGCAAGAGCAAGGTCGTCGTCATCTTCGTCTTCGTCGTCATTCACGGGCTCATCGATGGCAAACCCAGCGACATGAGAACTGACACCCTGCTCGACTTCGCGCTCCTTCAACATGTCTTCGGGGAGCTGTTCCTTCACAATATCCTCCATATTCGGCTTATCCATGGGCGAGGCGACACTGTGGCGCCGATCGAAGACCGCCAAACTTCGGAACAACAGCTTAATCTTATCCTGATCGCCTCGTTTCAAGATCTTCTTGTACCTACCCGTCATGATGGTGATGACCTTCAGCATGGCTTCCCTAGTCAATATACATGGCGCCAGACTCGGAAATGGAAACGCCCCAAGGTATGTACACATATGGTACAAGACCGGCCCGGCCTTGAGTGGCTCCGGGAGAGCGAGGAAGGCACACAAGGTGTCTTCTTTCCAATATTCGACATCTTCCTGGTGATCTGCCAACGTTTTGAAGTTGTCTTTGTAGTGAGCTATCTCCAAATGCGTGTAGCATTTGGAGGCAAAGCGGAGGGCCAACTCGTGGCTCAGTTGCTCTGGAGGAGTGAGTCCACATCTATCAGATGCCCCAGGAGGCTGCATCACTGATCAAATGGTTCACTCACCGATTGGCACCTCCCTCGGCGGATGTGAGGATTGGGACTGACCCATTCTCACTTCCTTTGATCTCGATCTATATTGCCATGAAGGGACTGGATGCAGAACCTAGAGTCATAACTCGGAATCCTGGATATAGTCCTTAGATAATGGTGGTCAGACCACACTTGGCCAGCTGCTTGCTCAACGCTGCTTCATCACGCAGCAACAATGCTCCGCCGCAAGATTACGGCGCCTCAGAAACATCTTCGACGCAAAAGCCTATGCGATTTTCCCCATTTCCAAGACGGCGAGACAGCCGCCGAACGGCTTGCGGGAAGCCCTGACGCTCTCTACGCCGGCTCTATGATGAGGAGATGGATTCTCAAACATTCATCCCCTCTCAGGCTCACAGTTCGCGGCTTTGTGACAACCTCGACCGTCATGGCACGGACGTACGCTGTACGTGTCGTCAAAAAGCTCCGCTTTGAGACCAGGACTGACCACTCTATAGGATGCTGTGACATCGCTGAATTCTCTTCAGTCCAATTTCGCAATTGTTAATGCAATCCGCAAGTCTGGGGGCAGGTTGAACGAACAATCCATTCCTGAGATGATTGAATGGTGCCGCAAGATTGGATACCAAGTATGCGACGACCGAGCCCATCGGAACCAATCGCCTTACCCACACCACTAACTCGCGCCTCCTGCCTAGCCTTCGGATTTCAATGCTTTAAAGGTTATCCATGTAGCCGGAACGAAGGGCAAAGGGTCAACAGCAGCCTTCACCTCATCGATCCTCACCCAGTTCGTTGGAGGGAAAGGGACCAAATCGTTGTCAAAAATTGGCTTGTACACATCTCCACATCTTCGATTTGTACGGGAACGCATACAGATCAACGGACAACCTCTGTCAGAGGGTCAATTCGCCCAATATTTCTTCGAGGTTTGGGACAGGCTGGAGAATGTTGCGAAAGAAGCAGGACAAGACCCCCAGTCTCCAGGGGCGAGACCCGTCTATTTCAGGTTCCTCACATTGATGGCATTCCATGCCTATCTAAGGGAGAAGGTTGACGTTGCTGTGATTGAGTGTGGCATCGGTGGTGCTTATGACAGTACGAATATCTTCGAAACGCCGGCCGTGACTTGCATCACAAGCCTCGGGATTGATCATGTCGGCATGCTCGGTTCCACGATCGGCGAGATTGCATGGCACAAATCTGGAATTATGAAGAGCGGCATCAAGTGTTTCACCCCGAGCAGCCAGCCTGCGGAGGCAAAAGCAGTGATGGAGCGAGTCGCAGACGAGAAAGGGAGCGTGCTCGAGTATGTTGATGTTGATCCAGCAATCGCCAGTGGCGAGATCACCCTCGGACTCCAAGCAGACTTCCAGAAGATGAATGCTAGCCTTGCTATTGCTCTAGCGAAAACATGGCTGGACCAACAAGGCTACGCGGACGCCGACGACTACAAGCAGAAATTTGTGCGCGGACTGGAAACTGTTTGGTGGCCAGGCAGATGTGAGACACGGTATGAGTCAGGGGTAAAATGGTGCATTGATGGTGGCCACACCCTCGAAAGCATTGAGCTGGCAGGGAAGTGGTTCGCTTCTCAACTTATGACCAACAAGGACTCTTCAAAGCCGCTTTACCAGCAACCGCGTTTCTTGATCTTCAACCAACAGACACGTGATGCCGCCTCGCTTGCGGCGGCGTTATTCAACACATTGTCGGCAGCTCTTAATGACCCCCACCCGTTCACCCATGCCATTTTCTGCACAAACACGACATTCAAAGAAACGGGCTTCAAACCCGATCTTGTGGCGGTGAACGTCAATGCATCAGATATTGAGTCAATGAAGGTGCAGAATAACCTCGCGGAGACATGGAGGGGCATTGACTCTTCAGCTCGAGTCAAGGTGGTGAGGACGATCGAAGAAGCAGTCAATATCGTCCGCAACTTTGCTAACACTCACCGCCAGAAGGCGGCTGAGTTAGAAGAGGAGAAAGAAGTTGCGGCCCTGGTGACAGGCAGCCTGCACCTCGTCGGTGGATTCTTAGAGGTTTTGGAGAGTACGACTAGCTCTTAGGAGGATGAGACGAACCAAGGCTCATCAACTGATACGAGGTTCTAATCAGTTATAAAAAGTACAGGACGGCCTCATCGCCGGCAAACTCGCGAGATAGAGATGATACCCATGTATTTTCATTAGTGAAATGTCTCACAAATCAGCAAGCAACTAACAAGTATTGAAATAGGGGGAACATTGCTCTTTGCCTCCTCAATCGCCAGTTTTAGAGCAGGATCCCAGTGGCTACATCTGTACATGTACGTCTGATACATCCCCGGTCGTCAGGTCGTTGTTTCTCATCTTTATTGTGAACTCTCACGGCTGTTCAGCGCCTCCAATTCCTCCCCAGCGTCGGGCTCACGGGACTTATCGTGTCGAACAGGCTCCTCCTATGCTCCTCGTCCTCGGGCATCGTCCCCCCTTCCCCGCCACCCCGCGTAGGACTCGGCAACGTCCCGATGCCGCTGCTCACGCTCTCGTTGCCGTGCTGGTAATGGTACTCGCGCGCCTCGTTGTCGTTGTTGTCGTCAGCAGGCAATTCGTGGGCAACGCTCTGACGGCGCGACCCCGGTTCGTGCTCCTCGATGATCGGCTGCACGGAACTGCTCTCACTGCTCCTCTCCCTGTCAAACGGGAATCGCGTCGCGTTTGTGTTACGGGTACGGTTGTTGTTATTGCTGTTGTTGCTGCTGCCTCGCCAGTTGTTCTGAGTGGGCGGGAACGGCCAAGCGAGCGTCTCGTTGGTGCCACTGGACGAGTAGTTTAACGAGTTTGAGTTCGAGTTCTCGTGGCTAGGGCTAGAGATCTCGGACCTAGGGCCAGCGGGAGGGAAGCGCACGCTGCGGAGAGGAGATGACGTGGCCCCTATGGCGGCGGCGGCGGCGGCGTTGTTGTTGTTGTTGTTGCCGGTCGTGGGGGCGGCGCCGTTGAAGTTGTTGCTTAACGGAGAAGGACGGTAGACATCTTCGGAAGATGTCGAGTTTGAATGTGTGTGGCCGAAATTGGCATTGTACGCGTAGTCGACGATCCCAGAGTGCCGTGGATGACCGAGACTGTTGTACGGCGTGGCCAGTTCGTAAGGTGGCTTGGGACGCTCTGTGTTGTTGGCCATTTCGTGTCGTTCTGGTTGCAGTGGTGGAGTCGGTTCTTCGGACAACGTGCTATAACCGACTTGTTGCACCTCCGGTGGCGAGCTTTGAGAGGATTGACGCATTTGGTGTTGAGGGCGTTTCGGACTCACAGCTGCTCCATTCAGCCATCGGGAGATCCGGCTGTTGCTGGAGTGCGAGGATTTGTCGGAAGAACCACTGTTGATGATTCGACGACGCCGGACCAGGAGGAATATAAGGATGAGGAGGAGAATGAATATCACTGTGGCGGCGACGCTGATGCCAACGATAGCGCCTGTGCCGATTCCCGAGTGTCCGCTGCCAGTTGACTCCGTTGAGGATTCGTTGACTGGATATGGGTAGTAGTGGGTAAGTTGTCTCGAATATGATTTTGAGAAGATGCCCGCTAAGGCACCATCTGACCAAGCTGCAGTTTTGGTAGACCCTCCTTGAGCATTGCCCCCTATAGTCTTAGTGACGGCGGCGGGCACCTGATAGTCAGACCACGTGTCGGGGTCGTAGCTATTCTGAAACTCGAGATTGTTGAGGTTGAAAATCTGGATAATGCCACCCTCGACACAATTGGCCTGGTTTTGGTGGACTCCGCCAACAACAAACATTTGATCCGGGTACGGGGCGACGCATCGATGCCCCGAGCGACCATGAGATTTGGTCCCGCCATACGCTTTGATCCATTGGAAGGACGGGATCGACAGGATCCAGACGTCGTCCGAGGGCTCATCGTCTGCATTCAATCCGTCGTAGCCGCCGTAGATGTAGACGCTGAACGACGAGGAGTCCTTGGCCGTTGCGACCACGGAGCAAAATTCCGTCAGTTGTCCCGGGGCTTGACCAGTGGTATTCTGCAGGTACCAGGTGCTGGAAGCGATGTCATAGATGGGCAAAGTGGTCATAAATCCGGGACTTTGCGCTTCGCTTTCCGAACTTTGCGAGCCGTTCAAGCCGGACGCCCATATCTCCTCGGGCGCACTGACACCGCCAATTGCGACCAGCACGCCTTTCTCAGAGACAGGGATCCATACTAGTTCGGCGTTTGCGCGCGGCTGGATGTTGTCCGGGAGCGTTGCGTTTGTCCATTTCTCGCTTCTCATGACCGACATGTCAACCTGGATAAGGGTGTTCGCGGTCACGTTGGCGGAGGAGTTCTCGTAGTATATCGGGCCCCATGTCGGCGATCGCATCCCGCTGAAGTACAATCCTAAATTTTCACTGGGTACAGACACTCCGGCGCCATTTGTGATATATCTTGTTACGCCGTCCGACAGAGTTCCTTGGTAAAATCCAGGACTCCAGCTTGTCCGATCCGGGCCGTACTGGTAAGCTTCATATCCAAGGACAGTTTCGGCGCTTTGGGGGGAAGCAGAATCAGTGAGACGAGGGAGACCACTGTGAGAAGGTAATCAGCCATAGCGGACACAGATGTTGGGAGCAAGACTACCTACCCGTAAAGGTATAATTCACCATCATTGGTAAACATGGTCCCGTCGACATAATTCGGCGCAATGTTGTTTCCTGCGCCACCCGCCTTCGACATTCGATCAAACAAGCCCGACATATTAGTCTTGGTCGTATCGAAAGGTGTCGAGAAGTTCAAAACAAACATGTCCCCCTCGACATTGCCATCGCTACTCACGACCGGCGCCGTTCCATCTGCAAAGGCTGTTTGCCACCAAAGCAACCCACCATCAAGGTAGAGGGCATCACGGATGACTCCAGCCCTTAATCGGGCCCAGTTGCATATTGTATAGTTCTCTTGGACAGATATGCCATATGCAGCTCCAAGCAGCGCACCCCCAAGCACGATGCAAGTCGGATACAATTTCATTGCGAGCTATTTCGCAGGATTCCGGGTGTCATCTCTGTTCAGCGATCACTGGCACTGAGCTCGAGTCCCAGCAAAAAAAGGCGAACGAGTGCCTTCGTTTGGAATCCCAAAGCACTGAATTGGACGGGAGGGAAGACTGTGCGCTCTGAGACATACCTCGTACTGATACTTACCGATCATCGCCAGGACCAAAATTTGCCACAGAACGACAATCACTACATCAGTCGTTGAAGCAGCGCATCCCTTGGCCTGATTTTCGCGATACTCGATCCGCGCAGCTTCAGGGTCTTTATCGCCATGATGGGCTGACACTGGAGTGGCGCTTCTCAATCAGGGTCCATGAATCATAGAACTGTGCTCGGCTGAACTGCGCCTCTGATATCAGACATGGAGATGTAGACCCTGGCACGGTAGGAGAGACAAGAACGAGGATCAGGGACAATCGCGCCCGGAACAGGGAATGGAGACCGTCAAACCCCTCGATCCCTGGAAGTTTGCGGTGGTTTGGACGGTTGAAGAACAGAGAAACCTGTCACGATTTGCAGCCAGGCGAAGATAGCACGACCTGTAAGTCGTCAATACCACCTTGGTAGAGACAGAGGTCGAGGCTAGATCAACCCGTGCCGTGCGCTTATGCCGTCGCCAACATGAAACCGGTTTTGGAGACAGTTCAGGCCGGAAGAGGAATAGCAGTAATAATGGGGCCGGCGGGAACCTGGGCAGTGGGCAAGGCTAGTGCTTGGCTAGTGCTTGGCTTGGACAAGGCTCCACCGGCCTGGCGGAAACTGTCTCCAGCTTCAACGTCAATCGTCCCGTTCTGCTCTCTTTTCCATGATCGACCTTCCATCCCACCCAGCCCTCCTTCCCACTTCCACAAGCTAGAGAATATAGGGCAAAGCCCCCGAATGCGAGCTTCCTTCGAAAAAGGCCCATTCGATGATTGATTGGCATGTCACCATCTGCATCTGGCAAGGCAATGCCCGTGCGAAGCCAGGAACGTCACCAACGTGGCATTCGCCGGTGCTCTTCCAACGCCCAACCGTACATCTCAGGAAAAGCTCGATGCCATGTGGCGTGTCACCCCAGCCATCCCACCAGGCAAGCTTGGACGATGCCAGGGCATTCTCATTGTCCCAAATGCTCTCAATGATGACGGCAAGTCCTCTCGAAGCGACTTCCATATCCTTCGCGCATTTTAGTTGATACTGATTTTGGCAGCTCTTGATGCTCTCATTATCCTCCATCTACTTTCGTTCACTTTAAACCCATCCTTTCGTTCAAAATCATTCGTTTTCAGTTTCGCGCTCTGGTTGGTCGTATCATGAGTGCGTTGTGACTCTGTGAGGAGGAAGTAGTTATCCAGGCTTGAGAAAAAACACTGTCAAGATGCATCCATCGCTCGGCTTCCTGACCTGTCTGTCATTCGCAATCAGCACTGCTTTTGCTCAGCCGACAACTGTCACCATTCAGACTCCGCCGGCTCCCCTACCGCGAGGAGAGACCTGGGAAGACATATGTCTGCCAGCGCCGACGGTTTTCATTAGTGTAACTGAAACTGAATATGTGTCGCTCACTTCCACAACCACCGCTTCTTACCATGACACAACCACTCTACCAATCACGATATTTCAGACTGTTATCTCAACAACCATATTGACAATGGTTGGTCCACTTCAAATGAAGTTTGGCCTGGAAATGCTTACATACGCAGACCGAGATAGTGACGGAAATATCGACAACGGTCTCGATTTCTCCAACTACTGCGACGTTGACAGAAACATCAGTCACTTTATCAATTAGCCCTACTACCGACACGCTAACCGAGACATCGACCACTATATCGATTAGCCCTACCACCGCCACGTTGACGGAGACATCAGTCACTGTATCGATCAGCCCTACTACTGATACGCTCACGGGGACATTAACCACTGTATCGATCAGCCCTACCACTGACACGCTGACGGAAACATCGATCACAGTCTCGATCAGCCCCACCACTGCCATCTTGACGGAAACATCGACCACTGTCTCGACTACTCCAACCACAGCGACGGCAACTGAGATTATCTCGTTGTACTCAGTAACTTCCCAGGCGACAAGCATTACAGTATGTCCAACTCGAATAGTCAACCCGACCTACAGCGCCCTCGGACCGTACCCTACCGACTGGACGTAAGTTTGACTCCAGACCCCAATTCTAGCGCCGCCATGCCGCCATGGCCTTGTCCTGTGTTTGTCGATGGTCCCTGCCGCTCATGTCTCTCGTCCATATTCAGCTTTGCTAACAATACCCTCTCCAGATGGGGATGTCCTCCGGGCTGGCTCTGTAAACCTCTACAGGAGAATTGCAATTTCGAGGCTGGTATTCCGGACCGGAACTTTTACTGTAGTCCGAATGAATGCATCCCCGCGAACGCGTTGCCTTCACCGCTGCCTACGTGGGACCAGGACATCTACGGAAATATCACTCCTGCAACAGATCCCGCACTGCATATCAACGCCATCGACGATTACTTCAACATCAACCCGACCGACTTCGGGCTAACATACGAGATCTTTATCGTGAACGAGGTCTTCACTCTTACCACTACAATCCTTCTTCCCCCAAGTCCCACTGTTGCAGCAAGGCAAGCGCAGACCAGCGTCCCAGGGGCTTGTTATCCTTGGTGCAACAACTGTCTATTGGAAGCCCAGGCGAATGGGAAGACATCGGCACTGTGTGTTCCCGGCTCGGCGTTTGAGGTATCTCTAGAGCAATGCGAGCAGTGTATTGATTACCACAAGTCCGACAACAGCGCCAGCTTTGTGCAGATTGCACCACAGTTCCAACAATTCCTCGACTACTGCGACCAATTCTCTACGATTGTCGTGAGCACCTCTGTCACAACGACCTCGACCAATGCCGTAGGGTCAAGCTACAGCGTGGTGACCGGAACACTATCGACAACCGTGACTCCAAAGAGCTCTCCGCCTCCGCCATCGTCCAATACCCAGCCGACGTCGGTTGTGCCGGTGCCGTATACCGCTTCCACAACGCCAATCTCATCAACGTCAGCTCATCCGTATGCAACGACAGAAACAGTCCTGACAACGACATGGTCACATAGCACGGTTTCCGGACCCGCGTGGTCGCAAATAACCATTATCATGCCCCTGAGCGATAATAGGACGACCACACTGTTCGGCACTGATTTGAAGGCCGCTGGCGCCGTTCTCGTTCTGCCCACCTCGCCGACCACGAGCTCTTATACCACGACAATGACAGTTACTCCGGGCGCGCAAGTCTCGTCTGGTTCGATTCTTTCCTCGAGGACCTCCGGCTCCTCAGGCGCTTCGGGCACAACAACCGGGTCATCGTCCACTTTCACCGGAGCAGCAGCGGCCCTCAGAATCTCACCCACAGATATCGGCTTGCAATCGACGACGCTCGGGTTAGCTATTTGCTTGGCATTCATGCTCCTGCTGTAGAGCAAGCTTTAGCCTCCGCTCTAGGCTTCTGCAGATGATTGCTTTCGATTCCGAGAAAACGAGATTATGGACACGTACATGCTATAGAAGTCCGAAAAGATGGGGAATATTTAATCAATGGCCCATTCATGTTGGGCCTTGTTAGGGGCGATGCTTGTTGGTTGAGGGCGCGCCACCACCGAAAGGCAGAAGGATGTATATGAACGTTACGAACGGCTTAATGATGGGAAACAGAGGTAGAGAGGTAGCTACATAGCGAGATAGCCTCCGGGATCAAATGTTTGCACTTGATACTTGAACTCGCTGAATCCTAGGACGCGAAGCGAAAGGTAGGGGCTCCTTCACACTTCGATCCGTGCCTCCTTTCCCTCCCCCTTTCTTTATGTACAATCGTTCTGTGTTCCAGCAACTGCCATATACAATCCAGCTCCCCCCAGACATCAAGGAATTTTGGGATTCCCCTGCCCCTGCTGACCCATTTGTCTCTTATGCACCGTTCTCGCGAGGCATGGCATTCTAACCAGATGCTTTTGGGGCGAGTGTGGCATCCGTCCGTGTCTCCTTAATATGTAATATGTAATATGTACTCGGTACATATAGGACTCGACGTAAACTAACTCCTTGGCGAGGCTGAGAACGGCAAAAGGGGTTTCCAATACGTGTCACGCACTCGAACAACGGAAAGATCGAGCGCAAAACCTACTGGCTTATGGAAGGAGAAAAAAAATGGGGGGTAAGAGAGGGGATGGATAAATTTTCGTTTTTTTGCTCTTTTTCTTTTGTGCAGTCGAGGGCCTGAAAGACGACCAAAAGATTCATATATCTGACACACGCACAGATTATTGTCGGTTTCAAACTGCTTGCGGCTCAACCCCAATACCATTCTGCTTGGCGTCCTCTTGCATCTTCTGCTGCTCCTTCTCCGGCACCAGCGGCAAGTTCGTGTAGATGGTCCTCTTGTTTGCCAGTCCGTCGGCGGTCAGACTCTGGCCGTCAGCTCCCAGCACGGCCACGTTCTTGTGCACGTGGCCGTTGATGACGATGGCGTGCAATTTCGACGTGTCCTGGAAGATCTCCATGTCCTCGAGCGGGTTGCCGTCCACGAGGATTACGTCCGCGTAGTAACCCGGCTGGACCTTCCCAAGCTCTTCCGGGTGGCCCATGATCTCGCCGCCCAGGGCGGGGGCCGCGATCAGGCTTTCTTTGGGCGTGTAGCCGAAGAGGTTGACGAAGTGGACCAGATCACGCGCGTACGTGCCGTGAGGCGCCCACGCGAAACCGTAGTCGCCGCCTGGGAGAACGCGGACGCCGCGTCTGTGGAGCTCGCGCATGGCTTTACAGGCCTTGTCGACTTCGTCCACCAGGCCTTTCTTCTTGGCCATTTCGGGCGTCATGCCATAGGGCACGGCGTCGCCTGAGCAGGTGTTGTAGGGGAAGTTGATGGCTGGAGCAACAAAGACGCGGTCTTTCAAAGCCTCGAGCATGTTCAACCCTTCTTCATCCGCAAACGAGGCATGGTAGATCACGTCCACACCTGTTTGGCAGCAGAGCTTCACAGAGGCGGCGGAACGTGCATGAGCGCACACTCTCTTCCCTCGGTTGTGGGCTTCCTCTACCGCGGCTCTCGTCTCTTTCAAGGTGAAGTATGTCTCCGTGGCGCCCATAGTAGGGTGTACATAATCACCAGTCATGCTCAGCTTGATATTATCAGCTCCCAGTTCTATGAAATGTCGGACCGTCTTCCGCATCGCATCCTCTCCGTCGGCATAGTGACTTATACTGGGAATGATTGCTCCACCGGTGGTGGTGATCTCCTGAGAGTTTGCCAGCGTCCGAGGACCGGGAATCATGCCAGATTTGATGGCTTGCTTGATGACGATATCCAGCCGTTCTTGTGCCGAAGCAGCGCCGAAGCACATGGTATAGCCACAGTCAATGTAGGTCTTTGCGGATTCAGCCGTGTGCAAGACGTGCTCCTCCAGTGGCAGACTTGTCAGCCCGTCCAGTGTGGGCGAGTTATTCCAGCTCAGATGCGTATGTGAGTCGCAGAGACCTGACATGAGCGTTTTTGTGCCGTTGCCGTCAATTACGAGTGTGTCGTCGTCAGGGGTAAAATTGAGCTTGCCGACCTCTTTGATGCGTTCGCCTTCGATTAGCACGTCCCCCGCGTACATGTCTGCCCCTGTTGAATCAAAAATGTTGACGTTCTTGAATAAAATCTTGTCCTTGTCCCCAACCTTGTGGTTGTCGATGGTGATGTCTGCTGGGGTGGGCTTGTACGGAGGCAAATCTACGAGGAGATCGCCTATGCCGTTGGCCTGGGTATTACCGATCGAGCCCATCTTGGAGCTGAGCTGCGTATTGCTCTCAATGCAGGCTTGTAGAGAGACGACAAAGGAATATTCAACAAAGATACAACCTTGTATTTGGACAGTCGGCGAGAGGGGCTTTTGGTCAAGCAACATACATCTCAAACGAGGGATCTTCCAACGATTTGTATGGTATGTGGAATGGCTCCTTAGGGAGCGCCATGCTGCACCTGCATAGACTTGCGGAGACCCCGCTCCAAACCACCACAGGACATCGCGGGAGGACGCCGTCGAGACATGGCAGCGAGTGTGTATTGTTGTGTTGTTGCGGAGTCGTGGTGATCAGTTGGAGACCAGGAAACGGCGAGATGCCGGTGTGCTCAGGCATAGCCTTTTCGTCATCATCGCAAAAGATATCAATATGGACTCTTGGCGATAAAGCCTTTTATACCTTTTTCTTTGAGAGTGACTTGGTTGTCTTTCATAGAACAACGACGCTGTTGACTCCAAAGCGGATCGATACCTTTGTCCAGCCAGCCTTGCCGACTTGGACCTCACCCGTTCTACACCATGGCGGACAACAACAACAACATGGCTTTCGGGTTCATTGGGCTCGGAAATATGGGTTCCATGATGAGCCACAACCTGGCATCGTACGCCGAGTCCGCAGGTCTTCCTAAAGTGCAAATATGGAATCGGACGCGAGGCAAAAGCGAGGCTGTCGCAGCGAATAGCTACTGCGATGTCGCAGACTCCATCCCGGACTTGGTCCGGAAATGCAATGTCATTCATACCTGCCTCGCCAACGACGACGTTGCCCTTTCAGTATATCGGGAGATCTTCCAGGCGCGTAAACACGGGTTGATACTGGCCGACCACTCAACTCTGTTCCCTACCACCTCGACGACGCTGGAGAAGGAAGCCCGAGAAGTTGGCGCCTCATTCATGTCTTGCCCAGTATTCGGTCCGCCTGCTGCCGCGAAGAGTGCCGGGCTGTTGATCGTACTCTCTGGCAAGGAGGAGTCGCGGAAGGCGGTGAAGTCGTACATTGTCCCTACCCTCGGAAAGGGTATGATCGATTGCGGTGAAGAAACTTCAAAGGGTGCTCTCCTGAAGATTCTGGGGAACAACTGTATCCTGGGCACGATTGAATTGCTATCAGAGAGCTTCACCTTGGCCGAAAAGACTGGCTTTGACACCGACGTCCTTTACGAATTTATCCGTAAGTGTCACCTTTGTTTCGATTTGCGGTGGAACAACTACTGACTTGTCGAACCAGAGCAATGGTTTCCTGCAGCAGCCTGGGTCAATTATGGCAAAAAGATTCGGGATGGTGCGTTCAGCGGCAAGACAGGCTTCACCCTGCCTGGAGGCATGAAAGATGCTGCGTACATTCGTCGCCTTGGAGCCGAAACATCAACGCCAACGCCGATTATTGATCAAGCCTGGAATCATTTGACCACGGCTAAAGCACTCGGGGGAGAGTCATTGGATTGGAGTGCCTGTGCTGCTGGGATGCGGGTAACTGCCGGTTTGAAACCGTTCAAGGGAGAAGATTTTTCGTTGCAAGGGAACCACGCCAATGGTGTCAATGGGAATTAGAATGAAGAGTCGGCTGGGTGTCATAGAAAAATTCTTATTTATTCAGCATTATTAGGTACTGTATCCGTATCTCTATGAGAATGCGTTCTTGATGATCTCGATCGACTTCTGAGTGGCTTCAAGCATGTGCCAATGTCCCACACTTTCGAGGACTGTTTGCTTCGCATTCGACCCGAGATTCTTGGTCGTCGTCTCACCAGCCGCAACTGTAGAGACTTTATCTTCGTTCCCGGACACAACCACAACCGAAGCCTTGACGCGGTCCCAAGAAGCAGCTTGGCTCTTGGCCAGTGCCTCACAAGCCAGTGCATACCCTTCAGGATCTTGCCTCGTCAACATTTCGCGGGCTAATGCTACTTCGCCTCTCTTTGACTGGTACGACTCGGGAGCAAAAGCGTTCCCGACCACGGTGTCGGCGATCCCTACCATGCCATTCTCTCGAACGGCCTTGGCACGGCCTCCCAGTGCTTGCTGGCCAGCTTCGGGAGGTGGACTGACTGGGCCGAACAAGACTAGACTTTTGACTTGATCAGGGGCCTCTGCGGCGAGATGTAAAGCGATGAGCCCGCCTAATGAATGTCCGACGACATTGACTTTCTTTAACTTCAACTCTTCCATCACAGCTGAGAACAATGGGTCAGTTACAAAGCCCTGACGCCGATGGACACGAGCTCTCCCACATACCTAGACAATCTCCCACATAAGAGTCGATGCTGGTGGTCGCGGGCGTAGAACTCCGGCCATGACCAGACCAATCAAAGCGTACAATGTTGTATCCCTGAAGCTCCGGGATTAGAGGCTGGAAAGCATTCGTCGTGCCGCCCAACCCATGAATAAACAAGATTGCCGGCCCGTCGGCGTTTCCTTCAGTCTCATAGAATAGCTTGCTGTCGTTCGAAGAGATGTAACCGTGGGCAGACAGCTTGGACGCCATTGTGCTGATAACTCGTGTTCTATGAGAGCAAAGCAGGAAGACTGTGACTGTATATGTTCGTTGGCTTTATGGGCAGCGGGCTTTGAATGCTTGAATGACTGCATCGAGTTCCCGTGAGCGGATTGATGCCGCATTTGGCCGCGTTAAATCATGTTCGCGTGCTCCACCCCGAAGATCCCTCTCTTCTCCGCGCTTCTCCGCCGTACTAATGCTGAGCATCGATGATGGGAACCTCTCAGAACGACTTCTGACACAAGAATGAACCTGAGAAAAAGTCAGGCTTTTCCCTCTCGTGTCAAAATGACAATATCTCGCCCAGCCCTGCGTTTAGAAGTACGCATTTTGCAGCGCTAGTCAAAATTGTCAAACAGAGCCCCAACATAGGCGCTGTGAGTCTTGATGGCCTCAAAACCTATCGCTTCCGCGTTTGGGCCCTTTATGCGTATCGCTGGTGCTCGCGTTTGTTTCCGTATGGCTGGCCTGCTTGATATGGCCGACTTTGCCTCTTTCTTGACGTGTTCGAGAAGTACAGGTGCTCCTTCCGCCTCCAACAGCAGGCCTTGGTGCTCAGCTACTTCGAAGATTGCCGACAGCTGAAACTTTGAAACATCTGTAAATGTCGAAAACTGCTCAAGTTCGGGCTGCCATGGCCATTTGCTCGGTGTGGAACCGCCTGTTTCCCACAGATCGCGTCCGAGATGATTGCCTCCCGCAGAAGTCCAGCCCAGCAGCGTGAGGCCGCACAGTAAATTCTCCCTTTGCAGCCGGTGAAAGAGGCGGAACGCACTCTCACATGAAGCCTTCGACCTGTTTTCGTCCAACTGAAACGCTATTGCGATGTTTGCCAGATCGGGGTCCCGGCCATGTTTCCATATGTGTATGTTGCCTGCATTGTCTTGCTGCAATATCCAGTCAACGCGCCGTAGAGATTGCAATGCTCGCGACTTACGACAAAGTCCAACCTGGCAGCCGTGGCGAATAGTCTCAATGCTTTTCTCAATGCTGTATTGAGGCCTCCCTGGTATTCGGGATTCTCATACGCGTTGCGAAGTCTCTCGAGCGTCAATTCCAGGTCGGACATGTTGCGTAGAAATTCCTTTGATCCTTCCCAGCAGAGGGCTTAACGTGACCGGCCAGGACTGGTCATATTTACAGACTGAAACATGTCGAAGATGGACAGTGAACGTATGTCAGAGCGAGAACATGTGACAGGCTCCCTTGCAGACACAACTGGCAAGGGCCAACAGGGGTTTCGCCTTCACATCGGAGGGATGCCGGCGTTGATTGACGGTAAGCGAGCGCGATGGAAAAGGGAGGATCCCCGCATTTCCCCGCTTACTGACGACACACACATCACGAGGCTGAAGCCCCTAAACTCCACCGAGCTGACCGAGCCCGAGTAGATCAGTCCATTCTTCAGACCGACCAGGTGTTGCCAGGTGCCACTCGGTGCCATTTTTCTTAGTGGCAGGTACCGGAGCTGGGGCCGTGTGTGGCCATGTCTCCACAGTTTCCAGGGACCTTTTAGAAAACCAGGTGTCTTGATAAGCCCACATCGCCACAGACCTGCATCACAATGATTCCGGTATCATCGCTATGAACATGGTGGAGCAGATGTTGGACACGGCAAGTCTGCGGACCAAGAAGAAGCAGCGAACCCAACAGGCACGGAGGTACGGGTTCGCCTGCTCAAATTGCAGAAGGAAAAAAGCACGATGCAATGGAGCCACGCCGGCGTGCGACAAATGCGTTGCATCTCGGGAAACGTGTGAATATGACAGGTGAGTCCTGGGCTCTACTGCAAAGGCCACCATTCCTGACACCGTCCTCTCGATAAGAGGGCCTTCGGTAGCATATGCAGCCTCTCTGGAGAAACGACTCAAGGCATTTGAAGAAAGATTCGAAAAGCTACGTCAAAGTAGCGCTGTCGAAGACCGTGACGCTCTGATTCAAGAACCGTTTGAAGATGTCAAGCCAGAACGGGCGCGGGCCCCATTGTCCCTGACGACCGGTCTCGAAAGGCAAGACAATGAGGCGCAGGAGCATGAAGCACTATCATCTCCGTCTCCCGCACCCCAGAATGAGCCGCCTGTCGAGACTTCCATAGGTGCAGACGGCCGCATCTGTTTCTATGGCAAGACAAGTCATTACCATGTCGATCCCCAGGATGATGGCAAAAGAGAAGACCTGTTGCCTGAGGGCGACGAGCAGCAAGCGCTGAACATGGGCGTGTCAACCGCTTCAGCCATTTATACCACGCCAGAACTCCATCTGTTTGTTGACGCAGTGCCGCAGCTTCTGTCGGAGATATCCGCCGAGCTGTTGGATCATTTCTTGGATGCGTACTGGTGTTGGTCCCATCACCTACATCTAGTGCTAAACAAACGGTTGTTTTTGCGTTAGTGGCGAGTCTGTACCCCGTAGATATGGCGGCCATCGCTGACGTGACACAGGAGACTTATACACTTCCGGCCCTTCAGTGACCCCTTTTCTGATCAGCGCTATCCTCGCGCAAGCCGCACGATATTCCACTAGGCCCCAGGCCTCTCATCTTGGAGATCATTTTGCTGGCCGAGCCTTGCACTTGCTTCCAAACGACATCGACAAGGGCAGCTCTATTCCTACTATCCAAGGGTTGCTCATACTTTCAGCCCGAGAATGCGCCTGTGGGAGAATCTCGCAAGGATGGCTCTACTCCGGTATGGCCTTTCGGATGATGCGTGATCTCGGGATCCACATTGAACCTAGGAAGATGGGATATCTTTCGCGGCAATTTTCGGAGGAGGATCTCGCTCTGCGCCAGCAAGTGTTCTGGAGCTGCTTCACCTGGGACAAGACTATGAGTCTCTGTCTGGGCAGAGCGCCTATCATCCATGACACGATTGATGTCCCGTCTAGAGAGAGCTTGCTCGACGGTGCTGAAACGGACGAAGAGGAGTGGGTTCCGGTCCTCGGTAAAGAGACAGACTCAACGCCGAGCTTCATTGAGCAGAAGTCTCTTGGGAGTGCACGCTTTGCTGCATATTGTAGGTTATGCACAATCATCGATGGTGTGTTGGATGGTCTTTACTGCCGGCCTCATCAGTCCAGGCGAGACCATCTCCTTGCGTTTCTTGATAGCACAATCAGGAAGCTCGAACAGTGGTCGACCAGTCTCCCTCGGGGCCTCTTCATGTCACCGGATAGCAGAGTCGTTCTCTGCCCCCCAATCCACATCTTGCTCCTCAATCTCACATATCACGCCACCGTGATCCTCCTATGTCGACCGTACCGAAATATATCGCTTCAAGCAAAGGAATTGTGCACCAAAGCCGCACAAATGATCGATACGCTCTTCACATTGCATGTTCGGCGATTTGGGTTCCGGTTCATTACATACCTCCAAACGTATACCATGTTCGTGGCATGCACGATAAACGTCTTGGATTTGAAGGAAAACGAGTCCAATAGTCGGGATGCAAATGGGACAGCCTCTCGAGAGAAATGCTTCGCTCTCGCTCAGGAAGCAAGTGTAAGATTGAACTTTGGACTTGAAGTCCTGCGACAGGCGGGCGCCACACCCTCGGCAGCAAGGTGTGCTGCAGTCATTGTACAGCTTCTCCGACAATGGTCGAACAAGCAGGTGGAGTCGACGGTGCGCAGCCAGCGACAACGGCGGCCTTCTGAACACATCTCATCGCCACATTCGAGACGGCAAGCGAGCATATGCCTACCACAGGCAGGGAATGTCTCACACGGAAATGTGGCCGGGTCAGGACACCCCAACCAGAGCTTTCAGCACAATGCACACTTTAGAAACGATTTGCTGCCTACGTCAACCCCAGGCGGTGCCGGTGATAACGTCCTATTTCCTGCGCTTGAATCAACGCCAGCATATGCACAAGCACATGGGCAAACGATCAACGCGCAGTCCTCCCCTGACATGTCCAACCCGATGACTCTTGGGTTCGGCAGCAGCGGTGGTCTTCAATCGCTTCGATCAAGCAACAGTCCCTACGCTAACGCGCATATGCCAAACTTTGCCAATCCGGGCATTGAGACTCCCATGCGGTGGTTGCCTGACAATATCCAAGACGACGGCAGCTGGATGTTGATGATGGATTTTGGGGACACCGTTAGCTTGTAGGCCAAGGAAAACCTATGGCTCAGGCGAGGCGTAGGATGCGAGGTTTTTGTTCCATTTGATTAGGGGTTGCGGACGGACTTGGTAAAGGACTTGGACGATTGCGAGTGACATGGAATTAATTTATGGCTCAAGCTCCTTCCGGAGGCCGATCAGATTTTCTGTTCAGAAGCAACTGATTGCCCTGTGCATACAAGGCAGCTAGCAGCCATTCCTACCGGGTGAAGCTTGAGCTCGGCGTGTCTACCCCTCGTGGTCGGCATCCAGTAGACTTCTCTTTCGGCCGAAGCGGGCTAATCGGTATAGGCAGGTGAAGAGTATTGAGCTGGTGCTTATATAATGGATGAGAAGACCATCTGAAGCAAGAAACGTGCGAGCGCGCAATCGTATTAATAATGGCGAGAAGAAATTCCAAATAAAGCTAGCGCAAGACGCGGCGGCTACGGCGAACCAAAGAGACCTCAAAGCAGTTCTTGTCTTCAACCAAATCCTCCTCGATCGTTCAATTGTCCTTGATGAACACCAAAAGCTCAGTCCCTCTCCAACACCATTATACTGTACAAGTCACGCTTTCAAAAATGCTCGCACGACTTCCCTCGCGTCTTTCCCTCTTCCGGCCCCTTCTCCCTCGGACACCATTGCTCAGGCCATCTGCGTTTCATGCCGCATCGAGGACATATTTCACTGCCATCTTCCGGAGCTCCCTATTCCCTGCTTCGCGCGTGGCACAGCTCCAGCCAGCTCCGAGTGCACTATTCCAGACTCGAGGGATGAAGACCCGTTCGTCAGTAAAGAGGTTATGTGATGGTTGCAAGGTGACGAATTTCCCGCTCAACACTTGTCTAGATTTGCACATTCTCAGGAATTGGATTTGGTCATATCATCTCTGCGTCATACAAATGCGAAGCCCTTGTTTGTCGTGAGCTCTGCTAACGTCTACCACCCTTTCGAGTAGGCCGTCCGCCGCAAGAATCGCGTCTTCATCATCTGCGACAAGAACCCCAAGCACAAGCAACGACAGGGCAAATAACCCTTGCAAGATTCGCATACAATCCTGTTGCCAAACACCCGACGTCGCCATCAAAGACCCGAGTCACATCTTCGGTTTCTCCGAAGTCGAGCGGACGGAACAAGCTCACCCCACTCGAGAAGTGTGGTGGCCGCAGTGGGGAGGAAGGAGGAGCTGGCGCCCGAAGACTTCAAGACACCACCAGATTTCCCCGTAAATCGAAGTCATGCAAGAATATCTCCTCTACCGGCCACCTTCACGGCTCAGCGAACGCAAGTTCTGGTCGACCACAAGAATTGCATGGTCGGGACCGGGCGGATCATCGTGCCCGACAGCACCGACATCTCCTGTACAACGGAAACCAAGTTCACCCGTAATGGCACTCGATAGAGCGGCAAGTCTATTATTTGGGATCCCAACGATCAGCAAGGGCGCCGACCGAATGGGTGCAACTCTAATCGCCTTGAGGGAAAAGAGGTGGAGGAGAAAGAGATGCAGAAAAGGAATATAACGAATATATCGCACATACAGCGAAGTTGAACAAATCCAGCTTGCGAGGACGGAATATCCACTTTTTTTTTGACAAGAAGTCGCGAAGCAAGCATTCTAGCTCTTCTCTCGTCCTTTTCAATGGGGGTCACCCGGCGTGATGATTCGTATACAGAAGGGGAATGCTCCGTAACATCATGCATTTTCAGCGCCCGTTGCACTGCAGCACTGATCAACGTTTCATGTTGCGAATATTTCCCCTCGGGATTTGCAACTTTCTGTCACATAGAGGGTCCGACACTGCTCCCACGGCAATCGGGTCTCCCATCATAGGTTTGCACATCGGTCACAAAAGCACAATCCCGATCCCGCCCCTCTGGCTCTCATCCGGCATGTTCTTCTCGTTGATGCCACCGTTGATCGGCTTGGTCCGCCAATTGTACAAGTAGTGATGCAGCTGGCCATCACCGGCGCCAAACTTCAACTGTTCCAGAAATAGGGGATTGTCGTGGAGCGTGAGGGCATTGAAAACGTCGAACTTGGCCTGGGTCACCCGCACAAATGTCAGCAAACCTGAACGGCAAGGGAGATTGTGGGGAAAAGAGTAACGAGGAAAGAACGCACCTTCTTGGCCTCGATCAAGAGGTCCTGGCCCAGCTGTAACAGTCTCTCCTTCAACCCTTTCTCCTTGGGATTGAACGCTTGCTCAGTGGCGTAGTAATAAAGATAGGCCGCGCGAATTTTCTCGTGCTTCTTGCTCATTTCACCGATGATGGTGCTTTCGAGGCAGTAGAAGCTCCCGAAATCCGTGATCTTGCCATCTTTGCCCTCAACCACGAACGACCACACGACCCGATTCTCTGGCTTCTCGCGGTTGAGGAACCAATGCACGATCTCGGCTCTTGAAAATACCTGGACAAGGTCGAATCGTTCGAGGTACCGCGACAACAGATCGTGGATTGCGTCGACGTCTTTCTCCTCCATTTGCCGCCACCCTGGCGTGCTGGTGTTGGGAGGTAATTGGTTCCGAGCGATCATCTTGGCTTGTGTCATATTGGGGGGTAAAGGAGAGAAGCCGACTTCGTTCAATTTCAACCAGTCAAGACTCCTGTGGAAGTACCGACAGCTCCCTACCGGTGTGGGCAAGACAACGCCGCCGGTGTAAATGGCCTGGTAAATACCCTCCAGATAACAGCGGCGCGTGACTTCTTTGATGAGCACCGGGGCCAGTCTTCTCGATCGCAGCTTCTTATGGACGCACATGAAATTGATTTCCACCACATCGAGGACATTTTGCCGTATACGCAACTTGATCGGGATGCCGAAGATGGTTGCTACCAGAAGTCGACTTGGCCCTTTTGCCCTAACACCGACGTGCCAACTCTTCTTCCAATCAGGCGACTTCAGCGCCCAATCCAGAAAGACGGCGGAATAATTGAAACGAAACATGGCATGGTCGTCCTCGACATAGTGTAAGGAAAGAAGCTTGTAGACCTCTTTGATCTCCTCGTCGTTGGTCAAGTCTAGTTCCACCCATTCATAGCCTTCGGGGAGAGGGGCGGCAGTCTTTGGAACTTGTTCCCGAATAACTTCTTTGATCGGGCCATCTGGCTTGTCCGCCTCTGCCTTCTCGTCAAAGCGTGGCACTGGCTGAGTCGCCCAGAACTTGTACGAGGCCATATCCTTTTGATTCTTTCCCGTTAATGATAACCCACTCAGGAGTTGTGAGACGTCCATCTTCTTGAGCAACTCGTTCGCTTTCTCAGTAGAGAGACCCGACAGTTCGCCTTTAAGGGAAGGGTTCATGTCAAGGAGAGTCTTTAGCGAATCGTTGGACAAGTTTGCGGCGGGCTTGGAGGGGTCTGCAGGCTCTTCAGAAGACTTGTTGCTGGTGATTGCAGAGACGAGTTTGGATTTCTTGGACTTCTTCTTTTTCTTTTTGGGCTTCCCCGAGCTTGTGCTCGTGGCATCTTGTGTGGATTCTGCAGCTTCGTCCTGGTGTTGTTCTTCGGCATCGGACTCAGATTCCAGTTGTTCTTCGAGCGGAGCGCCCACTGGGTGAGATTCGGCCATTGTAGAGATTGCCAAACTGGAATCGGGGATGGTAGACTGCGTCGAGGTGTGGCACGATAGAGTCAGGCCAGAGCAAGGCCGTGCAGAGAGCGGAGACGGTCGAAGGACTCTGGAATCTCTGCACGAGCGAGACTGCCAGGCACACGAACATGCGAACTCCGCAGTTGCCAACTCTCGTCTTGCCCGATGTGGCTTGGCGCGTGGTGGGGAATCTTCCTCAGCCTTGCGGTCATGGTATGTAGTACGAGCGGTGGCCTTAACATGGGAGAATAGGGCCTTGGTTCGATCATAGATAATCCTTAGTGTAGACTGTTCAAGTTGACTCGAGAAAAAGGGACCCTCTCGTCCATACTGAGCACAGAGTAGTCCGGACACAATGGCCATCATACAGTAGACTGCGCTCTTACCGTCCAAATTGTTCACCTTGGAAGGTTTAGGAGGCTCCCATAGTACTGGGTTCAGGGTATGTAACACTCCATATGTACTGGGTAGTAGCCCCCCTGCAGTCCCTTGATTTTGAGAATTGCCTACCTAGGCCGTTTTAATCAGGGCACCGATGGGCACCGCTGGGCACCGATAAGCAGTTCCGGGTTTTAACCCCTCCAATCCCCCCTCCAGGTTTCGCTCCCCTCCCTCTCCCCCAATACGGGTCGCCTATTTTTGCCCACCAGCTTGCCCAGTTTTGGCTCACCAGGCCTTGTACCCAGTAACCCCCTCAATTGTCCCGCCTGCCCGCCTGTCCGCCCGCACCCTCCTCGCCTCCCTCAATGCTGCCCAATCCTCTTCCCTTCCCCAGATTCTCAGTCTTTCCCAAAACTCGGATCTCCCATCTCCCACATTGAACTCCCATACACCAATACCAGATCAACATCATGGCAGATTCATTGCCGGCGACCTCAACCTCATTTTATCCGCTGCCCACCGAGCCAGATCTTACAGAGGCCACACAACCTTCTGGCTCTGCATCTATACATCTTTCTGCAGCATGGATTCCTCCCTCGCAGCAACTCGTTGTGCTCTCCTCCATAACCCTCGTAGCAACTCCCTCAACCTTGCCTTCGAATTCGGAAGCCGACCAGCAGCGTTCGGGAACCCCAGGAGAATCCACGCAAAATGAACAAACAGAACAACCGCAGCAACCAGTCATGCACCCCAGGCCATCTCAACCCGAATCCCACGATCCCTTCTTCATCCCCGAATCTATCCTCCTTGACAGTCCCGTTTCTGCACAGACCGAGAGTAAATTCCTCCAGCTTCCGCCCGAGCTCCTCACCGACATCTTGAAAAAGGTCAAAATCCCTTACTTCCAAGTATCCCTGGCCCTGACCTGCAAAACCATGGCGCGCATCGCCGCCCAAAAGAACGTGCTCTCCCCGTGGCGCGGCTACCGTGACAAGGACGGCCTCTACCGCCTTCTCGAGCGGAAAAACAATTTCATACCGCCACACATGAGGCTATGTCGTGCATGTTTCAAGTTTCTGCCCAGTACTGCGGGAGAGTATTGGAACAAGCAGATGTCAGCCGAGGAGTTTGATAAACCGAGTGTCAACTGGTACGATGTCTTGATGTGGTTCTATGCAGAATCGGGCTTTCAGTATCGGTGTCCCTGGTGTTGTGCATTCGACTATTCGGGCTACGCGAGTGAAGGATTTTACAACAAACAGAGGGCAAAAGAAGTGCTCGAGGACCATGAACTCATGCATCCGGAGCTGAACAGGAGGATGGATAGGCCGTGACACCGGGCATGCATATCTGTGCATCGAGCCATGTACCGGGCGAACTCCACATGAAACCGCTTGCCATTGCAAAACCCGGCATTGAAAGCCGGACAAAACACTGAAATCGAAAGCAAGGATACCCAAACCTTCCCTCAGAAAAAGCTCTATTTGGAGTTTCCTCTCCCCAACAGAAGGTAAATCCACGGCCAGCTCACCCTCCGCCTGCAGTCTTGGGAACCAAAATCCACCCCGGGCTCACCTTCCTCAGCTCACCTTTACCGACGCTACTTCAAAATCCTGCATCATATTCAAAATGCCCCGTCAATCTTTCCGGCTCAGACAGGGTCGCACACTCCATCAAGCAACACGTTTGACCCAGAATATCATCTCCCAAATCGGTACTTTCCAGCCAATGACGCGTAAGACACATCACTCAGCTTGGATCGTGAAGCCGTTAACAGGTCTATAGGTTCGCTCTGGGGTGATAGAGACACCACTTCTACCTCTCTCAGGGCATCTTTCGAAGACAACGTCAACCGTTTTCACTCGGGTTTAACGATGATAAAATCAGAGTTAACAGCGACGAAATCAGAGATGACGGCGACGAAATCGGACATGACAACCCTCAAGTCTGACATGACATAGCTGAAATCTGACATGGCACTGCTCAAATCTGATGTGACACACCTTCGATCAGAGATGAAACACCTCGATCAAAACCTCAACACGCAGATGAAAAGCTTCACCAAAACCGTCTCTGCACAAATCACCGCCCTCAACACAAGCGTGGAGTCGAGATTTGTCGAATTTGAGAATCGATTTTGGTTTCGAATACTCTTCGCCGTAAGCAGTCTTCGTATTTGCTATTCTATTTTCTAACAATTACGAAGGTATTTGGTGCAGTGGTTGTTGGAGTGAGCGGTACCGCGACTGTTGCGATCCTTAGCTAGAATCCTGCCGTCCGGACGGCGCGGGCTCCTGAAGCTAAACAGGGTTGGAGCAAGAGAGGTGGGCTACCATGACGTTCAAGGGGTGTGGATGTAATAGTCTTCTGAGCTGGAACGAGAGGAGGGGAAAGAGATGCAGACAGAGCGCGAGAGACACTACTAATCCTTAGTCTTCGTCTTCGACTGGTCTCTTCCTCGTGCTTTTCTTGGTCACCTTTGATGGTGGTTTCGTCGTGGGAGTCTGGGGTTTGGTCTTGGCCTTCGTCTTCGCTTTGAACTTGGACTTCGAATTTGACGAGCGTTTAGACGGGGCTTCGTCTCCGGCAAACTCTCCGTCGTCGTCTTCGTCATCAACGTGACCGCCCACAGATGGACCGGGTCTGGAGGCAGGGTGGTCTTCTGCGTCAGGCTGGTTTTCACCATCTTCAATACCTTGGATCTCGCCGAGCCCGTCAAGGATTTCCACATCAGGTCCATTTTCATCCTCATCCTCGTCCTCGTCCTCTTCCGCTTCATCCTCCACTCGTCTCTTCCTCCGTTTCTCCGCTTCCCCTCTGAGCCTTTTATACGCATTCCTCATCCGGCCCGATTCCTTGCCTGTGCGATTTCTAGGTGCCATCGCCTCCACTTGCGCCTGGGCCTGGCCAATCCCCTCACCACCCACAGCAAGTGCTCTGCTGCTACCGATCCCTGGGTTCCCGTTGATACCCCTTCCACCCACACCGACTGTTCCAGAGAAAAAGCGCGTAATGTTGCTCTGCGTTCCCTCCACCTCCCGTCGATTGATATCGCGAATCACCGGGACCAAGACCTCATCGGTCCTTTCCTGCGACCACCCGATCGTCGCCATCAGGAAGCCTCGTAGCTTGTCCAAATCCGGCACACCCCATTGAAACTGCTCCGGATTCGAATCCACCTCTGGATTCAGGTACGCTTCGTCGACCCTCAGGTCGGGGAACCCCGAGGGCAAGAGGAGACGTTTCTGTACCGTTTTCCGAAATTTCCTCCGGAAGGGCGTGGTCAGTTGATTTTCTACATCCTGCGGTCTGCCAAGTTGGACTCTCTCACACCACGCCTTGAACTCCACTAAATCCCTAAAATCGGTGAGAATCTCCAGCGCTGTGACAGGTCCCACCCCCGGAATCCCCTCGGTGTAATCACTGCCCAACAAATGTGCGAACCTGATCAGTCTCTTTCGATCCAGCAGGAATTCCTTCTCAAGGTCTGAGGAGAGATAGCACTCGACGTACTTCGCTGCGCTGAACATGTTCTTGTATATCCTGGTCCCTCCGAAGAGGAAGATGTCCGAGTCGTCTGTGACGATCCCATCCACCAGACCCAGGCGGACAAGTTCAGCGCATTGCGCTTCGGCTTCCATGGGGGCGGTGATGTATGGTAGACCGAACAGTCTCAACAATGCCTGACATTCTTGGATCATCGTCTGTGTGACCTCGTCCGCGTCTCGGCGGTCCCGTTTCTGCTGGGAACGCAAGGCTTTGAGCTCGGCATCGAAGTCGCGCATGGCTTCTTCAGCCGAGGGGGCTTTCGCATTGTTGAGGGCGGACGTGAAGCGGGAGTGTTCTTCGGCTTCCTCAGCTAGTTGACGCATGAGTTCTTCCTCTGAAGCAGAGAGGTAGTCGAATTCTTCTTCTTCGACTGGGGCTACTTCTGGAACGTCCATGATGCTGGATTCTCCGGCGGGTTCGCTGCGAAGGCCTGGAAGCCGTGTTGCAGTAAGATGACTAGGAGAGACGACGGTCGTGTTTTGGCCTGGGATTGGTGCGACCGCGGGCTCCATGTCCACATCTTCAAAATCTTCGCTCTCATCCTCCGCAGCTCCTGCTTCACGCTGAGGCTGGGGAGACTGATCTTCAATGGTACCGAGCGATCCTGGGCTTGTTGGTTGTACAGGTTGTTCATGGTCCGACTCACTCCATTCGACTTCTTCAAAATCGCTCTCTTCGGCAGCGACGTTTTTGGCGGCAGCAGGTTTGGGCCGATACTGAGGGGCAGCAGGCGTTTGAGGAGGTTGCGCCAGTGACGCTTCCGCCATTTCACCCATCGTCAGTTGTTTTTCTTCCTCAAATTGGTTCTCAGCTGCAATTTGTCGTGCCATCTCGTATCGTTTCTCGCGCTCTTCGTCTCGTTGTCTTTTTTCTGCATCTTCGAAGTCTTGAATCTCAGTAGGTTCAAAGTGGCTAGGTGAGATAGGCTCATCGGCAGCTTCCGGAGATGCTGGATTTATCAACTGCTCCTCCTCCTCCTCGTCGTCCAGATCAATTGGACGTTGACTCCTACCTTGCTCATCCTCAGCCTCGAGGGCGACCACCTCTTTGGCATCGTGGCGCCGAATTGTATTCCATCGACCGGCATCTTCTCCATGCGCGACATGGAAGTCATCTGCAGCAGTAGTCTTGGATCTCATATCCTTGACATTCGGAGTAGCATTGAACCATTCAGGCATCGGCTGAGGAGGCCTCTCCCTGCGAAAAGCATCTTCCCCAAGATCTCGATCGAACCCACCTGATAGATCTTCTTCAATCTTTTTAGATTTCTTCTTCCCCAGCAACGACTGTCCGAGGTTGAGGGACTCAAAGGGCAAGGGGCCATCAAATTTTGTCGTGGCAGTGGTTATCACCCTGGATGACGTTGGACTTCTGTCTCCGACGTTCGTTCTTGGTTTGACTTTGGTTCGTCTTGACTCTGCGAGGGCGGCTTGCAGGTCGAAGCCATCTTCTTCCCCGGACTCGAGCGTAGGTCCCTCTGAAGCTGCGCCGGCGACCCATCCATCACCCCGTTGGTCGTCATCGGTGGGCCGCTCTAAAGACATTGCTATGGCGCGTTGCAGGTCCTCGTCATCTTCGGGCTCAGGGGACAAAGGGAGTACATCTTCAAACAAATCGTCCTCGTCCTCAGCCCCCGTTTTGTCTTCCGGGACAAAAAGTGATTCTTCAGCCGTCTCCAGAGTGGTGCTCTGAACGGTTGGAGGAGGAACAGCCCGTACGACCTTGGGAGCAGTGTCAGTAGTGTTCGTGGCAGCCCTCCTTGCCTCATAGACGGCTTTCCTTTTTCTCGCAATCTCTTCTGCCACCTCTTCGTATGACATGTCATAATCCACGCCAGCCTTCCTCTTCCGCGCCCATGTCTTTGGAAGCCGATTGAGGCCTTCGATCGCGACATCTTCAAATTCTTCTTGATCCGAGTCGGCGCTGAAATCCACATCTGACTTTCCCTCATCATCCAGATCGATCGCATCCTCTTTTTTGGCGCCCTGTCTATTCGACACCACACCCAGAGCCCATCCGCCTTCCACCCCTTCATTCTTCACCAAAATATACTCCTTTCCCTTCTCGCCAGCAATCCTGCCACCGCCTTCCCTCAAAAAGTCTCCCTCCACCATGCCGTTCAAGTGCATAAGTCGTTGCGTCAACTCATTTCTCTCCTTGACCCTCTCAATCTGGAACTTGGAGAACGCCATACGATCGGGAAACATTCCATCGAGCTGTTCCTTGGAGTAACCCATCCTCAATCTCGACCTCAACCTCGCTGCGTTGAGGATGTTATACCTGTCTCCAGCCGGTAGCGACAGAAAGAAGGGGCTCTCGAAATCGATCTTGCTGAAATCGTAGAGATTGATGTCCTCACCCGAATGAAATTGCCGCGCATACTCTTCCAACTCGGCTTGAGACATGATTCTTGGATCGTTCGGCGCACCCATCTCCGCGATACTCCCCTCCAAATCCGGCAGATGATACTGATCTTTTTTCCTGAATTTTTCACCTCGGCCGGCTGCCCGTTCTTGTTTTGTCATGCCCAGCTCCTCAACGTACACCAGCTCTTGATCTGGAGGCAACTCCTCCTCCGGTGTCCTCTGCCGCTCCGCCCTTCTCCTCCTCTCTTCTTCCTCAGCGGCCCTCGCAACCTGCACGGCGAGCAACTTCCCCGCAGTCCTCGCCGCATCCTCTCGTCTCCCTTCCCGTCTCCTCTTCCTCTTCCGAATCGTCTCTCTCTTCAAGACCGGCGCCCCACCATCGAACACAAACACAGGTTTAATGCCAAAGTAGAGCAGTTTACATATGCGCCGGAAGAAGCCAACGACGTGGCTGTTGCGTAGAGCATTGCCCTCTTTGTCTCGGACGGCCTTGAGAAACTGGTAAATCCAGATGGAGGCGTCGACGGCGAGACGTTTGCGGTTGAGCGAGGCGAGTTGGGTTGGACGGGCGGTGGGGGCAACGACGGTCCACAGGCCGGTGACACCCATGGTAAATTGCGGAGGTCAAGAGACAGGCCGGTTGAGACTGCGCATCAGTGACTCCCGCTCTGAACACTCAGCCGTTTGGAGGAATTTGAGGGGGTTGTCTATTTGCCACCATTGTTGCGAAGTTTGAGAGGTGGATATGATGCAGAATCGGAAATGTCACTTACAAAATGACGATGTATGGAGTCCCTGCGCTGCGAGCCGGCTCAGTCACGCGACAATGACGCGAACTCACATGCCCGAGCCCCTCACCGACGATACAGGCAGATATCTCAGTACAAGCAGGCAAAGTCCAGCGGGACTGAGTACCCACGATCATATTTTGCTACATTCTGCTGCCAATCAAGTTCCATTCTACCAAATTCCCGCCCTTTGCAGCAAAACAGGCTGCTTCCCAGCGATACATGCTTGACGCCGTGCTAGACCATCAGGGGCTGCAAAATCAGCCCATAGACATGTGAATAAATAACAAAAACACCCAGGTACAAACGGAAAGAATCGAAAGCTAATAGCAATTTAATTCATCCCCTCCTTGGCATTCTCACTCGAGCCCGAAGGACCAACAAGCGTGGGGGCAATCCGACGTCTCTTCGACTTGCTTTCCTCCTTTTCACTTTCGCTTGTTGCCCCGTCTCTCTTGCCCAAGACCGAACCACTAATCGAGCTTGTTGCAGAGTGGTGGCCACCATGAATACTTGCAGGTGTCTGGGGGGGCGTCGTCATGGGTGGAATAGCTATCGGAGGTCCAGAGTTGGTGGCGGTTACCAGGGGTACATGCCCCATGGTGGGAGTAGCATTATTGGGAAGGCCTGAGGTTTGGATAGACGTCATTGTAGCTATCGATGACTGTGAGTTGGATCTCGTTGGACTTCCGGGACGAAGAATAAACGGTGCCGGTGAAGGGTGTGATGGTGGTACAGGAACAGGAGATGCTTTTGTGAGCGAAGGAGATGCGGTAGCCGTAGGTGTCGGAACTGGTGTTGAGTTTGCAGAAGAAGTTGGCAAAGGAATCGAGGTTGTAACAACCGGATGGTTGTACGTCGGATGGGGCCCTGTGTATACTTGCCCCAATTCACCGGGTGCGAACGCCAAAGTCGAGCAAAAGCCATCCGTAGAGGACATTAGTAGTGTCAGGCCGTCGTTTGACCTACGTGAACTTGTCAGCAGCATTCATGGGCCGAGATGTTCTGGACTTACCAAGTCAAATCTGAGAATGTGGCGTAATGAAGGTTGCTCACAACACAAATAGGTGTTGTCTGCTGCGTATCGTAGACAAACACCGCATCCTGCGTTGCTACGGCATAGATCATCCGATAGGGCAGGGAGAAGGCTGGAGTCGGCGCTGGGCTGGCAGGCTCGCCGTCGGTCGACGGCTTCGGTGAAGGAGCGGACATGGAGTCGGGACCAGGAGTTGTGGCTGACAAAGGGGGAGGCTCCATCACCGTCGTAGGAGTCTGTGGGACTATGGGATCTGGTAAGAGCGGTATCTCTTCGCTTGCTGACGACGTATCGATAGTGATATGGTTTGTTGGTTTCGTGGTGGACCGCAAGGTATACAGAATAGGGGAGCATTTGACGGCCACGGATGGCTTTTTGTGCCCTGGAAGGTGCGCCACTGGTGGCTTATTGAAGCCAGCCCGGGTGTAGATGTAGACGGTATTTGTGATGTCGTCTGTAGTCTTGATCGGATCGGACGCGGTTGGAAAACTGGTCTTATAGTGTCCGGCAGGTGTAAACAACAGGCTGCCGTCCGGTGAGAACGTGAGACGACGGAAGAAGGAGGTCATGGTTTCATTATGATAGAGATTCGTGTTCTTGACGGCCAGACCCATTGCGGCATTGAGGCTTGGAGACGAGATTTCTGGTCTGACAGCTGGCAGCGGTAATGAAGGCGCCGGCGAAGCAGATCGTCGGAACGATGGTGACGAGCCGAAAGATGATCGCCGGCTCGAGGTCAGGAGGGGAGGATCCATCGGTAGAGGTGTGGTTAAAGGGGTTCCGGGATTTGAAGGGGCAGGGGAGGCGATGGCAAGATTGGTGGCACTTGAATTCGAGGCACGGTTCGTCATCTCAGCCGGAGCTGGACTGTTGGACGATATCCGTCGCCCGGGGAGATCCATCTTGTTGAACTTCCCATGCGTCGAAAGCGTGGGTGTGCCATCTTTGAGCTTGAGGGCATAGATGTGGACCGACCGATCCGATGATTGAGTCGCAACGAACTCATTGAGAGGGTCCCAAGCCACACCTTGTACGAAATGGCTATGTTCTGCTATTTGGCGGATCATGGTCCCTGGGACAACGTTAGCCATGTGATATTTGTGAGGGTGTCTTTTTCACATACCAGTATGAGCATTAAAGATCCTTGCCGTGTTGTCAACGCCGCCTGTGATGAAATATTGACCGTCTGGAGACCAGGCCAGATCATATATTTCTGCTCCAGTCGACGTCCTGCACATGTGTTTGATCCTCCATGTTTCCTTATCATCGGCATGTTCATCGGTCAAGGTGGCCATGGACGATTCAGAGGGTACCCAAAGGAGGACGTTGCCATCATCACCGGCTGAAGCCAGCATCTCGCCTGCCTCCTCGTCAGCAACCAGTGCCCAACCCTACTTTGCCTACTTTGGAAGACTAACCTTTGGGGCAAAATCGGACGACATTGACGGGTTGAGTGTGTCTGGTGAGGGTGGATAGGTATGTGACTTTTCTCTCTTCGCCTTGAGCTTCAATGCTCCATAACTTTTTTCCCTCCCACATCAGCGACTTGAATCAATGAAAATTAGCGAAGGGAGGAATAGGTCGTACCCGAACATTGTTATCACTGTTTTTGTTAGCAAACATGCGGGCCATTGTTGCAATTGAGAGAACTCACTTTCCAGCCGTAGCTAGCCTCCCTTTGCCATGGGGATCGAAATGGACCGAATAGATCGGCTGGCTCTCATGGTGCCACTGGATGAGAAGCGGTCCGGCTTTCATGACGGCATTGGAGATTGGCCTCGAAGGCCACTTTATGGGGGATCAAAATGGCAGATTGAGATTGTGAAATCTGAGTCGTAGAAATATGCACCGGATCCTGTTGCCGCTGCTGTAGAAGGAAAGTAAGATGCGGTGGGTGGACGGCAGGCGGCAGCGGAGCTTTCGTTTGCGTTCTCTGGAGCGGAGATCGACAACGGGCGCACGGTACAGTGAGCTTGCTGAGTCAAAGCATGCAGTGAGGCGGAGGAGAGGTCTCTTTTGCCATAATGCGGTGTCGGAACAGAGGTCGAAACCAGGGCTACTGGAGTCTGGTGGTGCTGATACTCTGAGCAGCAATGGCGCAGTGCAGTTGAACTACTCGCTAGCAGTGGTACAGCCAAAGACGGGGCGGCATGTCTCGTTGTGGAGGGTTGCCAATGTGCTCCGCAGCCAGATTGGAATTGGGCGGCCGCTCAGGTGGAGCAAAGGGCGAGAGCCCTGTCTGGTGAGTCTCTACGCTGTCCTGCCTTGTTGATAGGCTTGTGGTTTGCTGCCATTGATGTTCCTGCTCCTCCCACACAAAACCTGAAAGTTTGACGCGGTCGTGCCTCTTACCATCCACGTCCTCAGGCCTGGCGCGTCTGGCCACATACAACCCGGCAAGCCGGCCACTTCGACCTGGAGGCCAATCCTGAAAGTGAGCAGCATCCTTTCAATGTGAAACAATTCAATTCCAGTGGGATTGGAGAAATTCTATTGCGTCCCCCGTAGCGTTAGGTCATCACTGGACGTAGACTTCTTGCTTCCTAAAGCTCCAAATATCAGCTGCTTGTCTTTCTCTGGGTCCATGCCCTCCAGTTTAATCCGGCCCTTCAGGCCTCAGTAATACATTCCCAGCAAGACGGCAAAATCTCTGCTCCTCTAGTTCGACTCGACTCGCGTCGATCGAAATCCAAATACCGGGAGGAAAACCGATTCGCTTTTCCGAAGAGGTAGCTTCCTAGAGCTCCCTGTGTCTCTCTGTGCGTTGGAACAATCCGTTTGCGCCAACCGACGCCTATTGAACTAGAATCAATCGAAATAGCACCAGGCCGACAGGGCAAAGTCGGGAGATCTTGCACCCAACCACGCCCTGTTCATCCACCCGGTTTTTGCCCTATTTTCTGTGTAGGGTGTGACCTGCAAGGCTGACGTTGCCGGAAATCCGGCTCATGGCAAGCGCAAGAACGATTGGGAATGATTTCTTTCTTTTCGGTTCGGGGCCTCCTAAAAGCTCTGAGCGGACACTTGTGCTGGCTAAGAGATTTATTAGCCCTCATTCTAATTTGGAAACAAAACTTGAACACATACCGGACTGTTGAGCATATTCTGGCGAGCGTTTCGGCCCTTCTTGATATGGCTCTTCAGAGCACTCGAATCTAGGGGCTTCAGCAACTCAAAACTGCACAATAAATTACTGGACACCGACATCACTGCCCCCCAATTGTCGAACTCGCCGCAATACTAGGCACATGGTTAGCGATATTTTCTCGATCAATTTGGCACACTTACGTTGGGTGCAGAAAAGACCGTGACCAGCAACCGGTCATTGAAGAATTCGTATCCATCCTCAACAACCATATGAGCCCGACAAACCAGGTCGAAATCATGCCGCGCAAGAAAGTCGACAATCACCTTTTTCCCAAAGCAGTAGCTCACTCCCCGTTCGTTTGACTCCCAATCTTGATCCATATCGGCCGGATCGCTCCACAATAGATCGTTCAGCAGCCCATAATCAGGAACGTCTGTTGGTCGAGCAATCTGTCGGATGTCGTCCATATGGGACAGCGACGGGGATAGCCCGCCATGGACACAGAAGATCTTGTCCGCCACAATCGCAGCAATGGGTAGACAATTGAAAGTATCAATGAATGTTTTCCAGATCTTGATGTTGCACCTTCGCTTGCACTCGTCATAGAAACCGTAAACGCGAGTGACGTTAGCACACTCATGATTACCGCGAAGGATGAAGAAGTTTTCCGGATATTTGAGCTTGTAGCAGAACAAGAGTAGAATTGTCTCGAGAGACTGTTTCCCCCGATCGACGTAATCGCCCAGGAAAAGATAGTTCGCATTGGGGGGAAAGCCGCACATTTCGAAAAGTCGGATCAGATCATTGTACTGCCCGTGAATATCCCCCACGATTTTGACCGGTGCAGTGAGCTCCAACAGCGCTGGTTGAGATAGCAACACTTCTCGAACGGCGGTACAAATTGCCGTGATTTCGGCGTTCTTGAGGCAGACAGCCTTTGTCACCTTGGTGGTATACCCAGCATCCAGGAGACGGGAAATCATGTCGTCCAGGTCCATGTCATTCACTTCACTCATGCCCATACCACCTCCTGGAGAAGCACCTGGCAGCTCTGCCAGCTTGGCCCGCAATGAGGCCTTGGTCTCCGGAGCTCGCGGGTTGATCTGATTCTCCCGCTTAACCAAGATAGAATCACCCGCCTTTTGTGTGGAAGAGTGGACATGGGCCTGGTGAGGAGCTTCCTCAGACACCGCTCCTACCTCCCCAGTCCTCTGAGCACGATCTACCGATTTGTGACCTTTACCCACGGACTTGGACTGGGTTGGGGACGGAGGCCTGGCAGGCGTATTGGCACCTGGTGATGGAGCTTCGTCCTCGTCGGGAGGCGACGTGGGAGACTCTACCAGCGGATTGTTTGTGATTTTCTCTCTGGGCGGCCGAGAGGAAGCCGAACGGCCACTCGCAATCGAACTAGCGTCAGCCCTGTCGTTATTTGGGCCGTCTGACCCCGCAAGAGTTGACCCTGAGGCCCTGGGGCTGTCGTTGGTCTTGTCATCTCCCGAGCTCTTTATCTTGCTTCGAATGGAAGACCGAATGGACCTCGAGGCACTCTCTCTGGTGTCGGATTTGGATATGGAGGGATACTGCTGTAGAGTTTCCGGAAGATTGGAGGAGGAGCCGCTCTTTAGTGGGGTTCTGGTACCATCGCTGCTTTTTGACTGTTGTTGGCCCATTGAATTCTCGGCCTGGCAGATAATATGGCAGGTCGCAGAGAAATGGTCGGAGAGCGAAACGAGCGGGTCAAGGAGGTTTGAGGAGTGAGATAAGCAGCCGCTTTGAGGAATGCGTTTTGGCGACTTTAATCGAGGGCAGTCTGAAAGGAGCACACTGGAAGTATGCTCAGGTAAAATCCACCTTCAGATATGGGGGCGCGATGTCGCTGGATCGGCCGGCTTCGTGCGATGGGATGGTAGGGATAGGTGACAAGCAGCGCCTGTGCATGGGGGTGTATTTGTGCGACGGGTTCCTTCGTCTCGCCTGCAGCAGAGAGAGGGTCAGCGGTCAGCAAAATCGTCCAGCAGTAGGTTGGAGGTCAAGCAAGCTAAACAAGAGCGATTATTTGCAAACGATGGAAATGTCGCATGGGGCGTGGATGGTGAAACACGTTGCGTCACCGTGCGGAAGGGCTGGATAGGAACTGACCTGCTGGAAAGGCGACGGGTGCGGACGGACTCAGACAGCAGAATTAAACCAAGTAGCACATAGATTGTAGCATCTAAGATATGGTGGAGGTGCGACGGTGAGGTGAGGACAGTATGTAGGTAATCGAGGGTTGATAAATAAAATGGGTGTTAGAATTCGTGGAGGGAGCAGCGTCAAGGCCCGAAAGCGCAGGCAGGCTTGTGTAGGCGGCTAGTGGGCTTAGTTTGGCCCTGGCGTCCTCTGGTTGGCCACCCACTCGGCCATATCGGCTTCGCGGCTGGCGGCCCAGAACATTCTGTTACTTAACTTCTACAAGTAAACCCCTAACTCCCAGTCACCACGCTTAGATCCCCAGGGAGCCAGATGAGGCAAATGAGGTCACTCTGCCCCCATACGGAGTGCTAATACTAATATCTGACAAGCTGGCTTGCTGGGTGCTACTCCGTACAAGTGCTATCAACTGCTGGTGTTTCGGCCCCGAGTTCTTGGTAGTACGAGGACAATGACGGAGTAAGCAGACACAGTCAACCCCTCCGGAAGGCCTTGGCACACGCCGGCAGTCTCGATGTGCTTCTCCTTGTTCCCTCCTGCCTTGGCCGCTGCGTGAGCTCAACCCTGCTCTCACTAATAGAAGAGTATAGCTGTTAAAGCCAATCCTGTCTCCAAGCAAATGCTGTTGCTCCAAGACTCGTTCATTCACTTCTTGCAGTGCGTGAAGTCGTGGCCTCGAGGATATCGCCCTATGCTGTCTCCTGTTTGCCTCCAATTTCCCTGTTGTCATCTGGCGTAGATCCAATCTTATTGCGTCTTCCAAGTCATTCGTAAGTTCCACGATATCGTAAGTTCCACGACATTCTCTTGCCGCTGGGAAGAGGCCATCTTAGGTCGAACGGCACTCGAAAGCATTCTTGACGAGGACTGCAAGGTTGATCGTCAACCCTGAACTTCCCATCCGTTCATGATTTCGTGCGGATCGATAGCGACTGATTCCTGGGCCATTCTCTCTTCTCCTCGACTTCCACCTTTGCAATCTGCTTGCCTGGAATGACTATGAGGCCCACAAATCGCGACGTCATGTCTACTCTGCTGGACTGTCCGGTGGTCTTCAATTTCTCGATTGCGACTTTTGCTGCAGCTTTGGATGGCATCCTGTACTCGAACGAGTTTGAAAGGATGATATTGCTATCGCCGTCGGTACATCGAAATAATCCTGAAAATATTCGCCCGTCTAGGACTGTGACATTGAGGGTCTTTCCAAGCAGAGATTCGAGGAACAGGGTAGCCTCGGCCTCTTCCATATTAGAGACAATCAGACTTTGATAGAAAGAACCCTGAGGATTGCTTTTCAGTAGCCTGTTGTGACATGTGCTGTTTCCGCGAGTGAGCTGGTCGGAGAGAGAGGCGTTGAGATGTGGAAGATGCAGCCTTAGTTCATTTCTATGAAAAGTCAAGAGGCTCAGCCTTGCAGGCGGGCTTGGCAACACATGACCCAGAGCTGGCCGCTTTTTAAAACCGACCACCGCGTGTTTGGGGATGCGAGGATGAAAACTACCAGCATAGCAAGCTTTTGATCGATATAAGGGTGAGCCAGAACGTGATCTGGAAGTCTCTAGACCTAAAAGGGGAACATTATGAAAAGGAACGCTGGCACTTGGGGCGCCATGAGGGATCAAATTGACTAGGCATCGTATCCAAGTTGTGATCCGAGAACGCTGTCAAGGCCTGGCGGACATCGCTAGGCACTGCCATAGGACATCCAGGAGGCAAACATCGCCGTCTAACACAGATTGGATGTCCCGACATAGTTTTAATCACTGACCAGCGCGTTTGCGTTTAGGTTTGGTGGTGGGCGAGAACCACCTTTCAGCAAATCATGCTCCCGGGCAATTCCACGGCCCTAGGAGGCAGATATCGCGCGTCAAACCGCGAAGCCAGTGAGGCTGGCAAAGAATGAAAAAGTATCTCGGAACGCAGTCCACTTTGCCATCAGACTGCGTGAGTCTGATTCCAGTCCTGCAGCCATATCTTCACAGCCTCGATCTCTTTGTTTTGGGCGCCGTGCACTGCCGCTGGCATCTTGTAGTCTGTTTCGTTGGGCAGCAGTCCCGGGAGGTCCTATTCGTGGCACCCGCCCTCGATCACGATTTCCGGGTCGCTACCCGTGTCATTACTCTTTGCACGCGGGTTAGGGCTTTGATTCTCCAGGAACTCTGCCAGTGGCGTCAGTGGTCGATAGTAATCGAGCTGGCCAGTCGAGAGGGCCAGGCGAGGATAGGACAGCCGGAACCCGCCGTATTTATTAAACAGCTCAAGCTGTGGATTGTACGTGATGGTATAGGTAGTGTGACACTGGCTGAGAAAGTAATCTAGCGACAGTGTGCGGGAGACCAAGGGCAGGGTATCAGGGCGGTCCGGTGTGCCAGGGGTGTATCCTGTTGCAAAAGAGCCATATTCTGTGCGTTCGCGCTACTGATAAGGGCTAGCAGTGCTTAAGGACAGGCACTAGGCCACCGTTTGTCCCGAACAGAAGCTATATTGAATTTGCACGTAGAGGAACAGATTCAGGAGCGGATAGGAGAGGTCTGTGGCATTAGGGGTTGTAGTCTTGTTGGCATACGTAACCGAGGAATGTGCCATTGTCTGAAGAGCCGTGTCAGCCACAGTTACGTTGGTCTGAGAAGTGATGAAGTCGCAGTAGGAACCATGACCTATGCGAGCGAGAGTCTGGTCAGCGCTTGCATCCGAGGAATAGAGGTTGTGATGATTGACACAATGCTTACGATCCAGAGGAGACGGTTGTGAATTCCAAGATTGGTCCCAAGACCCCAAAGGGCCTGTAAGGAAATATGCTAGATCAGGATATTCCGTGGCATCCGAAACATTGAAGCCAGCGTAGAGCTCAGACATCGCAGTCTTGTTGCCACTGGCATAAATATTGTCCATTAAATTTGTTAATTCTTGCTGTTTCTTGACACACGCCGATGGTCCATATTGCCGTATCACATCATAAAATTGCCAGTCATCATCGATGGGGACGGTAATCCCAGAAGAGGACAGCCCGCCCCAAAAGAGGTCAGGATATTGAACACGGGTGAAGGCCGATATAATTCCACCGTACGACCCGCTCAGTATGATCCAAGGGGTCGTAGGGGCGGTAAGGTTTCGATCCCCGAGCCCGGGGAAGCTTACTCTTTGGGCAAAGTATGCGAGGTCGGCCATCGCCTGCTCGGTACTATGAAAGCGAAGGTTTTCGGTGGTATACTGGGAACTGGGAACAATGGCGCCGCCACTGTAGTACCTATGTCGAGATTAGCTCACTATCTAGCATCCAGCACTGGACTCGTTATCCACCTTTGGCCCCATAGGACCGCAACTCCTCCAGTGGCATTGGCGATGTCATGGAGAAGGCCCTTTTGAAGCCATTGAAAGTCATATGAAGGCGAATCCTCGCCGATAGCATGGATAATGACTGGGCCTCCAGGGACATAGTTGCTGGTATCCAGCCAGTAGAACTGTTCAAATGTTGCGTTGGTATGAGGTTCGTATCGAGATTCATTATGAAAGTGATCAACCGGCATGGTGAAATTTTGGGTGCTGCCCAGCATTAGGACCATGTGTCATTGAACTTCAGGTCGAGACCAAAGGTGGGCAGTTGAAAGGATCGCGGTAGGGAAAAAAAAAAAGAGACAGACTGGGATCGAAACCGGGATATACTGACGGGTAAACACCTCCCTGCGACTGTCTTCTCGTAACAGGCATGTTTGCGTCCACCGACACCCTGCATACTCTTTCAGCTTTCACTTGTTGCCAAATTGGGATGCAACAGGACTTACGCTGCCACCGCAAGGTAGAGGAGTCGTATCAACATTGCTAAAATGGTGGCCATCTTGTGAGTAGAGCTGTCGGGGGAGCAGCTGCGCCGGTGGCAAGTACCAAGGGTCAATTGGTGCTCCGATATGTATTCCTGAACACTGTCACCCGTCGCCGGGTGACCAAATGTGAAGACATGTATATGTGGCGGTTGATTGTTCCCAGATGGTCAGCCCTCATCCAGTTAGAGACAAGGCTGTGCGAAGCCGGTAATTTCCCTAATTCGCATCTTAACGAAGCACAGATCAGCGATCAGTGATGATACGTGGCCTGTGCCAACACTAGATCAGATCTCATCTCGTTGTTGCCACGTTGTGCATGCCTTCAAAGCTCAAGTCTGGAAACGAGACAGCACAACCTTCTGATCTTTTGGCTATCAGCACACGGAGCGCTTCTTCAAGAGGACCCAGAGCCCGTGCTCAGACAGCTTTCGGTCAATCCTGGAAAGTATTGCGGCAACTCGATGTCGAAATGTACAAACTGGTCCACTGAAAACATACCCAATCTGCTTGAACAGAGTGTTGCTTCACTGTCGGTTAGATCGTAACTCAGTACCACGCCTTTATCTGTGCCCTACGTCAACGCAGTGGCTGATCTAATCTTATGATGTCCAAGTTTGCACGCCAGGGCATTTAAGGTGAGACACGGCAGAAGAGGTAAAGAATATCGCTGCATAACTGACATGGGGAGGAGGGGGGACCAAGGGGGGTTTTCATTACCTACCAAGTAGGTACATAAGTACCGTGTACGGAGAAGTATTGACTGAAGCAGGATGAGGCGCAGTTATATAGACCACGTAACCAACCCCGAGCTGCCTAAACCACAAACTGGTTACTAAGTCAACTGTTAACTCACGCCCGAATATATACATCCCCAGTGAGGGCATCACCCCTCGCTCGGAGACCTTCCCGTCCCAACTTACGATTTGCCTGCGTTCAGAGAGCCGCTAGAGCTATAAGGGAGAATTGTTAAACTAAAAGGTTGGGAAGTCACGTGATGCAGCCCAGCCACCCAGTACTGTCTATATAGTCTACTGTAGTCCCCGTACTGAATAACGAAGGACAACCTTTTGATCACTCAACAAGAATACAGAGGGTTCAGAAACAGGAGGCACCTGCAAGGGCAGGAGGAAAGATTCATTCACGAGTGCCAGGAGGCGCGCCGACACCGAGGTGCATGCGGAAGATTATCCAAAGCACTCGAGACCCAATGCCAACGGCTAATGAGGCTTCTATATAGAGGGGGCCGACAAAGCGATGTCAAAATAATAGCGAGAGACTCCGTCAAGCAGAGCTGCGACCAGCTTTCTCGCTGATCTGGCCAGACACACGTGTCGCGTCGTGTCGCCCCACTGCATCGACATCCCATAAGTCTCTGTATCCCTTTTCATCTCTCGATATCGACCTCTTACTCTGCTGAACATTCGCTCTGCTGAACATCTGCAAACCAGGCTTCATAAAATCGCGTCACCGCCAGAGCGACCTTCCGCTTCCCGGCTCCAAGAATGCGAAAGCCGAACATATAGTGACTATTCCCTAGGTAGGGAGGCTATTCTGCCTCCCACCCAGGTATTCAAACGACAATGTCCAAAGTCAACTCTAACCTCTGCAACTGCCGATAGCAACCCCGAATGTTTTGCTCAGATGCGAGTCTTCATGCAAAGCTTAGAAGCCACTGCACTGCTTCTCGGGGTAAGAGAGAGGTAGAAGTGCCAGTACCCGGTCAGGCTGTGGACTAGCCAGATTTCGTATTCCGTTGCCCTAACTTTGTGCCTGCTAACCTCACGTCGTACTCTCTCACTACGAACCTAGTGCCTCTAACCGCACGTCGTATTCCGCCATCCATCACAAAGAAGCTTATTCAACGAGAGGAGAAGTGTCTTGTTCTAGGGGGATCATCTACGTGACGTTTACAGTCATTAGGGACAGTCTCGCTTTTCTCAGCTCACACCTATGCTGAGCCAGGCAGCTCCCTAGTTGGATCAAAAACGCCCTTACTAACGGATAGTTTTAAAGCTCCTCAACTACTCTCCTAATATGGTGGCAATAATACTCGTACTGGTTGCAAGTCTTGTACCGCAAATCGCGTGCCAATCCACAAATCTGTTATTCGCAAACACTTCAGGAGTCAGGACCCACCGGTCCGCTTATCGATCTTGGCTATACCAAAGTGCAAGGAACGAAGGCTACGTTTGGCACCGTTACAGCATATGCCTGGTTGGGGTTCGACATGCCAAATTTCCCACTGGCCCACTTCACCTACGCGCACCTCACTAACCTGAAGCTGTAGAGAGTAGTACGAACTCTTCCCTCCCATTCGATGCCTCTACTTTTGGACCTTATTGTCTACAAGGAGCTTCTTCAACTTATATGGAAACGAATGCAATTCCTACCTCTGCCTTTTGGCTTCGGAAATCGCTAGCCGAGCGAAGACTGTCTTCTGCTCGATATCTACAACCCGCTGAAGCCCAAGTCCAGCCGTCCCCCAGTGCTGGCCTTTATTCATGGTGGTGGCTATATTCAGGGCTGCTCGACATTCGGAGTTCGCCCTGGAGATATATTCACCTCGATGCCCAGACAAGTCGTCGTGGTTTCGATTCGGTGGAGACCCAGAGAGGGTGATCGTTAATGGTGGCTCTGCCGGAGGCGGCAGGGTAATCTAGCAGTTTCTTTGGAATGGGGGCGAGCAACAACCTCTTTATGCAGCCACCGTTGCCGAGTTTCCTGGGTTGCCGACTCTTCTCGACTCAAGTCAGAAGGAGGTTCAGTTTCTACAGGTTATCTCAGCAGCAGATTGTTCGGACCTTGGGTGTCTCCGATCCATATCGGAGGAAGAATACGCTGAAGCTCAGCAAATAGTGCTCACACGAGGAGTTGGATATACCTATGGCTCGTTCTATGCTGGGCCTTATATTGATGGGATATTCATTTCGGAGCTGCCTTCGGTTGGAATGGGATCGGGAAACATCGCTTGCGTCCCATTATTAACCAGCAGAGGCGGAAATGAAGGCCATATTTTCTCTCTGCTGAATGTTACAACTGCTGATGACTATGAAACGCAGGTTCACTCACTCTTCAATGGGCAGCTCAACTTTTTCGGCCAGTTGGACCTGATTTATCCTCCCGCATCACCTCCAGGAGTGTATGCATATGATAACTCTCGCCAACGTGCGGACTGGGTTGTGGGAGACGCTTTTATCGCATGCCCCTCGGAGTACGCCACAAGCGCTGCGACTAATTGTCTGTCGAAGACGAACGCTAACCCTCCTGCTTTGGAGAGTTCTCTGGGCTGAGCCAAGCTATTCTACTGCCTACCACGAATCATACTATCCATATGTATCCACAGCCCACCTGTATAACGCAACTAACAAGTCTCCCGTCGCTGAGGCAGCTGGACATCTGACACAGTATTACGTTCCATTCATCTTGCACGCTAACCCAAGTGTTGGCGCCAGAGCCGGCGGTTCATTCATTTCCTGGCCAAATTATGGTGCAAACTCCCAAATTTTGCTTTTCCGCTCAAATAAGGTCCCGGTCGTGGCCACAGATCCTGATGCCGGGGCTCAATGTAAGGCTTTCCAGGCTCTTCCGTATTATATTCAAGTCTGAAAGAGTCCTGCGGAGGATACGATGTAACACAGAACACGAGTTTCAGCCCATCAAGCATTTCGAGAGGGATGTATCCAGGGCAGGCATGCGATCCAGAGCCTTTTCCCTCACTAAAGAGGAAATGTGATGGTGTTAGAGACAGCGATGATAATGGTAGCCGATGAAATCACCGGGGCTTTCACTTCAATATTCACTGAGTCTCCACCGAGAGGAAGAGATTGTCTCTTCAAGTGGAGCGAGTTCTCCGTAGGTAACTTACCAGTACAAGGTTGAGCGGTCGAGCCATCCTATCCCATAGGCGTAAACGCGACGACGCAGCCTTCAAAAAGGTTCACTTTTCATTAAAGAAGTGCAGCGCTCTCGTGAGCGCCTGACGAAATATTTAAAGGGGCGAATGGTGAGTGAGCAGGAAGGGATCCTAGCAGGAGTGAAGTCTTGTGAGGTCGTCGTTATGGTCCGCACTCAAGGCGCTAGACCATTTATGGTAGGGCGGCATCAACCCCTTTCCCAATCCTGGGGGTGAGCAAGGGGTGAGCAAGCGGTGAGGTACCAGCGAGCCCGGTACAGGTTCTGTTATTACCCATTTGTCTCATTGACTTGACCAAACACACCTTGCATACCACAGATGTGCCCGGGTCTGGTATAATTGCGTAGGTATCTACCTTCTCCCCTGACTGCAACATGTGCAGAAATTACGAGACCGCTACTGCAGGCCTCGCATTGTCCGCACCTCGAGAATGGCAGCCAAGAGCTTGCTGCTCTGTTTGTTTCAACCTGACCAAACACTCACACTATCCTCATTGCGCATTTGATCAACACTCCTTGACTATCTCTCGCGGTAATCTAAGCTATCCAGCCTTCTCCACGCTCCTCTTTCCGTCTATCTCGTCTGTCCATTCTCTCGAATATCTACTCTCAGATTCATCACAGGCCGAGCGGTTATCGACATGACTAAACGATCCAGACGTCTAGTGTTGCGACGAACAACCAAGACTAGATCTCGATATCAAGACTGCGACAGTGATTCTTCTGTTATCGGCAAGAGAAGAAGAACCGACCACCTTCAATTACGCAAAAGTAAGGGTGCAAATTTGAAAACTGGACCAGATGTCATGATAAGAGAATCGACAGAGACCACCATCGCTTCATCTACAGAGTCGTCGTTTTACGATTCTTGCTCAACCGGATTATGGGACACTGATGCCAATTCCGATGGGCATGAAGACTACCCTCACCTCGACGATAACGATTTTCCAAACACTGCTGATAGACTCAACCCTTTACTAAAACTAAGATTTAACAACAGGAGGAAATGGAGCTACAAAAGACCAAGACTTCTTTTTCGAGCCTTTGAACCTCAGCATGGACTTTTTGCTCGACGCTTTCAAAACTCTCCTACATCGATACCTCGGCCACCAACTTACGGGGGTGACGAGTTCCGAAAGTTGGTCCATCGACATCTCATTACAGATAAATTTCCGTCTCCTTTTCTATCCTGGACTGAAAATCCAGAGAGGGCACTGGAAAAACACCTCGCTAAGAGTTCAGAAAGATGCTCATTAGCCATTGTTAACTACAATGTGCTCGAAGAGGATTTCGAGAATTTACACGGTATAGGCACTGGGCCATGGCTCGTGCCGAAAATCTGCGAAACTTATGGATTCAATGATTTGCACAAGATCGACAAAAGTTGGCCTCTTCGCCGGGGTGTGAAACGGAAAAAAGGTTACAAAGGGACTGGCGAGGTATGTATTTCAGCACAATATCCTAGCCTTTCGCTTCTAACGAAACAACCTTTACAGTTCCTTATATGGGGTTCTGTCCCTGGCGATCCTGTCACCGTACTAGCTTATGAGGAAGCCGTACGTCTAATGGACGAGATGAAATCTCTGTCCAGTGTCAACTACGCGTCTGGGGTAGCTGTTAGCCGAGTACGGATCGATTTTAACCCTACCTTAAGTTTGAACTAACGACCATAGTGCCTGAACAATGTTCCGCCTAAATACAAAGCAGTGGTGGCGCGTAAACTTCTCCATGCCTATCGAATTCCCGGGTATGCGAAAGACCGTCATTTCGAATCATTCGTGCGCGGAATCTACGGCGACCCTCCCAATTCCAGCGACTTGGACGCACGTCTCGACGAAATTAATCTGGGTCATGTTCTCAATGGCTCAAGCAGCGCAAAACCTGTTAAGTCACTTAGATCTATGCGGAACGCAAAGAAGGTACGCATGCCAGTTGCCATACCCGCGAAGCACCGACAACCAGCACCTTCCCCTATTCCAGGTGAAGATATCCAGTCTCTTCTGGATACTCAACTAGCCGAGATGGGGTCGGAGTTTGGCGTAACTGCAGAGCTCTTTGATAGCTCTACATCTCCTTGGAGCGGCACTACAGGACCAAACCTCGGAAGGCAAAAGGCGCCTGAATACGATTCTGACCATGGCATAAATTGGCACTCCGATCCAGGGAGATTTAACACCAACAGCTCTGTAAAGGAGAAAAAAGAAGCGATGAATATATTCGATGGCATTAGTGAAACTCAAACTCATGAACATATCGCGCAAGCTAACAACCATGAAATTGATGCTTTCTCCAGGGAGCTATTGGCATATGCGGCAATTCCCACACCATCTCCGCCACCTGACCTCACCGAGAAGCAAGGAAAGGGGCAGGAAGCCACGAGTGATGAGACCGCAGAATTCGATTCGGTAAACAAGATAGATGGACAATTTACCGAAACGGAGCAAGAGTCTCTCCCGAACCAGCGTTCGACAGCATCTCACCCAGAGATTACATCGTCTTCATCGTCAATTGTTATCGACTTAACGTCCGAAGAGACTAATCAGCATCATACGTCAGAAAAGGTCACGGTGGTTAAAGATATCCGAAGATTCAAGGCGAAGGAACTTCAGCAGAGACGCAAAATCACCAAAATACAAGCAACGTCGACGTCGACTCTCAGAAAAGTCGGCATACAGGTCGCCAATTCCCAGAGAGCTCATTCTGATTCTACAACTGCGCAAGTCGATGCCTCCATACCCAACAACCGAGCCAAAGAAAGAAACAACGAGTGTGACGATGATGAGATTCGAATCATTGCAGAAAGGAGTCACCATCACCGACGACATATCCGAAGAACCACTAGAACTAAAACCAGAACGGTAATTACGATTCGCAGTCGGAGCGTGAGTGAGGGTGTCGTTTTCAATCGGCGATGATAAGACGTCCGGATGTCAGAAGTGCGGCTAGAGAGTGTTCACGACATCGGTTGATGGAGGAATACCGCAAGTGAAGACTATTCCTTGCTGAGATTTCAAAGAACCAGAGTGGCACTGAATCAAATTGGGGTGTTCGCGGTCGGAAAGAGCTATTGAACAGAACTTGACTGGACATCATTCCATGCGTTGCTTGGGTTAAGTCTAACCAATTTGAGCTTCGGCTTGTAGAAGAGAAGTCAATGAAGCTGCTGGTTCGCGCAATTGCTGTGGTCAGAGTCCCAGATGTGGAATTCTGAAGCGAGAGCCGGCTGAAACGAAAGCACGGATGCAGAGCTAGCTAACTACTTGTCTCCTCGAGTGGCAGAAAAGCGTCTCAGACGACAGTTACAGTTGTGCTCCCCTTCACCAGCATTAGAGCCAAATCATTCGTCCTCTGACCCCTGGGGGCCTTTCTCTTGCTCTGGGAGCCTTTCTCTTGCTCTGGGAGCCTTTCTCTTGCTCTTTCCTCCTTGCCCTGCCCAATGCGGCTGGAGAACTGTGTAAATCTCATGCGGCTGAGTCTTCCTGGCTCCGCCGGGCAGATTCTGATGCGCGACATTACTTGGATACCCCCCGGGGTTCGCAGATGTGGGATACACCGGACTGGAGCGAGAGCAGTCGGTTTCCTGCTGTCAACTTACGTACCGTCCTTACGGTAAGAGGCATCTGGTGTAGACACTTCAGGACCAACTCTTTGTTTGTTAACGCTGTGAGGCCGAGGACGTCCCTGGACGTCGACGGCAGATGCTAAATTGATTTTTTGATGAGAGTGGATCACAAACGAGGGCATTCGTTGTGACGGAAGAACCATGCTACAGCACTCAAAATCTCTCTAGGCCGCCAGAGTGTATGCAGTGAACCATCTCTTCTCACGAAGTAACCAAAGAGGATATTCCTTCGACTCGCTGGCGAGAGGGTAGCGGTTGGCACGGAGTCATACAAGGATGGGTCTGGAAGCATAAGGAGGGCATCTCAGATTTTCTCAATTTCCCAGTGTTTGTGAGTATTGCATGTGCATCAGTGAGCACTCTTGCCTGCAAACATGGGCGAAAGTTGAGATAGAGAATACGCCACTTGGGCAGCCTGCTCAGGATGAGGATCAATGACTTGTTTAGGCAAAGCAGGTGTGTACCCGACGCGTAAGCCGTAGTCAATGGGTCATTGTTGTTGGCATCAAATGAATTTGCAGAGTTGGAATGTTTGCTTGCTGAGAACGTTCAGCTTTTGCCTGCGCCTGCGCCTTTTCAGCTGTTCGCTTGAGTCTTGAGCCTTGAGCGAGTGCGGTCGATCCCATGCCGAGGCCTGAGGCTTCTAACCCATCTGGGCTTGGCTCCTTTTGCAACAGGAACTTAGCAAAGACGATGCTTGCAGGTTGAGAGTGCAGGCACTGCAGTCGACCAAGCCAACCTCAAATCTCCCCATACACGGCATTTATTTCTCTCATTGTTCGTTGTCAAGCACGTATCGACCTCAAATCTCCTTCCCGCCAGCTGCTGGAAGGCCTTTTGCCGTCCTCAACCGCCCCAAATCCCAAACTGCGCCCTCTGGGAACCCGGCCCCCTTCCGACCGCTTGCCCACTGACGCGTTGGAAAACTTGCAAGTCCACATCGCGGCCGACATATCCCTGCGCTCCATGGTTCACACTCTCCCATAATCCCCACGATCCATCGAGGAGGGCGTATGCGAAGATGATCGCGCGGTTGGCGTTTTAATCAAGGAGATGTCGCGCCCTCAGGGCACTCACTCTCACTCCAAGTTCGCTGATTTCTTTCCGACCGCTCCCAGCGTTCAGCAACGAAAGGCTTCCAAGTTGCTTGACCTCGACAGATCCCGTCTGCGCCGTCCTGACGATCGCGCGGAAGATGCCAACACGAAAGAGAATTCTGCTCGACTCCCGCTGAACTCATCTACCACGTCCCACCCACATTTACCCGCCAAACAGGACAACCTGGCAAAGATTCCCGCCGTCACCGTGATCCCGGAAGAGAGCGACCAGTACGCAGGCGACCTTCTCAATGGTGTCGGCTCAGCAAGTTCGTCTAGCACCGCTTCATCGGTCTTTAGTGCTCCCGTCGCAAACGCCGCCATGTCTGGCGCAAGTCATATTAATTTCACCACTCTTACCCCTCTCACAAACTCCGACTCTCCTCCCAATGGTAAACTCATGAGCCCGACCGTTGATTCTGGCTCTCACACTGTGATGATGGGCAGCAGCAATAATATGTCCATTCTCCATCAAGGTTCGATGACACCACTCCACACACCACCGACCCATCGAAGATCCGCGCGCGATGCCAATGCCGAAGTCAAAGGGACCAAATGCACCTATGATCCGGAACTTGACAAGACTCTAAACTCGAAGGACAAACGCAAGCTGAAAGCGCAGTTTGAAGATTTCGGAGCAAAGTCCCAAGACAACTTCCAACCTCCGGATCCGCGATTGGCAATTCCAAACTACACAAAGGGCGCGGTGGGAAAGGGAAAAGCAAAATTTCGCCCTGCGCCTTACAATCTGAAGTCGTGGGTGCCTGATGTTGCGACCGCGGTTGCACCGCCGCCGCCGACCACCGTAGTCGTGACCGGCTTCGATCCCATGACACCGTTGTCACAAATCAGCGCATTGTTTTCCAGTTTTGGCGAGATCGAGGACTTGGACAATAAAACCGATCCGCTCACTGGACGGTTTCTCGGCATCTGCAGCATCGCATACCAAGACTGCGCCTCCTTTCAAGGCGGGGGACCGATCTCCGCCGTTCTCGCAGCCAAGACAGCATATCTTGAGGGCAAGCGTGGACAAAGGATAGGCTTGAAGACTGTGCACGTGGCCATTGACCGAGACGGGTCGGTCACGGAAAAGTTGGTGGAAAAGGCAACTGCACTGCATCGGAAAGAGAGTGGATTCACAAATCACTCCCGCATGCAACCCTCTCCGTCTCCATCAACACCCATCGCCGTCCAGTCGCCCGGATTCGCAAAGTCTACGGGCCCGCCGCCGACAGCTCCAAAGGGGCCTTCGGGAAAGCCACCTTTACGACCTCAGTCTACCTTCCAAGCTCCGTTTGGACTTCCTGTAAAACCCGAGAGACCAACCAAGCCCGTGACTGCCTCCGCTTCGGTTGTCGAGACCACACCGATTGCTGAAACATTGAAAGTACCTTACATCTTCATCGCGCATTGTTACGTACCAGTTATGAGCACTACGATACCGCACCTGAAGAAGAGGTTAAGGATGTTTGATTGGCGAGAAGTCCGCTGTGACGAGACGGGATACTTTATCACCTTTGAGCAGTCGCGGAACGGACAGATGGAGGCTAAGAAGCTATTTCACGGCTGTCACATGCAGCCGCTGTTTACCTATGTGATGAATCTGGAATTGCATCTCAATGGGAATCACAAAGCTGTCAGTGCAGCGGACACCGTACCAACATCGACGGGGCCCGTCGATTTCGTATATTCCAAACAAGCTTACAGGCTGAGGAAAGAGCACGACCTCGACCTGGAAGAAGAAAAGCGACAGCGTGCAAGAGATTTGGACCCCTCCAGGGCTGTTGTACAGCTTGTCATACAAGAGCTTAGGGATAAGCTGCTGGAAGATGTGAAATCACGTATCGCTGCTCCAGTTCTCTACGATTATCTCGATCCGACCAGACATGCAGAAAGGAGAAGGATTCTTGGTGTAAGCGATCCTGAGGGAACACGGAGGCAAGGTCACGCCGATGAAGGCTCTCAGACGCCAGACTCACGCCTGGGCACTGGTCGACTCCCGCTTGGGAGTAAAAACCTCAACATTCTTTCCCTGCCGAAGATCGGCAAGAGGTCGGGCACAGACAAGGGCATGGTTGGTTTCCGCGATGAGAGAAGGAAAGCTCCAACAACGAGACACAACGTCAGGCCATTGTTCCACCAGCTGGCTCAATTTCACGCCGACGATGATTCCGACGATGAACGACGAACATCGGTCACTCGTGACACTGAAGATCTCGAGAGCCGTCCACCTAGTCGGATGAGTATGACCTCCCTATCCGACGACGACGACGAACTTCTGCGCAAAGTAACGAAACGCCGGCTCCATGCTCGAGAGGAATCTGAGATGGGAGATAGTGTCGTCAAGGACGAATTCGACACGAGCAAACAAACTGCCGAAGATTTAATTATTGCCAAGCTCGAAAGAAATATTTATGAGATGTCCCCATCGTCGAGAAAACGAAAGAGGCTGGTGAAAGAGTTGGAAGCTCGAAAACGTCAAAAGGCAGATGACGAGTTGTTCGGCGTCGGACAAAACGACCTAGATCGCGAGGGATCCGAGGATATCAAAGTGGAAACTCCCATCGAGGCGACGCCTGATGTCGATTCGGACGGTGCCAAGGTTAAGAAGCCGAAGCCTAAGAAGAAAACTAAGAAACAGATCCTGGAAGAGCGGGAAGCGCTCCGACGGGCGCAAGCAGAGGCCGAGGCAGCTGCAGTGGTGGATAATGTTCTGGAGTATGCGGAGGAAGAAGAGGCTCTTGCAGAAGCGGCCGAATGGAGACCAGAAGTGGAATGGGGCGTCTCGGCCGTGGAGCCTTTGCCGACCGTTGACGATGATGAGGATATCATTCCTGATCTCCGAGGATGGCAAGCTAGTCTCTTTGATGAGGAAGATCTTGAATACTTGTCATCGGCAATGAAGTCGAAGAAGGCTATGGATATTGGTGATCCGATGGCATGGGCCTGGAAACAAGAGCGCATTCGAAATCTCAAACCTGGATCCCAGCCAGGCACGCTTAGGACGGAGCCTCCCATTGACGGATATTTTGTGCCCAACCCATCAGGCTCGGCAAGGACGGAGCCTGTTCGAAGAATCCTCGAGTCCGAGAAATCGAAGTATTTGCCTCATCGCATAAAGGTGCAGAAGGCAAGGGAGAAGAGAGAAGCCGAAGCTAAGAAGGACTCTGGCAAACAAGTTGTGGAATTGCCCAAAGCTTCTTCCCGCGGCAAGCGTGCCGACGATCGACGCACTGTCAAAGACTTGGACCGACAGCGGGAGATGCTACAGGGGTTGGGCGAGGACGCCGATGTTCTGCGATTCAATCAGCTTCAGAAGCGCAAGAAACCTGTCAAATTCGCCAGATCCGCTATCCACAACTGGGGTCTGTACTCGCTGGAGCGGATACAAGCGAGCGAGATGATCATCGAGTATGTGGGCGAGAAGATCCGGCAAGAAATCGCCGATTTGAGAGAGATCAAATACACGGACAGCGGCATTGGCAGCAGCTACCTCTTCCGAATCGACGAAGGGACTGTGGTGGATGCCACCAAGAAGGGCGGCATCGCAAGGTTCATCAACCACAGCTGCTCTCCCAATTGTACTGCCAAGATCATCCGGGTGGGCGGCACAAAACGGATCGTCATCTACGCTCTGAGAGACATTGAGAAAGGTGAGGATTGTCCATGTCTGACCTGGGGGTGCGGATGCTGACATTGTGGATCTAGATGAAGAACTGACCTACGACTATAAATTCGAGCGTGAGATCGGCAGTGACGATCGTATCCCTTGTCTCTGTGGCTCGGCGGTCTGCAAAGGTTTCCTTAACTAATACTCCGGCATCTCCAACGGCAACGGGTCTTCAAATGCGTGGCGGAATCTGGTGGGCACATCATTCTCTCGCGATGTTATAAGTGCATTTGAAAATATGGAAGAGCATTTGGGTGCGGCGTTCTCTTCCATTCGGCATGACGAAGGGACGGATATCTGACAAAAAGTCACGGCACAGCATGGGTCAATGGAAAGGCTTGGCCGGGGTTTATCTCTCCATGGAGAGAATCGGCAAGGGCGGTGCGCAATTGTGGGAGTGGTTGTGAGGAGTTCGCCAGGATCGTAGTAATCCTATTTCAACAAGGCAAAGGAATGATGAGTCGAAGGGAAGTGGCCGACAACGAATGAACTCCGTTCATTCAAGTCAGGCGGTGGAGCATTACAGAAGGGACGATGCTGCAAATGAATGAGTTTGAGAAGATTCCCTTGGTGCTTTCTGTGTATTTGTATCATCTCCACCCTGTGCTCGACGGAGAGCAGCAAACTCATGCGGCGTACCGCATCAAGGGTCTGGTCACCCTTCGTACACGGCGGAGAAAGACGTCTAAGTACATAGAGTGGTGTCTCAAATGTGCTTTTGCCTCCATGGCTGGCGTTTCCACAGAATCGGCTGCAATTCGTCCTCGTTCAAAGACTTCTTCCCATGAGTAAAGAGAGAGAGGCGGGCGCTTCTGACTGATGTCTACTGCCTCATGCCTAGACGATAAACTCTGCATTGCACTTTGATAGGGCTTCTTTCAGTGAGCGTTTCAGGCTTGTTGCTGATCCCAGGTCGCTTCTTCTTTCCCACAAGTCCCGAACGATGGCCCGACAGCTAAAATTCGGCTCTGGTCCAGAGCCCTGAATGCCACAATTGGAAGTTTCTGGTCGTCTGATGGCTGGTCTCGTTCGTTCCGTGGCAACCTATGATCATGGTGCGCTCTCTTCCTGTGTCTCCTTCAGGATGAACACGCAGGGAGTGTCTCGGTCCAACCTCCCATCTCTATTGCCCAATCACTCAATCAGATGCATTGATGCGAGGCAGCCGACGGTGACAGCTTCTGGAGGAAGTTATTGCAGACGCCGGGGTTTCTGTCTTTGGTCAAACCCAATTCGTCTCGAGAGTATTCTCACACTAAATGCGCCGGCAGGAGGAAATTGCCCACGCCTTCCTTTATGGGATATTCAAACCCGCAGTTTCCACAGACCAGCTTCCCCTCTGACACGCCCGTTTCGAGGAGGAGAGTGTGTAGGTTCTTCAGGACATCCTCGTCAATCCCGTCCTCCTTTTGAACACCACCTTGTTCGCTCTCTTGCTTGTCTCCGACGTCCATGGGGTGGTCATCGTCCTTTGCTTCCGTGGCTCCGTCGTCAAGGTCCGACGGGTTCTTTTCAGGGACCATCGCCTGCAATCCCAACTCGGTCGCTGTAACAGTCAATGCCTCCCAGTTCACGCGCGGCAGAATGTTCCTCATAAAGAGCGGGTTAAACTCGATCTCGGTGCGCTCTAGCACCGCGTCCTTGAAGTGCAGCGGGAACGAGGCAGAGGAGCTTTTGCAGGCTTTGATGGCGCAGGTCAGGAAGTTTGTGGTGAGGAGCTTCATTTTGCTAGCAAGCTCGACAACCTGGACAGGGCGAGATGTAGAGGGGAAAAAAAGAGACTGCTTGGGAGCAGAAAAGTCTCTCTTGCGCCAAGCCAAAGGCTCGTGGGAGTATCTGCTGGTGAGATGAGCTTCCGAGGCAGTCTTCCAGCACCTTAATGGAATCTAAAGAAGTTTCTAAAGTTATTTCTACACAGTCCTCAACTTCTTCACAACCTATGTGGCACACGCTCGGGATTGTTGAAAGTCCTCCATGAATCTGAGAATTTCTCTCGAAGGACCTGAGATGGATGCCTTTCACTTAATGCAACCAAGTCCTCACTACAGTCCATTCCCCTGTGCCATGAAAATTTTATGTAATCTGCAGTGGAGGGAAAAAGAAATGTCTGGCACGCAGGTGACTTCGCATCCACCACGGGAATCCGAAAACTCCCATCTCGAACGAAAAGCCTTAAAGTGCCTCTGAGGAAAATTCGGTCTCGTACGCCAATATGACCTACCACTCCATTGATGGATGAAGGAATTGGCGGTTGATTATGCGTGCGTTTTGTTTTTCATGAAGTGTAAAGAGAGGAAGAAAAGAGAGTGTGAGCGAATCCGTCGGCGGTCATGCTTTTTCTGATACCCGGAGAAGGATAATCTATCCAGCCGGCGCTTGTCCTCTTCGAGACTAGCGTGATCATCAAGGCTTGGCGCTCAGACGCGGTCTGAAGTTTTTCGCCAGCTCTTCGTCTTCCTTTTGGCAACCTCCCAAGCAACTTCCTCTTCCAAGAATGTCGAAGGCGTATTGAGGCAGCGCAATGAGCCATGTTTGTACCATCCCCGATTTCTCGTACTCACAGATGCTCCTTTTTCCTTTCAGACTCCGTCATCGTGGTCAGGACCGCGGGCAAAAGTCGTTCTCTCCACGGACAGGGAAGGACTGCAAGAAGCAGTCAAAATATAGCCGCAGCCTTGCCTGACCGGCGATCAACCACATTCGGAAGCATCTTGATTTCTTCTCTCCCATGATCAAGGCGTGGATCCAGGGGACACTCCAAAGTCCCCGATTATCGCAAGTGGAAGACCAACATCTGGGCTTTTAGCAGGGCCCTGTCTACTCCACCCTGCTTCTTCTGGTCACGGTGAGGAAGCAGGACTATTTTCATGACAGACACTCTTACAGCATTTATATGTTGGGCGACTGATCCACTGCGTTCCTGATGGCTATTCTCGAAGCAGGAGATTTCTCCGGTATGTGCTTCAACCTCCAAGTTCTTTGGTGTGTTATGGCTCGGCCAGGCGGCGAAAAGCGGCAGGCAAACCGAATGCCTCTCGTCCGCCAGTCCTGTACGCATCTCATGAACGCTTCTACTTGAGGTTGTGATTGTCACATGCCCGCCACAACCACTCCGAGGAAAGAAGGGCACATGCTCGTATCCCAATCCTCAACTTCTCTTTTTTTGTTGCAGATATTGCCATCTTCAGCAGCATTCGTCTCGGACACGGTTCAATCCCTCCAGTCCACTTGACATCTCATCTTACTCCTTTCTCAATCGTACCCCTGTCGACTTGCTCTCCTATCTTCCAACTTGGACGCCTTCTCTTTCCGTTTCGTTGACCCTGACTTGACTGTTTCCTTCCACTCCCAATTCTCATCTGTCTTCCTCGTTCTTCTCTCTCAACTCTCACCTCATTCTCTTCGACATTGTCATACCGTTGATTGCTCTCTCGCTCCCATCCGACTCCTTCACAACAGCCGCGTTGGACCGACTTCTCCTCTTTCTGACGTTTCTTATCCATCCCTCGAAGCTTTGATCTCTTTGCACTTTCAGTTGCTTGATTGTCTCTTAATCTTGTTCACATCTGGCTCCTGCCTTTCCCTTACGTCACAATTCAACTTACTCAGGTACTTTTGAAGCGACATCTCGTGCACAGGCGGCAGTGTTCGTTCTGATCTACTTCAAACCTTTTGCACCGCCGCTGGGTCAGCATTCCCTTCGCAGCCTATCACTATCATTGATAGCTATTTATTGTTATTTTTTCCCCAGTGAATTGTTTCTGTCCCCTAGTTCAATGGACCGACGCCTTGATTATGCTGACACATCGAGGTTGGGCCAGGTATAGTCGATACCTCAGAGAGCCCTATTTCTACTGGGACAAGGATGGTCTTGACCTGTGCTGCTGCATTAGCGAGCCCTTATGGAACTCTCCCCAGGCTTCACTAGAATCAGAGAGAGCCCCTGAGACGTTTGCGGGACTTAGTGCTGACAAACCGAGACATCCCTTCAGATTGCTGGTCTATAAGAGGGTCTCAGTTTTTGAGAATGAATGGATGTGGAAATTCTGTGACCATCGTGTGAACATGGGAGCTGTGTCGGCTTGCACTCAAGGAATCTCACGATATCTCTTTCGAGTGTGGAATGACGAAAGCGCTGGCGAAAACACCGAGGGGCACTTTAAGAGTGAACGTGAAAAGCAAGGTATGTGTGCTGACCTAGAGGTCATGAGCGAAGTAGACATCAAGGAGAGTCTGCTCGGGCACATGGCAAACAGAAAACACAACTTCCGAAGTCCCTGGATCTCATTCGCGACATCACCCATCTGGGTCTTCTCCAAAGCTCTCGGGCTTTTCGAGGAAGGCCGCCAGAATCTGAGACTTGCCATTATCGACACCTGGAATCTCGGCGAGGGTGCACATATTTTTCACACCGGAGCCCTGCTCAAGGCTTACAATGTCGATCAAGACATGGTTTACGCCAACATGGGCGAGCCCATGGTGTTGGCATGGAAACAACTGCGAGCTCCGACGACAGTTATACGTCTAGATGAATTCTTGCCGAGTGTTTTGGAGACGGGGTACCTTAAGCCTGGGTACTTGAGATTGCAACCATTCCATTACAAGCCGTTGGACTCCGAGTTTGCCAATAATCTCAGCGCCAAAGGGAAGAATGCAGCAAATCGTAGGAAAAAGAAACCGTGGAGCCGTCTACGTAAAACATGGGAGATCAGGCAGAAGACTTTTCCAACCCAGTCCACCTTCGCGGCATTTCAGGAAACAGCTCTCGAACAGCAAGCTCCTTGGAGGTTCCAGAGGAGACGCTTTGCCGGCAGAATGTCCCAAGGGAAGCAACCCGGCCGGAAGACTGAGAATTTCCGGGCCCCAATGGCACCATTCCAGTTGGATGAGTACGTTGAGTTTCTGAAGAGAGAAGTCAAAGAGATCGAACTTCAGCTGCCATTGTTGATAGCTCTACTCTCGACGCGCACGGCGGAGGTGGAATATGACTCTATTCTCGACAGAATACAAGAATTGGGGCGTAGGTGGCTATCATACTCAAGGAGCGATGTTTGTCTCGCTAATAGCAATCAGGCGACGATCCGATGGTCCGGGCTCATAAACAGTGCATTGTTCGGGACTGTTCTTCCACCGACCTCCCAGAGTTGACAACGTTCGAGAAACTGTTTCGAGACGCCAGTGAAAGGCTGGGGATCCCGGTTGTCGCGAACCCAGGCCTCCGAAAGTTCTGGGTCCTGACGTCTCGGCACACGGAAATTCCTCAACTTCAGGAGGACAGCGAGAAGATCTTGGACATGGTCGAAGCTCGAGAAAGGCGGTGGGCGAGGCTCAAGGACGAGAAAGCCCGTCGAAAAGAAGCCGAAGAGGCCAATGCCAATACGTGTGGGGAGCCGGAGCCGCGGAAGAGGCGCAAGATCCAAGCGACCAGCCTGTTGTCGGAGGAGCTGAAGAAGCTGGCCAACGAATCATGCAGAGGTTTGTTTTACAGACAGGAGGCTCCAGAAGGGCAACTCTCACTCGCCAACTCGGCCCCGTGGGTCTTCTGCGCCGAGCGTTTGTGAGAACGAAGAAAGACGGGCTGACGATGGTTGATGAGATTTGGATTTTCAGCAGTGCTGAGCGAGGAACAAGGACTCGTTTGCGCGATGCTGATCTGGGTTTTCCGTTGTTCGGATGGTGACTTTGGCGACGACAGGGCTGTGGTCTGCACGCAAGTACATCAGTGGGTGCTATGTCTTTTGGCTGTTTCCGTCTGAGGTTTGCAGATGACGTGACAACAGGTGTGGGAGCTAGAATCAAAGAGTGTCTGTCTTCTCTCTTTCTCCGTCTCCTGGCACTGTGCTATGCATGCATGTGCGCCTCTTTCTCTCCGTCTCTCCTCTTTCTCTCCGTCTCTCCTCTTTCCCCTCGTCCTCTCATGCATGCATCCATAGCAGAATAAATAGACTGTGCACCCTTGGCAACGTCAATGTCAAGCCTCCAGGAGCCCGAACACAGCGTATGTATTACGAGAGAGTGGGTGCCCCCCCCCCGGGCCGGCGTGAAGCAAACTGTTGGCCGGAGGGGCAAGATGGTAGATAGAGAGATAGACAGACAGGCAGCGACATGGCCCACTGGGCAGCCGTTGTCGGAAGGACGAGAGGGAACAAGGGGGTTGGTTCTCGTGCCATGTCGTATGTACTCCGTAAATGGACTTGTTACCAGTATGCACATAGGGTTCCCCGAGCATCCGAGAGCTCTAGGTCAAGTTCTCTCTACGCTCTACTCCTTCCCTCTGTCCTTTGTGCTACAGAGGGGTCCAACCTCTCCACTAAAAGTACCGGTAATGCGAGGCCTCGCCGTGTTGTCGGCGGCCTGTGAGGGATCACCATCCGCCCGACTGGTATGGACATGTACTTGTATGTACATGGACCGAAAAGCGGTCGTGGGGGCTCCTGTCACTATTGCGATCGCCGATGTGATGTCGAGTGTCGTCTCGAACGACCCGGCGCGAGCGAGTTGTGTTGGGATGTAAATTTAGTCTCCCCTCCTCCTGCTGCTCCTCCTCCTCCTGCTGCTCCTCCTCCTCCTTCCCCCCCTCCCCCCCTGCTCGATTCCGTTCGGCTCGGTTCGGCTCCTTCCTTCTATTATCCTAATTGATGCTTCTCTGTACTGGGTACATGTGTTTGTCGCGTGCCTGAGGCTGTCAAGCGGTACATGCATGGAGAATTATATACGATCAGGAAACTTTGTGTGTCGACTCCCAGCCTACGAATGTATGTGTTCGACGCAGGGAATGGGATATGAGGGAGGCAGATGAAATCCCTTGCTCTGTGCCTAGTGTAGTCTTCAGGGATGTGCTGCCGACTTGACGGTGGTTGCACGCGCCCCTGCCCCCCGCCCTAGTTATAGCTAACCTGTTTCGTGTGTAGAAAAGAGAAAGTTAGTAGTTCGTATTAATGCGAGGAGATTCTCGGTCAAGGGTAACTCTGACTCCCTTGGACATGGTAACCTGCCACAACCAGCCGCCGACAAGGGGCTCTAATACGAGTCATGCAGCTTGCCCGAAAAGCCGTGCTGTGCTGTGCTGTGCTGTGCTGTGCCATGCCGTGCCGGGCTGCGCCCTTTCGAACTCCCTCGTTTAAGTTTGCAAAAAAGGACCCAGGGACTTGGAAGCGAATCATCACCGCCGTCCCCAAGCGGGGGAGGGCGGATGCATGCATTAACCCCTGGTCGACTGGCAAAAGCAATTCCAATCCTTCAGCAGTAGTAGCAACAGTAGCAGCAGTAGCAACAACGACATGCGAGTATCCCGTCCTTGGGCGCCCTGACTACATCTACCTACTGCACCTACCTCTCAGGGATTCAACCGGAAGGGATCGACACTTGGTATGGCGGTTCCATTGGCGAGTTATTTCACCAAGGTTGATGGCCTCAACATGCAGGAAAGAAGACCACCTCGTATTTCGGTCGTGGTCCTGTCCAGTTCGGGACCGATCTTCTTGCTTGTCGGTATTTGGTGCCGCACTTGGCGCCCAAAATGAACAGCCTGACCGCAGGTACCCCTGCAAGGAATCGACACGCATATTGCTGCGCCATCATGCATCTCATCGAGCGGGTTCCGGCCAGTTGGATGCTGCTAGGCAAAGCAAGTTACACAAAAGCCTGCCTGGTGTCCAAAGAGGGCAGGTCGTCTCGCTGGAACCCCTGCCCAAGCCCTGCCTCAACTCCTCCATCCCACTGGCATGTGACCTGTGGATGGCCAGAGGCCAAAGGCTCCTGTGTTTCTGTTGCGGCAACCTTCTGGGCTCCCATCGACTAACCTCAAGGATTCTATTCTAGTGCCAGGGGCCTGCATCCTGCACCTCCGTGCTGAATAGCGGAATGCTAACAGAGCTTTGAGACTGACTGAGCATCCCACCCCCTGATTTTTCTGCTTCGAATCCGACCTGTATTTTGTCCGTATCCCATCGAGCCAGGATCCTCGTCAATCTCGATCTCCAGCTGTCCTAGTTGAGCATTTCAATCCAGAGCCATGGGGAATAAAGAGTGTTCTCCCCTTCGTGGCCTGGGGACGGGTTTCTCTCCCACTTTCGTCTTTCGTAACTCAGCTTCCAGGCGGCCGACCACGAGCTCCCACTGACTGCCGGCTTTGACACATTTTTGCGTTTAATAAGGCGTCTCACCTTCATCATGCCGTCAAAGTCAAACGCTGTCCCTAGAAACAGTGAGTTCGTCTTTATCAATTCAGATCACCATCAGTATTCCGCGTCATGTTGGAGACTTAGCTTTTCCGTCGTATACTGCTGCGGCTGCTAATGTCCTGCCACCCCACAGACATGTTGGCTGGTCTCACATTTGAGATGCTACTATATCTGGCCACACCGTTTTGGGAAGAGCCGTACAGACCGGGAGTGGGACCTCGCAATAGACACGCAAATCTTATCCGCAGTCTCGATGAGCACCTTACTCAATTTACTAGTGGTCCTGTTATCGCCGTTGCGAGCAGGGAAGATCGTGGACCATTGCGCGCTGGCTCTCAAAGGTTAGCCTGTCTCCGCCCCCTGGGCTCTGGCATTCATCCGCAACAGTTGACCTAGAAAAGTCGGTGTTCGTATATCCAAGACAAGAGTCAGGGTCCAGAGTGGTGATGGTGCTGTTTAAGCTGGTCATTCCATCCATGTTCGTACACCTACCAGGCAAAACAGGATATTAGAGAGGAATAAGACGGACAACTTGGGCAATATACCCCCAGTGCGAAGTACCTGTAATGGCGATGCATGCCGAAGTTTGAGTGGGAACCCGCGACAAGGCTTCCCACCAGGGTTGCGATACCATAACAAGATAGTCCGAATACATGATATCATACGTGAATGGTCTCTTCTTTGTAGTGAATGGTGAGTGAGCGTGACACTGTCTGTTTGTAGGGGTGGACTTTCTGATTGGTCAGCGGGAGCATTTTTTGCAGCAGCATTGAAACATCTCTTGCGCGTTGCTGTTTTTCTTTTCTTTTTCTTTTCTTCCCAGATAGAGATCCCATCCCTGAGCGTTTGCAAGATTTTGTTTTCTTCCTTTTTTCACCCCCTCTTGTAGTAGGGTGATTCATTGTCCTTGGGAGTGCAGATTGTTCCCACACATAATCTCGGGGTTGTATTCTTTCGATTCTTGTATTGAGAATTCAAATCTGATGTGCAAACCCCAACCTACCTGCGTCGAACTGCCCAGTGCTAGTCGCCCCGGTACAGAGTAGACCAGACAGGATGTTTCAATATTCCACCTGGAGTTTCGTGGACATGTTTGAGTTCAGAGCCATGCTTCCCTTGTCAGCAGACCTTTGCTCGTTGAGGTTCTCTAGCAACCTGGTGAGTAGCATGGTGCCTGGTTGAACGGACGGAGAGAAGGCGCAGGCGTCGCAGAGAACCTGTGGCCCGGGAGAAAACGTAGTCGAGGGGACAGTTCAGAGACTTCAACAACAGACTAAGGTGAAGGCTCTATTGTTCTTCGCTATCTTGAGGGCGGGTTCATCAGGGCGTGCAGACTCGTCGAGGCATTGAGTCACCGCCAGTAAGCACGCATTGCTGTACCATCCTGGCAGACGGATAAATTTAGGTATGCGGCGGCAGGCGCCAAACAATCACCGTCGGATGGTGTTCAAGGAAGAACGAGAAAGGAGATTGTGCCAAGTACGGGTCGCAAACAGTTGATAGCACAAGGTGAAAAGTGGTGTGATTTGGAGCGATGTCGGCAACTCAAGCGGTAGGTTTCAAGCGAGAAGCCGTGCACGCCACGTGAATGCCCCCTACTCCACGAACAGGAAACCAGACCCGGGGCAATGGAAGTGGCAAATTGGGGTGAAATTAGGAGATGGATTCGATATGGAGTCGTTAGTGCGGGTGGGAGTAAGACGATTGTCAGCCTGATGATCGAATATATCTCGGGTGGTCGAGAGAAGGTTTCGAGGCAGAAAATGCGGTCGGACAAGGAAGGCTTCTAGAACAGGGCGGCGGCAGTTCGCGAGCAGTGAGACGGCAGGAAGGGTTTCCGCTTGGCTCGTATAAGCTGGGAGCCGAGGCCGATGAGGCGGAGGCGGAAGTCAACGGAAGGAGCAGAAGCGTGGCGTTGCTTAGTCGGCCGGCGAACAGCAACGGCAAAGGTAGGTATCTCGTGATTCGTACACATCTGGTGTGACGGGCAAGAATACGGTTTTGCGGGTGGTTAGTTAGCCAGGACGGTTTGCAAGCTTTTGGCGAATCCCAATGTTGATGGCATCGTTGTGGCTTGTGTAGACCGATAAACTGTTGGAGTGTTGGCGCTCTTGGAGGTGTTGAATTCGTGGTGATGTAAGGGGCGTCGGGCACCAAGAACTGGCTTGATTCCAAGCGAGCATGTACCAAGCAAGCCAAGAGTAACAGCGATAATATCAGGATGAAGGGAAAAACGAGCAGCGTACGAAAAGAGAGGAATGAGCGTCTTCGGATGTTGAGCTGTTTTGGGAGAAGCTGGAAAAAGAGGAGAACAAGGGGGAGAGTGAAGCGAAGGTGAGGTGAAGGTGAGGTGAAGGTGAAGGTGAAGGTGACGGTGACGGTGCAGGTGAAGGGTGACGGTGAAAGGGGGAGCTGGAGCAATCAGTGAGCTGGTTCACCACCCACCAATGTTGCTTGTACTGGGTATTGCGATTGCGGTTGCTGTTGCTATTATTGACCGCCGTTTCTAGTTGGAGAAGCGACATTGATGTGCCTGTCGTTTCACGGCTAATTTCTACGACCAGGGACAACAGAGTATGAGCAAGGAACAAAAAATCATCGTCATCATCTGCTACATTTGTCACGGCTCCACTTCTTCCACTTCCACTTCCACTTCCACTTCTTCCACTTCCTCACGCTCTGGCAGATCTTCGCCCTTTCTCTTTCTGTGTCTCTTTCTCGTTGAGGTTCTTCACGGCGTAGTGTTGTACCTGGAAATGATCGCACCTCTTTTCACCATCATTCTTTTTTCTTTTTCTCCTTCTTTTCCAACAGCCATCATGCTTTGCAAGTCTAGAACAGGGTCCCAATGCCAAGCTGGGTACCCTTCTTCCCTTCCGCTCTCTCTCGTGGCGTGACTGCGTCTTTCTTTGATGCCTTTCGCCCTGGTCGATGGTTGATCGCCGTTTTTACTTCGCCGTACGGAGTCAGAGTAGCATCTTTTTCTTTTCTCCTCCGCTCGACCGCGATCCAGTCTCCAGCCTGTAGTCTCCAGTCTCCACCCCGCGAGAGCATTTGTAGTCATTCGCCCGTGACCAATAACAGGCTAAACGGCAATAACTGCAACTGTTCGCTTCTCCGGTCCATTCAGTTCAGATCAACCACACAAACCCCCGTCATAGCTCTGGCAGGCTCTTGGTCCTCCCTCCCTCCCTCCCTCCCTCCGTACAGATCTTGTCCCAAGCATGAACTCAACCCATGGATTCTACACGCAGCTGATCATGCTCATACCCTGTCATCTGTCCACCCACCCACCAATCCACCCCTTTCCCAACACCTGTCTGTCCACTCGCCGTCCGCGATCCAGTGCTTTAGTCCTGTTTCAACCCGTCCCCTCCTGTGAGAAATCGGTCCACCAGAATGCAATGCACTGCCGTGGTCAGAAACGAGAAAACTTCCTCCCCGCCGATTCCGACCCTGGCCAAAGCTTTCCTCCATTCCCCAGAGCACCCTAGCTTTGCTTGCCCCCGGGGGCGTGAGGGTTTGTTGGACGCGCCATCCCAGAGCAATACATAAACACTCCCAGATCCCCCTCCTCAAGCCATCCTTTTTTTCCCTCCCCATCCCCTTGCCGGCCATTTCCAGTGTGCCTCTTGCCTTCGGTGATTTAGTCCGTTGCAAAGAAAGTGTCATTCACCCCAAGTAGCTATTTCCTCCACCGAGTCCAATATATCGACCTAGTCCCTCCTCTCCATTACCATGGCGACCAACACGGAGCACAATGCTGTCAACGCGGCAGTCAACGGCGACACAACATTTCACGCTCAGCAATTCGAAAACGCCACCCGAGGCATGAGCCATGAAGAGAAGACGGCCGCTCAACATGCTGCTCGCTTCGGATATGGTCCTTTGGCTCATATGCGAACGAACTTGGATGCCACTCTGCCCGGTGAGTTGGCCCTCTCGCGCGCGCCTTGCCCCGTCAAACCGCAGTCGACTGACATCTGCATACAGCCTTTGGAGGTGAATTCCAACCCGGTCTCTACAGAGGCGTTGAGAAGCGCAAGTTCGCCAATCCGGCCCCTCTGGGCCTGTGCGCATTCGCCTTGACCACCTTCGTCCTCAGCTTGATCAATTTGGGAGCTCGAGATGTCAAAGTCCCGGCCATTGTCATTTCGCTCGCTTTTGGTTACGGTGGTCTCGTGCAGCTCCTGGCTGGCATGTGGTAAGTGTCTCTTCCTGCCTGCGTTTGAACAGCAGACGCTTACATCACGGACAGGGAAATGGCCGTCGGCAACACTTTCGGTGCCACCGCTTTGTCCTCTTATGGCGGTTTCTGGATCTCGTTCGCCATCATTCTCACTCCGGGTGGCTTCCAAATTGAAGCGACCATCGAACAGGATCAGAGCACCAAGGCCCTGTTTGATTGTCTAGGATTCTACTTGATGGTAAAGTGGCGCCCCGTGGCATGTGCAGACACGCCGCATTTCTAACTGGAAAACTACAGGGCTGGTTCATCTTCACCTTCCTCCTCCTCATCTGCACCTTGAAGTCTACCGTGGCTTTCTTCCTCTTATTCTTCACCCTGGATCTGGCCTTTTTGTTGCTTGCCTGCTCCTACCTGGTCCTCGAGAACGGCGCCCCTCACACCGGCTTGACCCGGGCCGGAGGCGCGTTCGGTATCATTGCCGCGTTCTTGGCCTGGTACAATGCCCTCGCCGGTATTGCCGACACATCGAACAGCTTCTTCATCGTTCCCGTCCTGCACTTCCCCTGGTCGGAGAAGGGCAGAGCTGCTCGTAGCAGCGCCGAGGACAAGGCCGAGCATTCCGCATAAACGATTCACGCGAGGACTCTCATCAACACACGTCTACATATATGGGGGGAAATGCGCGAGAAGCTGCTGCAGAAATGATTTTCTATCACCGAAAATGAAATCAATCATCCTGGAGAGGTGTAGGACGGAACTGGGAATCGGCAAAGCAATACTACGTTTCTTTGGATACCCCAATCTGCGTTGCGTGGTTCTGGACCGTTCTGGAGCAAAAACCTATCCATCGTTTGTTAATATACTATAATGCTATATTCCTGCCCTTCAGCTACTTTCCTGTATTTGTTTTTGTTTTCTCCATTGCGAACTTGCACCGCTTCCCTGTGAAGAGACACCAATCTGAGCTCTCGACGGCAGATGAGACGTCAATAGGGATGTTCAACGCCGCACGTCATGATGGAATGAAGGGATCGTCGGGGGCTTACTGGCATTCTGTTCATGATTGTCGTCATGCCCAAGCCTTTGGCCGTTCGCGAACGGCCCCAATCAGCCGCCCGCCAAGTGATTGGCGCGCTGGCATCGAAGATCGCCCGCGCTGCGCATAGACCAGGATAGAGCAGAAGTACGGAGCAGGAAAGGATCGTTTTAGCGCCCCGGAAGCTCTTCATCGCCATCTGCCGTCCTTCAGGGCTCGGACTTTCCCAAGCACCACACACCCCCAAAATGTGCGAGTTGGCTCTGTCTGGGGCAACTCGCCGGCGTCGAGTGTCAAGTGACCTTGGTCCTGCTTATTAAAACCCGCCCCTACCTATTTATTACGAGTACAAGTACATGCCTCACTTGGTGCTTGATTACCCCACTCGCCCAAAGTCACAGATCGGCCTTTTCGCTTCTTCGCTTCTTCGCTTTTCCGCCCTTTTCGTTCGTGGCTTAGATTTTCCCCCGCCCCTTTTTGAACCTTCACCGTTCGACCTCCGTGCCCGAGCTAGGGTGCTCACCCTACCTATCTCAGAACGGCGATCGCGATCGTGGCTCCCTTCCCCATTGTGCAACGAGCGGGGAAAGTCGAATTAGCCATTAGGGGACTGTGTGCGCAGTACCGAGTATTTACTGCGGTATTATCTATTTGGCTATTATTTGCCTATTCAGCGAGCAATCTCAACCCAGCTTCTACTCTACGGTCCCTACGGCGGAGTACCCCCGCCTAAGCTGCATGTAGTTATGTCGTCGTCTCGTCCGTCGTCTCGTGGTAGGGGTCGTCACAACGCTCAAAACACTCTCCCGTGTCACTCTGCCATTATATATGGCTCCCTCCCTCGTCGATCAGTCAAATCAGTCAATCAACAATGTCCCCGCCGTCTTGAGCCTCTCTTGATTCGAGAAGGAGAGACGAGAAGTGGATTTTTTACTCTTGTCCTTGCTTTTCTCCCTGGCCTTGCTCTTACTCTCGTGCCCGTCCTCGGCCTTGGCCTTACTCTTTGTCCTTGGCCTGGTCGTCTTTGGCTTACAATGTCCCTGTACTCCGCCCTTTGACCAAGAACTGGGGGACAGCACGGAACATTACAAGTGGTGTTCGATGGTGTCGAGGTTCTGGGCAATGACGCTCACAATCTCGACATCGCGACTTCTTCTCCCTCGCGCGGTGGGTCCGAAAATGTAGATCGCCACCAAGGATTCCCCAGTCGCGGACTTGGTATCCGTCATGCGCTGGTGCTGGTGGGTGCCGCTTGTACCTTGTACGCTGTACGCTGTATCTTCTACTCTATGCTTCGCCTAGCATTTGTTTTGTTCCCCAGGCCTCCAGGATCGGTGCACATGTAACAAGAGCTAGAAACAACTACATCCTCCTCAATCCTCAGCGTGATCCCGATCTGAACTGTGCGTTGGCTGACGCATCAGCAAGCCTCAGTCCTTCCCCTCTCCCTGCCAGTCTTCTCTATCTAGCCCGTCAGATTCTAATCCTGCGTGTCTCGGCTCCCCGGACGAAGATCTCCTCCGAACGACTCCCCAGAAGACCAATCTGACTGTTTGGTTCCGCCAAGCGCCTGAATATTGTGCCTCTTTCGGGCGGGGTAAGCCAGCTTCTCGAACAAATGCTGACACGACCACCTTTACGCCCTCCGCGTGGCAAGCCTGACGCGGTACGACTCCACCTCATCCATTTAGAGAGATGCGTCTTCGTCACGGCATACACCGCTCTCGGTTGTTTTGACCTTGTCCGACTCGCGGTCGAACGACCCACGCCCGCTTCAGAGGATGGCAAAAGCACTCACGTAGCTGACGCTGCTGTCCCCAATAGTCTCGGCATCGCTGCTGCGTTCGTATCGCATGAACCTGAACCGTCGGTGTTCCGCGGATTCACCCCCTTTTTGTCGCTCCACCTCTTCAAGGCCAGCCATGAAGACACCTATAGGATGTCGGCCACACACGGTGTTGCCGGTTTCTTTGAGCACACGAAGAAACTCTGAATGTTGTCCCGTGGCAATGGCACTCATACACGCTCTGTCAGCGTGAGCGATGCTCTCGTGTATCTGTGGTCCCCCTTTTGAAACCCGACTCCTTGAGCCGAGATGTTGACCGTGGCCCAAAGTGGGAACCTTGTGGACGTCCTCATTGACCGACCCTTTGGCTGTGGTGAACTCTCCTCGTGCCCCATTTGGAAGCATCAGTGGAGACAAGGCCGGGCTAGGTGCGTCTGGGAGGTAGTAGGTGTAGCCAAATCGACTCCCCCAGTGGCAAAAATCCGACGAGATGACGAATGCGTTGCTTTCATCCGCGATGTATGGAGCTAACATCCTTCCCAAAGCAGCTTCTGTTGCAGGGTTCGTGCCGCCAACCATGATGGGGACGAGGGGAGGGTACGACGACTCGGGCTTATCAAGGTGTAGCTTCTGAAGGAGGTGGTGGATGTATGGCAATTGCATTTCAGCACTGTGTTCTGCTTCATCCACCGCCTGGGACATGGTGGTGAACTTGATAGTGCGACCCTGGATAATCGTCGAGAGGGCGGACAGCTCCTCGATGGTCTCCCGATCGAGGGGAAGAGGCGTTTCGGAGAGGGGAGTTTCGTAGGCGTGTACAACAGGCAGCGCAGCCGTGGTCAAGTGATGGTGATGGGATGGGTGGAGGATGAAGATGCGCTTTGCGTTGGACAGGTCAAGACACTTGTAGGCCCACGCTGCACAAGGACCAGAGTATGCGTATCCTGCATGGGGAGATATAACGACTCTCGCTCCCGGTACTGGCAGGCCGTCAACGCCAGGGATGATGGCTGCCTCGGGCACTTGGGACAGCCACTGATCGAGTTGAGCTGATAACTGTCGACCATGGCCGGAGTACCACGAGCCAGCATGAGAAGCTTCTCTCACGGCCATCTTAAAAAAAAAAATGAACGAGAGTAGTTATGCTGGACGAAATACGAGGGAACCTTCTGGCCGTTTAAGAGATGTGGTTGGTGAGTTGTCGACGATGATGGCTACCTAGGATGAAGGCAAATTGGGTGTTGGTGGTGGTAAAGAGCGGGGTTCATCTTGATCCGTGAAGCACCTGCTGGGTGCCTGCCTGCGGATCCCCTGGGCCTCGGAGCTAGTGAGGCCTTCGGCGGCTGGTGGGCTCTCTTCTCCTCCCTAGCTTGCTTTCTGTAGCAATCGAGCACGCACGCTTCACCCGCCTGAGCTGTTCAGTCACGTGCCATCAATTCTCAATGTCCATGGCTTAATCACCCCCTGCGTCGATTTGTTGTGTTCCTTGTTCTTGGAGAGGGCCGCTGCCTCCGCAAAGCTGATTATTGTCACGATTCACGATTGGGGGCCTAAAGCCCCTAGCCCCCCAACCCCTCGCGCGCGTGCGACGCGTAGAGCGGCCCGTCTTGCCCGTCCCACGTCTCACGCGTCCTCCCCATAAACCCCGTGTCCTGTCCTCCCACGTTCTTCTCATCAGTCGTCTTCCCCAGCGTATCTGACCAAAGGAAAATATATCAGCAAAGATGAGCGGCAAACGAAAAGCCTCGGTCTTTGAGGAGGACATGTTCTACCTCCAACAGAACATAATTCCTTCATCGCCCTCCCTGACATCATCCCCTCAATCCGCAACAAGCACCATCTCATACAACAGCGACACACATGCTTATCCCACTTTTCGAATAAAAGCCGTTCCTTACCTGAACAGTCGGACGCGCAAGAGATATCGCGACGACAGACCGAACGAGGAGATTATCCACGAGCACACGTTGAGGAAACTGTACGACGCCCAACGGCTGCATCTTGACGAAGCAATGCCCATGTCGGACGTGATAACCCTGGGTGAAGACGGCCTGCCAATGGACGAAGCCGATGCCGAGATGACCGATGATGTCCCAGAAGCCGAGATCCCACAGACGGCTCAACCGAACCAGAGAACAATAGATGCCTTCTTCGGCGGGCGAGGCGACTCACAATCTAGAGCAAACATAGCCGAACTGGCGGCGCCAAACACCCTTACTTCCACTTACAGTCCTTCCAACAGACCGCGACAACAGATCCAGAGGACCTGTTCTGACTACTGGAGTGGTCTCACTCTGCGATCCGTCAATGGATCCGCCGCTGCCCGATGATGAAAGCCAGAGAGTGTCTTGCAACGCGAGCAATCCACCTGCACTGTAGGCTGTGGAAACAAGATATGCAACATCTGTGAGCACAGCGATATGGGGCTGTTCTCTAAGGAATGTCTCGAAAACATGTCCCGTGACAAGGAATGATGGGAGTGCCAATGCCGGCTTCCGACCAAGGGAAGGCGGATCGTTGTCGGCTAGGTTCGGATATCAACATAACAACGTTTTGGGTACTTGGCGTGTTGCTCGACAGGACTCTGCCTAGTTGAGAGATCAAACATGGCCGAGTCAATGATGAGCCATCTGCAAGATGGCCCTTGGGTGTATCATACAATAGACGACGGAAATGCAAGGCATCAATCGTTGTCGGCCTTTGCAGCCAACCTTGCTCTTGCGCTGTAGATACGCGCAACTGATATGAATCCATGCCCAGCCGGTGGTTGCCCATGGGAAATGTCTAAAGACCTTGTCTTTTGTCTCATTAATTCATTCTGATTCGACTATCTCCATGTACAAGATGAAACACCGAAACTGAGCGACAAAAGATGCAGACGGATGCAATACCCATAGGTACAAAACCATTCATGTCGTGCGATGTGATGTGACATTGACTTTGGCTGCCCACCCGACAGCTCGGTAACATGGGGAAATAAGATGAAACTGGGACCCTCGCTGCTGTCCTTCCCGTTTTATGACCAATGCGAGAGCGGATTCAAGCCCGATCTCAGGGCAGGGCAGAAAGGAGAGTGCTTCTGATGCAACAAGCCCCGTACCATATGTCCCTTGTGCGCCTATACGTCGTCCCCGCCTCCCCCATGCAACTCCTGAAAATCATGCATCGTATCATCATTAGTGTTGGTAGGTGTGTGGGCTGAGACCGAATTTGTATACGTCCGCTCCTGTGTTCGTGGTCGTGAGGCCCTTCCTGGTCGTTAGTTTCATGAGTCGCCATCTCGCACCCGCCTGGCGAAATCAGTTCCTCTGGGCACTTGATCCATCTGACCTCGTCGATAGGGGTTTTCTGGTGGATCCCCCATTGCTTTTGCCCACGAAGATCTCCTTCAACTCGACACAGAAATCCCACTCCGGACTGACACTCTCGCCATGTGTCATGCCCCAATAGTTGTCATTTGGCCTTCCAACCTTCTTCCAATTCCTTCTTGCAGTGCTGCCGCTGGGAGTCAGTACTCTTAATCCTATGCTGGCTTCGAGCCCTTTTGGCACGCTTCAATGACCCTGTACCAGTTGAGATCTAAGGAGACCGTGTATCAGATGGCTCTCCGTTGACCACTCGGAGCGGTACACTTCGAGCCGGCTCATCATCCGCACTTCTTCCACTGCGATATTTTTCCATCCAATAGTCGTCCAGCATGGTGCTCAAGCGGTGGGTATGCGTCCTTGACATTCTCTCCAACTCTTTTTGGATCTTCTCGTACGCTTCTCTGGCCTTGTCCCTTGCTAACTTGGTCTTCTCGCATCTCCTGATCAAAGGCGTCAGATCCACAGCGTCGCCCCGAACTTTGGCCTCAAGTAGTGCACGATTCGCCCCCAGATCATCTTGATTCGCTCTGTTGGTTTCCGTAAACGCCATCCGACTTCGATGTCGCATCTCGTCGAACATTCGCATCTGCTCTTCCCGAAGTTGGAGAAAGGCATTCCTGGTGTCAGGGCTCAGAGCGTCGGGCAGCGCCGAGGGGGGTCGTCCTGATCTGTAGGTTGGATAGTACATCGAGGTGCCAATCCGTCGAATTCTTGCCCGATCCGGCTTTGCACTGACGTTGAGTTCAATCTTGGCGTCCCCTTTCAACGACTCTGGCGCGTTAAGCTCAACGCCCTCGTCCCAGGTCTTATCACTAACGGGTGGAACCACATTGTTCAACATGCGCCTAGCATCGATGGTTCTACGACATTTCATACATGATTTGCTCTTGGAGTATGTCGCAGAATTGACCCAGGCTGACAGGCAGGTAGCGTGCATGGGGGTATCGCAACAGGTAATGACGGCAATGAAATGATCTGGCTCGAATTCGAGCTGGCACGCTGGACATTCCCTCTTGTGGTCTTCCAAGGCCTTGATACTCGCTGCGGTGGCTCGAGTGAGGATCAACATGGTGGGTGGCTTTTGCGGGCTGGCTGCGGAGCTTGGCGGCGATCGTCTGGGGGCTACAGCGACATTTTCCGGGACATTTTGGGCAAAGGGAGGAAGAGGAGGAGGAGGATGGGGACACTGGCTCCATTCAACCGGAAAATGGTAGGGGCTTGTTGTCGTCACACTCCTAGAAGACTCTGCCAAATGGCCCTGAGATTCCCGTAAACGCTCGTCCGACTCCCTGGAGCCTGGGAAGATGTTCCCATGTAATGGTCGAGCAGAGATAGCGGCTGAGTCCTGTCGGAAAGGTGGAAACGGATAACTGGTCAGATTAGGGGGTCGTAGGGGCTGGGCTGTAGAGAGAAAGTTCTGGTAGTGGAAGGGAGAGTCGATGCTACGCAAGTCTTGAGCAAAGCCGGAGCCTGAAGCAAGGTACTCGAGAGCGGCATCTTCCTCCATAAAGATGCCAGGGTGCATCAAGGGAGGCATGCCGTGGAGGACATTTCCAAAGAAGTTTCCCGAGGAGGGGACTGGCGTCGGCACCGAATTGTTGGGGGGATGTGAAGGGTCGGCCATGTGTCTCTGGGGGCTAATGTTTTTGATTTCGAGCCTGCGGCGTTTGTACTTGTGGTCATCAAAAGAGGCAAGTTCTCTGTCAGAACGAGGTTGAGATCCGGAAGGGCTATAGTCGTCGTAGTGGGGTGGCGACGACATTTGACGGTGGTAATACTCCATGCACGGGGTTCAAACTTTGAACACAGTAGTCAAGTAACTGTGTCCAGGTCTGTGGGAGTGAATATTCAGATAGGGCTCCAGAGCCCGATGAAAGGGGGGGGGATGAATAGTATGTGTTGCTGAGAGTGATGGCCGCTGCCCTCGAGTTTGGGTTGACCACGGATGCGGTAGCGATGACGATCGGTCGAGCCTTGGGCTGCTATAGAGACATGGAGAGATGCCGCGGATCCCGTGCAAAAAGGCCGTGGAATACGCCTTAGGGCGCCGTCCAAGAACGGGCAATGAGAGTTTACGAGTGAAAAGAGGTGGAAAGAAGAAGATGAAAGCGATGTGAGGAGTCGAGGAGTGTGGTGCAAGTAAGGTTGTGACGGAATCTGGATGGTCATGCGAGGGGTTTCAGTCCTCTGGCCTTAGTGCCTCGGAGTTGGCCAGTAATAGCGAGAGGAGCCACAACCGGGGTGAGGCAGAATGTATCGAGTATCTCCGGAAAGTGAAGCTGGAGAGGAGAGAAACAGGAGGAGTCAGGTTGAGGAATGTTGAAACCTGGCCGGGGCTCGGGAGGGTGTCTCTTGCTTGGTGTTGTGGTCTGTGCTTGTGAATGAACTGGTCAGCGGCAAGTCGGATGTTGGAAGAGGAGGAGGAGGAGGAGGAGGAGGAGGAGATGAGATGGCTGTCAAGGTTGCAGTGGGAGACGAGAGTTTGGCAGTGATTGGATGGGTGTGTGTAGCATCGGAGGGCACGAGAGAGGAGAATGCTAATGAGGAGGACGAGGACGAGGACAAGGACGAGAAGGAGGAGGAGCAGCACCAGCAGCACCAGCAGCAGCACCAGCAGCAGCACCAGCTTCCTACCAAGTAACAAGAAGGTATTACTTCAGGATTCCTGCTTTGGTTCGTGCTGTCAGCTTCAAAGTCTGGCCACTGGGCAAACTCTGGGCAGACTCTGGCCACCTGACAAGTAATTAAGGAATATGCATGCAGTCTCAACCTTGTCACCCACCTGTGCCTCTTCAGTGTCCAGCCGTGCTTCCGAGAAGATCCAGCCCCTCAGGTGACAAAACAAGGGACTGAACAGAAACAGAGACAGAAATACGCGAACGACCAAGCCGGAAAACAAGGAAGGTGAAAGGAGGCTTCAAGGAGAATCAGAGCGAGAGTGAATCGAGTTATTTTATTGCGTAGGCACCTCATAATATTCAGCAATTCTGCCCAATGTCAATCAGGCACAAGTGCCAGCTTTGCCAGCTTTGCCAGCTTTGCCCTGTTTCGCAGTGGCCGCCTGGCCCGCCTATTAATATTGCCTTGTGCTTTGGGCCTTGCGAGCTGGTGCTCCTGCTCCTGCTCCTGCTCCTGCTCCTGCTCCTGCTGTACCAACTTACCACTGCACTGCCTGAGGAGCAACATGTGAAACTCGATCCTCCAAACTGAGGCGCTTCGGCATCAGCGGACGGAGTACGGGCCCTTATTTTAAAGGAGGGGGTACAAAAGATGGTGAAATCGTATTATTAAACGAAGTAAAATGGCCGAGAATGAATGACCGTCACCACCAAAAATAGCCCGTCATTTGATTTACTTTCTCTCCTTGCCCGCGCCTCGTCCTCGGCGCTCTCATGGCTCAACTCCTTCACCCCCATCTCCTTCTTCCACCAATTCACCTTTCGACAACACCATGGACCCCTTTTACCTGTCCTGACACCAACCCCTCGGGCACGATGAGGCCGCTGTTGCACACCCACGTCTTCGCCGCAACCATTTCGATTTCCTTGGGTCGGTTCGTAGAATGGGTTGGCTCGCCGCTGGATGCTGCACTCTCATAGCAGGATACGCTCTCTACCGAATCTTGCTGAAACAGGACGCCCGAGAACCCTTGGAACTCCCTGCAAAGTCACAACATGAATCCATGGTCGCACCGCTTGTCAAAGAGGTAAAAGGCGCCCCACCTGCACCAGAGATCCTTTGCGTGGAAGCTTCTCAACCACAAGACGATGGACCACCTGAGAAAATGGCCGACAACACAATGACCAAGACTGGGGGAATGCCCCCTCCTCCTCCGCCGCCGCCGCCGCCGCCGCCACCATCCAAGCCGGCGAGACCGTCAAGCCCGCCTCGTCTCAAGCCTCCAACCGTCGGTAGGTCACCTGCGCCACCTCGACCCGCCAGTGGATTTATCCGACCTCCTCCCTCAGCGGCCGCCTCGCTCCGTGTCCCCCCTATCAAGCCTCTCTCGAATGCCTCCCTCGCCCCAACTTCCTCCATCATGCCGCCTGGCAAGCAAGTTTCGCGGAAAGTGATCCTTGAACCGGGTCACTCTCCCCTCGATTGGGCGGCTCTCACATCCACTCCCAATAGCCACCTTCGAGGCAACGATGCACCGGGGGAAAGCTTGATTCGGGTCACGCCGGCCCAACTCAAGCGGCAGAATGGAAGAAAAGGGAGAGATGCCTGGACAGTGTACCAAGGCAAAGTGTACAACATCACACCCTACATCCCTTTCCACCCCGGCGGGGCGGGGGAGATCATGAGGGGCGCGGGGAAGGATTCTGTCAAGTTGTTCATGGAGGTTCACCCCTGGGTCAATTGGGACGCTATGTTGAGCGAGTGTTTGGTTGGAATACTTGTCGGCGAGGACGACGGAGCAGGCGGCAATGGCGGGGGTCTAGATGATATGGATTGATTTACAAGTCTATTTTTATATGGGTATTCGGGATGGAGCTGGTCTGATCTTACAAGGATAGACTTGGAAGAGTTACGAAGAGGTCGTCGCCACAGGACCCATGACATAGACCGGGACGGCGAGGCGTCACACCTACACAAAGCCGGGACTCAGACTCTACGGAGCCACGGTTGATAGACATGGCATATTTCACGATACCCCAACCCCGATCAATGCCGTCGGAAGCAATCAATGACAGTTGAAGTTCGCACGGGAGATATTTCTCTTCCTCTTCCTCGTCCCTCTCTCCCTCCCTCGGCATGAATCTCGTTTCCAATGTGTTTTCCCACGCCATTTACATGCAGAGCAGCATGTCGCGCACAGAGAACGGGACAGATCTGGAGCGAGAATATTGTCTGAGAGCCTGTATCGATGGGTTGTGTTTCGTTTCCTCGGATCAAGCACCCCGGCGTATGATACGCCTCGTAGACCACATGGGCTGCAATGAGCCAGCTTTATGTACCCACAGCCGAGGAAGATACTCCGTACCTGGTTCTACTTTTGGTTTTGTTTCTTGGGTTCCGCCTTTTCATGAAACTGTCGTGCAGGAGCGAAGCGAAGCGACTGAAGAAAAGGCTCCGCGGGCTCAATAAGGATCGCATCAGCTCTTTTTGGCCGTCACAACTCGTCTCTCTTGACGCCCTTAATCCCCATCAACTCCGTCTCGAAAACCAGCACGCTGCTCGCCGGGATCGGCCCAACGGCCCTGTCCCCGTACCCCAGCTCGGGCGGGATCGTCAACTTCCTCTTCTCACCAATGCACATGTCCAACAGACCCTCGTCCCATCTAGTGTTGCCAACCCAGTCAGCCATGTCTTCCTCCATGCCACACAAAGTCCTCACAAGCCCAAGGGGAGGGAGAAAAGGCAAAAAAGGGAAAAAGAAACTCACCCCTTGATGACCCTCCCCGCGCCCAACTCAAAGCTCAACGGTGTGCCTCTTGAATACGAAGAGTCAAACTCCTTGCCCGTGCTCTGCAGCGTGCCCCGGTAGTGGACGTCGATTTTGTCGCCCTTTTGCGTCTTTCGCGTGCACTCAATGTCCGGCGTCTGGTAGTCGATCTCGAGGCCGGCGGAGGAGACGACGTGGGCCAGGCACAACGCGGTGGCCAGGAGGGAGGCGAGGATTTTCATCGTGGGCTGTGTTGTCGACTGTAGAAATAAGTGCGGATGGCGCCCTTGTGGTACAAAGTTGCTGAGTGTGCTTGGTTGCTACAAGGTACTGGGTACGGACGAGGCAAGGTGTTCGGCTGCGGAATGAAGACAAAGTTGGTGGTTGGCTGTTGTCGGGTGGGGGAAGCCAGCCCACCAGCCAGTCTCCTTCTGAGAACTTCGTCTCCCTGTTTACGGTGTGATTTGAGGATATCAAGCAACAGAACAAGATATCCGCAAACTTTGATTCCACTCAGCTACCAAGAAATAGAGAACACAGGTCCTCGTTGTTTTCCCAAAACTGCCGACATGGAGATCCCTCGTTGTGAAATATTCCACTACAATGACGTCCTGGGTATCCTGTCCCGTTATTTCTGTTTGAATTTCTCCACCGAAATCCGTCATGGCTCGACGTGCTGGCTCGACTTGCTTGTGCAGATAAACCCCCAATCACTTCAAACTCGGGCACTGCTCGCAATATCGACAGTACGGACACCGAAAAGCTGGCTTCGCGAGGTAGATGCTCGAGGGACACGCCATCGAGCCGAACTGAGACACGCCTGAGGATGTCGTTGACTTGCCACGGGAGTAGCACAACGCTGGGCCGTCGAGCTGTTGTAGCTCATCTTTGGTTTGCCTCTCTGGCGAACCCCTGGGAACTTGTCTTCCTCGGACTTCCTGGAGGTCGTCAGTGTTTGATGGCTGCATGTTTCGTAGGAACACAAAACCACGCCGGGAGCGGACATGGGATCTTTGGGGGAGAATGCCCTGTCTTCTCCTTTCTGGATAGATCGCCTTACCTTTCCAAGGCATCTGCGATCTGATAAGCTTGCCTGGTTGTTGAGCCAGTTTCTCGAACGAATTCGGGACCAACTTCGACGTGGCGCCGTGGTAGATCACGCCGTAACCCTGGGACGTCTTCGTCAACCCAAGGTTCTGCGCAGACGCCACTGCACATGGGGCACTCTTCCATGAGTATGCGGTAGAAGCCGTAAGCGAGCCGTATCAGTCTCACAGCAAGGGCGAACGGGTCAAGCAAGTCCTTGTGTTTTTGGAAGATGCTGGATAAAATTGGCGTCACAATATTAAAAATCTCCGTTGTGGCGGGTTGCGTTCCATGAATCGAAGGTCGCTGACCGAGCTGCTGGCCGATGTACGCTTCAGCTTGTTGAATGTGACTGTCATCTTGACTTGTTTGATCAATGCGTGGGCTGCTGGACCAGTCATGTTTTGGATGGCAGTGAGCATGCGCTCTTGGTCTGCTTTGTCGAATGTCTTGTTCTCCATATGAGCCCCGCCAGAAAACTGTCCCGGCATCATGGCCGTGGTGTTCGAGTACAGCCACTGGTCATACATGCCGAGCATGCAGACAGTCCAGACGACTTGGACATGTTCTTGGCCCTGGCGGTGGATTCGGCCAACGACCTGGACGACAGCGTTGATGTTATCTGGCATGTCAAAGACCATAATATTGTGGCATGCCTCTTGGATGTTCAGACGGAATGGAGGAGGGTTGAATGAAAAGTCTCCCAGGGACGGCTTGTCAAATGTCAAGCTTGCTTCGGGCTTGTAGTTCTCATATTATTCCCTGTCACTCATGGCGGCAGAAGGCGGACATCGCGAAGTTCACGGTCTTCCCCGACTCGCAGCCCTCGGGTCTTTTGTATTTCCATATAACTTCCTGTCTACTCGTCCAACAGGAAAATGAGGGTTGCGCTGGCTCGTAGTTGACGATGTACTATGTAACACTGGATCAAGCATTGGTACTGCAGCACCCAGGGACCAGTCCTTGTCTGGATCTAGACTTTCTTGGTGCCTCTGATCGTCAGCCTTGTGGTCAATTAGGCGGTGATGTTGGGGGCATGTCAATGAAAGGGGTGGGAATTGTTGCATGGAGCGTTCCCACTGTTGGCTGCCTTTGCGATCGCCTTAGCAAACGCTTCGGCCTTTGGATGGGTGAAGGTTTTGGCAGACGAAGGGAAGAGACTCTGGTTCCGGTTTGACGCCTGGGCTTCCATGTTGACGATGCGAGCAGGTAGAACTTGGGGACGAGGGGGCATGAGGTGGAGAGATAAGGTGGAATTGTTGAGGTGGGTGTGGAAAGAAGTCAAAGGTTGAATGCGTTGGACTAGTTTTCAGTGGGTACAAGTGTTCGACTTGGTTTAATGGAAAGTTGGAAGGGACAGAGAGATGGGAGGGACAGAGAGATGGGAGGGACAGAGAGATGGGAGGGACAGAGAGATGGGAGGGACAGAGAGATGGGAGGGACAGAGAGA